AGATTTATACTCAAAAAAATTAAATTTAACATAAGAACTGATTTGCAGATTCTTGAAAAATTTAAAAGTATACACCTACATAAATATGTATATATATATAATTCAAACGAAAGTGAGGTGATGTAATATTTAATAACGTAATTTAAAATTTCATTTTATAAATTTAATTTAAGGAGTGCTATTATTAAATACTTGTTGAAGAAAATTTTCACATGATATTTTACACACAAAACGTACAAAGTTCACGTTATAATTTTATGAAGGGTTTTAATTTATAATTTTCATAAAATTTCGAATTTCAATATGTACGTATCAGCAATAAAAAAAATTTAAAATAATTTCATTAATTTGCAACAAATTAACCTCATCTACACTAAACAGCAGTACAATTATCATTTTAACTCATTCAAATCTACCACACCAAACATTAATCAGCAAAATTAATAGATGAAAGAAAAATATATATACCGAATACATTATGCTGAGATCTTTAAAGACAGCACTAAATATTTTGCTAACAGATTGGAGTCGGCATGGAATTCCACTGCTTTTCTTAAATTACTTGGAAAATTGTTAACTCGTGAGTAAACAATTATTAGATGGGTATTATGTGGGTACATATCTAGATTATAATATCATGTAAAATTTATATGTATTTTTTGAAAACTTTTTGAAAAGGATCTTTTGAATTAAAAGTAACCTTTAAAATATTTTTTAAAATATAAGAGCCTTTTTCATATGAAAATCATACAATAATGTTAGTATATAATGTTATATTTATATGTTTAAATGATAATTATACATTTATAATCGAGAAACATTAAAATTCACTAAAATACCTTAGGAATAGAAATTATTTTGGCAATTACCAATCTCTTAAATATTTATGACTATATACATAGATTATATTAAAATATAACTTAAATATTGTGTCTTATACGAGTACTAAATCCAAATTCTAGTTGCTATGACTTTAATGTAAATCAATTGAAATTTACATATTAAATTATCTGGTTCACTATTTTTCACCCTATACTTAAAAAACCTATATTCACACCCTATACTTAAAAAGCCTATATTATATTTCGTTAATCGAATTCAAATAAGTTGCTATGTATGTAAATTCGATTAGATTTACTTCCTCGTTCTCAACAAATAAAAGTATTCAAGATATTTAGTAATATCATTAAATACATACTTACTATTTTAAAATTATAATTAATGCTAAAGTTAAAAAATTATGTTATGCTAAAATATATGGTTTACTACATTTTAATATATAATTTAAACATTTTTGAAAGACAAAAAACTATTACACTTTTGGAAAATGAAAATAATTAAAGTCTTCAATTTTCTAACATAACCTATTTGATAAAATCGCTATCAATAAAAATTTTTACAAAATGAAACCTGTCTAACCGACTATGATCGTATAACGGTCAAGTTTTGAATTATGTAATTAGAAATGAAAAAATGTCAAATATATAATATTGAAATGTCAAGTGTATAAAATAACCAATTTTATTAAACTAAAAATTGTTCCAAATTTTCAAAACAGTTCTTTAATAAAAATTGAAAAACCAAAAAAATTTTAGGTGAAAATTTTTAACACATCTTTTTTCTTAATTTTGTATTTGTACATCAAATTAATTAACGAAAAATATTTACGCTAAACGGTTAAAAAAATCGAAAGCTTTTTGATTAGAAAGTTATTATATAATTTTTTTTAACAATATGATCTAAATTAGAATAGAAATAGAAATATAACACAAAATAGGAATTATAATAGATAAAATTCAGGTCATAAGACACTTAGAATTTTTGAAATGAAAAGTGATTTTCCTTTCGAAAGCATTCTAAATCTTTATTAATTTCAACTCTGTTTAAAATTTAAATTAGTTCTATGTCCGCGTTTTTATGTACATACTCGTATTATGCTTTTGTACAAAGAGTAAGGCAGAAGAATGAAAATAATAAAAAAAAATAACATAAAATTTCCTTTTTAAAAATCACAACATTCAACTTTGAATTTTTAATGCATAATAAATATTAATTTTCGTCAGACGTTGCTTGTTGGAAATATTTACATTATATAATATGAAAAATTGTTAGTATATGGTGACATCGAAAACGTCTCGATAATTTTTCAATCTGGGGCAGTATGTAAAAAACTTAATGCAAATTTTTTTTTAATAATTGACGTTGTCATTAAGACAACAATATGTTTTTTTTTCACAACTAGGTTTAAAATATTTTTTTCATATTGTGAAATGCATATGTTTAGTTTCACTCAATTTGGTTCATCATGAACAAATTGACGTTCGAAAAACGTTTCCAAATTACCTAACTGAACACATTTTAATTACGAATGCATTCGTCATTACTCGAAATTAATTTACGTCTTTATACTTCGACATCAATTGTAGCAACTTAACTATTGAACTTTCATTTGTAAGTAGTAAATTTCCTCTTACAAATTTATGAAAAGCTGGTCAAGCTTTTAAAGCTTTCAAATTAAATTAAAAGTAAATTTGCACTTTTTCTGTCACTTAAAAACCACATTTAAAAAATCACGCTTTAGACTAATTTAAAATACATACATATATATATACTTATATATATGTATACAAATATATAATAAGAAATAGCTGTAAATATTGTAGATAGGCAAAAATGTTCTGAAAAATAATAAAAAATGGAAGGCGTTAAAATTTAAAATGTTTTTTTTTCGATTTAAATCAAGCATAATAAAAAGAAATAATTAGCGATAACAAGTGTAAAAACATAAGCTTACTATAGGAAATAGCGATTTTTTAGCAATTTGTTATCGGATATTCTAGACTCTGTTTTCATAAATCTAATCTGAAAGATTTCGAAGCTCTATATTATGTAAAATTGTAAGTAATCTTGATTAATAGGTTATTTTTAAAAAAAAAAAAAAACTCTTAACGTATTAGACCGATGAAAATCTTTTTTTAATTATGCATGTTTTATGCATTGTTTATAATTAAAATATAAAAATTTCAAAATCAAAAATGCACATGTGCTCATTTTGTACACATGTGTATATATCAGATATATTTTAAGTATGTATATAAGATTTTGTGAACTTTATATACACATACAATATACATGTATGTATATATTGATTTCCTAAATAATATGTTTTAATATTCTAAGTCACACGCCGCATTTTTTACTATTTCTAAATGTAATATAGTGTTTCGTAATACAAAAGAAACGCATTAAAGTAAATAATAAACAAAACAAATTAATTTCTTGCAAAGAAATCATTTGTGTTAATAAAATTTTATGTTTGAATACCTTTTTTTTATGAATTAAAAATTATTTCGAATGAAAAACTTTATAAAGAATAAATCCAAAAAATAATCGATAAAATGAAAACGTATTTATTTTCCATTCTTTAACTTAATATTTTCAAAAGTATTTTTAGTAAAAATAATGAACGCTTTAAAATTTCTCCTCATTAATTGATAGTAATGCGTTATTTATACAAAGAACATTCACGCTTCTTATCACAAGAGACGTTGCTGTACATCTTGCGTCTTGAAAAAAATTTTTACAATTTTAAGTTGAGAATTAATCAATTCCAATCAGGTAATTTTCAATTTAGTTAATATTAATATTATTGCATACAAGTACATATAATTGTTGAAAAATAGTTAATAACAAATTTCAATCAATTCTATTTTTTACCAAATGTCAAAGTTGTTCAGAACACATGAGGTATTGTGATCGCAGTAAATTGAACCCGTCAACTTTTTAATATTGCAAATTTTTATACCAACAAGTAGGTAAGTAAAATACGTACATAAATATAAGTATATATACATATAGGAAAATACCTATATAAAGGACAAATTTCCAGAAAATTCAATTTCAAAAAATACGAATTAAATTTGCATTTTTGAAATGATTAATTAATTTCCTTAATTTTCTTTTCAGCTATGTTATATGATTGCCAAAAATTTGAACTAACTTTTCGGTAATCTCTTAGAATTTCCCAAAAGATAAAATAAATTAAATTTTCTGTAAATTTCCATTTGAAGAAACTAAACCAAATCAAGTTCAAGAAACACTATAACTATAGAATTTTAATAATTTTCTTAAAATCATTCAGAAAATATATACTCGGTCGAATATGTACTGAGCGCATCACATTTCTTCTCTTACTTTAATATTAATGAAAAAAACACAATTTAATAAAAAAAAAAAATGAAAATTACTTATCAGAGCGAAGATTTACTTTAGTTTTATTTTAGTTAAGTGCTATTTAAAATGCTTCAAGTTCAAGTGTTTCTCTTCAAAAAAATTTTCTCTATTGAATTATTAAATTTAGCTGAAAAATTAAAATACAGAAAAGTTTTATTTAATACATCGTTAAAAAATCTATGAGTTGCAGTTTATATTCTCAAAATGGCTATATACATAAACACATACATAAATACATACATAAATACATCTTTTAATTACTTAGTCGTTTATTATGAAAAATTGCATACGTCAGTAATTGCTTGTTATAATATGCATTGGGTAATACCTATATTATTTCATTACCAATGTCGAGTTTAATCATACATTTAACAAGTGATATCTTGAAAAGAATGATAAATGTTAATTAACCCTACTATATAGAACTCCATACAGAAAAACGTGTAAACACACTATATATGTACATGTTTCATTATATTATTTATAAATAATAATGTATAAATATAACGTATGTTTGTTGTATGTTTATTACTTATTCAACATCTTTTACTTTTTATAGAATGAAAAACAACTTTAAAAAAAATTTTATAATGTACGTTATGTGTGCCATATGAATTATAAACTTCATCACATGTGCTAAAATAAAATTGTATTTATGTATGAATTGATTACAAAATATAAAATATTATTTTGATTTATATTACAAGTTATATAGTTAATTAGTGTAATATTGAAAAAAAAATATATGCAAGCATATACATATAAATATATCAAGGTCAAAAATTGTGATAATATGTCAAATTATAAATGCAATGTAAAATTTTAAAGTTTTACTTAAATTAAAAACTAAATGACGGAAAATTAATGACAATGGCAGCAACTTCTCTAAGTTGTGCAAAATAAAGAGAAAACGCAGTTCTTTTTTAAATACAATTTAAAACTCTTAAATTTTAAAAAAGGTTGTCAATTTTCCTATACTGTGTTTGTATAGCTGTTCAAACACAAATATTTTGAACTACAAAATTGATTGGAAAATTGATCAAAAAACGCTGGATGCGCTACATCATCCTCTACACCTTTACTACTCGTATACATAACTTTCATTGCACGCGTGGCGTTTGCAGGTAAAGTAATAATTTATATAATTCACTTTTCTAATGATTAATAAAATAATATTTATTTATTATCAAATTTAAACCTTTACTTGTATTTTTCTTTACTATAGTTGTCTTTTTTGCAGTTATCGAAAAAAAATAGCGGTATTTTATGAGATAACTATTGTTTTTTTGAAAATTTTTCAGTTTTTTACTTCAAAATTTTGTGTTTAAGAAGCCATTACTTGAAAACGGTAAATCTGACGCCAATCATCGGCATGCTGTTATGTCTGTGATATGAATTGACAAAAGAGTTTCGGGATACAACTTTGATCTTGTTTCAGCAGTTTCGAAGGTATTCGTTTCACAGAATTTTTTCAATCCGATTTTTTTAACTTCTAAAACTAAACCAAGACTTACGATATGGTTTTTTTCTTCAACAACGCCAACGAATTACCTCCTGAGAGCTTTAACCGTAGGAATGGACATTCTGCATATGCAGCTACTGCAAAAATTTTAAAATTTTCAATAATTTAATGATAATATCTACAGTTTTTTGTAGCTAAAATATTCTCTGCCTTTTTCACTGCATTCAAAATAATTTTTAACAATATTGAATGTTTATAGCGTTTGTTACTTCAGACATTTCTACAATATTTAAGCATAATTTACACTAATATATCGTTCTTACAAATCAAATGCATATCTATATAGATAAATAGACATTTTATATTAGTGGTAATACTTAAATGGCAATTACTATCTACTTGATAGAAATACTTGAAATATTTAGTTTTGACAAAGTCATGTGTTAAATTAACAAATTTTTATATAGATACATACATATATGTCCATAAATTATTTTAAAATAACAAAAAGTAAAGGAAAAAAATTGTAAAATAGAATTGCTAATTTTTTTGCTAAATTAGAACTGCTTAGGTACTTTTTTTCTATTAGAATTTCTTATAATTTAAAAAAAATAAAAATTTTTTATTTTTAGACCAAAAAGCTATTCTTTTTCTTCTCCAAGGAATTTGAAATATAGACTTAAGTAAAATACATGTCTTTACTTAATATACAGTGATTAAAGCAGCATTAAGTACAAAGAAGCAAATGTGAAACGAAGAGGTCTCCTTTTTACAAAGGAAAGCGAAAAGAAAAATTAATTGGTTATTGAAACTCCCATTAAAAAAGAACGATTAGACATTCTTTGTTTTTTCGACAGTCATTTGTTCCATTAGTTGTTTAACAAATCAGACAACAATACATTGTCAGTAGTCAAATCTATATAGTATAATTGTAACAATTGAAACATACATGTTTCGTTTAAAATTATATGCTTCAAGAAATTTTTTTTTTCAAACAGAATTTGCATTAAATTTAGGAAAGTAGTGCGTGGTTTTCTTATTCAAGGTTTGCCGGGTTTATTTAAAAATGTGTTCGGGGAAAGCTTTCAAATTTATTTTAGATGTTATATCGTATGACAATATGTTTCTAAACCTCAAAAATATAATCATACTGTGGACAATACATAATTAAACTTTATTGTGATCTAAAAAGTTTTACTTGAAAATCTACAATACGTACTTCTACAAAATTATACATTTGGGAAATGTTATTTGCAGTTTGTTTAAGCCGTAAAATACTGCAACAAGTTCTTGAATTATAAACTAATTGCAATATTAATTTCATAGAATTTATATTTAACATAGAAATCTAAGAATGTTAAAATCTTTGAAATGAAAGTGAATAATCAGCAAATATATTGTTGTAAGATTTATCATTTTAATTTTTTAAGAATTGTGCATATTCTAGCAATGCTTTACACTGTATTCTTAATCAAAAAATCAATTTATTTATAAAAAGTGAAGAGAAAACAAAGTAAAACGAAAATCAAATAGAAAACTTTGTGCATAATTTTTCTTGAATTTTCACTACTCGCATACTTAATAGTTAGGTGTAAGTGTGTATTCAATAATAATTTATAAATTTAACATACTTATTTACATGAATGTATATTTATGTATATAAACATAAATATATTTTTCTAAATGATTATTCTAATACTATACACACACTATGTATGTATATGTACCTATATTTTAGCCTTTAAATAAGCACGAGATTACTTTTAACAGAATGAAATCTTTTTGTATTATCTTGATTATCCGGTTAATATTTTTACGCTCGCTTCTCATTATTGAATAAAAGAATATATTATTATTATTATTCTAGAGATATGTGCTAAATTATTTTCATGGTACATTTATAAAGACAGTATCTTAATCTTTGTCATTTTTAATATTATCCGGAAATTGAGCAATTTTATACTTTATTTGTAAAATATACTACTTATTTACAGAAGAGAAAATACAAAAAAAAAAAAATCAAATGGAACGTGTGACTTAAATTAAAAGCTTCAATTTAAAATGTTTTATATGTAAATGAGTTTACATTTAAAATTACAGGTAATAATACCAATATAAGCATACAACTGATCTTAAAATAAATTGTTAATGTGAAAGCGTATAGATGGAATCAATTAATGTAGAAGCTTTTGTAGAAGCTTAAACCCTGCACATGTCAGAATTAAATTCTTTATAATTAAAATGCTATTACTTATTCAAATACAAATAAATTTAAATAATCATAATTAATACGTGCACATAAGCTTATAATTAATAAATGTATAATATTTTTCAATTAAAAATGAAGTATAAAATATTTGTTTACATGTGAAAGAATGCTTTGAATAAAACGTGTAAAGATTTTAACGTTATGTTATTCAATTGCAGCAAATTTTTAGTTAAACAAAACATATTCGATTTAAGAATATTATAAATATTCATAAGTATTTAAAAATAATATGAATATTTAAGATTAAAGCTATAAGATTTCCATTAAAAATTTAGAAAGGAGAATTGCTCTATTAATTTTGAAATGTTTATCAAAGCAAGCAATAAAATAATAATTGAAAATCCAAAGCGTTCAAACCATTGTTTTTTATTTATTCCCTCGTTATCTTAGGACGACAAATAATGCCGTTTCATAAGTGAATACTCGTCAGGATACGTACGGGAGGGATCGCAGAATATGCAAAAATTAACTTAAGGATGCAACGGATGAACGAATAATTTATGTCCTATCCTATATATTCAAAACAATTAAGATTATTTTGAAGAACAAAATCAAAATTGCTTATGAGATCAATTGCTTATGAAGGCTCAAAACGAATGTAAAAGTAGTCTAAAATTTTACTTCTCAGAACTAGTGCTATAAAATACCCTTTTAATAAAATTCGACAGCAAACCTTATAGTGCGGTCAACAAATATCGCAATTTTATTCTTCTCTTTCTTTATTTAACATTTAATTCTTATTTTGTATTATTCTAATTTTGAAACTACATATTAACATCATAGAACAGGCAACACTTAAATGTGAACTAAATTTAGTTACATAATATTGAATTTTAATATTATATTGGATAAATTAAAATTCTAACATTAAATTAGGCTTAAAAAAAAAAAGAAAATTTTTTTTCTCTGTTAAAATTCAAAACTATCACATTTATTGTGCCTATATTTACTTTATAAATTTATTTCCTATTTTATACAGAAAAGAAAATTGCGAATCCAACAATATGCCATTTAATAAGTACTCAAAATAAAATAAAAATACCTTAAGAAAAAAAAAATAACTACATAATTCATTTAGAAAAAAAGACCATTACAATATTTTCAATTATTTGCATAGAAAACAAATTTAAATTAGTTTGTAGTAAATATTGCCGACCATTTTATTTTCTTTGAATTTTAACGCAAAATAATTACTTAGGTATGTATTTAAATTTTGATCTAGTAAAAATAATGTAGCAACACATATATATATGTATGTATTTATCTGTTTGCGCTTATATATCATAATAATTTAATGAATGACATATTTAAATATCAATACTTTTATTTAAAAAATTTTGTATTGTATAATTTTTGATAGTAAAAAAATGATACTTCAATAATAAAAAAATAAAGATTGTATTAAAAAATCATTTTTCGCCTCTTGGTAATATCGTTAGTCAAATATAATAATTAATAGATAGGTTGAAAAATTTATTTTAAACACACCTGGACCCTATTGCACCAATTTACTTTCATTTATTTTTGCTTTTAATTTTTGACTTTTTAAAATATGCAGTACTTTATTTATTGGTATTGTTCATTGGTGCACTAGAAACTTTGCAATTTTTTTATTAATTGATTGAAAAAAAGTAAAAAGTGGCGTAATAGGGTCGTGTACCAAATCTTTTGCATAAAAGCAAATTGAATATTTATTTAAGAAAAATTTTAATTTCATCTATGGTCTTAAACACTGTAAAAAGTCTGTGTACTTATTATAGCGCTAATGCAATTTAGTACAATAAACGTAAAGAAAGTTTTAATATTAACATAAATTGATTTACTTGTTCCATTAACATAAAACAGTTGAAAGTGCTACGAATAAAATTTTATATAAAATAATTTAAAACTTCTTTAAACAGCGCACTTTTTTTGAATTATTAGTTTTAGACTACCCATTTCAATATTTTAAAGAATCTCAATTACTTGTTATCATTATATAATTATCTAAGATGCACAATTATTTTGCATCACCATTGTAGATGATGACATTTTTTTTGAAATGTAGATATAAACTTGTGATTGGATTCAAACAGAATAAAATTGCTTTTTTTTTGGGAAGTTTGCATAAGTTTTTCAACAGAAAAATTAAATTTTTTAAAAAATTAAAATTTTCCTTTTTCAAAAAATACTTGAAGTGCCATACTTAATGGTAACAAAGTTGCAAATTAAAAGTCTATTGGTAAAAACGCTTTTAGTGATAAGCTTTTCCAATAATAATGGTAAGACAATACATTTTTATAGTTATTAATTACTGAATAACTACTGAACATAAAATTTTACATCTTCTAATTTGTGACATTATGCTCAGTAGTAGATAAGACTGAAATGCTTACAATGTTCTCATAGTTACAAAAATCATAAGAAATGATAAGATAACACTTTAAAATATTATAATTTATTTTTAAAACGAGAATTATGACAACTATTAAAGATTTAAATTAATATTAATTTCAATTTATTTGCTATTTTTTATTCTATTTTTAATAATATTTTTACAAAATTTATTAAATATTGCTATGTATTTCGGAAAAATATAAAAAAAAAAAATTTTCTTTCAATATATTAGAATAACAATACCTGAAAACCTATAACCTAAACAAGAATATTGTACATGCATACATATACGTGTGTAAAACCATTACATTAAAATTTATAAAACTTTTCTGTTTCATCAAATATTTATGGATCTATGAATTGAACGTTTTTATAAATACATGTACGAACCATCTATGAATCATTTTGAATAAATCTAACAGATGTCTAACTACTTTTAAAAATACATAATATTTTCAATCAGTCAATAAGTATCGTATGACCAAGACAAATACTTATAGTAAGGATTTATATTGTTTTGCAAAAGTATTGTTTTATTTACCCTTTACTTAAAGTTCATCAATGATTTTTTAATATATTACGTAACTAAATTAAGCATATATATATATATACATATATATATATATATATATATATATATATATAAATATGCATTGAGTACTTTAAATAAAATAAAATTATAACATTCTTAAATTAACATTCAAAAATTTCTTAATCGTTAACCGTATTTTTACGTTGATAAATAGATAACATGCACGTAGTTTATAATAGTTTATACTGATTAAGCGTATGACATCATTTCTTTTTTTTCAAAATTTTAAATGTTAAGAGATAAAGAAAATATGAACTACATTTTGAATTCAATGTATAGTTGCTACTTATTGTTATAGAAAATATATTTAAATTCACTTTTATTTTATTTGGTCATATGATTGATGAATATTACTTAACAAAAATTCTATATTTTCCAATTGCAAATATTTTAGAACGCATAAGAGTATTTCCTATTCCACAGATTTCCAGTTAAACAACAAATAATATAAAAAACAAACAACTTACCGGTAACCATAGACTCGGAAACTACTGTAGCCTCTTCTTGTGGTATCATTTCCATTAATCTGGCAATATCTTTCGCTAACATCGCGTCTACAACTTCTAGTAAGTTAAGTTTTAGTGAATGAAATTTACTAAAATCTTGATGTTGCAAAACTTCTTGCATTTTCTTAATATCTGGGAAATCTCCTGGTGAAATTTGATGTTCTTTTTGAATACGATCGTAAATTTGTCCAAGATTTTTTATCAAATCCTTTTTTTTACTATCCTTCCCAAATACAGACGGCATTTCTTTTCTTAACTCCGAAATTATATATGCATGAACCTTAGCTAATCGTGCTCGCTTAATTAAGTCGTTTAATTTACGTAAGGCGGCATTTCTAGGCAACGATTGCAAATCCCTAAATAAATCTTGTTCTTCATCTTCAAAAAGGCGTCTATTCATATCATAACGTAGAGGTTGATCCCAAAATGAGCCTATATAAACTCTTGCTACTTCTGGAGTTTGTAGCACTTTTCCTAAAGACCACATAAGTGCTCCGTAAACCCTCATCAATTGCTGATGATCAATCATATCTGCTTTGTTTAAAATTATTCTGATTTTGTCATCGTGACCTTTTAATGCTTCTATACTACGGCGAAACTCATCAGAAATATCCAGTTTATGTGCATCAAATAACAATATAATACGATCTACTCGTTCGGCAAACCATTCTAACACCCCAGTGAAATCATAGCCCCGATCAATTCTTTGTTTTTCGCCTGATAATATACCAGGCGTATCCACAATCGAAATTGCTTGTAATACTGGAGATGCAACAGTCGAACATTGAAAACGATTTAGAAATGAGTTGCCATATTTACTAAGTGGACGAAACTGTTTTTTTGGGTCTACAACTAAAGCATTTCCAGGTATAACACCTTCTTTTTCGTCATACATAACAGCAATAAAGCGATCTGTTGTTGGTTCTGGTCCTATACGTATTCCCGGGAAATCGCGTTCCAATAAATAACGTATAAATGTAGTTTTACCTGTTGAATACTGTCCAACTAGAAGAATCATAGGTTTTGCATCAAAATCAGGGTCTTCCAGTTTTGGTGAATGAAAGTCATGAAATTGATAATATTCTTCCAACGGAAGTAATTTACTTCTATAAATTTTTTTCAATTCACCAATAACATTTTCAACCACTTCCTGTGCTACCTTTTCGCGTTTTAACCAACTAAACATCTTACGTCTTTTTTAATTATCGTGATTATATTGAATTTAAAATTATGACTAATTAATAATTTACTGAAGAGATAACTACTAACGCCTTCCGATTATATTTTTATTTTGAAGCAAAATAGCCAACAAGTCGAAACAATACATTCAGCCACCGAAACGAACAGCGAAATGCGAATTGCGAACTAACCTTTCGTTTAAATGTCAAAATTTTGATGACATCAGTCAAATCCCAATAAACTCATGAATATCGACACTCGATAGAAAACCACCTAGCGGTTACATCAGAAAACAATGTACAATAAAAAAAACCTTTAATAATTTTGATGTAGTATGGAAAATTAAGCTTAAAAAAATTAAAAATACATATTTTAAAATTTGAAGTTGTCCATTCATTATTCAACTTGGTCTTTCAACAAGTTGAAAATATAGCAAGTGTTCAACACATTAAATAGTTAGTGGACTCGTTGATCAACCATTTGATGGTTGAAAATTGGTTGAAGAAAGTACTAAAGTAACTTTGTGGGCGGGTGTTGTATAAAACTACATCTGTAGTTTTAAAAAAATTGAAATAATGTTCATCAATGTGTTTTTCAACAGACCAAGAAAGGATAATGTATGAAGGCCCAAGTTTAAGTTTTGTTGAAGGACGAAGTTGAATGGTGTACGATCAGCATTAGGAACAATATGCTCTGCGATTATTGTTTGTACCGGTATTATATTTGAATTTCTCGTTAACACATCGACATAATTATTGTATATGTTTCAAAGGTAATTTCAGTAGAGTTAAAAATATTGATCAATTTCCTTTACACAAATAATTTGCGACACCCTTCCCATTTAAAATCTGTATTAATGTTGAAATTATTTTTGATCTGAGCTTGTTGGCTTGATATATATGGTATTAGTTCAACATAACGAGTGACAATAGAAAATTTAAATAATTTAAAAAAATAATTTAAAAATGTAGGTATTTTGTTAGCATGGTAATCAAGCATTATTTACTAGAAGATTTAAGTCGCACTGTTAATATCACCAATATTTAACAACAGCACAAAATTCGTTTGTTGAACATAGTCTAGTTTATAGAATTTGTTTTTACAATTACCATACGTACAATTAAATTTGCTTCTATTGTCTACATTAACAATAAAACTATATTGTGATTTTTCGCTCAATATATAATATCGTTGTTGTAAATATTGTTTTATTAGCTTGAAAGAAAAAGAAATGAAAATAAAAACTTTGCCGCCTTGCAAAACATAGCCAAAAAAAATTAATTTTTGCCTCAAAAATTGAAAATTTTCTGAAAATTGTTTAAACATCCTAAATTCCTAAAAATATAAAATTTGCAATCAGATGCATGCGGTTGAATCTTCACATGGGTTGGTGATTGAACGGCTTGTGTTCTTACTACACATTATAAATGTCAAGGACAAAATTTTGACAAAAAATTTGTTGCCCTAAATTCTATAAATTTTTATTAAATAAAAATTTCTTTAACAGATTTTATAATATATATTCGTCAATAAAATATTTGATAAACAATTTTATCGCTTGGTTGGTTTTTTTACAAGTAGATGTTTTACTTGTGATGAGAAATTAGTAGATAATTTTTTTTATTAGAAACTGTGATAACAATATATGACTGTTTATTTTTGAATTTTAGGTTGAAAAATAAAGAATGAATAAGCGCAAATCTGTTGCTTTTTGTGGTGTGCCGGGCTGTACTAATATTAAAACTGAAACCGTTTCATTACACACTATACCTCAATCTGTTAAAAAATCAAAAACGGCTCTTCACAAATGGTGGATCGCTTTAAGAATGTGGAAACCTTTTCCAAAAAACTTTCGAATATGCTCTGCACATTTCGATAAGAGATTTATATTAATTCCGACAAAAGGCGGTAAGGTGCAATTGAGTACAAGTGCTTTTCCTACTTTGAATTTACCATCATCTTCAAAGCTGATTAGAAAATCAAATTTAAAACAATCAACTCAGTCACAGAAATTGAAAATGAAAGAAATGTAAGGGCTAATTATACACAATGCTTTGAGCTGATTTGAATTTTTATTTCTAGTTTAAGAAATGCAGACCCAGAACTCAGAAAGGATATGCAAGATATCAATTCAGTAACTCCAAGTTTTTGCTTTGTTGATGTCGGAGATACAATAAAAAAATCATTTAACACAATTCCACAAAAAACATTAAAAGTTACCGATATTTCCTCTTTATGGGATACAGACGAAAAGTTAAATGCAATGACTGGTTTACCTAATTTTATACTTTTAGATGCACTAGTAAAAGCTTGTTCTATGAGAAGTAGTTCTGAACAATCTTATATGGATATGAAGTTCAAAATATTGCTCACAATGCTCAAATTAAGATCGAATTTAACATTTCTTCAAATAGGTATTAATTTTAATATAACAGCTAGAAAGGCGAAGTTATATTTTAGTGAGTGCATTCAATTACTTAGTGAAGTATTAAAGAGCACGATTTATTGGCCTACAAAAGAGCAATATGCAAAAAATTTACCAACTTGTTTTAAAAGTTTTCCAAATACTGTTGCAATTCTTGATTGCATAGAAGTAAAAACAGCTGTGTTTAGATGTAGAAACTGTAGAAAAATCACTAATTTATATTGTAAAAGTGGACATACACTGAAAGCAATGATCAGTGTTACACCATCGGGATTGATAAATTTTTTAAGTCCCGCTACCGCTGGAAAAACAGAGAAAGCAATTTTTGCTTCAACAATTTTGTTAGAAAACTTAAAAGCTGGAGATTCGGTTATGGTCGATACCAGATTTATGATTGAAGAAGAGCTGTCGAAGAAAAAAATCGAGATAATTAGGCCAACTTATCACTTTACCGCGCAACCAAAAGCAGAAATAGAGCGAATTACAAAAATTTCTCAAGCAAGGCTTTTTGTAAAAAGGAGAATCATAAAACTGAAGCAGTTTAAAATATTATCCGAAAGATTGCCAGTTTGTCTTTTACCTTATGTGGATAATATCTTGACTACTATCTGTGGCTTTTCAAATTTAAGTGGTCCTATTTCAAAACGACGTGATTTATAATTTAAAAATATTAAAATGTAAAGTTCATATGTATAAATACACTGACCTTGTTAATTGTTTGACATTTTAGAAATTTTATAAAAAAAACAAACCAATCAATCAAATAAACCACATCCATTGTTATTCAACGCACTACGAATTAAAAATAAAAATATATGGTTAAAATATATCTTCCGAATTGTTCTCTTTGGTGTAAAGCCTTTCAGCCAATTCTGATTTACCTGTTTAAAAAAAATTATTTACATAACAATTTATAAAATTTTTTTTAAAAACATAACTGAATAACTTTAATTCTGCTCTAAATTTGAATTAAAGTTTATTTCATAATATACATTTTTTCTTTTAGCATAAACTGTAAACAAAAATTAATGCACACAAATTAGTGTTCCATATATCCGATAGCTGCGCTACTACAAACTTTCCCTATTCATTACTGTCAAGTTTCACACTATTGCTGAGGACATTCAGTTGACATAAGAAATTGAGCAGAAAACACAGAAAAAGTTCAAATTACAATTGTAAGACATTTCTCCAGGTGACTGCAGTGTTCTTTAAATGAAAAAATAATTTTTTTGATACTTGGTTCGCTTGAAATTTTATCAAAGATATTAAAAAAAGGAAAACGTATTTAAATTTAATTCGGTTTACATAAGGTAATTATATATATGTAAATAATATGAAAATATAGAATGCGGCGTGTCTGGTTGTCAAAACAGCCGCCATTTTAGCAAAAAAATTAATTTGTAAGTTACATTACTTGTATTTATTGAAATTTTCTATGATTTAAGGAAAGGTTAAAATAATGGTTGGATCAAGAGTTTATGTTGGAGGATTACCATATGGAGTTCGTGAGCGAGATTTAGAGAGGTTTTTCAAAGGTTATGGGAGGACAGTAGATATTCTCATCAAAAATGGCTATGGCTTTGTGGTAATCATAAAAAAATTCAATTCAATTGAATCACATTTTTATCCACTTTTTTTAACTATTTTTAAAGGAATTTGAAGATTATCGTGATGCTGATGACGCTGTTTATGAGCTTAATGGAAAACAATTATTGGGTGAAAGGTATATACATACATATTTTGTTCACAGCACAAAATACATAATATATGTATGTTTTACATACAAATTTATTTATGATTAAATTTTAGAGTTATTGTTGAACCAGCAAGGGGTACAGTGAGAGGTAGTCATAGAGATAGATACGATAGATATGAAAATAGACGTGGTAGTGGTCGATATAATGACAAGTAAGTTTTTAATTTTAATATTAAAACAGAGCAGATGCGTTCCACACTAACTACCTACCTTTATTGTGTAGGTAGTTAATGTGGAATATATCTTTAATTTCTTATGAAAGCTTGAATTAGTTACCAACTTAACTGTGTTAAATGTATCTGTATTTTTATAAATTTTTTTTTTTTGTAAACTTGTTAATCATACACTTTATTTTAATTTCCGTTTTAGAAGAAATAACAAATCAAATTCCAGATACGGTCCACCCCTACGTACAGAGTATCGTTTAATCGTTGGAAACTTATCAAGTCGTGTAAGCTGGCAGGTATGTTAACAATTTAATATCTTTAATTCATTTTTTATTGCTATAAATGGTTCATAGTTTTATCTTTTACGAACACAAATTTTGTATAGAAAATTTGTCGGCTAAGAAATGCATACATACTAACAGATTTTATTAGATATTACTTAAGAATTGAGAAGATTAAATAAAGAATAAAAATGAATATTAAATAACTTGATTAAAAATATACTTCAATATTTTAAAGATTTCACAGTTTAAAAATGTTACCTATTTGAATACTATTTCAACATAATAATATGCCTTTAAATTAATGTATTTAAATGCAATGATACACGTACATGCCATTAATTATCCATATTAAGCAGTTTTCAGGATTTATTAAACAGCAAATATATATGCAACCATACATATAATTAAAGCTTTATTTCTTAAAAAAAGCAAAATCTTTTTCTATTATTTTTATGAACTTTAGGTAATAAGTAACATTTTTATGCACAAAAATATGGAATATATTTTCGCGTTATAATTGAAATAATAATTTCATCATGAATTATCTGTAGTATTTTTAGATTGCATGCAAGCATTTGGTATAACATTTTATTCCTATACGTCTTTAACTTTATTTTAAACAACGGCATAATTTTTCTAATATTAAATTTTTTTCTTTTAAATTAATAACAGAAACGCTAAATGCATTTAGCATGCTGATTAAAAATACTGCAGATGTATATATTATGTATGTATTTCGGTCTTTTGAATCTTTCTTGTTATTGAAGGATTATGTATACCAAAAACAAATTTTTTAAACATTTTGAAAAGTAAAATATACTAGGTATAAGGTAGAAGAAAATACAATATGTAAAAAAAAAATAATTTAAAAAAAAATAAAAAATTTTAAATTATTTTTTCCGAAGAAAATATGGGCTCGCTGAAAATACGACTGAATGATGTGTTGTGCATTAATCTTCCTTCTATTTTTGACTATGGCTTGGTATCCGAGACATGCAAGTTTGTTCATATATTTCATGTTAGCGGGCGCGATTAGATGTGAGGAACTTTTGTTCATACAAAAAAGTGTGTGTGCCAAAAACTAACAGTGCTCTCCATTCATTTAAAAAAAATAAATTCAATACTTTAAACATATTAATCTTGGGGCAAATTATGTGATTAAATTTTTATATTCTAAAATATGATTTTCGGATCGATCATTAAAAGGATGATAATAATGAATGATGGCGACGACGATGACGTTGGTAATCTTGATGATTGTTATTTATGTGGTGTTTGGTCTATTTACAACCATATTAGGGTTCTTTTAAATTAAAACTAAAACCAACACAATTTAGAGAATTAACACAAAAAAAGATAGATTATTTAGCTATATACTTAATAAGATTAAAATTTTACCATATAATATTAGCATTTATAAGTTAAAGTATATTTTAATATTGTATATATGTATATATACGTATAATAACATTTCGTGAAAATGTTTTTATATAAAAATTGTATTTAAATTATTTTCCAAAAATTCGGTTTCTTCCTTACAAAACTTTTTTTCCAGATTTTTCACATTTCATTTTAAAATAAATACGATTAGACAGTTAATTGAACAGAATAGTTATTTAAAATTTTGTTGAATTTAAAATTATTACTTTTGAACATAAAAATCATTAGAATAAATTTCTTTTCGTTTTTTTTTTTTTCATATCATATAAAAAATATTAAAGTTTTAACACCTTCAATGTCTAAATCTCGCAATTTCTCGCTCAATAATTTCTTGTAAAATTATTTTTTTTTGTTTTTGGATCAGAAACATCTTACCAATGTAACCTATATAAACTAAGAAAATTGGAATAAATTGCGTGTTATCAGTATAAACCGCAACGTTTCGGGCATAAAACTTAAAATTAATATCAACTTGATGAAATAACTGTCATTTATAGAAAGCTTGCACAAAAAGTAATATGTTTGTGATCTAAGATGTGGTGCTGCGGCTTAATTAATAATGAAGTATAAATATTTAAAAAAAAATCTTTATAACATATTATTATTAAAACAAATATTTTGTATTTTAGAAATTTGCTCTGTTTTATAATTTTAAACCGATAATTTTATTAGTAATGCTTTTGGTGGTTTTTCTACGTATTGTGTGCCTTTTTATTAAAAAAATCTGGATATAAGGAGTTAATTGGCGACGAGAGCTTAACATAATAATCTTCTTTTGGCATTATGTAACTTTTTTGCTAAAAAAGAATGTACGTTTTTCATCACACCCCTTGTTAAAATATGATACGCGTTTTGGTTACATATTTTGAATAGTATATTGAGATCAGTCAACTTTACTTATTTGTATTTCAAAAAAGAAAACTGGAACATGTAGGAACGATTTCTAGATGGTGTCATAAAGATGATAAATTATCCCCTACTAAAAAATGTTTAAAATAGAAACATTCTCCATAATTTATTTCTTACTGATTGTACTATGAAATAGGACTAGAAAGAATAACCAGTTTCTAATCTTGGCCAACATTTTCAAAGTTGAAAATCCTTGGCGTTGGGTTACCTAGTCAAGCAAACAAAATGGGGAGCAAGAACGTGCTTCAAAGGTTTTTTGATAAAAATTCTGAGCAGTGTCTCATTTTAGCTAATATATGTATGTGGGTCAAAAAAATGTTAGTGTGAACCAAATAAAAAACAGTTAGCAGTGCCAACACTGAGACGATTTTTTGAGCTTAATTAACGGGTTTGCATACATTTTGAGTTTTTTAAATTTACAATGTAAGAAATGATATTAAAAAATAATTTTGTCTTGTTTTTAGTTTATAATTTTAAAATAATTTTTTTATATTTCATAATTAAGAAAAACTATAATAAATAAAGTTCAATAGCTTTTGACAAATACTGAACAGTTAAGTCTCTGCTCGACCTGGCCCTTTTCTGTATTAAACATCATTTAGGGCAGTGAAGACTTCACCATTTAATTATTTTATATAATGACGTTGACTATCTTCAATAAAATCCGCTGTCTCATCACGTTTACATAATGCAACTTCTGGATAATAGAGCATGTTCTCGGAAACTGCAGACTTAGCATTTGTATTTGTCAAAGGATTTGCTTTTAAATATTTCTGTTACTAAAAATTAATAGTTTTTCTTGAACTTTGAGTACTAAAATCTACTTTGCCGCTTTTTATATTTCAATTTTATTTTAAAGGATTTAAAAGACTTTATGCGGCAAGCCGGAGAAGTAACTTATGCAGACGCACATAAACAGAGAAGAAATGAAGGGTAAGTTCATAAATTTTATTGAGGATAATATTTGTTTCGTACAAAAACATATTTCAATTTAGCGGAAAGCAATTTTTAAAAAACAAAAAAATTTTTTAGGGTTGTTGAATTTGCTTCAGAATCCGATATGCGGACAGCCGTTGAAAAATTAGACGATACTGAGTTGAACGGGCGGCGTATTCGGTTAATAGAAGATCGCAAAGGAGGGCGAAGTGGCCGAAGTGGACGTGGACGATCTCGCTCTTCAAGCTCGCGCTCAAGAAGCCGTTCACGCAGGCGTTCATCAAGGTCTAGATCGCGACATTCTACAAGATCGCGATCTAAATCTCGCAGTCGTTCTAAATCGCATGGGGACAGATCTAAATCAAAATCTCCAGCAAAACAAAAAACCAGGTCTCGCTTTAACTAATTTTTGCTAAATATATCTGACTTACTAATTTGAACTTTTCTAATTTCTTTTTTATATTTCAGCGAATCACGTGATGCATCCAAATCTAAATCAAAATCTCGTTCCCGATCCAGATCAGACAAACATGATTCAAAATCGCGATCACGGTCAAAGTCACATGATTCTAGAGATAGATCAGTTTCAGATAAAGACAAATCCAGATCCAGATCTAATTCACCAAATAAAAATGGGGGCATTTCACCTGAAAGAAATAATGAAAGTATGGAAGATTGAGGATTTTTAATTTTATAACTACATATGTACATACATAAAAGGCAAAACTTATTTTTATTATAAAATAAAAGTAAATATAATCCATTTAATGCTTTTTTACCATAATATTTATATAAATTTTTCATTATATATGTGCAAATTTGGCATTTTGCGAAAGTCAAGCAAAAGTTCTTATGTACATATGAATATGCGTATACTTATTTATGTATTTATGTTTTCATCTCATCTTATTAGGTTTGTTTAAAAGAAATTTAAAAATATACGAAAATTTTATAATACAATAAGCAATAACTATAAGTTATTATAAAGAGCAAATTTACAAGATTGTTTTTCCTATTTACTTTTGAATAATGGTATGTACATAGATAATTCTTTTTAAGTAGAACACAGCTACATAATTATGTGTACATTTATTGCAAAGAAATCAATTGATGCGAATAATTTGATTCTATAAAAAAGGGCACTATTATCAATATCACAAAAATAAAGAAAAATAATCAAAATTTACTTTTCCTTAATCACATACCATTATCATTTTTTCACCTTTCTCATTAAATTTTTGAATCAGCTGAAGTTTCTGCTAACATTTTCAGATATTATAGCATACAACTTTCATTAGATTCTCTTTTCCCATCGGTTTAATTCAAAAAGTAACAAGGCACGTTTTTTAAAAGTTTCACATAGTTCGCACAGATTTTATCTGGTTTATAAAAGGAAATACTGTATTCACTGTTAAAAATAAGGGTAAACATATTTAAATTGGCAAATGAAAGACATTCACTTTTGTAATCCCAAAAAATAACTGCTAAGCTTTTCCCTTCTTATACTCGCGTTTCGTTTATGATCGTTAATAATGAGATTCAATTCTAGGAATTCAATTCTTGTTTACTTTCAATAAAGCAGTATAGCTACGGACCTATCATTTACGCCAAGTGTTTCTTTTACATACTCATATTTTTCGCCAATTTATTTTAAAATAAAAAGTGTTATTTTATTTTATTAAAAATAAAAAGTGTTATATTTTGAGTAGACGAATATCGATACTTGCTTTAATACGTTTAAAATTGATAGTATCGTTGTTCCATATCTCGAAGATTTCAGTAAGATTTAAAAATAATTTCTTTGTTGGCAAAAGTTCTTGCATTGCAATCTGCATTTGTTTAAGCAAGTCGTTTATATTTTCCAAGTGGAATATCCTTTGATTTTTATGTAGAAATATATCTAAGCTCTATTCTGTGTCCAATCTTCTTTATTTGCTACTCTTTTCCGACAATTTTTCTGATTTTTCATTCCATTTTTCCTGGCCACAATATTAATTTCAAATCCACCGTCCATTTGAAAATTTCTTCATTTTCCATTTTATTTTATTCGGCTTTAAAATCACTCTCAAATACATTTCCCACAATTTTACGTTTCCGCAAAAGTAACAAACGAGTGATCCAAGACAATGAAAAAAAATTTTTAAGATAAAACGGTTCAATTTAAAAAAAATTCATATATGTATGTATGTATTTTAAACGTTTCAGTCGGTATAAACCGACCGATGCACTTTAGCAATCTGGGATTAAAATTTGTTTTTGAGATATCTGGAATTAGCTCTCATTGTTGTAATTCAAATATTCGATCCTGACAAACCACTCTATAGAAATTGTATAGTTATGTCTGACCTATATTGGACACACAACAGCCAAGTTTCATGAATCTTTCTTTATTATTTTTCCAAATATTTAAAATTAGCTGTTGGAGTTATAGGCAACCACCAGAACCTGTCAAGCCAATCTACCAAAACTTCAGGGATATATGTGACCAACAATTGGACACATGACTGCCAAGTTTCATGAATCTAGCTTTATTATTATAATGGACTGGCAGCTACCCGAATCAGTGCAGCCATTCCATTAAAACCATATGCATAGTGTAATTGGACACATCTTTGCAAAATTTGGTATTAATATCTTTATTAGTTTTTGAAATATTTAAAAAAAGCGACTTGACTTTTTTGGCAGTTACACGAACCCGTTGTACGAATTGGTCCAATTACAATAGCAGCCGTCGTTTGCACAAAAGAAACAACTTCTGAAAGTTTGTTGCCGATTTTGTTATTTGTTTTTGAGTTATCGTGCGATCGGACGGACAGACAGAATCATCGCAGAATTTTACGCTGAGCAAGAATATATATGTATATAAGTCTATACCGAAGACTACTCCTTCAAATAATTAAAAACTACGCACCAAAGTGAATATACACTTCACAAAGGTGCAGGGTATAAAAAAGTATCAGCAAGAGCATAAAATACATCCCTGTGAAAGTTTGCTTACCGTTAACAAAAGTAATTCAAGTCAAAATAACACACTTTAAATTTTTTGGCATCACAACTTCTCTCTAAGAGCTTTTAATCAAAACTGAAAATAATTTGTTTTTGATGATTCCCAAATAGAGTTATAAATTTGCTATAACTACTTAAACTGCAATATTGGGGAAAATAATTAAGCTATATATAATACGTCTTTTTGGAATTAGAAATGTTAATATTTGTAATTATTTGAAGTCAGGTATATTTTGCAGTTCATGTTATGGAAATGGCAATTTTCGGGTTAAAACAGTTTAATCATGGCCGTGCGATATGAAAATGATTAAAAGCCGTGTTTGCACGACGACTAATATCATTGGTTGGCATGGGTTTCATTCGCTTTGCGCAAAAGTTGTAGAAAAAGAAAATGAAAAACATGTCAATAATTTTTAACATAAAAGCCGTGTTGTAAACTCAGGTATATATGATGAAAGGTGTATGAAAGTATAATGAATTTACATAAAAAATCATTTGATTTATAATTTATGTTTATTTCCAGCTATTCGTGAAGAGTACATAGTTTTATACAATAACACACACTATCAAAGCTTCAATTTGAACGAAATTCATTTAGAGGTAGAGTATTATGAATTTATTTACGGTAGGCAAGCATTGCTATCAGAACAAATTTGTTTCTTTAAATTTTAAACAGCAATTAAATTGCTCTTCTAGCGGTTTAAGTAAGTAATACAAGTTAAAACTAAAGCCTTTGTTTTTGTTTTACCATGTACTTACTAAAACCACTATATTTCCAATTACCAGTAGTTACGAAACACTCACTCAGTCATTCAATACTGGTAATAAACTTCAAAAATTCCAAAAAAAAAAAAAATCTGTTATAATTTAATTCATTTCTGGAAAGGAAAAAAACTCGTTAAATTTAGCAACTAAATCATCAAAATGGCATTACTGTATGCAAGTACATTCTCATTTAGATCTTTCTGACTACGAAGTTTTGACATTTTTTGACACTAAAGTATGTAAATATTTTATATATCGCACGTAGTACGTAATATATGTAAGTGAATTATGTCGTGCTAAAAATATTATGTCAAAGTAATAATTATATACGTACATACATATGTATATTATTTGTTACATGCATTAAAAATCAGGAGGAAAGCACTTCGTAATAGTAAACTTATAAAACAATATTTATTTAAAAAAGAAACTTATAGAGAAATGGCTGCACTTTTAGTCAAACCAAGAGCATCAGAAGTTCTAACGGCTTATTTAAAACAATGTAACGAACCACCATGGACATCATATTTTGTTAAAGTAAAATATGCAGATAAAAAATGATAAATTATATAAAAAATTGGATTGCAGCAAGCAGATGTGGTTAATGACCAATTCGGTAAATCACATTTTAATTGGCCTTTAGATACCGGAGCGAATTATCATATTTTAAGGACCGGTTGTTTTCCATATCTAAAATATCACTGTACAAAAAGGCCTCACCAAAATTTAGATATTGAAAATTTATTTTTTGGACTGCTAAAAGTTCTTAATCTTGGTAAGTTTGATATTAAAAATTTAGAACTTTAATTTTATATAAAATTTTCAAGGAATTCCAACTTTTTTTTATGGATTATCTGCAACAGCATTGATATCACACACTGAGTATGTCATTTTGAAAAATAAAACAATTCCTATATATTTTTTATATGAAGAAGATAAAGGATCATTTCATTAATAACAATGTATAAAAGTTGAAAAAATTAAATAAAACGCTAGTTGAAAAAGTGTTTTTCTTTTTTCACTTTGTACAAATTATTGGAAAAGGATTTTCTACAAAATGACAAAATAGTTATTTAATTTGGATTATGGGAGTTGCGAGATAGAAGAAAACCAACCAAAAATCTAAATAGAAAATTAAGTTTTTTGTAATGTTCTTTTAAAAGTTTATATAACAGTTGAAATTAAGTTTTACAAGGTTTAACATTTTCACACAATTCGTCAAAATTATCAATTATCAAATTCTTCAACACTTTACTAAATTCTGTTAGCGAACAAGGCGTATCACAATGTGGTATGCTTATTTCCTTCGGAAATTTATCTTCACTGTTGAAATAGTAAACCAACTGAAATATGGAAAAATTTACTCACATTTTATCCATTTATTCAAAATCATATTATCTTACTTTTACTTCAAAGTCATCTCTGAAATATACACTGTGATGTAATTCGAATACTAAGGCAGAGGCATACTCTGGTTTTCTGGATGTTTGATCCAAAATATTTAAAGAATTCATTACGTTAACCATTGTCACATCGTGGCCGGAATATAAAAACACTTTTCGATCTTGATTCAAAATTTTTTTTCTTTTATTGATCATTTGATTATGCACTTCCGTTATAAAGGCACCTCCTTTAACTTTTTTCATCAACGGAGTTTCCGTAAATAATGCGTAACTTCTTTCAGCTAATGGAAGCATTTTTTCAGGAAATATGTTCTCAGTCCAATCGGGCAACTCCAAACCATGATCTCTTTCTACCTCCAAAATATTATACAACAGCTCAACATGCAACACGTTTGATATATTCTTAAAGAAAAATAAAAAAAATTTTCTATATTTTAAAAATTTACAGTGTGTATGTGATTATGTAATTACTTGTCCGGTATATTTTGATAATTTTTCATAAAGTTCTTTATTTTCTCTATTCAATGCTTCCAAATCGGGGGGCGGACTGGAATACAGTTTTTTCAGTATTTCATCATACCTTTTGCAAGGTTTCTTTTGTGCTAATATCTGAAATGAACGATATGTTTTGATTTCGAATCATTTTAGTTTTATTTTAGTTATATCCTTAATTACTTTCATTATTTGTAACTAAAAATAAATTTTGTGATAATTATTAGGTCACATTCTTTTTATATGTAGTAAAAGCAAGAAATAATCATGATACATATTGACGATCAATCAAAAAACCACTAAATTAAAAAAAAAATTTGTTTCAAATGCTAAATAATAGCGAGGCATGTACATATATACTCTAATTTTTTTAATCGCGCTAATTTGATTAATTTAATTATTATAATATTATTAACTTAATTATTAACCAAAATATTAAACATACAGCATCATCTAATCTTGCTGTTAAATTTATCGCAATAGGCTGCCAAGGAATTGGTAAAATATTTTGATGTTCTAGTGGTGGTAAAAATCCAGCCAATAAACTTTGCGCACTCATTAGGCATCTTTCAGCTGCACTGCTATGAACATACATTTCTTGTTTTGAATACAAGCTATTTTTTGGCAACAGTCTATAATAACGTAATTTTAAGTTTTTACCCAAATTGTACATTTGTAATGATCCTTTCTAAAAAAAGATGCAAAGTAAAAATAATAACAAAAAACGGGGTAAAATATAAAAAATATATATTACTTGAGTTAAAGCACCTAATCCACCTGGCCATTCATAGCTACTATGAGGATCTTTTGGATAAAGCTCAGTTGGTGTACGATCACCATGCCTAAAAAGCTATATATGAAATTTACTGATTAAAAATTTGAATATTTTACGAAATTTTATCTTTACAATTGAAACCATTCGCAAATTTCTTAAACCTTCTTGATCATTTGTATCACCAAATACCATATACGCTAACATGACCATAAATAAAGCGCCTCCAAGTAAAAATACGGAAATTTTCGTAGTTTTGCTACTACATTCTAAATTCATCTTTAGTTATACTAAATAAATAAGTACGTATATCTAGAAATAATCACAAAATCATATATATGTATGTAGGTAGATAAATTATCAAAGTATACTTACCTTGTAAAACTTTTACAAAATTATGTTTTTAGCTAAAAATAGAAAATAAAAACTTCGTGAACCAATTTTCAATAAAAATTTTATGCACTTTGTCAAATATGAATTTCTATATTTATTTATGTAGGTAATGTATGTAGATATATATCTAGTAGATAAACCAAGTTATCTAAACTTAAAGTACAGATTTAAGTACACAATATTTTATTAAATATTTAACTTATTTAATGACAATTTCCAACATTTTACTACAATATTCTTTCAATTGTTTATTATACAAATATCTTTTGTTTGATATCTGCAGTCTATTATTTTCTACTATTTCCAGTAGTGGGATCTGAAATTTGTCCTATAAAAATGTTGATGCAAACAATAATATGTCAAAATTGCGACTGAAAATCTATTTTTTTGTTTTATTTTCTCTTTTTTATTAGTGTGCTATGTATATGTACATATTATGTAGATATTTTCCAATCAGAGCTTCTTAATTAACTTTTTTTAGACAATATTAAAAAATTAACATTGATCGTGTCATGAGTATGAAAATTCACCAAATTGTGGTTACAGTCGAATCCGTGTATAAAAAACTTGCATGAAAACAAAACTGTTGCAAATAAAATGTTTCATCTATTTTTATAACTAAAATAGATGAAACATTTTATTTGCAACAGTTGATAGATTAATTGTAAAAGCTTCAAAAAAGGGTCGCCTCTTCGTTACTTGCTTCTTTTTTTTGTTCCCATTAATTTTTTCAAATAATTTGATAGCGTGTTAAATTCGAAAACGTTTTGTAAAAATTTACGTAATTTTTTTTGCAAAACTATCGTCGTTTATATTAAAACCAAACAATTTGAGTTTAATTTCAAAGTTTGCAAAGATTTATTTGTGTTATTTCCTCATTTTATCACTGATCTTGCTTTCATTTGCTAAACTTTTTAGATAAAAACAGAACATGAGAAATTTTCCGCAGCGAAATGTCATTTTGACATAACAGGATACTTATTGTTATTTATAGTATTTAAATGTATATACTACATGTTATAAAAATGTGACTATCTAAAATAAAACGAAACTTCCGCCGAGAATTTAGTCGACGGCTGTAAAACAGCTAAAATCATAATTATGATTTTTTTACGTCATCTGTTTCCATGTGTGTATGACATTATATGCACAATACTGAAACGTTGATTTTGCAGCATCGCTGTTTTTCTGTGGTATTAATGGAAATCATTCTCCGTTTTTATTGCCTTAATGAATTTTGCTAGTTCTCCGCTAGTAGTACGAAAATTTAAAAAAAATTTTATAAAAAAAAACATTTTCGTCTTCGCTTGATTTTATTCGCATATAAGAAACTAAAAGCTCAAAAAGCTGAAAACTATATAGCGTAGGGCCTTCCTCATGCTCCGAAAGTAGCTTTTTGGTACTTTTTGTTCTCGTGTGCGACGTTGCTCCGCTATTCAATTAAAAGCTTAGATACAAAAGTTATGAATGCAAACAGTTTCTGTTTAATAATCAGGTAAGTACATATTCGTGTTTTACATAAATTAAATATAAATTGGTCATCCTTAAAAAATAAATTACAAAAAATCCCGCAATAAATTAAGAATAATGAGTAGTAGAGTACTTTATAATATTAAAATATCATACTCCTTCGTCAAGCTTGAAAGCTGGTTTATCTTATTTTAATAGTAGGTCTAGCGAGTATCACAATTCACAACCAGTTGCATATAATGTATAACGCAAAATTTAAAAAAATTGTGGCAAGAAAATCAATTCAATTTTGTAATACTGTAATACAAAAAATATTATTTGTGAATATTGAAAACGCTAATTAATTGTGTTTGCTAAAATTGTCTCTGAATCGAGATACATACAGATATACTTATGTTTATACATATGTAGGAAGAAAATTGAATTGCTGAATGCAGATTAGAAATTGTGTATAAATTTCATAATATTAATATATTAAAAATTTTAATATTAGTATATTAAAAGTGAGGTGATATTAATAATTTAACAGTAAAGCACATATAAATACGTGCCCTTATGAATAATTATTATAGAATTTGTGAATACCAGAACACGAAATCATCATCAACCATTGCCGTATGCCAATATTGATAGCTAGTTAGATGCATTAGTACTTTTAGCTTAGAACAGTATTTTAGCTTAGATATGTACTTATACTTGTACGCCTTAAATATGCGTATGCAGTTGTGAGAAATACGTGGAGTAAGGCATGATAACCAGTCTTATAAATATCTTATCAGCTTATAAATATCTAAATTTCAATATAATCAAATCAACTTATAAATTTCGAATATAAACGCAGTACGTCGTATATTTATTAAGCTTATAAAAATGAGTATATGCATGCATCTATACATACATACATACATATGTATATTTACGCTGATAAAGAATTCTTCAAGCTATAAAAATATTATCTAAGTTTAAGCACTTGAAAATTAAAAAAGATTTTTGGCTGAAGTGATTTTAATATAAAATTTATTTACTTCAGATATCGCATGTATAGGTAGCTACAGAAGATAATTTATATCGCTAAATAGTTAAGTTTAAAATCTTAAAATTTATTAGAAGCCTATAACTTAATTTTATTTTTAATATACAAACTTACTACATTGATAATTCTTTTAAAATTGATTTATTGATAGCAAAAAGAAATTTGAATTAATGTATGTAGATCTTTTGTATTTCATTTGTCTTCTTAGTTATATTATAGTTTATTGTATAATTATTTCAAAAAATTATATTAAAAGAGATTTTAACAAAAAGATTTATTGCGATAGAAAAGGCAATGGAAAAGGCAGTAGATCTTTTTGTTAAAAATTGTGATCTACTGCCATTTGGAGAAATTTTAAGAAGTTGAGGAATTTCAACAAAAGAGGCGCATTAAATGATTTTGATAACATTCTAATAAACTAAAAGGGTCAAACAAAAAATGTCCTGCAACATAAGAGAACAGGAATGGTAGAAAGAGAAAAATTATTCAAATTTGGATAATATACATATATATATATATATATATAAGTACGTATACGTATGTATATACTATATATGTAACATTAAAGGGAATTCTTGTTTCTTCCTGTTCTTGGTTCTTCCTTGCACCATTTCAAGTGTAAAAAGAGTGCATTTGTTTATTTATTTGCTTCTATGCTATAAGGATTATAGCCTAATTTATATATCGTTATTGTTTATTATGTGCTGGTATACGTATACAGCTAAATTTATTTAATTAAAACAATTTTTCGCTTATATAACAAATAACTTGTAATTTATTAGTATTATAAATTAAAGTGGATTTATTTTCTACTCTTAAAATGATTTCCGTCTCGTTTTTGTAAACAAGTTGGCATGGTTTTCTTAATTTAATACAATCTACAGATAAGCCTTTCTTCAAGATGAAGTCCAAAGGCATTTTGTGATACCCCAAGATTATTCAAATAAAACTAATTGTATATCTTCTTTATAGGGTTACTGTTCCACCTTGGGGGAATTGTCAAAACTTGTAACTTGGTATCGTAACCTGATCGTCATCCCAAAAACATGTTTTAATTCATAAGTTACTACCTTTTTCTTTGTTTTATCTTTCAACATTTTACAAGAAAATAAAAGATCCTCCATTTAAAACCTATTGATATCAATCTTTACCCGTCTCATATGCGTCTTTTCGTCTTTTATTCAATCCCTAATTTTTACTGGAATTTCTTTTTCAAATAGTACTATGTAATTCCCTTTCTTCATCATTTTCAATATATTTTTGACGATTTTTTAGTATATTTCTCCGGCAAAAATATACACTCCAACATAATAAAGGTAAAGAAATTAAACCAAGTGGCATACTAAATAACATTAAAAACATAATTGGATCAGAACTTTCTTTTTCCATTATTTCATTATCCGAATACACTTTTAAATATGTTTCTTTTATATTAAGTCCTTGATAGTTCACAGCGACACAAGCATAGAAACCTTCGTCTTCAAATTTAATATCATTTAATATTAATTTACTTAAATATATATTTTCAGAAATGATTTTCTCTCCATCCGTATCCATAAGTTCATATAATTTTTCAAAATATTTAAATATTCTATGATTTATTTGACGTAAATTTATTGAATTATTTATATCTCTTCTATTTATGTATGAGTAATTGTCATTTCTTTTTAGACTTTTAAACCACTTGATTTTTGGTGGAACTTTACTATTAACACGACATTGAAGTACAGTTTGATCACCAACTAATGCAGTTTCATTTTTTGGAGGAAAATTTTCAGAAAATTCTGGCGGCAATACAGTATAATCTAAAAAATAATCAAAATTAATTTTTTTATTCAAATTATTACATACATACATGTATGAAGTGAGTACGTTTCTTATACATATTTAATAAAACAAAATTAATTTAAATAAATTTGAAATATAAATATTTAATCAGATATTATAATTACTTTTTACATTTAAACGAAATCTCTTCACTAGTCTAATATTTAAAAATCTTATTTCGTCTAATTTATATGGGAACATTGTACACTTATATATTCCAGTATCACTTTCTGTTAAATTTTCTAAATAAAGAATTCTGCATGGTGTTGTACTACATTGAATCGTTTTCCAATTAGTATCACTATAATAGTCTGCACAAGATTTTGTATCGAAATCAGGTTCGCAAGGCTGAAAATATTTAAGAAATTTATTTTTTAAATATTTTATAAATTTTAAAAGGACTTTAAATGGAATTGTTTTGTACTTAATTTTATTTATTTTTTTCATATATCGTATTCGAAAACATGATTTTAAAACATAATTTAAATAGTGTAAAATTCGCAATTTTTTAATTTACCATAATCTATGATTTTAAACTTTACAAAATTTTATAACTTATTACACGATACGATTCGCATAAATGAAATGATACTGCTCCTTTTATTAGTATTCTATGTGACTATGTGTGGGTTTTCGATAATTTAGACATATAAACTGAAAGTTCTAAATTAAATCATAAAAGTCTTTTAAGAAATATATACTCAGAAATCCGCAGAAATTAAATATTTTATTTTGCAATATCAAAATCACATTTTTCTATTAAGCTCTTCTTCTAATTTATCGTATAAGATTTTCGCAGTAGTTATAAAAAACTTAAAAATTCTTTTAAAACTTTAAGCGGGACTGTTATTTTCAAAGATACTATTTTTGATGATTTTGCGGTTAGATTTATCGAACGTGCTTTATATTAAGACCAAAGTTGGAACTGAATTATCGAAAATCTCCAACTTACCAAATTCATATTTCAACATTTTAGATTCAATAAGCGGTATAATCTTCCTTTTGTTTTACACTTTATACATTTGTAATGAATTGTGTAGAGCAAACAACATTTTCGAATTTTTCTTAAATAATTTTGAAATTTAAAAAATGTGTGTAAGAGGTTGTTCCTCATAAGCTTTTAATATGTTACAGAACAAATTGCTATTGTAAAATTTGTGTTAACTTACATAATAATAAAAATATAGCTTACTTTAAAATACCATTTGATTTCAGTTCCAGTGATTGAGTCACCATTATGAATTTTTAATTCACATTTGAATTTAATATTATCACCAATTTGTTGTTGTTTGATTTCATGTTTCTCTGCATTAAATATTTGGAAATATTCTAGTATATTAATAGAAACAAAAGAATATAATATATTTATATATGAATATATAATTAAATTATAATTTACTAAATTTAATATATAAATTTCTTAAATTTTACTATTTAAAAACTTAAGTATATGAAAAATACCTCGTTCTTTTGCGTGAACCCATAATATATTTTGATATAAAACTCCAATTAAAATAATTTGAAATGGACCGTTCTTCATGATTATCGAAATGAATCTGAATATTATCAACCTGAAATATATAATATTTTTTATTTTATTTTATACTTTATAGAGAAAAATTGAAAAAAAATATTTCATTTACTTAAAGTTAGTTTTGTTTACGCAAAGTGTTTCAAAAAGAAAGAAGTATGAAGCAAGCAAAAAAAATTAATAATTACATTCTATAGAGTAAAGTGTTGTTCTCTGCTTGAATTAATTAATAGCATTAAAGATTAGTTCCACCTTGATATAATTAGATTCAATTTTTTATTTTCTCTTTCTTTTTTCTTTTATATCCTAGATATGTTCCATATTATAGTGAACATATTATTATAAAAACAAATATTTTGATAATTCGATAATGTTTCATATAAACAAGAGCATTTTGAAAAAGAAAATAATTTATTTGATTTGTTTTTTTATATTAAAAATTTTAGAATATTATATGTATGTACATATGTACATATGAATTTTTTTTTTTATTTTTATGAATGAAAATTTTAAGATAATTAATTTTTTTTTTTCCGATATATTTTATTTTGTAAATATAGAAATATTTTGTAGTTGCTAATTAATCTGGTTTTAAGTTGATAACATTTTAATTCACGATATTTATTTTGAAATTTCATAAAATACCTAAACTTATCGAATCTGGTACCGGATATATACAGCCGTTTCCCAGTGTATCAAATACGTGTAACTGACTTTAATTATGAGTTCCAACGCAACATGACGAAGGCCTTATAAGTTCGAAAATGCTTTGCCAAAGCAACTGGTTATTATTTTTTTTTTTGCTTTTCTTTAAAGATTAATAAGTGATTTTTAAATGTGAAATGAAAAATGAGTAACCAAGGAAATATTTTAATTTTGAAATTTTAAATTTTCCGCGTGATTGAAATATTTTTCTAAACGTAGATTGCGAAAATTGCTTAATTGCATTATTAAGCAATTATTTATTTGCAATGAGTTTCATTTGCAAAATCAAGCGAATGACGTGATTAACATGACCGTCAAGTCTTTGACATACTGGGGAACGGCTATGCTATGTATAGTTACATGTAATGCAGTAAAATTTTCTAGAACATAATCTATCATCTGACGCACAGAAACAACTCTTAGTTAAAAACAAAACGGTAGTTGCGATAAGATTTATCTGAATATTAACAATATAAATCATATCCTTCACTATAGCTCAAATGCTATTTGTGTATTAATTCTGCTAAAATTGCTACTTTGTAAAAGGTTTTCAATGAAGATTCTATATAACTACCAAAAAAACTCATAAGAGCATTTTTGATGTAAATTTTAATTTAAAATTTCACCCGACTTCTATTTTAAAGAAACTTAAATGATAATTATTTATGTTAGAACTATATAAAAAATTTTTCGAGCTACCTTTGTATAATGTATGCCACAATATAATTTTTATAATTTTTCTCATTTTCAAATATTGCCTCTACATTATATGTACATATGTACTTAATCAGGTGTTGAATATATTATAAATTATAATTGTTTATATAAAATAGAAAGATTGAAGTATCTATAAATTTAAACTTATGATTCAAATATAATAATATGAAAATGAAATAAAATGTTTATTAGATATTTTGAATAAATAATCGAAATCATGTGTTAATTTATTTGTTTGAAAAGAATTTTAGTTCTCTATAGCTACATATAAAGTTAAGTAAATAAAATAATAAAAATCGATATACAGAGTAGAGCGGCAATTGAAAAGAAAAGAAAAACAAAAAAAATAAAATAAATTTAATTTTCTTCTTATTTTTTATTATTAATTACAATATTGAAATTTCATAATATTATTAATGTTTTTCAATTTAATTTAAATAAGAACATAAGGTATAAGAAAATTTTTTTAGTGGACCGAACCAAGCAGAAAAAACTAAAATACGAGTATTTTATCATAAAAACCATTTTCTCCAATATTTTACTCAATTTTAGTTAAGCGCATCTCTGCGTTGTTTACAATATGTGTGAAATATAATTTAAAATAATATAGTGTGCAAGTACATTGCAATGCAATCGCTAATTCTTAATGGGTCTTGCTTTTGTAATAAAATAAAATATATTTAAAAAATAAAACAATTTTTCGGTAAAACAATAGCAAATATTAGATACTTTATTAAATTTTGCATTTTTACCATCAAATACGATCATTGGTTCTTATTTTTGTTCTTATCCTAAATTTATGCAATAATTTTAATGTAATATTGAAGATATTGGGAAATTTTTATATTTTAATGAGAATAATTTGAAAAAAAGGACTTTTTTAAAAAAGTTTTTTTTTTCACTTTAAATGTACCACTGTCCACTCCACCAAAACGGTAGTTTAATCCAAATATATATTATTTTAAGAACGTCAATAATATTTTAAAAAAGAGAAGTGCATTTTTCTGATTTAAAATTTACTATCATGAAAGCATTTTTTTCCTTTCTTACAAAAGTAATTATTTCAATAGTTCAAAAATTATATTAATATTATTATATTATTAATATTAAAGATTGCATCTGGGTGCAAATTAAAAAATGTCAAAACCACACTAATATGTACCTCAAAATTAACGATTGTCTCATTTCGTTTATTTTTCGATTTTTAATGAATATGTCGAGCGCTATCAAGCAGTTTTATTAGCAAAGATACAAACAAAGTAAGAAATTGTGTACGAGTATATTAAGTCAATGAAGTAAAGGAGATCAATGTTAATTAGAGTTTAAATAAATTATCTAATTACGATTGTATTACAATTTTTTACACTTTTTACTTCCAAAATCTTATACTTTTTAATAACTATATGCAAAAGCATTATTCTTTTTTAAAACTAATTGAATTTATAAAAATATTTTCAATACATAAAAACAATATATATATATGTAAATAAATATGTTTGTAAATTCACAATGTGAAATCCAAATTTCTTTTATATAAAATTTGAATTATAAAGTTTGATTTAAATTTTTGTTTCAATTTAACAAATCGAATAACAACAAATTTGAGTTGGTAAAAAATTACGAAACTTTATTACATATTACACTTACATATTATATACATATATTTTTTAAAATAAAGATATTTATTTATTTTATATTCGAAACTGTTTTTATAATGCTCGACCGCAAGTTCAATAATTATTCATAAAATAATTGTTATATAGACTTTGTGTATATTTTATAATCAAATAATCTTTATATTATACTTTGTATATATAAATATGTACGTACATTAATTATATTATATTTTTGATTGTATATGTATACAACAATGTTGCACAATTATTATTTAATTAAAATATTTTTTACTTATAAAAAATTATTTTATTCTTTTTGATTAAAAATAATTTGGTATAATAATAATGAAAACTATTAATAAATTAGTTTTATATATTTATGAATAATATAGGTGTAGTTAATAAAATTTTATCATTTTATTTTTAAGAAATTAATTAATAATATCTTTATATATTTAAATTTATACATATATATTTTAACAGACGTTTATTTTAACGTCAGATCACCTTTTGAAATTAACACTATTGTCAATATAAAAATTGTAAACCGAACCGAAACTTTGTTTGTTATCTATTCATTAAAATAAATAAATCTAATAAAATATTTTATGATATCGGAACTTTAACTATACTGCTACCGAGGGAAATTGTTTTACATAGGTATTACGGATTATATCACATTTTTTTATCTTCTTACATTTATTTGTTTTTTTTTTCGTTTTTAAGTGGGTTCAATAAGTTTCCAATCGAAATGTCGAAATTACTTTTTTTTTAATTTTTTCATAACACATTGACAACATTTTATTAAGAAAAAAATATTTTAAAATTATAACCTCAATCAATTCGAATCGTAAACAATCTGAGGGAGACTCAATTCAAATCACAAAAATATTTGAAATACAGGATAATTCATAAAGGTATACAACAATATATATGCACCATTGATTAGAAAATTTAAAATGGGTAAAATTTTTTTCCGGAGAGATTGCTAAATCTCTACGGTTTCTAAAATACAGGAATTTTGAAAAAATTTACAAAAATTTTAACTTCGGAAGATAGAAGCTTCTAACAAACAGGAAGTTTTTGAAAATGTCTAATAGAGGATTGATTTTTTAGTTTTTGTTTTACTTTTTTAGCTGCGAAAATTTCTTATGAAGTTTCCTGAAACTTCAAATAAATTTTTTACATAATTTTCGCTTCTACCTAAAAATTACACATTACTTTACAATTAAAATTGAAATCAAACAATATTATTAATTCTAATTAAATCGAATTAAATGATTTCGAAAAATTTATTAAGAATATTTTCATTGTGTCCAAATTCTTCCATGTATAAAACATTATTATCATTAGCTACTGATAACATATAGTTTGAAATGAAAAAAAAAATTTTGTTTTAGCTATACACATACAAGATAAGCTTGTAAAAATCAAATATACATTTATTTATTTATATAGTGGACTGATAAGATATCAGAATATTTTATATATGTATGTATATATTTTAAAAATATTATTTATGACAAATTACGCTAAAAATAATTGTATAAAATAAATAATAGTCACAAATAATTAACAATAAAAATAACAATAATAATAATAATAAAATTGCTACTGAATCAAAAAATCAAAAATTTTTATGAGCAATAATATTAATAAATATATTTTTTGTTATAATATTGGAACCGTGCCATTCATTCTGTTTTCTTTTTGTATTTTTATAATCATGTAAGATTAGATTTAATTTTAAATTTTATCTTCTGTTAGAAGACAAAATTTTCTTATTTAAAACGTTTGTTCTTAAAAATCGAAACTTTAATTGGTATTGGTAAAATTGTACTTAACCAAAATCACTTTTGTTTTTCATTGTATTTTATTACTTTGTAAGTTTTATAATTGTACATTAAAACTTTTCAATACATAAGAAGTTACTCATATAATACTGCCGAGTTGCATATAGGTACATAAATTTTCTTTTTTAAATATTAATTTTTCTGCTTATATCGTTATTGACTAATAACAAATTCACAAAAACTTTTAATCAATACGCGTCCTAAATTTAAATTATAAACCTGATTGATACTCTTATTTTCATTAAGCTCATTACTTTGTTTTACCCTGAGGTTACCTTACTGAAATTCGATATGACACTCATACATTTCTTGTATAGTTTCTTTCTCTAGCCGTAAAATTTGTTAACCAAATAAAAAAGCAATTTATTGTTCCATGATGTAACTTTTAAGTATTCTAAATTCTGAAGAAAAAAAGCCTCCAGTTAGTAATCACTGATTTAAACGACTTTCAGTCTTTTGTAATTCTCGTACCTAATAGTTATTTAATTTGTGAGAGTAATCCTTGTTTTCTTTGTACGAACTACATTATATTAAAAATCATTATCTCTTCATACTTACATAATATGTACAATATATTCGATTGAATTTTTCGTAGCTGATATCCAATAGTGTGTAACATATTTTTCAATTTTTTTTTATTGATTTAAATTTCTTTTAATTTTGCTAGGACAGTTCTGTGATATTCATAGCATCTAGAAACTGTTAAAAATTAGTAAAAGTAATATATATGTATGTGTGTCTATATAATAAACAAATTGATATGATTCCAATGTAAATACGTATTCGTTTATTCTTACATTTCCTTAGGTTTACTTAATATCAAATAACTATTAAACAAACTTTTATGTACATATTTAAGCAGCACAAAAGTATATACATAAATTGTATTGGTAGTAAATTTCTATATAACAAAATTTTCCCCATAGAATGTTATTTTTAGTGCATGCAAAATAAATTTACATATTTTAAATTTAAATACCCGATATGTGTATGTAATACTTCCTAAATCTAAATTTTAATGAAACTACTTATGTTTAAGTAAATCAATTTCAGAAACACTTTCAGTTAATAAATCTAATAATATTTCAACTTTAACTTGATTAATATTATTTTCTTCTTCGATATGTTTTAATTTCTTATTTAGTTTTTGAATATCATCCAAATCATTCTTTTTATTTAAATATATCCACATTCCGTCAATAAACTTCAATTCCTTATTATTTAAATTTAGGGTGATATCCTTAAAATCATTTAAATCTTCAGTTATAGGTGGACATCCAATATTACATCTCTGTGTTCGAGGAGGAATCGGTTTTATTTCAAACTTTCGATTAAATAATGGCATAATTGAATAATGTTTTTTAATAATTTCTAAATAACCATGTATAATAATTATATGTCAATATATAATTATATCTCAATATATGTATAATAATTATGGAAATAAGTGTGTATGTTAGTATGTATAAATAATTTACGATAACATTAAATAATAATTATTTCAATTATACAACAATTTTAATTATATTTGGTTGCAAGTATGATTGAGGATTTATTTTAATTGTCATAAATATCCAAACAACAGTAAAACCATGGATACAAAAAGATTCAAACAAATCAACCACATTTCAAATTACTAGGAGTTGTCATACTCCAAATAATGTAAGTATATAAGTATTATAGGTACTGCTCTTTAATTCGTCTACATTTTCTTAGTTGATGCCAAAAAAAATTTTAGACTAAAAATTAAGAAAAAATGAAATATATTAAAAATATTGTTTCTTAATATGACAGACAGTTGTACTCAAACTGAAGAAGATTTCCGGTATTAAAATTCTTATGTAATCTGAAAATAAAAAAATTATTGTCATTAAATATTTTTAAACTTCCTTACCAACTTTTGCTGGTCTAAATATTTAATAATTCAAGAAAAACTTTTAATTTTTGAAAATTTTTAATTCTTTTAAATTTTATAAAAATTAAAAATTATTGATTGGTTTTTTTATTATAACATAAAAATATTTTGTAGATATTTTTCCAGAATAAATGAAAATTGTGAAAAATTGCTAAGGACAACAGAACAAGAATTATACATGTATAGAGTAAATTTAATTTTATATTTACACAAAATATTTATAAATTTGTGCTACTTATTTCATGTACATGTGCATTCGTATCTAAATTACCATATAATTACAGAATGATAAAATTAAATTGAAGGAGGAAATTATAAAAATTCTAGAGGAAAATAACGCTGTACATTCAAAAATAAATACATTAGCAAATTCAGATATTATTGAGAGTTCTAAAGCAGCAGAAGAAAATGAAAAATTAACAAATGATGCGATATCGAAATTAAAAGGACAAATTGGTGTCTTGAGAGAGGTCCATATTTAAAGAAAATATTTTTGAGCTTGAATTTATAATATGCATGTGTACCTATAATACCTATTTTATAACTTCGAAAAACTATTTAGAACAGAATTTTTTTAAAAGTTCTTTTGAAATATTGATTAGTATATTGTTTTCCAATTGATAAATCTAATTCTAAGTTTAATCTTATTCTTAGTCGTGCTGAATTTTTTTGTAAACCTTATGGTGATGCTAGTCAGTAAAGTTATTATCAATATGGTTAACACATAAATGAACACTTCATTATACATTTTGTTTTTACTTATTATTAAGCATTAGATCTAGTTGATAAATTCATAAATTATAGGTATACGTACGTATATAAGAATATATGAGTATGCACGATATTTTTGTTATTCGTGAGGTGTAGCTACACATTAAAATTTACTTTCAGGAAAGAGATACAATCCAAACGTTGTGGAAAACCTCTCAGGATACAATTTCAAGTTTAGAAAAAGAAATTATTAGTTATCGAAATCAATTATTTAAACCAAATGCTATTACTGAAGTAATTATTATTCAGATTTTAAATCAACTTTTAAAATAATATTTTCAGATTAAACAAAAATATACAAATACAATAGAATTGCTAGAATCCACAATTAAAAATGTAAAAAAAGAATTGGATAAACAAATTAATATTAATAAAGAACTAATAAAAGGAAAAAATTTTATTGAGGCTAGATTAAGAACAACTGAAAATAAACTTTCAGAACGTGAGAAACAATTCGTTGAAGCAAAAAATATTGAAAACAATTACTTATCTGTTAAAGAACAATTAGAAACAATTATGAAATCCAATGAAAATTTGGAAAATTCTTTGTTTGTAGCGAAGAAATTAATTGATGAAAGATTCTTTCGAGAGAAACAGGCGTTGGAAAAAGTCCAGGAAGCTTTATTAATCGCTGAAAATGCTATTTCTGAAAAAGAAGATGCTTTAAAAAGAGAAATCGTTATTCGCGAAGAATGTGATCATTTAGCTTCCACTATAGGACAGGTAATGGAGGAAGCTGCTTTAAAAGTTGACCGAGATGTAAACAAATTGAAAAAATCATATCAAATAAAAATTGACAAACTAAAAGAGGACCAAAAACAAGTGAAAACATTTTCAGGTTCAATTGCTTTTATTAATTAATTTTAAATATTTCAGATATTATCAGCTTTGGAAACTCAGAAAAAAATGACTCAACGTACTGAAATAAGATGCCAAAGCTTAGAAAATAAAATTAAAGAAATCTTATCAGAAAATGTGTCTTTAGAAACTGATGTTCAAGTTGCTTCCCAAGCTATAGTAAAAAAATATATATCTCATTAGGATTTGTTAAAGGATATCGATATTTCCCATTATTCATTTATTTCAGATAGAATTAGAGTTAAAGCTCGCAGCAATTGAAAGCTTAATGGACCATGACAAAAAAATGACAAAGTAAGAAACTTCTTTGTTAGAATACTTTTCAAATAATGAAGAATTCCAATAAAACTAAATATTAAATATTTTTGTATAATTTATAGAGTTTCGGAAGAACGGGAGAAAGAGATTGAGGAATATTTGCGACAAAACCAGCATATAAAAGAAAAGTAACATTTCTAAAAAATATAGGAAAATGTTGAATAATAATTTTTACATTACGTTAAGGTGGAAAAATATAATTGAAGACATTACATCTCAGTTCGAAAAGGAAATTACACTTATGCAGGACGAAAATATTTCCTTAAAAGCTGAAAACGAAGAATTGAAAATAAAATTAATGCAGCTAAACTAGAAATAATATTATAATTTACATTTAAGTTTTTGTTACATACTTTTTTTTATATAATACTCGTATAACATTTTTGAAAAAGTAAAACATGAAAAGTAAACTTTGGATAAATCTAGATAACTTTTTTACCAGGAAAAAGACTAGGAAACCAATAAGATTTTTCACTATCCTGTTCGTCCACCCAACACAAGCCTCCGCCAACTATCTTTTCAAGAGCTTGTTCTGCTCTAAAATTCGTCCATCTATATGTGTATGAAAATTATTTTTATCATTTTAAATGTCATCATAATCAGTTATACCCTAATTCTTTCGTTAGTAAGGAAAGTGTTATGAATCCTTGCTCCGTATTCGAAGCTGCTGTTAAAATTGTCGTTTCTTCTAAACTCAACTCCCCTGGGATTGATTGAACCATATATTTCCCTTTGCCGACAGGGTAAACAACAAAACTATGAATAAAAAAAATCAAATAGAGTAATCGTTTCGATTGACATAATTTACCCGTTTCCAAAAATTTTTAATTTTTTGGCGGCTGTTAAAATATCATCGTTAGTAATTTCCTGATGAATAGCATTTTGTCCTCTAGATGAAACTAGTCTTTTTCTTAATTCGTCTAATTCCATTAATCCACCTACATTAAAATATTAATTTTATTTTAAAAAAAAACTTTAATTTCTTATACCTGTAGCGTGGTTAGCTGCTAAACAAACTTCGACAATTTGAACCCCTAATTCATAGTAGAAATCACCCATTCCAAGCACACTCCAAAAACCTTTGCCTGAAGCCAAAGGATCAACCCCTATAGCAGCACACATTTCTTGAAATTGTCTACGAAATTGTGCATTTTTTCGAATGTCGTTTCTGTGCTTTATGGCAAAATCTTCCAATTTTTCACGAAAAGTCTCCATTTGCTTCGTCATTTTCTCAAATTGGTTTTCCTGTATAACATTTCCCCTATCTTCATATTTCTGTGCTTCTAATTGTTGTTGTTGAATAGCACCTAACCCAGCTCGTCTTCTCATTATATCAAATTTGATAAATTATTATTAAGATTAACCAAATTCTTTGATCTTGATGCTGCAAACATATATTTGCAAATCTGACCAATTTTAAATTTTTTTATCAGTAATAGACAATTTGTTTTTGTTTGAATTGTTTTGTTTATTATTAAAGGTGATTAATAATGACAATAGTTAGTTATTCATCATTGCCAAAAAAGAAACGTCAAAATTAAAGTATGGCCATATCCTGCCATTTGAGAAATAAATTCAACAAATTTTCTCAGAAATATTTTCTAATTCTGTCAGTTACATCAACCCAATTTTGTACTGAAACTACATAATAAATTACACAGGTAGCAAATTACTTTTTGAAGCAAGTGAAATAATAAATAGCCAATCTTTAGATAATTGACACATTATTGTGACGTTTAGTGTTGAGCGGAAACGGAAAACGCAGTATGATAACCATAACATCCGAGCTTTTTAAAAATAATCTGGAAAAAAATTCCCAGAGTCGTTGAAAATAGAAATGTAAGTACAATGTTTGTTAGTAGATTCGAACCAAGAATTTGATATTTCGAAAGATTTTTGAATAAAGATACAAAATAATGAATCTAGGTCATTGTGATCAGGTTTTTTATTCAAAAATTTGCAAAATAAATTTCAATGTCCCAGTTTACTGTTTTTACTTTTTTATTTATATAAAAATGTACAAAGACAAAACGATAAACCGAAAAAATATCGGTTATATGTTTTTTCCTTTACTTGAAACAAAAAGCAGAAAACTTTGAATACTCTACAATAAATGAAAAAAAAAACATACAATTTTTAAAAGTAGGATTTTAGACTATTTTATCGCCGACAGCAAAATTCGTGACGGTAATTTCGCTTCATTCTAGACAGTGTCATTTATTTTTTATGTACATTCTATATGAATTATGACATTTCTCCGCGGATAATCGGCCTTTCTCTGTTTTCAACTAATTTTCGAATTACGAAATTTCAAAGATTCATTTGAACATTACATTTTAAACGGATGTATAATACTGTCCAACCACTTTTCAATTTGCTCTCTCAACACTTTCAAAACAAGCTTCCATCCTTCAGTCCAGTAACAATTAAACTTGCTGAATATTTGCTGTTTTGAACATAGGTCCAATGGAACAGTGCATAGACAGCAAAATATTTTTCTTATAACTCAAAATTCAAATGCATTTTTCAAATTCTAACTTACTTTACATTTAAAATTTTACAATTGAAACTTTAATTTTAATTAGAAAAATGACATTTTCAGAACTTACTTTAAAATAAAATATGTATGACCATTTAAATACTTTTTAAATTTTCGTCTTTTGTTTAAATTAATTGTTGATACATAAGTATATTTCACATACATCGATTATTTAGAAATTTTTGTCGTGTATTTACATATTATGAAATCTAAAGAATGCGCAGAGCAGAGTGTATTGAACGCGTAGGCTGGCATTGCAAATTTTTTTAATTCGACATTAACTTCTATTATTGGTCGCCATATACTAATACTGATGTCAATCGTTGTTTACATACACGGCTTTTATCAAAGTTAGATTAAATTTTAGATTTTGTCGTTTATGTAAACAGTCCCTTATATTTTTAATGAACAACACCTATGTTTACACAACGACTTTCGCACCAATGTTTGACATTCGCACCATTACCCTTGCCAACAAGCTTTGATGATATTAAACTTTGTCTGAATGAAGAGAACAAAAAATTAAGAGTAGCATATCTCTATCAACTAATTTTAAGCTAATTGTTTGATTAATTTTGAGTCATTTTATTTGAGACTACTTCAAATGACTTTAAGTCTTGCGGTCCCTAATTAAAACTTAGGTAACCGAAAAGTAGTTACGTAGACAGTTTATTTTTATTGGCTCTCATGCTAACCTAAGAATATAATACAGCTCCGAAAAAATTGGTCTGCTGTCATGAAATGAAATTTCATAAGACTCCTCTGAAGCTGCGTATGGCAAATGCTCACGAATTTTGCTACATATTACATTCTTCTTTCAGTGCTGCTGTTATACGATCACGCCAAATGTCACTTAATCTCCTTTTGGTTTGACCTATATGTGATTATTATCACATATAGCATGGAATCCTGTATTTCTATAGATGATATGAAAACAGCTGGTCTTTTGGATGCCCGAGTGTCTGGAGAGTTTTAGCAGAGCGACGTAACAATGTTTTATTTAGATATAATGCGTCTTTTTGTCCGACACATTCCTGCCAAAAAAAGACTAAGCTCTTTTCTTTTCTAGCTTAATTGTGTTTTCTTTATTTCGTGCTTGACTTTGTTCAATTCCTTCCTATTCATTCTCTAATACGCTAATTTGATTTACTTGTGTTAAACGCGAACTTCATCCTTGTCATAATGCGATTCAAAGCACCACAGAAATGATGGTTTGACGTACCTATCAAATTTGTCCCGGATGCTCACGAGGCAGAGCTTGTTATTTTTAAGATGCCTAACAGGTTGAGATTCATATTATTCAAATGAGTTAAAATTTAGTTCTGTTTTGTTAAGGTACCTTAAATTTTTTTGCCTTGGATTTAAATATCCCAGCTAACAAAGGTTTTTTTTATTCATACAAAATAACATAAAAATAGTTTTTGCTTGCTATAAATTTCTCTAGCATTGAATTCTTATACAACACTTTTCTTGTACAAGATTACTTGTTCTATAAGATTTGTAAGTGTTGTAAGGTTATAATGTTTTCTAATATAATAACTATTCTAATATAAAAGATGAACTAACGTCCGAATTTCTAAATGTGTTCTGAGAAAAAAAAGACGATACTAATGAATGTGGAGGAACACGAAATGCCTTACGCTTAAACTGCACAAGTTGATGAAAAATTGGTAATTTAGAAGCAACTGACATAACCGCTAAAGTACCACATGAAATTGGGATTTCACTCTGTTAACCAGTGATACAACAACCACCTAACAACCTAAAATTGTATCTTCAGCACCTGCATAAACATGATATTTACTTAAATTGCGCAAATGTTCCTTCTTTCTAAAAATAGAAGTTTTGTATGAAACTATCGAACTTAATAAAGTATTAAAATCACCATCAAAAATATCATCTTAAATTTTAGAGGTACTAGAATAACAAATGACAATGAAGTAAGACGAATGATAACATTTTATTTGGTTTAATTGCAAATGTTTCAACAATAGCATCCAGACCATTTGGATGACCTGCATGTACTTCAAATCGAAATAGCCCAGCGAAAGTAATATTTTGTTCCTGGGGAGAATCAGACAACAGATCCAAATATACTGTGGTGCAAGGACACTTTTTTGATAGACAATGGGTGCAAAGTAGGTAGAAGTTAATATGTCTAAAGTTGTACCATTATTGCATGGACAATTGAGGTTCTATCAACGGGCTTCCAGATGTAATGATGTATGACAACTCTAGAATTTTTAAGAGATTTAACTTTTTGTGAGAGCAGTAAAATAAAATTTCACTTATTTAAAACTCAAACACTTATTGCTTCTTGCCATTCAGCCACAAATGGACCTGCAGATAGAAATATTCAAGCCTTGAAGAAAAAATTATTAGCGATTTGAAATGAAAACATTTGCACTGCAAGAAGTAAGAGACATACTTTTCAAATATCGAATCACACCACTAAACAATTAAAAGATGCCGTCTGAACTCTACCTAAGACAAATAATATGTCATTCATATGAAATACTGAATCTGATTCAGATGATTGAAGTCCCCTAAAGTACATGAAGGAAAATAATCGTCCAAAGATTAGAGACATTCCTTTAAGACATGAAGGAATGAATAATGGTTATATTTTAAAAATGCGCATATTACTCGTATATAAATCAATCAATCTGAACGAACATTCAGCAGGAAAGTACAAATTATTTAAAGGGTTCTAAAACTATGTTTATAGGGATGGCATATTAGAGCACCAAACTTTGCAAGGTCTTTTTATGGGTGGTAAAAACTATTACTTCATGGGGAAGTGCTGCTTTACATAATGCAAACTTGGGTTGCCATTTCTATTTTCATTTTCGTTAAAAATTTATTTTTCTGATCGTGCTAAATTGCTGTCACTCAGCATGTTCTTGTCAAAAGCATTATAAATATCCAATAAAATGGCATATTTAAAATCAAGGAACCGAGTCGAATATTCATTTAAAATAGTAACTATTTTGATGTTTTGGATTTTTGACATCGAGCATTTATAAACAGGCGTTAGAATATGGCACCCAAATGTCTCAGATATTCCGCAATGTCTTCTGATATAGTCGGCATATTTTCAAACTGGCATTCCCGGAGTATGGAAACATATGTGAACTACAGTCTGTTAGGCGTCCTTTTAGTTCGCATAAATGAAAAATAAAGAAATTCCATTGAATTAAGCCTGTTCCTTACGTTATTTTAATTTTGCTACCCAAAATGTCGGTGAACTGATGTGTCTTTTTCTTCTAATTTTAAATCACACAAAAATGTAAAATATTTTTACTTAAAATCGCAAATTGACGTCTTTATTTTCCGGGGATTTCATGCAGTTGCAACATTTTTCTTTCTTTCTATATTCTGCAAAATAACACCTTTAATTTCTTAAAAATAATATTGATAGGAATAAAGCTGTGGCATTTGGAAAAAAAACATGTTAGCCAATTGAGGTGAAACTGATAATGTCAACTGCCGGTACTCGTATAACAATATTGCATCTGATGGTCACCAACCGGCAGTCAACAATTTATGCTAAAAAACTTTTGTTTGCAACCGATTGGAAACTACTTTGGCAACAAATTATTTTTGATTTAAATGCCAAAGAATTTTAACAATATGACAGTCAGTTGACATTGTTAATTATGTAACATTTATTTTTTGCATTATCGGTTACAATCACAATACTTTTTTTAAGATATTTTTGTTATGTCAACGTTACAATACAAATGTAGACATCTGCTGACACCATTAAAAATTACATTGTTTTTGTTAACTGCAATTTTCGATAAAGATGCAAAAGAATTCAACGCGCATTTTGCTTTATTGATTACACATTTTGAAATAAGAAAAAAAATTTATAAGGGGAGTTTTTAAATTTTCATACTTAAAATTTATAAAATGTAAGGTTTCATAAAGTTATGTAAGATTATCAAACTTAAATCATCAAAACAAAAGGAACAAAACGATCAAAAACCTTAGACTGTCAAAATAGTTCTTTGGAAGAAAAATGAAATAACAAACATATGTTCATTATCACCCTCATTCTATTCACTTGGGTTGTTATTGAAAAATTTTTTAAAATTAATTTCAATATTTAAAATTCTATACTGGAAACCAAAATACTTTTCAATAATACCAAAATACTTTTTAATATTCAATAATATCAAGCAACGCAAATAACAAACTTGAAGTGTACGTATGTCTTCTGAAACTTTATCAGAAGAAATCACTCGAAATCTTAAAGGCATTAGATTTCTTCGCGAGATCGTATTAAATTTTAACTTAATTATGTAAGGAAGAAATAATAACCCTTTCCTCGTGAGCGTGATCATTTTCAATTTTTTGACAAGTCTTATTAGTATTAATTTTAACACAAACTTTGACGTTGTCAAAAAATAACTCTGTTATATTTTACTCAAGTTATTTTATAAAAATATAGCTAATATAATAATTATTAAGTTTTAAAATAACTTAAGTAAAATACAAATTATTAAATTCATTATAATATATTTTTAATTTTTTCTCGGAAGGAACCTATAGTATTTTTTTAATAAGATAACTAATGGAATTTGAATATAGAATATTAGTTATCTTATTTGAATATCTCATTTATCCTGACTTACTTTAACACTTACTTACTAAAAACCTGACTTACTTTAACAAATCTAATATTTTTGATCAGAAATATGCTTTTATATGTATGTAAATGCATTTTTATTAAATTTTGATTTATCGCGCTTTTATTTACTTTAACTCTGTACTTAATATGTATGTAAGAATTATTTTAAAAAAAAATAATTTTGATACCCTTACTCTATATAAAATCGTATTGCTACAAAATACATATGTACATAGTTGATGGATATTTTGTATAATCGAAACGTAAAATCTTTTAGTTTACCAACTCAAAACAAAATACACACATATATAAATATTTATATGCACGTACATCTACACACAAAACAAAAATTAGATTTACAAAATGTCTACTTCTTAATGTCTATTTTGTGTAGCAAACAATAATTTTTCAGGTATCAAAAAACAGAAGTACTACATTTCGATTAATAGATAATAGAATGGTGAATATTGCTGATACATTATAACGTACAAGTTTGTTTAGAGTTCGCAGTATTTAATATTTTTTAATTTTTAAATAATGTTAAAGGCTTCATTTTACAAATATTGTTATTTCCAGAATAAAAATAAATAGTGCAATTATATTTTGATATATTCAAAAATTCTAAAATAATCACCTACATTAATTACAATAACAGATTTTTTTTTTTAAATAATATAAGTTAAAGATATACCAACGAAATTATAAATCTTTGATTTTTAAGAAAATTAAAAGCGGATAAAAATACATAATTTTTTTTTATAAAAAGCTGTATTTATTCCATCTTGGTAATCAATTCGGAATCAAAATTTTATATGATAACTGATACTACAAAACTGCAGAATGTGATCGTATGCCCGGGTTTTACTAACACAAACTTCGATCATTATATTGTTTATGTAAAATTATAAGTAATATTCAGAGTTTTGCTAAGGTTTACACTAAGGTTAAACTTTGGTGTAATATAAGTATCCATAATCTAATTTTTATCACTTCAATCTTACTAACATTGCAATATAAGAAATCGAACTTGTAGACCTATAATGTTATCAATATACCTTGCATTTTGTCATGAACACCATTTCAATCCTGTTTGTCAAAGCATCAAAGAGAATGTGAAGTTTTTGATCATTGCGAACACTACATTTATTATATTTACGCACACCAGGTTTTAATTTTTACAATGAAACCAATTTTAGTATCATAGTAACATTTAATAATATTAGTTGTTTATGTTGATTAGGAACGTTGATTTAATTATTGAGGTCAATGTACTTCTTTTGTTTTTATTTTTTGGTTCTAGAAAAAAAAACACTAAATAATTGAAGTATAAAAGCATGATTTTTTTATGAGAAAGTAAAAACAAAAAACAATATAATTCAAATATGTGGATATAAATTAAAATAAATTGTTTGTAAACATAATTTTATTGGTTCGTCATACTTAGAAGTAAAAAATTTTTCAATTCCCTTAAGAAGAAATGTTCGAATCTAATATATACAATTAAAATAGTGTGGTTACTTCAATACATTTGTATTCTTCTAATAACAATACCTATAAAAAAAAGTTGTAAAATAAAAATGTGAAACATCATTCGAGAACAACATGATTTATTAAAAGTGTTTACATACCTTTTAAATATGTTTTAATTTTAATAAAGCATCTGCATTTGATGTAGGGTTAAGGAACGAATAAAACTGTTTTTCATTTTTTCACTATGTGGTAAATATTTTTTATAATTGCATAAATACGTATTCAATAAATAAAACTTTATTTAGAATTTAAGATATACTTAAAAAAAATTATAAAATCTTCAGTGTAAAACATGTAAAACCATTTAAAGAAAAAATTAAATATAAAATTGATATTTGTGTAGACTAAATATCTTCAAAATGGATGTTACATTGAGTTATCAATCAACTGATGCACGTATCTTAAAAAATTTCTTGGCTTGCTTTGAAAATATCTCAATTTAAAAAGTCAAAAGAGAAAAAAAAATAATTTTATAAAAATTTTTAATGGGAGTACAGAAAAAAAATATTTTTAAAAGTTTTAGATTATCATATTATATATATATATACATAGGAATAATATATGTACGTATGTACGTATTTCTTAAAAATTACTTAAATATTCGATCCATATTAAAATTATGCTTGATGTAAACATTTTTACACGTTAAGTTTTCTCAATGACTATCAAGTTTATGACAAGATTAAATGAATTTCAAGCATTTGTTTTTTTTTTATACGTATGTGTCTATATAAATATAGATACGCATATATATGTATATCATGTACATGTAATGTGTTATATTTATTTATACCTAAATCATAATATGCTTTCTAATAATATACTTATGCGATAGAGTTATACTCATAATATATATGGCATACATAACAAAACTAAGTATTATTGTAAAAAATAATATATGTATGTATGTAGGTACATATGTATATAATATTGAATAAACATTGCTATGCCCAAATAAACAAGTTTTAATTCTTAGTCAGTCATTGATATTTATGTAAAAGGTTTATAGGTATATAACTTTAATATTAAGTTATTATATGAGTAATTTATATTATTTACTATAATTACTTTTAGAATAAATAATAAAACTATTGCATTTTTCAATGACTGTGAAGGGTTTTTTTAAAAAAAATACTGAAATTGTAGAGTAGAGCCATGAAGAAAATAATATGTATGTATGTAAGTACATGGCTGATGAACGCACGTATGTATGTAATTTATGTAAACATAATAATAATCTAATTTTATATACATATGTATGTAGGTAGTTATTATTTTAATATTGTTTTCGTAAGGATTTTTAAAAAATATTAATCACAAAAAGAATGCTTTAATTTTAATTTTTTATGACCCTAGATCTCGACTATCTGATTTAAGATTCTCATTAATCTTTTCTGACAGTTTAAACGTGTCTCCATTCTTTCTGTCAACAACAACTATGTATATTCATTCCTCAGCTTTGATAATTTACTGTAAATATTTAACTGTTTCTTTTTTTTGCTTTTTTTTTTATCTTTTTGATGTTTTGTAATAATTAGGCGTAAATTTTTTAGATTTACACTTACAATTTTATTTTCAAAATAAAAGTTTGTTCTAATTGACAGATATTTATTCTAAGACTGAAAAATTGTAGGTATGTGCTATTTCATTAACCTTATAAGATATGGTTCATAAATATTTGCGTAAAATATTAAGTTTTTTTTTACATTTTTTTATTGCAATTCAAAACAAAATAAAATTAAAAAAGTTTTCATGAGAAATTATAAAATTATAGTGCGATAGTGATATGTTACGTATTTGTCAATAACAATTAATATGTAGAAATATTTCGGTATAAGATTTTATTTTATCTAGTTCAAAAAAAAATTAGGTAAAAGTGCTTTACCTTTACCTAGCTACCTTATTTACTTGCGTATGCTTTATTTAAACTAAATGACACTATCTAACATTAAGTAGTATTTTTTAAGTCTAATTATTTTCTAATCATCTACCGAAATAAAATAAATAAATTTCAATAATATTTTTAAATATAAGTACAATTTTAAAATATAAATTAACCTAGATTTGTAAATAAGTACCCGCACTTGCCTAATTATTGAATTTTAGTTAGTAAATATTACATTGGCTCCATTTACTTGTCTACCCATGTATAATTTGAGTTAAGCAAAAAGTGGATCTGTTTGCTAACCACAGGCTTATTTTCTAAAAAGAAAATTAATTTTGTAGTTAGATAAGTATATGTATGTATATATTTATAAAACACGTGCGTATTACACGTAAGTTCCTATACTTATATATAATAAATGAAGTGAGCTAGTTTTAACAACATCCTTATCAATTACAATTTAGCACACAAATCGCACATGTGTCTAGGCAAAAAGAAACTTTAACTTTATTATTATATCGTAATAGAACTCCAAAAATTTCATTATTTTATATTCAATCTACTGGAAGAAAATTCGACTTTCAATAACGCAGAAACTTTAAGATTAATAGCATTAATGTAGGAATTGCATATTTTTTACAATCATTATATGTACATACATATGTAAATATTTATGTACACATGAAAATTAAAAAAAAATTAAACTTTAACTTTTAAAATAATCGCTAAAGTACAAGGCATGCTAGATAAGTTTATGTTACAATTACTCGAAGATATTAAAATTATTAAATTTTGACTACGTGCTTAAAAATGAAATTATTAGAGTAATTTTTACTTAATCATTTTATGAACTTTAAAAGTTTTTAAAAGGATTTTCGAATTTTGGTAGCCTCCGAACCTACTAACAAGGTATCTACTGATTAATTGTTTCAACAGTTTTCAGATGAATAATAATTTAAAATCTAAAAACATTAATATGCGCATGCCATAACATACTTATGTTCGCCCAAAACTGAATAAAAGATCTTCTAATCAGTTTTAAATATTTAAAAAATAATTTTGATGCAAAACAATGTCTTTCTACATCTTACAACATACTTACATATGGTATGTAATCCTACGTACATAAATACTATTTTATTCAGTTCTTTCCGAAATCACAATAGGAACTATAAATATCACAAATTTTTCTGTGACTAAATATTTGTTTGTAAAGTAGACCTTCCCCTAAAACAAATGAAAATAATTTTTTAAAAAATAAGCGTCTATCTAAAGTACTTCATTATTATGTACCAAACATAGGTAAATTATGGGGTGAAAAAATTATTGTATATACACATTGGAAAAAAGAACAAATTCTTTTTCGAATTCAAGTGTTAATTTATGCAGTTTAATTAAAAAAGAGAGAGGTGTAAGGAAAAATTTTCTTCTAGAAAAATAGGTTTCTCGCAAAGATTGCTATATATGTACCCAATTGTAGCTTTCTATCACAAAGGATGTAAAAGTTTTATAAACAGACAGATCCTGAATTTTGTTAGAAATAAGCCAGAAATTTAAATTTATTGCGCGAAACTTTTAAAGTTTAAAACTAAGCAAAAAATCATCAAAATTAACATGTAAATTTGCAAAATAAACATGTAAAATTTTCCGTGCTTTAATTTTTATAACAGAATAGTATAACTTGACCATCAAAAACAAAATATTTGTTAATAGTACTGGTCCGATTTCTACAGCTATTCCGACTAGTCCGACTGATAATATTTTGTCATAAAAAAAAAAATTTGTGTTCTTTGGCTCAATTTGATTTTGTGTGAATAAACCAATGCATTTGTTTAATACAAAGTTTGACGCTATAATAAATAATTTTTCATCCAAATTTAAAATTTTATCTCTTTACTAAGCCTAATAATGCACATTTATTAAAAATGCATTTTACATTGCTCACTTTGAAGATAATTCACTAAGTCTACACTATCAATAATTATAATTATTAAATTAAAAACATATCAACTAAAATAATCTATATACTTTTTTTTTTTCGTTACCAGAGAATACCTGTACGAAGATTTTTTAAGTAAAAACAGTAATCGCAGTAAAATTTTTGTGATGAGATGCCATGGTTATCATATAAATCGGTCACAGTTCCCACATAGAATAGTGAATACTAAAATAATTAACAAAGTTCAAAATTAAGAAATTTAAAAATATATATTTTTTTTTTAAATTAGAAAAATTAGGAGAAAGTCAACAATAATTTTAATTTAAGATTTTTTTTTATTAGAAAAATTTAAATCAATATTAAGTATAATTATATTATTTTTTTTTATATTAGAAAAAAGTAAATTAATAATGCAAGCATCTACTTTTGTTGTTGGCAAAGTACTTGATGGTTTTTTTTTCTTTTGAAAAATGTACAATAAAAGTGTAGTAAAGTTACTAATATAATTTAGAATATAAGAGTAAGGTATTTTACTGTCTTCTGTACCAAATTAATATAATCCAAAATTAAGCTACAAAATGCAAGGGGCAAATTGTAATACTGTTAATTTAAGGACCGGCATTATTAATAAGTGTAATTCAAACGTGCTTTCATCACAGTTAATTGAAAAAAATATATTAGAAGAAAAACATGAAGTTATAACATTTAATAATAATAGTAATAATAATGAAAATACCGAAAAAAGTGTACAAGAGACGCAATATTTAAATAATTCGGATGAAAATATATTTGTAAAGCAAAAAAATTACAAAAAATGTCGGATATATAATAATACAAATGCAAGTTTTCCTATTCATAATAATAATAATAACAAAAATAATAATAATAATAATAATAATAGTAGTAATAATGATAGTTATAATAATGATAACAATGATAATTCACTAGCATCAACGGCTACTACTCCAAATAGTACAATATTTTTTTGCATTAATGATTTTTTTGGTTGTAGTTGTTTAAGAATTAGATCGAAATTTAAAACAAGAACTAAAAGGCAACAATTAAAACAATTTAATAAACAGTCGCTTAATTTAAACTTTAATATTACAAATTTTAATTTTAAAATTAAAAATTTATTTTTATGGACGCTAAAATGTCAATTTTTAACAAATATTTTGAGAGTGTTTTTTGCGTTATACTTAGCGAATTCATTATTCTTAGTGTGCGACAGTAGCAGTGTGAAAAATAATTTTCTTCAAAAAAAGCCTTCTGATATTTTTATAAATAATTATTACAATTTAACGGATAAATATCATACAAATTCTGTATATAAGCGAGATATATCTTATAACAGAGCCGTATTACATAATTCTAAAGGACAGGGTGAGTATTCACATAAACATTAAAGATTTGTTATGTTTTCATTTAAATATGTCTTGGAAAAAAAATGCTTTGAAATGATATTTCTTTTATAAATTTTTGTTTTACTGTTGTAAAATCTAAATTGAACTCGTTATTTACATACGAGTACATTATATAATTTTAAAGAAAATAAGTCTAATTGCAATATGTATACACAAATGTTCTAACCGTCCAGCTAGTTTTGCAAGATATTCTCGTGAAATAACAAATTCTGGGGTTTTGTTTGTTGGCTTTCATAATGATTGTCAGTTAGTTAAAATGATTCTAGAATATTAAGAAGTATAAAACCGACCTCGTATTTGACAGTACAAAGCCGCTCACAGTAAAAAGCCGTTCTTTAAAAATTCAGTACAGAATTACTTCTGAAAATAGTCACTATAGAAAATATTTTTATTTTTACAATTTACGAATAAAAGTATGTAAATTAAAATAATATTTAATTTTAATAAAACTCCAAATCGAAGTTATAGTAATTTTTAGATACTAAATTTTAAACCGTTTAGTTTTCATTTATTTTAAAATAGAATTCTCAAAAATTTTATTTGTGGAAACAGACACAAAAAGAAAGCCTTGATTAGTATGATTTGATCATTGGTTCCGTTATTTTGAATTTCTATTAAAGAATTTTGTTATTAAGCTAATGCTTTTGATTAAATTTTAATTATTTGATATGTGAAGAAATTTAAAATTTTTTGTTTGGTCACATTAAAACTCGTGCTACATAGAGCTACTCAATGCTTTTGAAGGCCAGATGTTTATTTGAAAAGTATAACAATTAAAACTAAAAAATGTAGCATAAATTTTTCAATTTTGTTAAATTAGTAAATTTTCTTTTTTATTTTTTGTAGTCATATGTTCATCAATTGACGTTCGAAATGATTATGAGGAAATAACCAAGCATAAAAATTGTTCAATTATTGAAGGATTTTTGACTATAACAAATTTGGAGCTAAAAGACGATGTTGAGAAATACGCTTTTCCTAAACTAACAGAAATTACAGATTTCCTAATGGTGTATAGATTTAAGGGATTAAAATCATTAAGTAGTATATTTCCAAATTTAACAGTTATACGAGGGACGATACTTTTTGAACAATTTGCATTGATTATTTTTGAGAACATTAATCTTGTTGACATTGGGCTTTATTCTTTATCGAGGATAAAACGTGGTGCTGTACGTATAGCGAATAATGCTGATTTATGTTTTGTTGACACTATTAATTGGACTAATATTGTTGCTAACAATGAAAATAATTTTATATGGGTAAGTTTAGTATTCCAAATAAATTCATAATTTTAAAGCTACGAAATTTTTCCTATAAAATCTCCTTTTACATTTTAACATAAAAGTTTTAAAATTTTGTATTACGATATATTCATTGCTGGTTATTTATGTGAGACTTACGTTATACTTTATTGATTTTGTAAATCAAATTATAAAAGTTGAATCATATATACTTGAGTCAAAAACTATCAAAACTTTAAATATTTTTAATCATTTCAATAATAGGAAAATAAAGATAAAAGAGATTGTCCTAAATGTCCAAGGGGTCCGAATGCCACGGAAGGAATATTTGAGAAGGAGCCTGCTGATTGCAGTAATACAGGATGTTGGAATCATTTCTACTGTGAAAGAAGTAATTTATATTAGATATTAGTACTAATTTATAGTAGATATTAGTACTATAATAATTATTAAAATTTTAGTTAAATACAATATTAAGTATTTGATATAGTAAAATGTAAAGTTAAATTATTTTAGAAATCATATTAAAATGATATTTGAAAGAGTTAATAGTTTGGTTAGATTTATTTAATTATTAAGGAGAAATTAATCAATCGTTTTAATTCTATTAGTATTATTTGATTTTTATATTTTTTCGAGGATTAAAATTATAAAAGGTATTTTTTTATTTAAAAAATATAGTTTGCCCATCAGCTTGTCCTAATAATTGCCTAAATGAAAAAGTTTGTTGCAATTCAGAATGTATGGGATGTAGGGAGACCCCGAATCAATGTATAAGTTGTCGAGATTTTGTAGAAGATCACAAATGTACCAAAAGTTGCAAACCTAAATTCCTAAAGGTAGAGTAAATTTGAGCTTGAAAGAATAGTTATTATTAACTTTTTTTTTATTTTCTTAGTACTCAGATCGAAGTTGTATTACTACTGAAGCATGTTACACAAAACAAAAATACCAAAATGAGCAAGTTCAAATGGCTGCAGTTTCCGAAGAAGCTTGCGTAATTGACTGTCCACACGGTTATAAAAAACTCAGTGTAAAAACAGAGACAGTTCCAGTTGGGCGCTACTGTGAGAAATGTAAAAAGGGAGATTGTGAGGAGCAATGCGAGGGTGGACCCGTAGACAGTCTTGCAGATGCAAAAAAATTTCGCGGCTGTTCTAATGTTACAACAGATTTAATCATTAATTTACGGCAAGGTGGAAGTAAGTAAAGATTTTAAATAGTCGATGAAAAAAAATTATATGTGTAAATTTAAATAGAATGTATATACATTCAGTTATATCAAAAAAAAACTGAATTAAGGTTATTTGATAAATAATATTTATTTTACTGTTTTAGAACATCTTATGGAAGAGTTAGAAGATTCATTTGAGAGTATTCGAATTATTCATACAACTTTGCAAGTGGTGCGTTCATTTGCCTTACCTTCTTTAGGATTTTTCAAAAATTTACGAGAAATTTCTGGAGTTGGTGTTTTGCCAGACAGGTACCGACCTCTCGAAAGTTTTTTTCTTTATTTAAAATTTCAAGAAATTTAACATGGCAAGAAGCTTGTAAAAAGAAAAATAAGTAGCTAATACAAACAAAAAATTCTTATTTTATTTCTTATATAAATCTTTAAGTTTTTAGACAAAAGATAGCAATCTTTGCCAATAAAAGTACATACATATTTACTAGCACATTATTTAATAATACAATTTACACAAAAATAATTTCTTTTTAGTTATTCATTCTATGTGTTGGAAAATAGTAATCTTCAAGACATTTGGGGTGAAAATCAAACTGTTGAAATAAAAGGAGGAAGAATATTTTTTCATTTTAATGAAAAGCTGTGTTACTATAAAATTGAAGCTTTGAGGAAACACATGTATTATAACGAACCTTTTCAAGCAACAGAAGTCTCTAATACAACCAACGGAAATCGTGGGTCATGCAATATGACAGTTTTATCGACGCAAGTTGATAAAGTTGATGTTAAAGGAGCTGTAATACATGTTTTGAATCCTATAAAATATTCTGACCCCAGATCGCTAATATCTTATCAGTATTATTTAATTGAAGCACCGGATGTATCAAAAAATATTTCTAAATATGATTATCGGAGTTCATGTGGAAATGACGCGTAAGCTTAATTTATTTTTGTTTTTTTTTCATTCAAAGTTTTGTAAAAGGTTAAAATAAAAGAGTTAGATTTTTTCCTGTAAATGAACAGAATTTTAAACAAAAGTGAAACAACTATTAGGAAAATTAAGATTTTCAGGAAATTCTATGTATGTATATACACACACATAAAAATTATTTTGTTCAAAAGATTTATCTAAAAGTGTCTCCAAGTTTAGCGATATTAACTTTACATTAAATATTACTTTATGATAAAGCTTATAATTTAATAAGCTAAAAAGTTTTGATATAAGTAATTTAAGAAATTTTTATAATATCGAATTCATAAATTTTTAGCTATCCCAACGAAACCAATAAAATTGCATCGCAACAAACTTTTTAATACAAAAAATTTTATTTCGAATATTAGGCTCTATGTTTTTAACATACATTGCAAAACTTAAAAAAAAAATAATCACATATATGTATGATCAAAGTAGTTTTTTACATTTTACAACCAACATAACAAAATTATATAATTTGTTGTTTTTAAAGAGACTGAGCTTAATCTGTTAAAAGCGTAAGCTGCTTTAACTTTAAATATTGATTCATGAATAAGTTTTGAAGACGTTTAGTTTGATTATGTAGATATAATTGTAAACAATGTTGTGTTTATTTAGTAAGAGTATTTTATTCTTATAAGTTATATTCAAAAATCATGTGATAGTAAATAGGGTATATGTATATCAAAAATCAAAATTTGTTCATTACAATTTCCTCCTGTTTTTTTTGCAAAAACTCCATAAAATAAAATACGTCTGAACTTCTTAACAAATAGAGCTATTTTACAAAATTTGTTAGTGCAATTTTGCATATTTCATTTATATTAAATTTTTATTATAAAATACTGATAATAAATTCTTTTTGTTTTTATTTTTATAAACAGATGGACAATCTATGATCGCACGAAAGAACCTTTTGATACGTTTCTCTTTAACCCCTTAAAGCCTTATACTCGATATGCTTACTATGTTAGAACAGAAACTATTGCGGATCAACCAAACGGTGAAAGTAAGATCGATTATTTTATGTCAGCTCCTGGACAACCGGATCAAGTTCGAAATTTACGTGTTATTAATACTACAATTAATTCACTTGTAAAGATAAAAATTAATATTGGGCAATAAAAAAAATTGCTAAGAATTTCATTTTTTTAGGAAATTGAATGGCTCGCACCTAACAAACCAAATGGAATATTAGTCTTGTACGAAATTAAATTAAAACTATTAGTAGATCATCCATTAAGAAGTGAAGAACGTTGCAATCACAGTGAGTAAAGTATTTTCAGTTTTTATTAAATACAAAAATGTCTTGATATTTTTCGATATAGTTTTAAAAATACGTTTTATTAAATAATTTAATAAAATGGTTACGTAAATATATGTGACATACCTTGTAAATAATCCAAATAAATCCAACTTTGAAGATACCAAAGCTACTTGTTCACGCATTTAATTTTTTCTATTTAATTTAATCCGCCAGCTATAATTATTTTAGTTATAAATTTTGTAATTTGTTTTATACTCTCTGGTTTTTGTTTTCTCCAAATATTAATGATGTTCTCTATATATTAAAGCTAAAAACAATGCTGGGTTGGTTGTAAAATATTAAAATAAAAAGAGAACTAAACCTAAGCTGTTAAAATGAAAAGAGAACAATTTGAAAAATTCTCGGGCAAAAAATCTATTTCAAATAAATTTAAAAAAAAAATGGCGCAATTGTAAAACTTGCTAAAAGTAAACCGCTATAATGTGGTGGTTTTGCTGATTTTATCTTAAGGACATTTAACTCTCTAAAAATAATAACAAAAAACATTTTGACTACTAAACATATAAAGGATAAAAATCTTCAATGTATTTTCAAAATATTAGTTTTTTTATCTACCGTGGTTTTTTGAAGGTATTCTAACAGTTTTGCAAACCAAAAGGCACAATAAAATATATGTTTTATTAACATGCAAAAACAATGTTTGTATTTAAACTATTAAAATTTAATATTTTTAAAGAAAACATGAAAATTTTTCACTTATTGTTTATAGCCGATATTAATGAGGTATATTATGACACTGTCCAGCCGTCGAGAAATAATATTGAAGATAGTTGTAGTCATTGCACTTGTGACATTCAACAAGAGTCACAAAAATCAAGCAAAAAGGGACCTGAATTTGTAGAGGATGATATTCATTTTGAAAATGCTCTTCAAAATTTTATATTTGTGAAGAAAGTTAATGAGACTCCTGTACATTCTAATGCTATTATTAATCGAAACAGAAGGGCAATCGCTGAAGAAGAATTTCCTAAAAAAATTTTTACTGATAAAAAATATGATTCGACTGGAAAACAAAATTTATGGCATAATAACACAACTGGAACATTTTACGTACAATTTTACAAGGAGGTGGCAGCAAATGTAACAAAATTCACTGTAAATAATTTGAGACATTTTGGAGTGTACAAAATTGAAATAATTGCTTGCCGAGAAGGCAAAATAGAACACAATTGTAGTGATCCTAACTCAAGGGAAGCAAAAACCGATTTCAAAAGTAATTTAATATTTAAATTATATTTAGTATTTACCAACAATGTTGTTGTAAAACATTACCGTATTAATCAAATCTTAATTTGCTATAAATTTTAGTTAAACTATTATGCACAAACAATTAAAATTATTTCTTTTTACTAAAAACTTAATTTGATTTTCTTTTTGCAGAAGACAGTGATTTTGTAAGAGATTTGCAAGTCGAATCAGAAAGAAGTAACAATACTGGCGTTACAGTTTTGAGAATATCTTGGTTACCCCCAGAAGACGCAAATGGACTCGTTCTTTATTATACAGTGCATTCCAGGAAAGTAGATTTTGAAAATGAAGAACCAATATCACGATGTGTTTACATGGAAAATCTTATAGTTAACAATATTTCAAACCGTTTGACATATAAAGATAAGTTTTCGGCAGGTCGTTATGAAATAAAAGTAAAAGCTAATACTCGAATACCTCGGCATCTTAGAAAATTTTCAGAACCCGTTTATATAACAGTTTACCCTGGTAGTTTACAGGTGATAGAAATAGTTGGAATCGTTATAGGAATATTGATATCTTTGGGAATTTTCGGTCTTATATTATTGTACGTGAAGCGAAAATATTACGCGCAACAACCTGATTTAAAATTAATTACATCAGTCAACCCTGAATATGTGAGCATGCAGTATACTCCAGACGAATGGGAACTACAACGAGAACAAATAATTCAGCTAAGAGAATTGGGACAAGGTTCTTTTGGTATGGTTTACGAAGGTGTTATTAAAAATTATAATCAATTACAAGACAATACGCCTTGCGCTATCAAAACTGTAAACGAGAGTGCTACTGATGGTGAACGAATAAAGTTTTTAGAAGAAGCGCACAGAATGAAACAACTAAGTACACATCATGTGGTTAGATTACTAGGAGTTGTTTCCCGTGGTCAGCCAACTCTGGTTGTTATGGAATTGATGAGCAATGGAGATTTAAAAGCATTTTTGAGGAGACATCGTCCAGATCCTGAAAATTTCAGAGAAGGGCAACCTTTACCCCAACCTCCAACATTAAGAAAAACACTTCAGGTGAGATTACTGTTTTATATGTGTTGCAAAATAGTATAAAGTTCTCCTAATAAAAATTTCAAATTTAGATGGCAATCGAAATTGCGGATGGAATGTCATATTTATCAGCAAAAAAGTTTGTTCATCGCGATTTAGCCGCAAGAAATTGCATGGTCGCTCAAGATTTAACCGTAAAAATTGGAGATTTTGGAATGACACGAGATATATATGAAACAGACTATTATAGAAAAGGAACTAAAGGACTTTTGCCAGTGAGATGGATGGCCCCTGAGAGTTTAAAAGACGGTGTTTTTACAAGTGCCAGCGATGTATTTAGTTATGGTATCGTTTTATGGGAAATGGCAACATTAGCTTCACAACCATATCAAGTTAGTTATATTATGATTAAAACTTGAGTAATGTATTATTTATATCAGAATAATATACACAAATATTTTTCCCAAAGGGCTTATCGAATGATCAAGTATTACGGTATGTAATTGATGGAGGTGTTATGGAAAGACCCGAAAACTGCCCAGATATACTATATAATTTAATGGTTAAATGTTGGCAACATAGGCCATCATTAAGACCCACTTTTTTTGAAATTATTGAAATACTTTTGGAAGATGCGGATCGGCATTTTGCGGATGTATCATTTTATCATTCGCCTGAAGGAAAAGAAATTAGAGAACAAATGCATTCAGGTACAGAAAAACTTTTGAAAAAATTTATTTTTCTTTTTGTAATTCTTGTTAAAGTAATTTCAAATGGGCTCCTTTTTTTTTGAAATGTAGTTTTCATATATTATATTCAAATTTAATATAAACTTGATATTGATATATGAATTTTTTTATAACTAACGAAATTACTTTAACCTGGACTATATAATATTCTACTATTCTATAATATAACTAATATTATAAAATTGTTTATTGCTGCTTCATTAAACAAAAAGTATGCTTATTACAAAAGTACAAAATGTTATTAACATTAGATCTGTCTAGAAATTTGTAATCTTTCGTAAAAAGTAATTCGTAATACTGTTATTATACGTTGTTTTCTTTTTTATTTTCAGTTGCAGATTTAGACGATGTAACAACACCTCTTAGATTAGGATTTAATACGTCTATGGAACAACCAGACAGCATTATCGATGATAATGAGTCACACTCCCCATTTAGATGAAACATTTTTAGTTAATTCAGCATAATTTAAAAACCAATGGACAAAATTTAGGCTATAATAAACACATTCATTGTATATATACCATTAAATAAATAGTCAAAAGTAAATATATTTTACTTGAATTTTATTAGAGAACTAATAAAATTTGAATGTTTTAAATTCGCATTTTGAATATTTGGCAAAAATAAAATTAAAGTTTTAAAGTTTTCATTTAAATTATGGTCAATTAAAAACTATTCAAACGGTATTTAGAAAATTTTTTTTGAAAATCGTATTTTAAATTATTAAAAAAGGATTTATTGAACGCTTATTTGAACAAGATAATATTTAATTCTACTTTTAAGACGAAATTGCCTCTTTGGAATTTGTATTATAATTATATTAAAGAACTGATCTTTTCAAATAAAAACTTGAGATTAAAACTGTTTAAATAGGGTATTATTTGATATATGTATTTACATAACATAAAGTAAACTAATACATAAAAGTGTACATAAAGAAAAATATGCATTTATGCAGTTTGCTTATGGCATATACACGTTTACAATATAACTCTTAGCTTATAATATAACAGTTTTCTAATTCGTTAAATATTGGTATCTGATCTTGATTTTTTTCATATTATTTTAGGAATTTCTTGCATCGAAGTTTTAGAAAATTCACTTGCCTCTTTGTGATTCAATATACGTAATATGTTTATGTTAAAAGGATAAAATGGTTTGTTAAATTAAGTACTTTGGAATCGCCAGATGTCGAACTATTGGTTTTCTTTCAAAAATACAATTTGTTTTTGTCAACTTAAACATAAAAATTTTGTTTTTATGTCTTCTCCAGAAGACCAATTGTAAGATAATCCGGAATTATTTGAGGAAACTTTTTGTACATCTTATATCCGATCCAAATATTGCGGGTTTTACAGATTTCAAAAAGATCTGGGAAGAACTTGACTTGGAAAAAACTTGGAATACACCTTTTGAATCTTACTAACAATACCAAGTCTTTCTTTATAAGCAAGCCTTCGTGTATTAGAAAAAAATTTAAGATATTTTTTCGTTGCTATTAAATAAAAGAATTTTGCTTAAGTAAGGGTTATAGTCTATCCACATTTTGCTGCATTACTCGTTTTTGTAAAACTATACATAATTGTGTAGGCACATACATACATACATACATAAATACATAATAAGATATCAAGAATGTTCGTTTCCTTATACTTAAATGAATTCTTTAATTCTAAAGTTTTACGACGCAAATGTGGTGCGCATTGCGCACATGTCTTACCAATTGTATGAAGTTTATTTCAAAATATATGTAGTTACTTACCTATTGTCCTATTTTAGCTATTTTCACTTTAAAAACCGTTCTTTTACCGTTCTTTGTTTTAATATTTGTGTTTTTCATTTTGAAATTACAAATTGAAATACTATTTTTACATTTAATTTAATTTGATAAACAAGAAAGTTCATTTTTTAAATACTTGATGCCAAAATTAAAATTATCTGTAGAACTTTTAAGAAAAATATTTGAAAAGTGTAGTAAAAATAATTAGAGATTTTGACTCATATTGTTCGATTATTTATGTACGTTACAAAAAGAAATTTAATTGAAAAAATTTGAAAATTTACAGTCATATGAAAAAAGCCAAAACAGAAACGTACTGTTTCCTTCAAAAAATTCACCACAAAACAATTCACCATTTTCAAATATTTTAGAAATAGAGAAAATTGTTGCATGCGTATTCAAGACGCAGACAGCATAAGTCTAATGAAAGTCGTATATGTGTTAACACTTTTTGACATCACACTTTGTTTGACGGCAAATAAAAGAAATTACTCTATTCTCCTTAGATTTACTGTCAGATTTTCAAAAGTAAATTGCCACAACTAGAGCCTGATCGTCTATCTCGTTATTTTACTCGAAAGCGAGAAAAAAGTGAATAACTACCATATATTTCTGTAATATAATTTTCGAGTGAAAAGAGCAATTCCGTATTGCGTATCTCGTTTTTTTTTTTCCAAAAATATATATACAAAATTTAATCACTTTGTTTTCGAAAGGGAGACGTTCAGCAGATAATTTTAGAAAAATCATTAATCTTATTGGAAAAATTAAATATCCATTAGAAAATACTGAAAATTTTGGTTTGAAAGTGAATAAAAATGAGTAAAAAAGCGAGATACACGATTAGGTTGTTAATTTTGCGAAAGTTTTAAAACAGCTGATATTTATTTTGTTTATAACTTTCGTAGCAAATTTTTAAATTTTGACGTACAGTCTGAGTTCTATCACATAATTTTAGTCTGATATACGTATATTATGTAGACAATTATGAAATCAGATTTTATCTTAAATTTTGTTATATTATGTTAATAATATCTTAAATTTTTTCGTATTTAACAATTTAATTTTACATTTTGATGGAAAAAAATCTGATCCCTAATATGTACCAATATAAATTTTGACACCGACTTGTCAGATAATAATGAGTAATTGGTAAACAAACGTGAACTAGAGGCGTTTGAAATGTGGACGTTTAGAAGAATGTTAAGAATCTCATGGATGGATCGCGTTACAAACGAAGCGGTTCTACAGAGAATGAATACAAAACGTGAACTATTCCTGAGTTTAAAACGTCGCAAAATGTCTTACTTTGGCCATGTAATTCGCGGAACAAAATATGAGCTTCTTCAACTAATAATGCAGGGGAAGATTGAAGGCAGAAGAGGAGTAGGGAGGAAGCAGTTGTCGTGGCTGCGAAACATCAAAAACTGGTCCGGAATCAACAACATCGGAGATCTGGTGCATGCGGCAGCAGATCGAAACATCTTCCGTGATCTGGTCGCATCGATTCAATAGCTATTGACTGTATAAATATGATCGCCAACATCTGGAAACGGATAGGCAGCAGAAGAAGAAGAAGGTAAACAAACAAAAGTGTAACAAAAATATTTGACTGAAAGTACAGAAAAAAACAAACATCTCTTTTGTCTCACTCATAGTTATGTTTTTCAAAAGTTTGTTTATGTTTTGCAGATACTTATGTACCAAATAAGTGTATGCGTATATAAAAATAAAATCGATCATAAAGATCGAATAGAATCTAAAGACGTAAATTCCTTTCAGACGATAATCGAAAATGAAAAAATCGAAAAGAATCGTTCGTTTTCATTTGCATGTACAAATGAAAACGACCGTAAATTAAAATAGAGAGGAATAAAGTTTATTATTGTTTACTTCAATATTATTTGTAATTTGATGAATGAGAGATTTTTAGGTGTTGAATTATCTAGTACAACTTTTGATAAAATAACAACCATAATTTAACAGAAATTTTAGCATGATAGTGCAATTGAAGTACAACTTGTACAGTATTCATTCTACTCTGTTATAAGCTTATATCAATCGGTCAATTTAGGTAGTGGCTAACTGTGGAAATAAGCAATTTCTGCAATTGACATATTATAATATTGTTAAACAATTTTATCTATGTATTTAAAAAAAATTTAAAAAAAAATTTAAATGATTGTCAATTACATTGACAATTACAATGCTTGCACTATGAAGTCTTGGAATTTATGACTAACATCAATTGCAAACCAGTGAATATATTCGAATTATTGGGAACTATATCTGGACTGTTTTTCAAAAGGTTTTACATACATGATGTTTGTATGACGTCGCACTGATGTATAAAAATTGTGCAATCATATAATTTTATGTAAGTTTAAATGGCCTAAACGACACCAAGTGCAAGACAACAAAACAAGTTTTATGAAGCCCATATATTAACCGATGAAAGCACGTTTCCGTTTCATACAATAATTTTATAATAATCAATCTTCGAGATCAACACATCACATCACAAGACGACCAACGAATATAAAAGCTGCATAATTATTTAAAAAGAAATAATAAATACTAAGGTGAACATAGTAGTTGTCGTCATGTAAACACAGTTTATAATTGAAAACAACAAAAAAATCTAAACAAAAAGTGCGTTTACACTGGTTCTATTTTTGAACTAAGAAAAACGCAAAACCTGCGATTTTTAATGCGATTTTATATAAAAATATTTCTGTACATTAAATAAACTCGTTTTGTAATATACATATCAGTTAGTATTTATGAACTATTTTTCTTATACTTTTATATTATTTCAACATCACTGCAACCTCTGAATGTTTCTTGAGGTCCGCATCCCAAACCTTGAGAACCGTCTTCGCATGTTCCCCAAGTATTAGCTGAAATAAAAAAGCTATTAGTTTTTGGCAAATATAAAAATATAAAACAATGTAAGATGTGAGCATAGGTTTGAATGAGGTATTGAATGCCTGTATGTTCTATACAGTTATTACACACTCCACAATTTCAAATTTAAATTGATTTAGATGAAAATATGAATAGGAAATTGCATTGCTGTAACGGAAAACTTACTGAATAGTGGTTACTGAAATCTCTGACGTATAAATATTTCGATACTCCCCCATTTAGTATCAAACATTATGTACATATATTGTTTACAATTTTAATATTTAATTATTTAAAATGCAAAACTGGAGGAAATCTAATTTGTTTTCTTATATAGCAACGCCATATTATAAAGTTTATATTATATTACAACTCCTTTGTTTTAAAAGAGTTCAAAATTTACTGTCTATGTGTTTACAAAGGTGATATAAATATATATATTTGTAAGTATGTGACTATTTCGTACCTGTAGTATATGTCCATCTGAAAACGCAATGTTTACATTTAAGACCAGCAGGAATTTTTAAAGTACTATTGTAATAAGTGTTAGGATTGTAGTTTGGTAATTGATATTTGGTTCCACCAGATTTTAGTTCCAAAAGATTTTTGGCAAAGCATTCGTCGCTTTCTTTAGCGTTGTCCATATTACATAAATCAAAAACGAAAAATCCCCGATGATTGGCGGTTAAAAGCACACTAAAGTCTATTTCACTTGTTTTGTATGTATTGACAATCACACCTTCACCATAGGTACCTCCATATTCATGTGCCCTTGGAACTGCATCTCCATAACTATTTCCGCAGAGGCCACATTTTCCACCATGAACTCCCCATTGAATCTTTAAAAACAAATTTTACCAATATAAATTATTTAAATATTTATGAAATTTTATGTTTTGTATATATACATTTAAGTTCATTCAAAACTACTATAATAACTTTCTAATTAAAAAATAAAAAAAAATGTACCAACCCCAAATCCACCACAGAATCCCTCGTTGTCATTGTAATCTGGTGGAGCAGATTCATTGTATCGCCATCTAGATCCTCTGGCAATAGGATCTATGAGCCGACCATGTCCTTCAACATTAGTTATGCTAAGTAGGATAAATCCAAAAACTATTAAGCACGAGTAAACATTGTAGCTGACCATTTTGAATAAATTATTGTGGAATTTACAATTGAAAATTACAAATAAAAGAATTTTTACCGTTTTTATATAGCAGTATTGTTTTAATAAAGGGGACAGACAAAATTGATCAGTTATCATAATTCATTTTGATAAGATAGTTGAACAAAGTATAGGGTTGTATATTTTGTTTTTACAAATACATTTTTATTTGATTGTAAACACATTATTGTTGCATGTATAAGCGATAAGTAATTAACGATAATATTTAACGGCTTGTTAATCAGTGCTGCTCTAAAACTCCAAATTTTTAAATTTATTTGAAAATATTAAGCAGAATTGAATTAACCAGCCGCTTTATAAATTCTAGATTCCAAATTTTCTTTTGTTAAAATTAGAAAGAAAAAGTTTAGCCGAACAAAATGGATTCATATTTAGTAATGCAATAGTAAATGATTAGAAAGAATATTGTACTGGTTTTCTGTCAAGCTGTCTAAAACGATGAAAAGTACCTTAAGAGTAAAATTTTTATAGCAGTTATAACATTTTTTCCATGAATATCTCACCAAGTATAAATCCATTAGGTCATTAAACCGTTGCGCTCCAATCCCAACAAAATATTTAAACAAACACAAAACTTTTCAACGAATCGTTTACACATTGTTCTAAAAGGAAATTTTATTTCGCTCCAAATATTGTTTGCCCTTTATAATTTTTAAAGAAATAATTTTTTACGAGGTTTGATAAAGTTGGGTTACATGCAATATTCAATTATTAGAAACATTTTTTTATCAACGTTAAATACTTTTCGGCACTATTTCCTACTGTGGTGACAATGTTTTAAATAAAATGTCTATTTTTCGCACGTATTGAAATATACAATAGAAATTATGTATTTTTATTAAAATTATGTATTTATGTATAAAATTTTGCGATTTTAAAAAGAAAATTCCACCACTGATTTAAAGGCTATTGTAATTTGATTACTTTTGCTTCCTTATCGAAAAAAAATTCTTGTGTATAAAATATAATAGTTTATTATCTAATTAGAGATATAATCCACTTTGGCATTTTGTAGTAGGTACATACTTGAGTGAGGTAAATCAAAATTCACAAAATTGAAAAAGAACCTTGTTTTTCATATAGGTATGTACTTTGGAATAATAACTGCGTACGTAATTAGTAAATATTAATTATAGGAGTTAATTAGATTTATAAATGAATAATCGGGAATACCTTTCTAACCCTAAAGGATCCTATTCAATTTTGAATTTTTCGTATGGAAACTGTTTTGCTCAGTTGTTTATATTAGGAATAGCTTTTTAGACTTTTAATAAATAAAATATAATCACTAATTAAATTTGGATTTTGTTCACTATGAATGTTTATTTTTTTACGAAATTGGGGTTTAATGGTAATAAAAATTATCATTTTTTGGTTAACTTTAAAGTATTAATATTTTTGACATTAATTTTACAATAAATTTCGATCGAATTCGAACGTGAAATTTATTTATCTGTTTGTTGAGTTTCTTTGGGTTTTTTTTTAAATAAAACTTTGGGTTCAAATATTTTTAATATATCACTTCTCGAAGCTGACACCTATTGCATTTATATTAATACTACATTACTACAATGTGGGAGCGAAGATATATTGGCATTTAGAATAACTAAAAAAATTTAACTCTTTTTCGTTCAGTTTTTTTGACCAGAATTAAAAAATTTAAGTTTTGTGACAAAATAATTCATATTTTATGGAAAATAATTTAAGTGTTGTCCGCAAATGAAAAGCAGTAAAGTGGAAATATTACCTTGATGGAATTACCTGGTCATATTTTTAAGCCGCTTGCTGTGTTATATTTTTAGGAATATATATACATTTTATATGAAGCATGCATTTTTTATGAAGCTTTTAGAAATAGCCGCGCGGCAACTGCATGCTGCATTAATATAGTTCAGCAATTTTATATTGCGCTCACATTACTGCGGCACGGCGACAGAGAAAATGATACGAGATGCCGCAGAAGTACCGTTGTCGTAATTCAGTTCACAATGTCAGCGACATTGACAGTAATTTTATCAAAAAAGTTCTGATTTAATTTTGTTTTACGTAGTTGTATAAAGCAGCGACAATTATTCAATTTTCGCATGTTGCAATAATATAACCTAATTTAATTTGTCATTTATTTCATTTCTTAATCATTTATTTATTTACTTAAAATTTTACAAAAAAAACATAATATAACCTACCCTGTTTGAAATAGTAGATTGAATAATATTTTGACACTTTGTACCACTGTCGTTATCGCAATGTGGCAGCTATGTGAACACCTATTAGTCACATTGATTGAGTTTCGATTAATTATATGACCACATTTCGGTTAAATTTACTGTCGCTGTTGAACCAATGTAAACTGAATTTCCACAACGGTACTTCTGCGACTCCTGCAACTGTCATTATTTTTTTGCTACTAGTGCTTTATTTTGTACAACATTACACTTATACCTTATGTGTTGAAAAGAAAAATACATTTTTGAGTTAAATGGAATCTATCAATAATACTAAATTCGACTTTAAAATACATAGAAGTTTGTTTTATTAAATAAAAGATGACTTTTGAAAATGAAAATTAATTTTTTAAATGAATATTTACATATGCGCACAACATAGAAGAAAATTATTTTGATTATTTTATACGAAAACTGACATTTCGAAAATGAATAATTTTTAAGAAGAATGAAAATCAGAAATTGATTGCACAGGAAAATTTTCCCGGGCAGTTATGTTTAAAATTTGTGCAAAATGTTCTTCTCGAATTTTCCCTTAAAATTCTTTATGCTCTGCACGAGAAATATACATACATTTTATACATATGTAAGTATGTATTTACAAAAAAATATTATATATGTATGAAGATACATTTTTATTAAATAAAAATGAGAATATGTACTCATTTTCAAATTTTGAATGTTGCCCTTTCTCCATTTTCTGGACATGCGCTGAACGAAATTCAACTAAATTTATGAGTTGAACCGGAAATAGGAGAAAACATGAAAAATTGAAGAGAAATTTGCTTGTAAAATACAAAATAATTAGTATAATTATATAATGATTTTATTTAGTAAACTAATCAACAATTAAAATATGTGTCTGTTGACGCTCAAGGGGTATAAAAGGGAATATAAACATACATACATACATAAGTGTACAAAATTATATATTTTTATTGAGAGAATTATTGTGTATTTCATTTTTCATGTTTGGATTCTTATTTTTTTCAATTAGACTTATCATTTTTTGTCAATATGTTTAAAGTTTTAAAATATCTTAAACTTGTCGCCTTCGAAAAGGAAATTGAATGAATTTTGCTTTTAAAGAACAACAGATGTACTTAAAACGAAAAACTCCTTCACTTGAAAACCCTTGTAGTCCTTTCTTACCCAGTGAGTAAAAAAGTGAAAAACAACAACTTAGCCCCACATTTAATCATCTTTAATTGTGGGTAAACAATAACAGATTTCTTTTTATTAATAGATATATTATTTCACTTGAAAAATTTTGATTATCTTATTGTGATAATTTTCGTATTTGTTTTAATATAATATGTACTTCAAAACAGATGCTCAAATTTTGTTAAAAATCTATACTCAAACAGTTTTTCTATTGTTAGTATTGTTTCTTTTATTAATTAATAATTCGAATCATTTTAAGACTAATATTTTACAAAAACAATTAATAAAAAGAAAAATTTGAACAAATATTTCAAATAGCGAAGAATTCAGAACGGAGAAATTATAGTTGTCGTAATTTCCAAAAGTGAAAGTCAGCTTATTTATAATTTTTTTCAATTGTAACGTTTAGAGAACGTGGTAATTTATTGCCATGTATTTAGAGGAGTTGAACAACTAGACAGAAATTTCATGTTGGAAAGTCATTGGTTTGGGATTTTGAGCATACATGTTTTTTTTTTAAAGAAAAAAGTCAAATAAAATTAGTTTCTGGGATAGTAAAAATCGATTACTGTCATTCTAACAACATAGTTTATATAAATGCTTCAGAACATTTTAACAAAAGTTTAAATTTTATAACTTAAGATTTATTGCATAACAAAATTTGTAAATACATGCCTGCCGTATTGAATATGTTCTCCTGCATTTCCATGCGATTTTAACAAAGCATTACTTTGCATTTGTAACAGTATTAGAGAAAAGTTTTCTCTCAAGTGTATTTATAACATATATTTTGTTGCACTATCCCACAATCTGATCTTCTTATAGCTTTTGTTTTGACGAACTGTTAGAATAAAATTTAAATTATTGATAGACTGATAGCTTTTATAGTTTAGCACATTTAATGCTGTAAAATTATATAAAAACATATTTTATGTACATACTTCAAATTATAATACATATCAAGTATTTTGAAATGACACCTTTAAGTAGTGATTTACTTGACAAATAAAAATTATCAATTTAATTTTTTTACAAACGCGTCATTTTTATCAATTAAAATATCATGTACGTATACATGAAACCAACAATTAAATTTGGAAATTTTGTATTTGAGATTTAAATTTAATCGAATTGAACACTGAAACTATACACTTAAATGAAGACTTTATCTATTGATTCCAACTTGACTTATTCAAAACCAATACTTTATAAATAAAGAAAGCTTATTAATAAAGTAAATTTAGCTTAATTTCAGTTAGGTCAAATCCATTCAGTAAAAAAATTTTAATCATTTTGGGTACTCTATGAGAATAGTTAAAAAAAGTTCCGAATGGTAATAAAAATTTTAAACACTTTTGAATTTAATGTAAATCATAATTTTTAACTTTTACATACATACATAGATTCTTCACATAACCATATTTTATTTGAGGAAAAATCAAATTTTCATATTCTTACAAAACGTATTTTTTACTAAAGAGAATGAAGCAGTTCTACTTTACATTTATAAAAACTACATCACTGATATGTAATTTTTACTTTCTCTTATTTTTGTTACAATCGACAAAGAGAAACAATTATTATCTACTATAGAAAATGTTCATTAAAAATTAATTCATTTTTTTTTACGATGTATAGTTTGTTTTCTCTTGTGGCTCATTATTGTAGGACATGATATAAGTATAATGGCTGGAAATTTAATTTAACTGTTGCCTTATTACCTTTTTAAAAATGATTTATTTTTAGCTGTAGTGAAGTTATTTAAGCTACATTTAACTAAACTGTACGTCTATTCTGTTTTTAAAATGTATTTATTCAAATATCTAAAATCAAATGTATTTGTCGTCTTGTCTAATGCAGAATTGAATTTTTTAATTTTCGTATTTAATGTTCAGATTAGGAATTAAGTAAGCCTGCTTTAAAGTATGGTTTTAATATTATAATATCCTTGTTGGCTTGAAACGTAGTTTAAGGTCTCTTTTACATCTTCAAGCAATAAAACTGTATATTGACCTACATTATTTTAAAAAATCAAATTTCATTTTCAAGATAGAAATTAGTTTTCGTTAATTTTGCAAGTGCGTATACCCTAAGTCTGGGTCCTAGCCACATGATACTGCATGCAATATTTATGACATAATCTTTTTAAATTTCGGAATACACAAGATAATTTCAACATATAAACTTAGAATCCAAATTAAAGGTTTATAAAACAAAATTCTCTAAACATAACAATTTTCCTGTTTTTATTCTATAGCAAACATATTTTTATATTAAAGCAATGCAAAGTTAGAACATAATAACTTATAAGGGCTAATGATGCCAATTTGAATAAGTTACAATATAACGCTAAAATAATGAGGCATTATCCTCAAAAAAAACTATAAATTATTACACAATTTTTTGATCAAAAATTATATTGAGAAAGAAATTATAATTAACTACAAAACTACCAGATAACATTAAAAATATTTAATATTTTAATTTTATAATAACAATGGTAAAATATTATAATTAGCACTAAAATAACAATAAAAAAATAAATTATTATGAACACTTGTTCGGAAAATTTTCACATTCCTATCTAATAATTATTATTAACAAAAATTGAAGTAATAATAAAAATTATAACTTGCACCTTCATTTTCACCAATTATATTAATTTTTAATTTATAATTCAAAAGTGAAAGATTGTTATCATATTTGTATTGTTATGATTGCTCTTATTATTATTTTTAATAGTATTTATTTCTTTTTTTACACATTACCGTAATGGTACATGGATTTCTCAGTGTTGTAAAGAGACCTGTGATAGTATTATGTACACATAAATGTAAATTTTAGAGACTTTACATTTTTATGCTATTGTGGTCAATTTTAGTTTGATTATTTCTTTCCGCAATTGTAAATAGCCTAGCCTAATCTTCAATTATGTATAAAGTAAAATACTTTTTATATTGTATATAATGAGAACGAATCATAATATTATACTGTAATGTAATAATAGGGATAATATTATGCTTTCAGATATTTAAAATGAATAAAATTAATAAAATTCGATGGAATTCACAATTTTATTTTATTTTAAAATAAAACTATAAATTTACAATAATTTTATTGGCTATTTTCAAATTTTAAGAGTTGTAACAAAAAAAATTTTTTTTTTCATATAAATTTTTTTTTTTTTTTTTTTTTTTTTTTATTTAATAGTATATATATTAATAAAATATGAATAATAAATTCGGAAAATCTTAGTTTTCAGTTTTCTCTTAAATTGTGAAGAAGTTTTGTGTACCTTATTGTGATCGCATTACATTTTTAATTATTTATTACTTCAAATAATGTAAACTAATTTATAGAATATTTTACTAAATACAGTTAAGTATATAAAGTTTTCAATTTAATATTATAAATTAAAGATTATTCTTTAATTCTTTTAGCTTTTTTTAATATATTTTTAAATGATTTGAATGTGTATATAAAAATGTTACCATACATTTAACTTTTATGATAATATTATATTTTGTATATTATTTTCTTTTTGTTGTTATATTTTTGTTTTTTATTTTTTTTTTATAAAGAATGTTCTTCTAAGTGACTTCAGTGTACACAGATGAACTATTTTTGTTGTTTTCTTTTGCTTCTCTGTTTTTCCATTAAGAAGTTTCAAATCACTTCTTTCAAGTTATCTTACCGTATTATAAATTACGTTTCATTTCACATCTCTCACAGCTGCTCAATGTGTTTTCTACTATATAATAGTAGAATAAAAGTATTATAGTTTACATATATTTTTTCTCTTTTGCTGGGATAAAATCGAAAAAATTATCAACCAATAGCAATAATATATAAGAGCATATTCCGATATTCTCTTTATTCAAATATAAACTGTGTTAATATAAATGTAATGTGTGGTATTATACTTTAACCAAATAAAATTGTGATTAAAAAAATTTCTTCGTGCATGAGATATATTTTTTTTGTTATAGTTGCACAAAAAATCATGTGAAAAATAATTTTTTTTTTTTTCAAACTAAATTATTATAGAGAAATATCTATTATAATGCTCAATAATGTCATCACAGTATGGGTATGGTATGGTACTATTGAATTAAATTTGAAGAGAAAAATGTCAGAAAATTTTCATAAGGTTTCAATAGAGAATATACTGTCAAATGAGAATATTTTCTGTTTTTGTCAGTAAATTATGTAAAGGAATTTTCATCCATCAAAATAATATATAACTCTTTTCACAATCACATTAAAGAGAATTAAAATAAATAAATAAACTATTTCCTGTAATTCCTAAGGATATGATTTAAATAAAATTCATGTTCAATATTATTTATTTTTATTTTAATTTTATTTTTATGAAGAATTTACATTTTTTGTCAAAATATAGGATAAAGAAATTTGATAGAGTTTTTACATGAAACCGGCAATTTTTTTGAGGTTAAGTTTTGCTTTTTTTTTTGATTGCGATTTAATTTTCCAATTATGAATGAAGACAAATCATATTTTTATTTATTTTGAAAAATTTCTGAATTTTGATTATTTCAATTTTCATTATAAAAGATTTACGCGGTCATCAGCTGTTTATTTCTAAACCTAAATAAGTAAATTTGGGTGTTTATAAAATTAATTTAAATTATTTTTTTTAGTATTCTGCTTTTTTAAATTCGCTTTGAAAAACTAAAATTTTATTTTATAAAACTAATTTTTTGCCATATATATTTTTCTTTACATTTATTTATTTTTGGTTTAATTTTATTTACACGATTTGATTTTTTGTATAAATTTTTACCAAAAAATAAACAAAAATTTTTGTCGGCGAATCCCTCGAATTGTGTTATCAAACAATTAAAAAATTAGCGTGTATAAATTTCATATATATTATACAGCTATTTTGAGATATTAACATCGGATCTATAAATAGAAAAAAACTCAAATAGAATATAATATAAAGACGAAATATATAGTGATGCACCATTATTGATTTCGCTACCGATAGTATGAAGCGTTCATGAATACCGACCGAAACGATCAACGCCGGTATCTGTATTAGTGAACCATATAATATAAAAAAATATTGATAGGAAAAATTTCTTAATAGAAAACTCTAATGTTTCTGAATATTTCTTCGCAAAATCTATACATACTATTTCGTAAATAAAAAGAAAACAAAAATATCTCATGTCAGTTTATGATAAATTATTATTAAGATTATATACACACATATAATTTGTTATTTAATAACACAATCATCATATTGTGTATTGGTTAGGATAATGGATTATTATTGAAATTTTTAATTAAAAAAAGATATAAATTAAAAAATACCAAAAATATTATAATTGAATATTAAAAGATCGGATAATATTTTAAAGGTACATATATATAATATACGTGAAGAGAATAATAATATGGAAGAAACATGCTTGAAAGCTTGGACTTTATTGTGTGTAGAAAAAATAAAAAGAATGCTTCAAAAAAAGAACAAACTCTATATATGTATGGAAATTTCGTTTTAAAATAAAAATAATAAAAAGTTATATTTTCAAATTAAATTCATAACAACGATAAGTTCTTCCGCGTATGTATATTAATTTCGTTTTATTTACATACATACATATATATATATATTTATGCGAAGAAATAAAGTGAAATTTCGCTAATAAAACCAGTAAAAATCAAAAGTGGACAAAAGTGAAGAAATACTTTAGTTTACAAATTTTTGTTTCGAATGATGGAATTATTTTGCATTTAACGTATAAATTTTTTGTATAAAATTAAATTTTGTTTTCTTTATTAAATTACAAGGTGCATATATATATATATGTTTGTTAATTTTATAAAAACTGTTTAAATTTTTATTAGAATTTAAAATAAATAGTAATTAAACTTAAATCAATAAAGATTTTCATGTGATTTTAAAAGCCAGAAACTAATTTTTAAATGTGAAAATTAGTCTTTGAAAAAATTTCAACAAAAAAACTTGTTAACTATAATTAAATTTGATATGCAATAACTAATAAATAAAATAATAAAATATTTTAAAAGTAAAAATATTTAATTAACTTGAATGCACACTAATAAGAAATATTGTTAACAAGGCCGAATTTTTCTACACTGGTGTCTAAAAGAATAAGTTCTTATTTTCGAACAAAAAAATAACAACGGTGGCGTCTGGTTGATGAATGAACTAAGTAAAATGGTGAACCGTATCTTTAAACAAGTTGATTTATTAAATGACTAACTCAGATACTTTGCGTAAGAATGTTATTTTTCATCGGTTATTAATGTTAGTAATGATATATACGTATACATAATGCATAACCATTACATTAGGGTTTTAGATCCGAATTTAAATTTTTTTTTGATTATAGCTTTTTGATATATTTTTTTTTGAAGTTTTAATTCTTCTACCTAAATATATATTTGATTGAGTATTCCGTCATTTCAAAAGAACGTGACAATACTTTGCAAAATAAAAGAGTATTTTAAAGTATAAAGAATGTTTACTTGAATGGAAATTATAGAGAAAGTTTTGTAAAGTGTTCTACATTTCAATGGCGTAAAACCAATCTAAATTCAATTTAAATACTTCCTATAAATAATGTTTTTTCAAGATTTTTTTCTATATATCTATGAAACACATGTTTAAATAACATTCTTTGCCTTGCTAATTTTCAGAAATATAAACAATAATTGAAACTGTAAATAATATGCATAAAGAAACGTGCGTGCTATATGGGAAAATTAAAGTAAATTGTTTAAATAAAGCGTACCACTTGAAATATAAAATTTAAAATGTACCCATATATGACTAGATATGTATTTAACTGTAAAAAAACAGCACGTAGAATAAATATCGAAAAATTAATTTAAAACATCTTAAAAATACTGAAACATTTTGATAAATTCATAAGAAAAATTTCTGCGCCTTCATGTGTTGTCCGTAAACTAATAAATTTTTTTTGTGAAAAATTTATCTTAATTTACTTTGTGATTTTTTAAACTACTGCACCTTTTGTATTTTTGAACAATTTTCGTTTATAATGTTTTATTGGTAGAAAATAAATTTTTGAAATTTATAACCATTTATACGAGCTCTCTTATTTAGCTTCGAATTGTCAATCGTGTACAATCGTCTAAGCATTCGTTGATCTAAATTCTCACGAGTTATTTGAAAGAATAATTGATAAAACACTTTTTTATTTTAGAATTTAACATTTCAGAATCGGTATACGCAGTGTCGAAACCTTATACAATAATTCATTAATTATGATCTTTGTTACCGAAAACTTTATTCGAATGTTGGTATTATTAAGAAATTTATAGAATCTTTTTAAGTGAAATATATAATGTGTGCATATTTTTAACAAATCTACCTATATTTATAGGTATTTTTTAAATAAAAAAAATTAATTCACATTCGTTGACATTTTTTTTTTCTTAGAAATATAAATTAAACAATAATTTCACATGTGATGTGCTTTTTTAATATTTTACATTTATTGACACTGTATTATTGTTAAATATTTGCTAATTTGCATTTACTACACGTACTGACAATTGAATTACAATGCATTTTTTTTTATATCTAAATTACTTTATTAGCATAAAATAGAACGATTTTCTTTAAGTTGAGTGAAGTCTATAATATATTTATATTGTAAACGTAAAAACTGACTCAGAAAATGATCAGTATACTTAACATTTTTCTTTTATTCATTTACAATAAAAATTAATTGAAATCGTACGCCCATATTTAAAATTTTGTAAAATACATTTAGTAGTAAATACCTCATATTTAGCACTAGGCCAAAATCTTATCTCACTCTTTTGCTACTATCAATGAGATAGCGTTAAAACAATTGTTGTAGTGATTTTTTTTAATTTATTTTCACACATAATTGCATTAAAACAATTAATCGAGTTATAGAAATATTGAAAATCTTTTAATTTTTAAATATTTTTTTTTTTTAATATTATATTTATAAAAATTTAAATAAAAATTTTTGAAAAATCTATTAAAATCTATTAAAAATTATTAGATTTCTAACTTATGTAGTTTTTTTTGTTATAGTTATAGGGGTGAAAATGAACAATACTGCAACAAAATCTGATTATGATACGGTTAATGTAAACAATACAAAGCAACAAATTCTTCCTATAAATCAATTACCAGATACACAAACAGATGAATTGCCATTACCAAAATATAACAAAGATGTCTCTGTTACAAATTTTAGGAATTCTATATCAAAAGCAAAAAATGAAAGTTTTGACGCTGGAGAAGAAACGGATGTTATCGGGGATTTAGTTGGTCATGTTGGGAAATGGCAATTTCTTATGACTATTTTACTTTCTTTATTTCAAATTCCGAATACATTTCATATATCTTCGCCTATTTACCAGGTAAGCTATTCCCATTAACGTAATCATTTTTTTCGAGGAAATTTAATAGGTAATAAATTTCTACAGATTTAAAATTTAAAATGTTTAAACCTAACTAAAACAATAACATAAGGCATAATTCTTTAAAGTTTAGGGTCTATATGATTATTATTGGAATTCCAATTTTTCATTTCCCATTGTTACGCCATTTTAAATTTCTGAAAAACTTATTGAATTATCATTTTAAAATTATCAATTTGAATTTTATTTTATCTTTTATAATATCTAATAATTTTTTATAAATTGAAATTAAATATCTCAAATTTGAATTATCTGTAGATAAATTTTCGATGTCTTTTCGGAAATTTCGGAAGATAAAGTGTATATGACTCGATGAAAAAAATCTTCGGTTGTTTGTACATACATATATGTATGTATGTACAAAATTTATTATTTGATAAATCATACGTATACAAATAGACTATTTTTTCACAATAATATTTTATTTTTAGGCTGCTAGTAGAAACTTTTGGTGTAGTCGACCAGAGAGTATTATAAGTAAAAATTTTTCAATAGAATATTGGCGAAACATAAGCGATTCCAGAGATAATTGCTATCAACTAGACATTGACTGGAATACAGTGAATATCGATCAATTACAGGTTTAAATATTGCAATCCGAACTAAATTAAAATATTTAAAAATTATATAATTAATTTTATTAGACAGGGCAAAAAGTTTCAAGTGATGTATCAAAGATTGCATGCACAAGTTGGGAATTCGATGAAAATGATAACCTTGGAAATACTTGGACATCTGAGTGGAATTTAGTATGCGACAAGGAATATTTAAAAAATGTTGCTGAAATGTTTTTTTTACTTGGTGTAGCAACTGGAGGAGTTATTAGCGGTTATTTATCTGATAAATTTGGACGCAAAAAAATGCTTGTCATATCAGCAATATTGCAAACAATATTTGGTACATAACTTTTTTACAATACTCAATCAATATATAGGATGTTATATACTGAATATTAATTTTTAATTTAGGTTTGGTCTTATATTTTCCTAATTCATTTGAATTTTACTTAACTCTTAGAACTTTACTGGGCTTAGTCTCAGTTTCAGTTACATATGCCGGACTAATATTAGCAATTGAATACGTTGATGGCAAATGGAGGACAATAGTTGGAATGTATAACTTATTTCCACTGCCTATATCATATATGATGATATCAGGAATAGCTTATTTGACACAAGACTTTCAAAAATTACAGCTTTGTATCGGCATTCCGGGAATATTTTTATGCTTTTTATTGTGAGTACATGCAATAAGTATGTTATGACTAAAAATATATTTCTTATTATTTTAAAAAAATTGTTAGTGGAGTCTTTAATATTTTATTTATAAAATATTTAAATTTTTATAGTTTTATTATACCAGAGTCACCAAGATGGTTATTATGTAAGGGTCGTGTGCAGGAAGTAAAGGAAATTGTTAAAAAAACAGCAGATTTTAATGGTATTATTTTACCAGATAATTATGAAAAAATGTTGGTTCCGCCAGTACAGGAGGACTCTGAAGATTTTGTTAATTTATTCCGTTCAAAATACTTACGAAGAATTACGATTTGTTTCCTCTGTATATGGTTTACTATGAATTTAGTTTATTATGGTTTAATTTTAAACATGAATACATTCGGAGGAAATGTTTACTTGAACTCGGTAAGTATATAATAAATTTAAATATGTAAGTATGTATATGTGGATGAAAAAATAAAACTCGCATGACAGTAGTTTTTAGTAACTTTTGTTAATTTTTAACAAATTTCTTTACAATATTTGAAACTTTCGAAATGTAATATGTATGTATATTTTAGGCTTTAGCTGGTCTAGTCGAAATCCCTGCAATTGGTATTGCAATTTATATCATTATGAAAATTGGAAAGAAGTGGCTATTTTGCACAACTCTTATTGCAGCTGGTGTTGCCTGTTTCTGTACTACACTCACTGAAGGCTACGATAATATTTTATGGCTAAAAATAACCCTTCTTATGATAGGTAAATTGTTCCAGAATTTTTAAAATAATATAAATCTGTAATATTAAACATAGGTAAATTTACGATAAGTGCTGGAAATACAATAATGCCAGTATATACGGCTGAACTGTATCCAACAGCAATTCGTAATGCCGGCGTTGGAGCATGTAATGTAGCAGCTGGTCTTGCTCTAATTATAACACCATATATCTCCATGTTGGTATGTTGAATGGTTAATATTTTATTTTTTTGTATTATAAATGATTAATATTTTAAAATTTCTTTACAACTTTTATTTATTTATTATATAAATTAGAATAAAATTGAAGAACATTTATTAATGGCATTAATCACCGGATTCTGTATATTTGGAGGAATCGTTATAGTTTTCCTACCGGAAAGAATGAAAAGCAGTGTAAGGGAATCAAAATATGAAGCGTAAGTTATTAATAATAAATCTTTAAATTCTTGAATTTTCATCTCTTATCGAAATGTTTTTCTCTTTTGTCGTAATCATAAAATCAATTTTCATATTCCTATTTGAACAAACAACATTAGCTTTACCATATATCGAAATTATTAAGTTCGATTGGATTAAATCGCAATTAACGAGCACAAAATTTTTATATTTATACATAAGTATGACTAAATATTAAGAAAAATTTTACAAAGCTAACTGATCCTATAGCCTGAAGCTAACTGATACAAGATTAAACTTTAACTTTTTCTGCCGTGTGAGTAATCATGAAGCGATCAAGTTGAATAGGTAATTCAAACTAATAATTAGATTGGTCTACCGGAAGAGGGTAACGCAATTTCAGGTTTTTATGTCTTTTGACAAGAGAAAATTAAAAGCACACTTTTGGAAAAGTGTGAATATTGATATAGTTTTCAAAAACAATTTTTAAGAATCTTTAAAAAAAAGCAGATCCTTGTTAACTAGTCTGCTCTTTAAAATAAATTATCAATGATAGCCGAGTTTCATTGCCTATTTTGTTAAGAAAATTTAGGCAGATAAATCGAAAAAGACATATAAAGTAGACAAAGGACATATTAAGTAATTAGAAAATGTTATAATGGTATATGTTAAAAAGGCTATTAAATTGTCACAACTGTCCGGGTTCTATTATATTATACATAATCTGCATAATATATTTAGCCATACATAGGTATATGAGGAAATTTCATCTATTGACCTACAATAGCGGAATCATTATTATTCATTCAAAACTTAATTTAGGTAAATTTACGATAGCCCATACACATGTATGGCTTTCGAAGTATATCATACATATATGTACAGATATATGTGCGTACACTTGTATGTTAATTAACAAAATCGAATGTATATATGTATGTTTTCATATATATTGAAGCATGTAATAAAGTAAGCATTTACAATCCTTCCAGTGTTTCCAGATTCGCCGATTATAAAGTTTTTGCTCTTTTCATACACTCATCTGGCTAAAAATTATAATGGGAAATTTTGACAGAAGTTCAAATAAATCGCAACAATTTGAAATAAACACTGTGTTCATCAGTTCTAGCCGAATGCAAAAATGAACGTATTTTACCGTTAAACGAAATTTTATAAATAATTATTTGTTTAAAATTCGTCAGTGTTTTTACTTTGGTTCAAATTCGGGTGTTATACATCATTAAATTTATGTAAGCAGATAAAATCTTTAACCGCAAAAACAAGGAATTACTTAATTCTAACCTTGAATTAATTTTGTGTGTAATTTGTTCAAGAAACAAATACTTTTTAATTTTGTCATCCATATGTACATATATGTATGTGAATATTTGTAACTAAAAATCAGCAAAATATTTATTAATAATTCCATAAATTTTAATTTTTTTGTACAGGAGTGTCAAAGAAATGAAATAGTAATATAATATGTATATATGTATGTATCCTATGTTCATAAATTTTGTATACACTTCAACATCATTGAGATAATTTCGGACAAATAAATTATTTAAATTACTTAATCATATAGCCACTCAGCTTTTAAATAGCTTATATGTATGTTCAATACCGATTGAAAAATCGTTTGTTTTTTTGTGTGTTTTTATTGTATTAAACGTTAATTACGCGAAGGTTATATATTATTTGACTATTTGCCGAAAAACAACAACATATTTTTTATATAATAAATATTGTAAATAACACGCATGTTTTCGTACAAAAATAAAAATTGAACCTTTAAAAATATTTCTATTTGGTTGGATCTTTGAAATTTTAATATATGCTTGCGCTATATATGTATGTACATTTAAGGACATATTCAACAAATTTGGAGTAGTTGAACAACTCTGTAAACACAACGATATTTTATACAGAAATCTTGTGCTTATGTAGAAACTAACTTAAGTATCAATTAAGAATTTGACATTTTTGTTTTCTATATTAAAATATTGTCATTTACCGAATGGAATACAATTACTTCTCTCAACTACTCCGTTAAACGGAGTGGTAAAGTTGGAAATATTTTTTACCCGAAGTATTATAAGTTTGGTGTTATAAGATATACGGAACACAAATTTATGATTAATATAAAAACAATATAGTGATGAACGTTGAAAAAATGATTTTTTGTTCAAAACTGGTATTTAAATTTATCTTAAGAAAGTTAATGTAATCGAAAAGCTTATATGGATTGAATGAGAAATCTAAGAAAGTCATAAATTTTTAAATGTCTAATAATAATTCATAAAAGCAATATTATATTGATTAAGCCAATTTTTCTCAATATACCGATTATAGCACATATTTTTAAGACTATATTTACATTTAACAAATTTTCCCTAAAGAGCAATTTGAAAAGTACTCAAAAAAACATTAAAACTCAAAAAATTGTGTCAACATTTGTATTAAAGCGAGCGCTAGGAAATAATGAGTTAAATCTAGAAAATATACATAATTTTTTTTATTTTGTTTTTTTCTTTTGTAAATGACAATTGGAATTTAATAAAAAATAATTTATTTTCTATTATACAGGTAAAAATTAATATAAAAAATTAAATATTTTCAGGTGTTAAAAGAAGATGTTAAAACCCCAAACGTATATAAACTTTTAAGAATACAACAACAATAAGTGCAGAAAAGGAATTAAAAAGATATTAAGTAGTTTTCAAATTGGAAAATTAAATTAACTATAATGTATTTAGTTTTCAAAATATAGAAAAGGAAAAAATACTATAAAAACAAAAAACAAAAAAATTTTATAAATATTTATGTAATTCAAAATTTTTCTTATGTGCTTAAAAATAATTTATATTTATATATACTTGTATAAAACATTTTGTCTGTCTATTTGTCTATAATCTTTGTAGGACACTATATACAAATTTTCCAAATATATTATGGAATAAATTATCAAATTCTTACATAGAAATTAGATAGTATATGACGTACAAAAATGTTCTTGCTATATATAATTTATTATCATACATATATTTATATATATATATAAAAATACATGTAAATTTTAAACAAATTATATAAAATGAAGTCAATTAAAGAAAAAAAAAACAATTATGTAAAATTAAGTCAATTAAGACCTCTTTTTATATAATATTAAAAAGTAAGTACGATTTTCAAAATATTAAAAATATTTCAGATACGTGCTTTTTAGTATTTAAGTTAATTAAAGAAAAAAAAGAACACAAAAAAAAATTTTTTTTTGTAAGCATAAAAAATTGTTATATAAAAAATTCTGATATGCTAAAAAAAAATTATAATAAAAAATTAAATCGAATAGGTATACCCTAATTCCTTTTACTTAAAAATACCTCTTTGATTATCCTGGTAAAAAATATATTATATAAAAAAAAAAGAATAAATTAAATCACAATTTTAAATATAATTAAGCTAAAATTAAAATAAAAAATTAAAATGTTATATTGGGGCTCTAATAAGGATGTAAGAAAGAACAATATGGATAAGAAAACTCGCTGAAATTTACTTATATTTGAATTTCATTTGAAAATAAAACAAAAATAATTATTTTCAAAAAATATTTTTTAAAAAAAAACAATGTGAATAAAAACGCAATATAAACAAGAAATTTTTATTGTATAACAATAGTATAAATTTAAAATAATTAAAATGATATATATATAAATATATATATATCTATATACATAAATTATATATACCCATATATACATATATATATACATATATATATACATATATATGCATATATATATATACATATATCAAACACGCTGACACTGTATATGTAGAATATTAATAATAAAAAAACATCCTAATTTGGCTGGTCCAAAAATATTGAAATATTTAACTTCATATAATAATAAAAAAAATTGTAATAGTAATTTATAACAATAATAAAAAAGAAATTGTAGTGAAGTTGTATTTAAGGAAAAATAAATTTAGAATTTATTGGATAAATTTTTTGTAAGATTTATTAAATATAATTTTATACAAAATTATTTTTTCGAAAGAGGCATATCGAAGCCAAGAGTATTTTCTCAAATATTATCTACAATTTAATATAATTTTCAACCATTAGTAAGTAAAAATAAATAAACGCATTAATCATTATAAATATATATATATATATATATACAAAAGAAAATTTATTTTATATTATAAATTATAATTTTATATGGTATCATTTGTATAAATTAAATTACTTGGAAGAATTCGCGTTTTTAAAAATTCAGTTTAGCTTTTCAAGCAGTTAGTTGGTATTTGTAACATGCAGTATCTTAGTTTAATGATAAATGTTAAGATAATGTTTTTAAAAATTAAGTGCTGACTTTGCAATAATTTTGAAAATCATTTACTGTCAATTAACCATGTATGAAATATGAACAAATTGGCAATTTAATTTTCTTTGCTGCCAACTATATGATTTTTTTTTAACAAGAACTTTTCTGATTTTAAAACAGTACTGCTATTCCAGATATTTTCTCAGTACTTGACGTACAAATTTGTCTTGTTTGCTCTCAGAACTGTTAGCTCAGTATACTGAATATTAAAAAACACCTGATGTAATATCCTCGATTTTTAAAATTTATATGTAATAATCAATCACAAAATCAAGATTTAAAAATATTTTTATTAAAAATTTTATTAATATTGACTTTTTATTATTTTTTAAATGTTAATACATTTAGATTAAATAAAATACATATAATACGTATTAAAAATAACCTTATTTGACTTCACGGTTCTTCACAACTATTTTTAAAGTATAAATATTAAAGAAATCATTTAATTTTGATGATAATTATTAAAATACTTAAAATTAAGCAAATTTGAATAGGTACTGAATAGGTTCAATATTATTAGGTACTAATTATATTATAAAAACATTATTTTGTGTTCTGCACTAAATCTTTGCTGAAAATGGTTTATATAGCCCATTTATGAAAATGCAGTATAATATATTTGTGTACATAAACAAATGTTGCTAACATAATTTGTTCATAAATATAAGAAAATTCGTAAGAGTAGCGCAGTTAAATTATTTCAACTGTTTTATTTTATAGAATAGTAAAAAATAACACTTATTCATCAATCATCACGTTATTTTGTTTGTACTATTGCGTTTCGGAATTATTGTTTTTGCAGTATTGCGTTTAGAACAATTTTTCGAATATTTACATAGTGTGGTTGTTGAATATATTTTTATAAACGTTTTAATATAATATCTGTCTTGTTACGTCATATTCTAAGTTACATTTAGAAAATTTTTCAGAAGAACGATTAATTAAAAGTTTTTTTTCTTAAATTCATTAGTAGAAGTTAATAATTTTTAAAATCCCATCTTTGTGTTTGGAAATCCATCCTTAAAATCATTTTTTTCTATAAGAAAATGTCGATTAAAGATAGCTTGACATAAGAAAGATTTGAGATTTAGTATTCACTTTTAAAGAGCAACAACAAAATATGTGTTATGTTTTTCGAATTAACATTAAAAATAATAGTAAAATCTAATGAGACAAAAAATAATTTTTGGTTATTTTATTGCTAAGAATCATTTTAAGTCCACTTTTGTGGAATTTAAGATGACCATATGTACTAAATTATAATATGCATAGGAAAATTATAGGTAAAACAAAAAACTATATTTTATCACTACACTTGTGTATACCATTTATATACATTGCTTGCTATCTGTAGGCTCAAACTTTATTTGGTTTAAAGTTTGGACAACAGGTGGGAGGGGTATTTAGAATATATATTTTGTCTTTTTAGGATCTTGTCGCACATTGCAAGTACAATTTTATTTATACATAATATTACAACATTTTGTTACAGTATTATTTTTCTTCTAGTTTAAATAAATTCAGTGGAATCTGTGTATAAATTATGAGTTTTTACAAAAATATCGGAGTTTGAAATATTTTCGAACCACTCCAGCACGATCGAGTAAATACTGAGTCTCTATTAATATAAAAAAATTTAAAATAGAAAAGATTATAGCTGTAATTTACAACTTTGAAGTTTCTAATAAACAAACTTTCAAATTACATTTATTACTAAAATAAAAACTACTATTTTAAAAGCACTCTACTGTTATATAAAAATTGCGATAACGTAGAAATTATCTAGATTTTCTGATATAAAATTTTAAGGAATTTTAATTCATCTTACACCGCTTTAATGTTTATCATAAAATAGTAAGTACATATTTGTGTGCGGTTTCATTACAAAAAAAAATTAAAAAATAAAATAATCGTAAATGTAACGCTTACGTAATCGAAGAAAAATAAAATAAAAAAAAAAAAAACAATCTTTTTAGAATGATTAGCACTTTTCAGTTACTGTCGCATAGAACAAATATAGATAGCGTGTGTATATTATTATAACTGAAGCAATATGATCAAATATATATGTATGCATGTATAATGTAAGAAAGCAAAATTTAAAATATTATGGTATATTTTCCTTATCATAAATAATTATTGCGCACATTAATTTTATTAAAATGATTGGAGTATTGCCCAAATTTTTCTATAGATCGTACATATTTGTATTTTAGTAAATGAACGATTTTATTTAGACCTCTGTCCATTATTTTTAATTATAATGGAAAAAAAATAATTGAAAATTCATTTTTAACGCACATGATAACCAAAAATTAGAGATCAATTATTGAAGTAATTAAAAAATCAACAATTGCTTGAAATTAAAATAAAAAATCCTATAACTTTGAATGGAAATTCTATGAGAAATTAATTAAAAATAATTTGTTTATTTCTTATTTCTTCTTTATTAATTAAACTTGTTTATAAACGACAAATATAATTTTTTTGTTCTTTTTCATTTAAGAAAATTAATAAAAAGTAAAAAGTAAAAATGTATATTAAATATTTAGTATCCTAACGACAGATTAACAAATTTAAGTCTCCCGTTATATATTATATAAATTTATGTATTAATTTTATCACAAATAACAACTAGTTGTACACAAAATTAAGTTTATAAAAATATTGCAAAAATAACATTTTTTTTTGTAAAATGATTTTTTTTTTTTGAACAAAATGTTTAATAGTTCTTCTTTTTAACATTGTTTTAAAATTAATGAAAACAATCGTAAACATAACTTATGTATCTTACAAATTTATAAGAATATTTCAATTAATTTTGAACTAATTACAACAACCATTTACACTTAAATATTTTTCTATAGCAGAAGGAATGTCATCTTTTGTTTTGGAATTATTTCCGAATCCCAAAAGTTCAGGAACCACTATCCGTCCTTCTTGTATATCTTTTGCCTTTTTAAGTAAATCATAATTGATCAATTCAGTAACAACAGAATCACCTCTGAAATTTGCAAAAAAAGAATTATTTTTAAAAGTAAAAATTGTGTAAATTATATTTATAACAGTTTATCCAATCATAAATTTTACTAGTAAAACTAATCTGATATTTTAGATCAATTTATAAAAATTATAACATAAAATATAAAACTAAAAAAATTTCAGGATTTTTTGGGTTGTAATTGGAATAAACATTTCTATACTAGAATAATTGATATTTTACAAATACTTACTTATAGTCAGAATGATTTAAGATCTCCTTACGTATCCACGTTGCAGTTGTTAAGAGTTCACCAGATGCTCTCTTTTGGATTAGGCGCAAGTATTGTTGAATTGTACAATGTGTGTCAGCATCTACGTCCATCGACTGCAAATAACTATGGATCAGTGGTACTAAACCGGGAAACGTTTTCGGCTTAAAATGAAGTTTTATTTAAAAAAAAAATTATTTGAAAGATTTTTATATCATACTTTTCCATTTATAATTTCATCAATAGTCATTTCTTCATATTCTTCTTCCGTTTCACTTTGTTTGGCATATTCAAAAGTATTTTGCTCAGATTTTACATTGCTTGAATTGTCAACATTTTTCCTGAACCAAAACTTTTCAGCGCGACATGCATCACGTTTTTGCGCCTTTTGCATATTTTCATCCACCTAATATATAAAATAGTTTTTTTGAGTAACACTCTGGGTTAAACTTGAATATTAGCAAACCTTGCTAATAGGAATTAAAAAGTTTAATTTGTAAGATAAAATAACTCTCGTTAATAAAACAACAAAACAAACAATAGCTGCATTTTCGAAGTCAGTTAACTGTAGTTCACATGGCCGAAATTCAACTCGCCAACCGATTGATGAATTTATCGGTGGGGGTTTGAACCGCATAGTTTGCCAGTTAGTTGATTGAATATTTTCAAAATGGTCTGTATCTTCTTCATCGTTTTGATTAACTTTTTCACTAAATAGTGAAACCGAATCTCTAATGAATAAATGTGCAATATGTTGTGCCAACAAATGGTCGATATTTCCTTCTCTTAAACGATTGTAAAGAGTTTCATCATATATCAAAGAAACATCATTATACCTAAAATTACGAAATTATTAAAGGAATCTTCAAATATTTTGTCATACTTTTCTCCTTCAGAAGATAAATAAGAATCTATAGAATCGTAGCGCGATTTATATATTCTCCTTTCTCCTCCTTTTAAGGCAGTTTCACCTCTTTCTCCAGAAGTTCTGCAATCAACTGATGCACTTATTACGTTCCATCGGCAATCAGATTCTGTAAGATAACCTCTGTAAGCTGGAGACGCTGCTGTAAAAGCTAGCATTATTGGGCATAGCGGTGTCAGTTGATCATACAAAGTACGAGCTTCTTCAATACAACAGGCTTGAAAAGTTAACTGTAAACAACAACAGCCCATCCCAAAACCCATAGCATCTAATAATACTGTACTTGGTTCGCCTAAAGGACTGCCATCAACAGGGATTTTTGTATTTTTATCTTTAAATACTGCAAATTTAATTTTAATTATTATTAATCCTGGATTAATACCATTAAAATTTACCCTGTAATTTAATAGCAACTTTTTCTCCTCTTCTCATTCTAATATTGCGAGTTAAAGTTTTGAATCTTGGGTGACCAGGATAAATGGCTTCATCAGGGAAATATAATGATCTTGCTGCAGATGATTCATCGTCTGGAGTTGTATCATATTCTGGATAAGTAAACTTATCGCATCCTAAGCGGGGAAAATTTGTAAATGAAATTACCGATTCGTCAGGGTGCAATAAGGCAGATACTTCTTGTCTTCTATAACGCATATTGGCCTCAACAACATTAAAATGAGCTAAAGATCCACCATAAGGTTTTCCGGGCGTTCCTTCAATCATATAGGCACCATATTCAGGCCTCCACAAAGATTTAACACCTTAAAAAGTAAAGATAAATTGCTGGCTACGTAAATAATATAAACAACAGATATAATATAATATTTAAGTAATATATTTGGGTAACTATTTCATTAAAATATATAATTATATAACTTTAACTACCTTCAGGATCATTCTGCTCTTTTTGATTTAAAATATTTAAAATTTCTTGAGCTCTCAAGGAAACTTGTGCCTTTTTTTTCTGCTCATCGAATTTAACAAGAATGTATTCAATCTAAAAAAAAATGGTTCTTAATATAATATGTATGTATGTATATATTATTTTGAATATAATATATGTATGTATGTATGTATATGTATTCCTTAATAATTTACTCCTCGTACCTCATCGCCCCATTTTAAAACATCTCCTTTTCTATCTTTAAGACGATGATACAAATTAATAAATTGCTCAATGCCGTGTTTGCGAACATGTGGTGATAGTTTTTTGGTTTCTTCCCATGATAAAGGACTTCCTTCGCTTAGTAAACCCATTTTAAGTACAAATATTCTCGAAATTGAATTTCCTGATAAAAAAAATTTTTAAATTAGCACTGCAGCAATATCGTTACACTAATAATTATCATAAAATAGTAATGCATATATTCTAAAAAGTCGAATTTTTGTGTTTTATGCGCTAAACTGATAGCTTCAATAAATCTGATTAACTATTATTAATTAACAGCAATCACCAACAAATCTGAGATAATCAAATCCCTGAATAATATACATTAGATGCTGACAACAAATAATTTGAAAAAGTTTGTTATTCATTTTTTTTAATTGTGAAAATATGTAGATCTACAAATTAAAAATTTAAATTTTATTGTTACAATTTGACATTCGCTTACTCCACAAATATAAAATTATAATTTCTTAATTATTTTTATTTTTGAGATTATTATGATGATATACATACACATGTAGTAAATATGTATGTACATGCATGTATAACCTATCTAATTAGGTATAATGTGCTATATTAAATACTGAATTGAATTTCATAAGCTTTGAAATAATAAGCAGGTGAAAATCTCCTACCTATTAAAAAATATTTTGTAATTAAATGAAAACCCACATTTAAAAAAAAAATTAAAATGTTAATGAATTACAAAAATTATAGGTTCTAAATTTTTCACCAAAATAAATTAAGTTATTTAATATTTTTTATATAGGCAATTAAAGAAATTTAATTAACGTTTCAGTATTAAGTACCCAGAAAAAAAATTTTAACATCTCATTTTCCTTACTAAAAAATAAATATAGGAACCTTTAAATAATATCTATCTAGTAGGTCGCTATAAATTGCAAGTTCAGCATTACGCCACAATATTGTGATAATACATGCCATTTTACAGCGATAATACACAATTATTATAATAAATACCTACTTTATTATATAAAAATTTGATTCTTTATTTCTGTACAAGCTAGTGGAAAAGCAGGAATGTATTTACTTACACACTTATCTTTAAATTCAATATCTGGGATAATTTACCAAATCGTAAACTGTAAGCTACTTGCACTAATAAATTAATTTTCAAATTTATAGCTATTTTATTATTGGTGTAAAAAATTCAAAATATGGAGTTGCCTTGAGTTGTGTAGTAAGTCGTAGTGACCACTTCTGATATATTCCTTATTCAAATTTAATACTGTTTTTATGTAAATCTCTGAATAGATTGACAAAAAAAATTACGTCTCAATTTGTTAAATAGAGGAGTTGTATTGTTAAGACAACCATAAGTTTTGGTGCACAACAAAAAGATGATATATTATTCAGTTGTATACAACACTGTCATACCACGGAATTTCTTTTTTTTATGAAAAACAAATTTGAAAAGTCACAAATCAAAATTCCAAGAATTTTCATATTTTTTCTTCTATTTTAATGAGGTTATTATTTATATTATTAGATACATACATATGTATATAATGTATACCTATAGCTATAATTATGATTTTACCATTAAATATATGTTCATATTTATGTATTATTCATGCTATTCATTGTAATTTTCCAAAATTCTTATTTTGGACGAATCATGCTGATATGCATTATTAATGTATGTATGTAGTATGTACATAGTTAATTATTTACAAATACGAGATATTAAGGTTTAGTCTTTTTATTAGAACTTAATATTTAAATATTTCAATATATTTAAATATTAAATATTTTTATGTTTGACCACTGATTAAAAAAATAAAATTTATTTCTATCTATATGAACGTATATATGTATATTCAAGCTTGATTAAATTAAATGCACATTATATAAACTTAAATATTTCCTATGTATATGCTAAATTTACAGATTTACATATTATTAATCAATAGCTTATATGTAAATATTTTACTATTTCGAATTTTGTCGGCAAAATCTTATATGTTCTTATACTTACAAATACTGCGAAATCACACGCGAAATCACTATTTACGTTTTTAATAAGTACACAAAGTTTGAATTGTTCTATATTTCTTTAATTTGCCGTACCTATGTTAAATACTTAAAAATGTAGCGAACTAATTTAAACTAAATTCCAAACCTGATAAACCTGTCCTATAGTTTCAAAAACACTACGAAGCATCTACTTTTTCACCTTGCTGTTGTGTTGTTTTTGTCATTTTATACTTTTTCAATTTTAAGCATTGATAATTATTTGTCATATTTACTGACAGCTTTTCAGTTGTCATAAAAATGAATAGTCTTATTATATAAATTACAGTGTTGATACTGCATTTGGCAAAAATTGAATTTAAGGTTAGTAGAATAGGTGCTCCTTTTACAGATAACGTATGTAGTATATTGATGACGATTTTTTATACATATACATAGATATAACAGTTCTCGCCTTCAGTGACATAAAAACTTTAAAAAACCTTAAAATTTAATTTGATTTATTAAATTTTCTTTTTATCTATAATTTTATCAACTGTTATCAAAAATTTTACACAATTATTTTATACATACACATCATATGTAGCTTTGAATGTTCTGATAAATATTCATTTTATATTCACACTAACTTTTTTCTCTTGAATTAAAACATCGCAAAACTGTAAGGTGCAAAATGTAAGTAAAATAGACTACAGTTTCCGCGAACAGAATTGTAAAGAAGAATTGGGAGTATTTACATACATAATTTATTAGTTAAAAAACTAAAGCAAATTGCATTTACTGTTCTTATTAACCGCATGGAGAAAATTGTTAAGAAAACTTATTTGTAATCTGATCCCGCGGTCTTTTGCTTTTAACCAATCTCGGTTCCGACGATATATCTTTTTTATCGATGGTCATCCTTTGAGTCAGTAGGAAAATTGATCGGACAATTGCTGTAGTTGATCAAAATATGATAATTGTTCTGATAACAATTTCCTCCTCGACGTTAATTATCCAACAAAGGGTTGCTTACAGTACAATACTCACAAATTTGACTCGTGACCTTATGTCATAGTACTTGTCGTGTGATATTTAAGAAATAATATGTCTGCATTTTGTTCTGTAAAATAATAGTTCGGTCTTAGTTAAGTTTACTCCAGGTCCGTACTTCTTCACTGCAAAGCTTGTCTCAGTCATTGTCGCTTCCAAAACACTACTTTAAAGATCAAACTTCGATAGTCGGATGACAAGATCTTAGCCCTGGAGATCGTAATATAAGATGGCCGCGCTGTAAGTTGACTATCTATTGAATCTCAACAAGATCCTATTCATGATCATGAATGAGGGTTCTCTTATATTTCTTGTCATCCCACCGTGGCTCCGTCATCATCGCCAATAACCGGCTACAGTACAATTTGAAACTTTATTTTTATTAATATTTTAATGAACTCGTTATTACGTTCGAATCAACTTCAAATTCTTTTTTAAATCACTTGAGACTTTGTAAGCGCTTTTTTTCACCATTTGTAAATTTTCCTTCTTAATATTAGGGTCCATTACTTACAAATTCAACACGATTCGTCAAATACAAATTATAAGCTGAATGAAATTTTATAAAACTAATTTTCGTACGGCTTTTAGGTTTTTAAAAAATCTGATTTATTCGACTCTGTAAAATTTATTGCCAATAAGCTTATTGTCATTCAACACCTGAAAAGACTACATTGATCACTAGTATCAAATAGACGAACGAGTTTTCTTACTTGCTATGATTTTTATTTTTTTCTTAAAAGTAAAAAAATAAGAGAAAAAGAGACAGAATATTTACACATATGTATGAATTGTAATTTGTAAAGAGTAGTTCAGTGGTTGCGTATTATAGACTAATCAGGGAGCAAGAGTTTGATTCTAGTACAGAGCATCTTTTTTTTTTTAAATATTATAATACATACGCTTAGATATATTTTAAAATAAAAAAAATAATTAAATACAATATTTTCAATTTTATACAATAAAAAATTATAATTAATTTGTGTAACTGAAGTTGTAAATCGTTTTAAACTAACGACAGATCATTCATGCTAAATTTGCAAAACTAAGTGCATATGGCGTAGTTCTCAAAGTAGAACAGCAAAACCCTCATGGCTATATCTTTAAATTTTTCGTAGCTAAAAAAGGTTTTTAATGATTACCGCATTAACTAATATTTGTTGTAAACTCAATTGATGACAGAAATTTAACGTTCAAGTTACAATTGAATAAGATATAGAAACTTTAAAGATTTATTTTTTGTAGTTCTCCGTTTAAATTCAGTCTCATACAATTACAAGAGGCTCTACAAGATTGTTAAATAAATGTTTTATGTAATAAATTTAATTTTTTCATAAAATTTTATTATCTCAGTTAAATAAAATACAGCATTAAAAAAAAATAGCTCAGCAAGATTCCATTTCTGCCAAATCGTTGTTATAAGCCTATGTTCAATTCATCATACGATTGAACTAATCTGGTAGAAATCTGTAAAAAAAAGAATAAGTAAGTTCACTTTCTTAAATGGAATTTTATTCATGTATGTAGGTATATGTAAAAATGAGAACAATTTAATATTAATTAAAAAAAAAATTTTTAATGATAACTCATATAATTCAGCTGTTCGCGAAATTTATATTTTAAAAAATATAAATTTTGAAGTTCAGAAAACTGGAATTTTCTCTTAATTTTATTTGCAAAAAATATACTTCTGCAAATACTTTAGTATTTCAGTAAAAATAACTATGTCAAATAACTATTCAATCTGCTTAACAATTGAAAGACATAAACTCCCATCAAACAAATGGAAGAAACTTCAAAATATAAAAACGATATAACAACAAATTAAACGCTATGATTTTGATAAATCCTTTTTACCAATTGCTTTGCATACAATATGAGAGATTATTTCAAGGCATCAAATTTTGAATATCGAGTTTTTGATGGCAACGCACTCCATAGTACGGAAGCGTAAACAAATTACTTTTAGTAGGATGTCGGTCTGTCTGTTCGCCTGTCTGTCGCTCTGTGTGTACGCTTGTATCTCAAATATAATGTTTTTTGGAAAGATTAGGGCCCGAAAACCGAACTAAGAACATTTTGATGTGAAATTATAGACGAAAGAAAAGCTTCCTTTTTTCATTTTTTCTTTTTTAATTTTATAATTTAATTTATTTGAACCGTCTTGATATCTGAAAGCTTCAAAATATCTTATACGCGATTTAAGGATGTTGATTAAAATATTGAAAAGATGTGCACTTTTTATATAATATAAAAAAAATAAAAAAGAAAAAACAAATAATTTTCGATCATTTTAAAAATCCTTATTTATGTTGAGATCCATGTTGCACTAATACTATCTTTAACCTCGGTTAAGCTTATATATGAATTGCTGAATCCAGCTTTGAAATATATTTTTGAAATTAATTTCAAAACCGCAGTTACTGCATTATCGATCTCAAGACTGATTTGTTATTATTTAAAAACAAATTATTTTTAAAATTTAACTTTGAAAAAGAGGAAACAAAGCTTAGCATAGTAGTTTACACAGTATTCACATGTACACATTTATTACGGACCATATTGCATATAGCGAAGGTTATGTGATGGCAAAAAATTTTTAATAACGAGTTTTCAGTAGGAACGCACTTCTCCACAATAGGCAAGCGTAAATAAATTATTTTCAGAGAGAATTTTCCGTCTATGTGTTGTGCACTCGTGCATCTCAAGTTCGGCTGAACCGATTTTCATGAAATTTTATATGTGTGTTTGCTTTGCCTATATCGCAGATTGATCAGCTTTTGGAATATATCAGACCTCGGGAACTGAACTTTTTGCAGGCCAATTTTAGGTTTTTGCCCATGTAAAGAGAAATAATCAAACAATTTCCTCGAAATTTTATAATTAAATTTTTAGTGTTAAAACAATGAACATATACATTTTTTTAGAACGATCAGGGTTCAGAAACTAAACTGGAGGACAATTTTACAATTTTTACCATATCTACAGAACGGGTTGAAGAAATATCTTGAAATTTGATATTTGAGGTGAACAATTTGAGGTCAGGAAATTCGGATGACACAAAGCGAAGAGTCAAATTTACATTTTTCTAGGTATGTTAACTAAAAGCTTACTAGCATCCTTAAAATTTGAAAGAAGTGTTTAAAAGGCATTTTTATAATCTTATACAACATTTTTGCTAAACACACCTTGCACCCGGTTATGCGCTAACCACATCAGATTTTTTTTATAAATTGCATACAAAATAAGCTCTGACAACTAAAGTACATTAAATTGCATAAATGAAATTTTTTTAACATCAACAATTTAAATTAATTTTTGAAGAATCTACAATATAATTTTATTATTGATTATCATAAATCATTCACCATTCCATTTGATTTATCACTAAAAATTTGATTTTTTTGTTTATGCCAAATCGTCAAGTTTAAAAATTAAATTTATAATGAATTTTTCATGAAGTAAGCAAAAAAATTTACGGAATTTTGATGTAAATATTGTAATAAAAATAAAAAATGAGCTTCATCATAAAAAATTTCACTTTATTCATTTTTTACGTGAGTTTAACAAATTATGTAAGTACACATGTATGTAGGTAGGTACTTTATAAGTGCCATTGAAATAGGTAATTTATTTATTAATTTTTTTTTGTTTTTTCTGGTTTAGTCTGAAAATGATACCAATGATATTTATTAAGTGGTTTTTGTTTATGATTACCTTAAGCTTTTTCACAATATTGCTATTAAGTAATTTTCTCATCATTTTGTAGAATTAAAAAAGCTTAATAAATTTTTATTCTACACACAGTTATATGTGAATCTTGCATTTCATTTGTAATTTAAACGCCAACTAGAGAAGATACACAAGTATATTTTCCTAAAATTTTAATTTTTCAAATTTTTAAATTTTAACATTCAATTCGAAAAGTGTGATATTTGAACAAGTGTTTCACTAACTATTTTTTTTTGAAAACATGTGCAACCTATTTTAACGTAATATTAGTTGGGAATTCCAAAATATGTAGAAGTAAATTGTAAATTTAAAAAAAAATTATTAACGCAATTATTTCGGAATCCAATACACTTGTATATTATATTATACGTTGAGACAATACACTTACATATCTAGATTGTCTTTTCGGGTATAACTTCCTTTTTTTGACAAAAATGAAAACGTATCACGTGCATAAATTGAATTAAACCTCACGATTTAAAATATTATTTTATCTTCGAGTTCTAAAAGTATTAATACAACAGAATTCAAGAATTCTAACTTCAAAATTACAGCTATACGGTATTAGAACAAAATTCACCGATTATAGTTTATGGGCTGAATTGTGCACTAATATGCAATTATTGTAATTTTGAAGTCAGGGAATAAAAAAACTAATTAAACTATTATTATAGAATGAATTAATTTATTTTAAAATTTCTTCTGTAAGGTCACGTATTTAGTATTGATTTTTAGAAACTTAAAATTTATTATACAAAGAAATAATAAATATTTAAACATTCCTAATAAATTACTATAAATATTAGTAAATGGAAGTATCTCATTCAACAGCAAGTAGGTAAGTACATATGTAAGTTATATTTATGAACTGTATGAGCGTCAAAAAAGGCAAATCTAATGTCAACATGACTTATTCAGCAATACTGTTTTAATTACCGAATAAGTTAATTTGGCGGTAGATTTGAATTTGATAGACACCAAATATGTGAAATTTTTTCAAAAGTTACAACGTATTAATACATATGTATAATGTTAAAGGAAAAATTCGATTAAGTTCCATAAATGTACCTGCAAAGAACAATTGTTAAGAACACGCATATTGGAATTACATACAATAAGACTAATATATTGCAACACAATTCAGCTCTTTATTGTTCTAAATGCTGAAATCTTGTTGCATTCCTTATATGACAAACTCTAACCTTTAGGGAAAGTGTTAAATTTTTTGATAATAATTTGATTGAAAGAACTTTCAAATATGTCAAACCAATTTAATTTAATTTTTAGTTAAAACGAAGGCATTATTCTACTGGAAATATTTTTAGAATTTTATATTATCCTAAATATTTTTGGATAATATAAAATTCCGCGTGTAACTGTTATATAAGAATTGACTAAATACAATTTTATGTATTTGCTGAACAAGTTAAGTTGACCATATATTTGTTATATGGCAATTGGCAATAGGAACGTCTACTTCATGCAAATACATTTTTAGCTTAAGTTATTCAGCAATACGTTACAACTTAAATCGTTGAATAACATAAATTGACGTTAAGTTTGTACTCGTATTTAGGAGTTTGCTCTGTAGGTTTCGAAATGCATGAATCGTAAACAAAAATAAATGAAAATGTTAAATTCTTTTTTGAATTTGAACAAAGAAAAGGTGAATTTCTGATAAGTGAATGTTCTCTTTTTATTTTATTTATTTTTATAATCAGCACTCAAAATTTATTCTTTTTTTTCTTTTTTTGTAAACAGGTACTTTACAATTAATGTAATGAAAAAAACACAAACGTAAATCAAAAATAGTTGTTTTTTCCAATTTAAAAAAACCCTACTTGTTTCACATTGACCTAGTTGAGATTATAATATTATCTTAACAAAAAAAAAAAAAAGAATTCAATTCAAAAAATAACTAATGTTAAACTTAGTGTTAAAGAAATCAACGCCACAAAAATGCACGCTGCAATTTTATGGTATGTCATTAACAAAGTAAATTCTTCATATTATGCATAATTTTTTACTTGTTTGCGGGAAAAAGCTTCATTCTCGTATTAAAATTTAAGTATTTTCCTATATATGTGCAGACAAGGCAAGAATTAAAATATGCATATAGGATTAACAAAAAAAGCTGGTTAAATAGATGATAAAATTTCATCATTTATAACTTTTTTTTTAGTAAAACAACTTCATTTAATTAATTTAAAGTTTGCTTAACGTTTCTGAAAACAATTCATATTTTCTTTTTTATTTATAGGGTGTTAAAGAGGTAGCTAATTATTTAACTAGTACACTGTCATTGATATGGTGGATCTCAGCTAAAAAATTAATTACAATAATTCGAAAACGAAACAATTAAAGAGAGGCTTTTTACAGAGGTATTTTTACTTTTTTTACATCTTTGCGGTAATATTAGAGATTTTTATAAACGTAATACTGCAACACAATAACTGCAAAACGCAATACTGCAAAGTTTAGCATAACTGTAAAATCAAAGCAGTACACATGATTTAACAGCGCTAATAATACTAAATTGACTATATTATGAAATTTTAGCAATGTTTATGAATAAACCAGATTATAGCAACATTACTTTTATGAACACAAATACTGCGGTAGTTTTCGCTATATATCGTGATATATTGCGTTTATGAAAAGTCGTACTAACTTCGGTCTAACTTTTTGAAATAAATTTTATTTACGTATAATATTATAGTTGTTATATAAAATAATTAAAAAATTTTTTTCACATAACTTTGTCAATATTTAACCAGTTGTTTGCGTTCTTGAAAATTGTAGAACAAAATAAATATTGAGCGTCTACCAAAATGAAGATCTAAAGTTAATTTAATGTTATTCAGAATTGAAAATTGTTTCACTGTCATAAGTCAAGTTTACACTAAATTTGCGTTTCTGAAAATGCCAACTTTTTCACTTCAAAATATTTTTCTAAACAATAATAAAATCAAATGAAAAAAAGTGAAAAGGTAACAATAACTAAATAAATTAATAAAAAAAATTCTGACTCCAAAATTAAAGAAATATAGCAGAATTAACATAAAATTTCCTTTTAAAAAAAAAATAGTTTTTTATTAAAATAAATTAGTGTTATGTATCTTTGGTGCAATAGAAGCAGAGCCAAATTTTTGATTAATTGATTAAAAAACTAGTTGGTGCAATATTGCCCTGATTTGTTAATTATTGCAACGGTAATGCATTGTTTGTGGAAAATAGAAAAGTAATCAAAAATACAAAGTTTTTGAAAAAATAATGTGCGGAATATTATACAGTAAGTATTTAATATTTAAATACAATATAAATACAAAAGAAATATAAAATTTTTAAAATACAGACTTTGAATTTACTCATTCAGCGATACGATATTAATTTTAATTGTCATATAAAGATACCGAAACGATTTCGTAGAAGTAAGTAAGTAAAGAACATTAATACATATTTTTTTGAAAATGGAAGTAAAATGAATAAAATATTTCATCAAAATGTGTTTTATTTCTTGCATGACACAATTTTAATTTAAGCAAGTAAGTATATTTAAGGCATATTGAATGAACGTTCATTATACAATACAAGAGACTGTGTAATGAACTAAAATTTTCTTCTTTTAATGAAATTTAGAAAGTTTTTTTTAAATTTTTAAAGAAAATAAAACAACGAAAAAGTTATGGTTTGTTTTTTTCTTATTATTTTACTATAAAAATATTATTAATAGGTTTATTATTTAAAATTATTAGACATAATTTATAAAACACAATAATTATAAATACAACCTGCTTTATCACTTATTAGAAAAAGAATTAAATTTTAAATAGTATAATAAAATTATATAAGAAATAAGTTTTCAGTAATAAAATTTGGTAATAAAATTTGGTTTAAGAACGCAGGGAAAATGCCGGGAATATAAAGTTATGTGTCTTCTTTAGTTACTTTAGCACGAACATTTCTGTAATGATCTGTTATAATAAGTATTTTACGATAATATGGTACTCAAAAAACAATTCAGCTTATATTTGCTGAATTATATATTTATACTGTATTACTGGAATTCAGAAATCACAATTATTATTCCAATATTTAAAAACTTTAAATTCCAGATCAGAAACATTCGTGACTAAATTTAGGTGAATATTAAAACAATTAAAAATGAATCAAAGCAATTAGGAAAGTAAATGTGTCTAAAGTTAATTAATCAAAAGAGGTTAAGTATCTAAAGTTTTGTTTATAATAAACAAATAATTTGATTAATTTTAGAATAAGAAAAATAAGATAATAAAGTGAAAACAATTGAAAAATTATAATTTTTAAAAATCAATTCTTAACAAGGATTTTTAGGTTATGTAAGACTCAGGAATGTAAGATTTCATAAATAATGAGAAATAATCAACAAAATTGAACATAATCATTTCATAGACGTACAAGTTATTATAGAGTCAAAAATATTATTTATTTATAATTATTAATTGGTTTTAATTTGTACTAACAGCCAGTCCAGAATGTGTTCGAACTTTCAAGGTGGTATATAAGCTTTTAATAAAAGTGATTAAATATCATATTATAAATGGGATAGAGGTGATGGTATATCAAATTGTCAACTTTGCCAAAGAGAGCAATAAAGAATAAAGACACGAATTAAAAAAAAAAAATCGATTTGAAGCAGAGGGTGAAATCAAAAAGTAAGTACTACGATTTTGTAGCAGTGTTACTAGCAACATAATCAACAGCTTTATATATTGATTGATTAAGAATTTTTTTGAAAAATAAACTAACCCTTTTTTATGGAATGAAATATACCATTTTTCATTTTGTTTTTAATTTTTTAAAAATTTGTTCGGTTTTTTTCGTCTTCAAACAGTGAAACTGTTGTGTTTTATGTTTTTGTAATTGCAATATTTTCACAAATTAACATGCACCGAACAATTATTTCCTCAATTAGGTGGTTAATTGATATTTTCTTTAATAATAATAACATTTTTAAAAAATACATAACATTAATTAGAAAACAGATTGTATCATTCACCAATTTAAATGAAACAGACAAAATTTAAAACATATAAAAAATGTCGTAAAATTCAAATATTGCAGTGTTACACTCAGACACTGTTACATTATTGTTTCTTTTTGACTTCATATAGTTTTGCTTGCCAGTCGTATTCACATCGTATGACAACTTAAACTGCTTAAGTAAAGGAAAATTATGAATTTCTATTCAAAATTGAGATTTTTAATACATTTGGTATTTAAAAAGTATCAATCTCGTATATCTTTTCAAATATTCTTATAACAAATGCATATTGCTGATGATATTAAAATAGAAAGAATAAACAGAATTTGAATTTATCAAGATAAATGAGAATATCGAAAAAAGGTCAACTGCTATTTGAGTCCCGTTCATATGTTAGTTCTGTAGAATGAACTAATCATATAATTATTAAGGTTTTAATACAGCTACATTAAATTAGTTGGAATTTCGTATAAAACAGGAGCTTTTAAGTTTTTGATATTCTATACATTATTTTTTTATATGTTTTTAGTTGTATAAGTATAGCTACAAACTTAAGCACTAAATTTTTTTTGCCTCTTATTTGAGGAATTTTATATTTAGGAATTTTTCAGCAGATTTTTTATGCAATATCATATGTCTCAATCACTATACAAGCACAAAATACCATCAGAATCCACAAAAAATATGTTATACGTATACTAATAAAAGATAAAATAAAATCCAAATAATAAATAAGGTGAAAATAAAACTACAAAATTATTTAAAATTTATTAAAACTCTCACGCAGAAAATTTTTATTTTTCACATTTATCCAAATTTGACCAGAAAGCAAATATTTCTACGAAAACTTCATCGAAAAACTATAAAATTGAAAGAAAAAATAAAGCATACTTGTGATGAATCCTTTTACATTTTGCAGATAACTAATATAATTTATAAAATGTATAACAACTAATGAGATGATTTTGAGCAAGTTAAAAGTTATTTTTTTAGGTGGAAGTTGAACGACAGCAATAATTAGATTTTTTAAAAATTTATGTAATCAATTAAAGCATGATATTACAAAAGCTTCATCATATTCGAATACTGTTATAGGGGAAGAAACTAAATTAAATCACTAAATAATCATAAAATAATCAAATATTCCTTTTTTCTTTTTCTATTTATAATAAACAAGCTCTCTTAAATATTTACTGAAGCTTAACGTCAACAGATCACTACTTTTTATGATATCATCTTTGGACTATTCTCTTTTTCTTGCAAATTATTAGGTAATTGTCATATTTAATATTTATCCTTATTACAATTAGATTTTCTAAGTACATACCTCCAATACAACGTATGTATTAACTACGAATTTTTGAAATTATGATGAAAATTCTAGTATATGAATTGAATAGATTTATCCAACAATATTTAATATTCCAATAATCGCAATGGCAGTAGTTTTGATAGGACTTAAAAACGCATTACTGTAAAAAAAAAACAAAAAAATACTCGCACAAGGATTTCAATTGTAAGAAATATTTTAAACAAAAGATTTTTCTTCCTTTCCACCTTAGATTTAACAATTTTAATAAACCTGAACCAAGTAATTTACCCCTGTTTAAAATTCCTACTAAAACCATGCTATTAAATTAAGAGTTTAATTAAATTAAAATAAAGAAATTTATGAAACATTGGTAACAGAGTTATTAATAAAACACAATAGTTTTGTATTTTATAAAATTAAATCTTATAACTAAATAATATAAGGATAACTAAAAATTTAACATCATATTTAGGTAGAAAAAACTGATAGAAACCGATAATTTTGTCTTACAAGTGATTATGATTATGTACATGTAAGTATAATGACAAATGTGTTTAGATAATTTTACCTTGTATATGGTGAGCCACTATTTTCTTGAGCACTATTTGGATCTGGTAAGACATATTTTTGGACAACCTATAAAGTAAAAATATGAAAAGAAAAATTTTTAGAAAGTTTATAGCACTATAAATTAAAGTTATCAAAAACCGTCTGTATTAAAATATAAAATTACCACGATGGTATCATAAAAGTCATAAGTGAAACGGATTAAAAATAAAACCGCGCCATCATGAAAGTCTACCGAAGTGAATTTTGTTCGAATTTCTAAATAAAAAATTTTCAATTAATTGAAAATATTTTTGTTCTTTATTCTTTTAATTAGCCTTAAGTCAATTTAAGTCAGTTAAATCAACACTTTAATAATTACTATATAAATAATAAACTTTTTTCTAATCTGTTTGAAGGATTGTACAAATACAGAAGATTTTGTAGATTAATAAATTTTGCAAAATATACATATTAAAAATTTACTTACAGTCATGTTACTCAGTTTATTGTGGCCCATATTGGCAGCCATATGAATTATCAAATAAAAATTGAATATTATGTACGCTACTGCTACAAAAGCTGAAAATGTAATACACAAAAAAAATTTTACACAAGTATTACATATTTATAATAATTAATTGAAAAAAAATTTAAGAAGTTATTTTTATAATATCGACTTTAAATTAATATTTAATTTTACCTATTAAAACTATGTATCCACTTCCTAAGTGATGCTCCATTATTTGAGAAACAACAAAAAATATATTTATACTAATAACAACGATAGTCAGTAGAATTGAAACTACTTTGTTTCCCCTAAAAATGACAACGATAAATATTATATATATCTAAAAAAATATCCGAATAACTTACACCCCATTTACAAATTCGCCCATAATATCGGAACTTGAAGTGAACGCTATTGTTGGAATTGCAGCAAAAGGTAATTGTAATGCCATGACAGCATTCAGTAAATCATTCATTCCAGTTAAATCTTCAATACTACTATAAAATGCTACTAAAAATGTTGGAACAATTGCAATAAATCTTGTAACTAAAACTCTTCTCCACCTTGGCCATTGCAAATTTAAAAAACCTTCCATGGCAAATTGACCAGCATATGTGCCAGTCATAGTAGAACTTTGACCTGCAGCTAATATTCCGACTGCCCATATATACAATGCAGCACTACCAAATGTACAACCAAGAAATATACCACCTTTATATAAATCAGCTTTTACAAGGTCAGTATTATTTTCAAATAATTTCAAAGCATCATCGTAATAACTTGTGTTAGCGCAAGAATTAACCTAGAAATGATTTCAATTTATTTGTATATTACATATAAACATTTAAAAGTTAATTTATGTACTTACAACATCAATATTTTTAACGCCATATAGCCCATGACCAAAAACTGTCACTACAAAAACATTAATAACAAATGAAACAAAAAGAGCTAAACAAGTTTCGATAAAAAAATAATAATTTGCGGCACGAACTTCTGAAGGTCTTTGTCGATTAACGTCTCTTGACTAGAAAATAATTATTAAAAGAATTTTTGTTTACAAGATATAACATCAACGCAAACCTTTACTAAAGCTGAATGCAAATACAAATTATGTGGCATAATCACTGCACCTACGATCCCAACAGCTTGTAATAGTTCATCGGAGCCACAACCTTTGCACCACGGCACAAACATACCTTCTAAAACTTCTGTTGGTTCAGCTTTGCTAACAACTGACTACAATTAAAAAATTACAGGAAAGCATAAAATGACACACATAATTGAAACTCACTATCATAGAAAATATTTTAACAATTAAAAATGTAAAAAAGTACAAATCATTTTTAATTGCAAGATTACCTCATATCCAAAAGTTACAGCCATAACCATTATAAGAAATCCAAAAAAACCTTCCAGTTTTCTTAATCCGTAATTATCCAAAAATAGAAATGTAAACGTATCTATCACAGTTATTAAAGTGCCTAGCCATAATGGTATGCTAAAATATGAAAAAATTTAAAAAAATTTCCAAAAAATTAGCAGAGCTTCCATTATCTTAAACAAAAAATTACAAATATAAAATTACAATATTTTAGAATTGAATAAACTAGTTTGAAATATGAAAAAAAAATCAATTAAAGAACTAAAAAGGATCCTTGCTGCCTTAGAACGGCGAAATCCTTATCAACTACTGACATAAAGCTTGTCTTAGAAAGTTTGATATGTTCAGTAGACATAAAGCTAAATAACCTTACATGCCATTAATTGGCATATATTCTCTACATTTCAAATTATAAAATGTCATATATTTTTTAATGGGGCTCAGTTTTCTATTTTAAATTTTTTTCAGTTTGAGAAACGATCTTTCTGAAATATTTCGTTTAGTTAAAAAAAAATTCTAATGAGAAAATCAATTTTTTGCGCAAATTGTAAATTTTTTGCTGTTGATGGGTTGCAATTCCCATAAATAAGCGAAAATAACTCAATTATTTGCGTATACAGTTTTTTATAACTTTGTATAGAAATAATGATGTCATTAAGAATCAGCATTAAAAAGCTATTTATCTCAGAAACAATTACAGTTTTATGGCCTTTTATACTTTATACCTCAAAATAAAAAACTTACAGTTTGTTTGATAACAAATATATAGCTGTTGCTGTTCCTATAACTTCTTGCATATCTGATCCAATGATAGCAATTTCAATCATTATCCATAATATTAATCTGGGTACTGTTTTATATTTTCTGTAACACATTTCAGCTAAATGTAATCCGCTAACAACACCTAACCTAAAATAATTTAATAAAAAAATTTAATTCATGTTAAAATTTTTTTTCCAAATCCAGTTTATGTGTACCGTGCTGATAAACGCTGCATAACAAGACCTAGTACAGTTGCGCTAAGTAAAACCCATAGAAGTTTATATTTCGCCAATGTACCAGATTGTAAATCGGACTCTATATTACCTGGGTCTAAATATGCTATTGACATTAAAAACCCAGGGCCTGTAAAAGCCCAAAGTTTTCGAAAACTAAATTTGGTCTGTAAAGAGTAATAATTAAGAAATTTATAAATTTTTAGTTTTTTCCTTTTTTTTAACATTAATATTCTTACTCTATCAACATCCGGTATTCGAACATCTTGAGATTCATTTAGATATGAATCTAAAACTGAAGTTCTAAGATATGCTGATTCATTTGTAGGACTTCTATTTGTATCACCAAGATTTAAATGAACATTGTTATCAATTTCGGGTTTAGTTCCATCATTATCTTCCTTTTCATATCCGCTATTTGAGGGCATTCTAAAATATCTAATTTTGTATCGAAAGAAAAATCAACATTAATATTTTATTATGGTCTTTTAAAATTGTATATTAAGTAAATTAAATTTTTATATTATAAAAAAAATATCAATTTTAATTTAAAACGAATTCTTTTTGATCATATTTGTAATAATTGTTGTACACAATTTTTTTTAAATTAACTACCTAATAACAACGTATTTATTTCTTACTTTTTCACAACAGTTAATTTCAATACTGACGAAAAGAATTTATTGATTCTCTGATTATATCTACAAATAAAATTATTTGTAAAAAACCTATTTCTTTGAAATTGCCTATTAAAGAAAAATCATCAAAATTGTATTTAAAATTTATTACAAAAAAAGAATAAAAAAATCAAATACGCGAAAAGCTAATGCAGTCACTGATTCACTTTTCTTCTCTTTAACAAGTGCAATGTCAATTTAAAATAAACGATTAATATTTGATAACAAATAAGTCAATGAACGAAAACAAGGTGTAGAATGTAGTTTCATATTATTTTTTTGTTTTTTTTTTTTTAATTATTTCTTTAAATTTTTCATTAAAAATCTTAAAAAAAAAAATAAAACAAAAAAATAAATAAACCAGCGAAATTTTTAGTGATTAAAATTTTTGGATTGATTTAAAATTTTTTTCATCGATTCAACATGAATGAAATGAAAAGAGATTTCCATAAACGCAATACTGCAAAACATAACTGCGAGACGCAATACTGCAAAAATAAAATGTTGTGGAAATGCTATATATCTTTAACTATTCCATAAAATCAAAGCAGTTCAGAAAATTAAACTGCACTACTCATAATAATTTCGCTATATTGCAAAAAATTATTCATGTTTATGAACAAACTATGTGAGCAACAACTGTTTATGAACACAAATAAAATGCTGAAAACGCCTAAAATATTCACAATATCTTAATATTTAAGGTGCACATTTATAATATTTTCTAAGATGAAAATTAAATTTTAATTCTTAATAAATAAAAAAAACTAATAAAATTAAAAAAGTGTTTTACTTAATACATGAAACAATAAAAATTCCTTGGATATTCAAATCTTTTTTGAAAAATATACAAGTATGACACTTTGACTTAAAACTGAAACTATAATTGAATCATTATTCCCAAATGAATATGATTCGGAGGTTTTTTTAAATTCTTTTTTTTTTTTCAATTTTAGATTGACAACTATCAATGCGACACATAAGACGATTTATTAATTTAGATGATTGATATTGTATTTTTATAAATAAACGATAATAGCCAAAAAACGATAATGGTAATGGTAAATTGTCATTGAAAGAACTCAAATTCACAATGTAATAAATCACATATACATGCATATAGAAAAATTCAAAAAACAAAAAAATATAATTAAATTAAACGTAGATAAATAAATTAATTTTTTCTTTCATTTTTTTTTTTGATTTAATTTATTATTTCTACATAATTTTACTGTTATGTATGCTATGCAAATTTGCCGAAATTTTGCGATTCTTCATGGATTTTTACCATGTATGTGCTTTTGTTATGTATAATAAATAATATTCTATACACTTAAAATGTTAATGAAATTTTACTCTATTTGTTATTTTATAACCTAAACAACTTATTTAAGATTTTGAAAATGATATCGTTACTACAAGAATATTAATTTTAAATTTAACACAGCAAATTTAGTAGAAAAAAAAAAAAGAAGTATCAAAAAAATTTCAATTTTATGGTTATCAAAAATTAAATAAAGTATAGCAAATTTTTTTACCTATTTTTCTTATTTATTTACTGTGACACAAATATTGAAAAATCAAGTATTTTATATTAATTTAGTCTGTCACTTAATGTAAGTTAGGCAGCAAACTTTTGTATATAAAAGTGGGGGCTGTAATAACTTATATTTTATATATAAAGCATGCAAAATACTATTGCAGTAAAAAAATCTATCGCTATTAATATTTTTTCTTTATATTATTAACTGAAATAGTTAAGATTAATTATTAAATATTTTAAGAAGTTTTACGTGGCTCTTGAAAATATTCGAAAAAGATTTTAAAATACATTATTTTATATGTCATTTAAAGTGGACACTTAATTTTATTATTTTTAATAAAAAGGTAATTATAATTGTTTCCATGTTATTCAAGTCTTTTATAATCTTTTTTTCTTTCAAGCTTTCTAAAGTGTAATTATAATTATTAGAGTTTAATTCACAATACATAGTATTTTATCTTAATATGCTATTTATTTTTATAAAAAAATTAATAAGAATACATTTATTTGTATATCGTGTAAGTTAGATAAAATTGAATTGTTAGATGTAGTAAATTTTTTGTACCTGTTATCATTCACGTTTCCCAGATAAAATTGGAATGGATTGTCTATTATTAAATAGACACACAAATCTCGTTTGCTCAAATTGTATTTCTCTCATATATAAATAATAAAATATTTGATTTTGTTATCATAAATTTCGAAAAGGAAATATTTTTATTACTTGTTATAAATATGGAAAATCTAATTTTAGTATAAATGCATTTAATAATTAGAATTAATTATAAGAGCTTAAAATCAAAAGTTTATTGCCTGTACGATATGAATCATAATGATATATAACATTCCTAAATGAACACATATACAAAAAAATATTTTTGAATAAATTTTTAATCATTATCGATTATCAATCGACTACGATTTATTTAGACTAGGTATATAAGATTTAAAATAATTAAAGATTTTAGTATATATAACAACACTATAAGAACGCTCATGGTTTAAAAAAAAATTAAATCTTTTCATAAATGTAGTATATCGCGATATATAAATATTGAAACGTGTACTTTATTTGTGTTCATAAACAAGCATTGTTAACCTAATTTGTTTATAAAATTGATTAATTTTTCGCAATATAGCGAAATTAGTATGATCAGCGCTTTTAAATCATATATGAACTGTATTAGTTTTATGTACTTAAATTTATTATATAACTAAAATAATTTAATTATAATTAAAAATATATTGCATATTCATTAGGTTATGCTTTTGAAATACAAATTGTGTTTCGCAGTTTAAAGTGTCGCGTTCATGAAAATCTCCATTATACTTAATTATTATTCCTTAATTGCATAGATTGAAGAATTTGTTTAAAAAAATTTAACAATAATTTAACATAAAAAATAATAACAACATTTTAAATTACTTTTTATTGAATTATTCTCGAATTATTGATAAACGTGGTAACAGAAATAGTAAGATGACACTATTTATTCATGAAATACACTACTTTTGACCCTTGATTCAAACTCATGTAAAATTAATTGCCAATGATTATAACACATATTGCAAACACAAATTAATAACCACTTTTGTAATTTTATATAATAAAATTTTAATAAAAAAATTATTAATATTAAATATTTATAAAAAATACCAGAGCATATTGTATATGCATATGTATACATATATATATATATATGAATGTTTTTAATTACAATTTGAAAATTGATTACAATTTAGTGTTCACAAAAAATTAAAAAAATAAAAATATGGACACCTACGTACACTTAAACCACAATGGAATTTAAATATTTAAATGAATAACATTATAAAATTTATTTTTATTTTGTTATCAGTTAATTTAATTCTAGTTAGTAAAAGGTTAACTAAATATCAATTTATAATATTTGTATTACCGAAGATTCATAATATTGTACTTTAATAAAATATTCCTCAATAAATGAAAATATGAAAATCACAGGTAAAATTTTTTTTTAAAAATGAAAAAATTAAATTTGAATTTCAAAACTTTCAATTTTTACTTATTATCAAAAAGTCAATAGGAATTTAATATTTTATAAAATAATAAATAAAAACAAATATAATATGTCTACAAAATATTATACAATGGGCGTTATTTGCAAAAAAAAATAAAAAATAAATAAATAAATAAAATTAAATCATTCAAAATTTTACTAAGTGCGAGTTACTTTTTTTTATCGGTTGCTCATAGGTCGTAGCTATATAGCCATACAAAAAAAACTAATTAGAAAAAAAAATTAAATTATATAAAAGTACTACAGAGAGAAATTTTTTATTTCAAATTCAAAATTGATTTGAAAATGAAATTTTTATAATAATTACTTATAAGTTAAGTTTTCACTTGAATTTGTTCAGCTGTTCATTTAAAAAATTAACAATCAATTCGGAATACATTCAAGATGAAATACATTCAAGATGCGGCTTCAATACATATATCGATTTAAGTGCCCCACATAATCTAAAAAAGAGTTGTCTTTATTGTGATAATTGAAAAAATAAGTACTTATAGAATTTTACATATGTGACGAATTAATTTAAGATTTTATAATTACACTTGTAATTTAAATAGAAAACTTATTTTTTCTTTGATGCAAATTACTAAGTATGCATTTTTCATTATAAAAAATAACTTTTATTTGTCGCATGAAGTTAAAGTTTATTAAATAAGAAAGAAAAAAATGTAACAAGTACAAAATAAATTAATAAATAACAAAGTATGTACGTATATGTATATACAAAAAAGTTGGAAAATTTTATATATTTGTAGTAACTATTGTAATTTTATATACAATTATAAAACTACAATAGCTAGTACAAATGTAATTACAAACGATGCAAGTAAATTTTTAATAAAATTGTATTTAAAAATAAATGTAATTCTTTCATTACTACATCCGAAGTTTACACAAAAAATTTATGATCTTGAAATAGTAATTTTAAAACAATAAAGAAAAATAATTTGTACTAAGTCAATGGAACGATACTTAAAACAGAATAATTTACGAAAAAAAAATTTCTCTTTCAGAAAACTTACAGCATCAAAAGTTACAATTTCATAATCCAATATAAAACAATGCCAGATTTTTTAATAGATTCTAACTTGCAAATTTATTGGAGTAAGAATTATTCACACATCAGCTTATGATTCGAAATTGCAGAACTGCGTAGCAACAGAATATTATTTACTGCAATATTTAAACTCATAGAAATTTGTTATGCCATAATGTGTTATTTAACAAAAAAATCTTCTTTGTGTCCTGCTTATTCCATTGTTTCGTTATATAAAAAAAAATACTAAATGAAGTACACACATAAAACTATAGACATTTTTTTTGTTCTTATAAAATTAGCAACAATAAGTATTTTTATTTGTAAGAATTTAAAAAGTTCCACTTAATATTAATTTTTTAGTGTTTTTAGACTTTTAACATCCTGAACATAATTTTTATCAATATAAGTACGTTTACATACATAAACTGTACATATATTTAAATGGTATATTATGTGTGTACATTTGATGATAAACAACTTGCAAAAATTTTAAGGGAATTTTATTTCCCTTATTTTTTAAATAAAATAATTTAAAGCTATGAGTCACATCAACAACTAGCTAGTCATTAATCATTTTAATTTAAGTGTAAATTTAAATAACATTCATAAAAATTGCTTTTTTTTTTCTCTTGTTAGTTAAATTTTTTGTTTTCTTTTTAGTATTTTTTTTTTCTATCAGTATAAAAATTGTTTTTATCTGTAAATTAATATTATATTTGTATGGAAAAAATTGTATGGAAAATATTGTACATGCAATTATTGTAATCTTTTTTGTATACATACATATGTAAATAATGTAAAGAATATCTCCAATAAGAAATAGCAACAAAAAAAAAAAAAAATTATGAGGGGATTTTTCTTTTTTACGGAAAAATTACCTCAAAGAAAATTATTAATCAATTTTAGAAACACGTCGTTTCCATTTCTTAAAATACTTAATATTTTAGCATACAAATAATAACGTAAATAAATTCTATTCACGACAATATTTATTCATATGGTAGGTTAATTACTATACCGTTGCCATATACGATATCAATGTATGTGAGAATTGCGATCGATTTTAATTATAACTTCAAAATTAGTTTAAAGTTGATTTATTTAAGTTTGGCAAAATAAATGAAAATTTTGTTTTTTTTTTTTTTAATTAAAATTTAAAAAAATTTTAATATGCAATAATTACATCGAAAGAACAATTAAATTGGCAGAAAAAAAAATTATTTTAAAAATTTTAATAGCATAAGATTATACGAGATACCCCAGATCAATGGAAATTATAATTTTATATAGAAAAATAACAATTTATGGCAACAAAATAATTATGAGCTTATATAATAATATATAATCAAATTGTCACATTACATTTTTCGAATAACCTCCTTAGTAATTGAAGTATAACAAACTTTGTTCAATTTTGTATTCGAAATTCGCAACTGCTTATACAATAACTTACTATTTATTAACATGAAAGTAAAATACTGACATGTAAGTAGTGAAATTTATGCGTAAGTAATAATATCACAAAACTGTATGATCTATAAAAAATGTAAGTAAGTAATGGAAGTTGAAAATTGAAGTAATTAATTGAAGAAAAAAGAACTACATACTTAGGCTGATATTTTTTGTTTATTATTTCCATATAAGCATTGATTGCAATAATGAAATTTTTCAAGATCAGATGGAAATTGAACCTATTTTATGTTATGTTTCATTTGAAAATAATTACAAAGTCTCAGTTTGCAAAAAGCTCGAATTTATTTATAATGAATAATTAAAAAAATATTAACAAAAATAGATTTAATTATAAATTTTCATCTTCTGATCAAATAATTTGTTATTAAACAGAGTATTGTTTATATGCATATGAATATAATTGATTCTCTCTACAAATCCAATAATAATAACCAATAATAAAGTAAAAATTTTAATTCAAATTAATGTTTTCATTTTCCTGTAAGAATTTATTACACCTTTTCAGCACCACCAGACTAAATATATACGTATATGCTTTTATAAACATATTTTTTCTAAAAATTAATTCCAATTTTTTTGACATACATAAATAAATAAATAATATTCTTTTCAAACAAACTTAAAAAAATCTCAATTACAAAATCAAAATTTAGGTGGGCTCCAAATTTATAGTTTCTCTTACTTGGACTATCAATTTTTATAGGTGGGTAAGCACTTTTCTTATATCTTTCCGTTCGTGAAAGCTAAAATATTTTTAAATTCTTAAATTACAACACAATTATATTAAAATTAATGTAATAAATCGGAAATGAAAATATTTTCCATTATTTCTATAGTTTTTTTTTCAAATTTAAAAGTAAATAAATATGAAAATTTTCTTAATCTCAAAAAATAGAATATAAAATTAAATGCAGTTTATTTATGGAAATAAAAAAGTAATTAAATCTCGTAATAAAGCATGAAGCTAAAACTTATTCTTTCATATGAAATTTGCACTTTTTAAATTCAAAGAAATGCATTATGGAAACTTGAAATTTGCTAGTTTCCAACATTTTTTTCATTTATGTTTTAAATATAAACACTATTTCAATTGGGATAACGGTTTAACGTATTATATAACGTAGTTACCATTCATTCCATAAACGATAAATAGAATCATAGATCGCCATTATAATTCTTTCCGATTTTGAACACTATTAGTCGCATTAAAGTACCTACTTAAGAAATTTAATGAAATTTGCTACAAAGTTTAAGTATACATAATGATAAGAAAAATTATCAAATATTATTTCAAAAACAAATTGATTTTTTGTTCAAAATAACCAAATATTGATCGTGAAGAATTAAGAAGCATACAGTTATCAGTATATAAGTTTTAATAGCTGAATCAGAATTCCATGTAGTAGCAAGTTCATAATTTATATTGGTAAGAAAATCTACACAGATCAAACACAATAAATAAATAAGAGTAAGTGTAGTTATGGCTGCTATTAACGCTTCATATTATAAAAATTAAACACAAGTTATAAAATAAGTAAGATCTACAAAAGACCAATAGTATATAGACAAAACTTCTGGCTAATACTTGTATATTCGCAGTCACTTGTGTTTGCCACCTTAATAATTTTGATTTTAAAAATCATTAATCTAACAAAACTTTTTTTATCAAAAAATAAAGCACAAACATCTAGTAAATATTATCGATAAATTTAAAGAAAAATTGATATGAACTTGACAGAACAATGAAAAATTTAATTTTTCAACTAAACCATATTTTCATCTTCTGGTCAACATGAATACATATATGGACATACTGAATCACATACATATGTACATACATATATACATATATGGTTAGATTATTGTACAAAGATAAATTGAAATAGTACTTGATTCATTATCATCAACAATAAAAATTTCAATAATTTTATAAACAAATAAAAAACCTGTTCCTTTTCTACTTCTTAATAATTTAAGCTCCGTTTGTTAGTAATCTCTTAATTGAAAATACATATTATGTATTTGGAACATCAAAAATATTGTCTATTAAAAAATTGACTGCACTAAAATTTATATTGTTAGGCTAATACTAAATCCATTTTTAGTACTAGTATGCAATTAATTCCTTTCAACTGCAAAACATACAGGTTAAAAAGCCTATACATTTTATTGTTGAATATGTTATATCATTTTGAGGTCACAAAAAAAAATATTGTTACGAGATAACATGATGACATGGATAGGAAAATTCCCTTAAATAAATTTTAAGAATAAAAATCCTAGAAATAAATTTTGAGTGCACCTTCAATCAGATCTTTCAATCTAAATTACAATAAGGAACTTCTAATAATGTATTGGTTTCTTAATGGGGTTTTAAAATTTTATAGTCGGTACTTACTTATGTATCTATGTATACGATGAGTTTTTGTTTTTTCTCAATTTATAAGATAATTACAAAAAAGATTTATATTACAAATGAACTTTAGTCGACTTTCTTAAAAAAATTTTTTTAAATACAATCCTCAATAATCAACCCACATTTTTCAATTTTTCAACTTTATAAAAACTTAAACAATTAAAATATTTCTAAAATAAAACAAATCACAATTTGAAAAATAAAAATTTAAAATACAAATTAATTAGAAATAAACACACAATACGCGACACAAACACAACATTTCACTATTTTCAGATTGGGATTGTATAGAACTTATTTTTTTTTTCTACAATATTACTTGTTGACGTTTTGTTCGACAGCTAAAAGGTGCATTCAACTGTGGATTTTGTGTTCAATAACTTTTCAAAATAATTAGAGAAATATGTCGTTCAGTAGTACGTTCAAAACGGAACGAAAAGAATAATGTGAAAATTGCGACGAATTAAAAAAGGTAAAAACTTCACATTAATTTTCCGAATATATACATATGTACATCCACAAAAGTAGAATAAAATATTTATAGATGTACATATTACATATTTTCATATTACGCTAAAATCTAAAATTTAAACATAACCTTTACATTATCCAAACTGTTTACAAGTATTATAAAGATTAGTACATATTTATAATGTTGTCAAGTTTCAAGTAAAAATTAAAGGTATTAAAAATAATATAACAATATCGTATTTTTCGAAAAAGAACCATTAATTCACAATTTAAACATTAATATTTAAAAAAAAAAAGACGTTTATATTTTTATAAATGTATAACGGGTATTTAAGTTCAATAACAGATATAGAAGATGATTTTTAACCTTTAATTTGATCTTCGCTGAAATTCAAAGATTTGTTCAACGAAACGAAAAAATAAAAGCATATTAAAGGGATATTAAGTTTGGAAAGTTACGTAAAACTGGTGTAAGAGGTCGTTTCTCCCTTTTAGCTTTTTTCGTTTTTTCAAATTCATGTTCGCCATTTTTCATTTACTAGTCAGCAATTATATGTACTACTGATGAATTCGAGCAACTTTTCGGTCTACCGGCCTTTCAAAGTTGCTCGAATTCATCAGAAGAAACAGTTCGGTGTTTTTGACACACTTGTCTGTTTACACTACTTTGTTTCCTTCTTGCCGACACAACTCTTATTATCATATATTTCTTAATAAAAATAGAATATTTTGAGAATTTAAGCCGTTAGTTTTCGGCAAACAAACGAAAACTAACGGCTTAAAGCAAGTCGAATTAATAATAAAGTAGAATACACTTTGGTAGTCAGTTTCATAATTCGCTTATTCGATTTTTAAATTATCATAGGATTTTTCAAATTCTTTATTATAGCAATTTATTCTAACTTCAAAGATTTATTAATTCTGTTTAGTTCTGTTTAGTTCTTATAAATATGTTCTTTTAAACAGTTTTGGTTTTCATTTTGGGAAAAAATTGGGTATATGTACGAAATAGAAACGGAATAAATTTTTCATTTACGTTCGCAAATACTTACTTTTATGTATACGAGTATATGTATGTTATACGATATTTTGTGTGGTACTTTTGGAGAAAACCGCAAAAAAAACTTTAAGGCCATTTTAGACTATTGATACTTTTTTAAAATTCTTAGGGTTTTCAATAATTGAAGAATATGGAGAAGTTTAGAGTACTATAGAAAAACATTCTGCGCTTCCAATACGGTTAAATGAGTAATTTACTATTTTGAAATGTATTATTTTCAGCGGGCGACATGTAGAATTTAATATGATCTTTTCCGAACTAGCACACCTTAAATATGATACTAATCAAAAATTCATCCCTTGTACGATTTTATTTGAAACTTAGAACTAAAGAAATTTTTCGATTTTTTTATTTGAAACTAAAGAAATTTTTCGATTTAGTATAAACAGATTCATAATTGACCCTTTTAATTGTTAAAAATAATTAATGTACCAAAACACTAATTTACACTAAAATTAATACCCACTAAATGTGTGAAATTTTATTTTTCTTTTTTCTTATTTTTAATCAAAAATATAAAACGAAATTATAAATAGAAGTATGTAATTTATTATATAGTAACTAACAAGAAGTTTGACTAATTCCTTATTTAATATTTTCGAAAATATTAAAAGATAGTCTTATTAATGCGTATTTTGATGCTTAAGCCTAAAATTACATATGTGTAAATACTAATATTACAACTTAGAATATAAAAATATTTGCAACTTATTTAAAATCACAATAAATTGATTTACGTTACTAATATGGCCGCCTTAGTGTTTCATTATATAAAATTCATACATTCTGTACTATGCAAAAGATAAATGGTTTAAAATTGATATTGAAAATTAGATTTTATATATATTTAAAACATTTTTGTTTATCGTGTGGTATTCTAGTTTTAAAGAGTATTGAATCAGCTCGGTATTGTGTATTTAACAAAGGTGTGTATCCAAAGATTTGAGTAAAAAAGTTGATGCAGCGATGTCGCTCCTGGAAATGAGTATCGTCTTCACTTAAAGAAACTGGACATCCGGGACATCTGAAAGTCCACCTTGATGTTACTTTTACAGGGGGTTTTCTTGTTATATGAGAGACGAGAAAATTCATTGCAATATCTTCACAGTTCATATATTCATCAACTTTATCTCTTATGGCTTGCGGAAGCCAGTAACTATATAAATATGTGTAATATTTATGAATGAATGCGGCTCCAGTTAGTACCATACTTAATTCGCAACTGTAATTTGAATTGTAATTCCATGCGTGATTGCTGTTCAAATCCCATGCGTGAAATCTACCTGGAAATCCAACAATCCTATCCCGATGCTCTCGCCAAACTCGAAATCCAAACAAAATTTCATCATGTCTTAGGTGCGCATCATCATCAACTGATAAAATTGCCTCAGTTTCTATAACGTCATAAGGCAAAAACCTATTGTTCAATGAATTTCTCTGCCCACGAACTACTGACACAGGAACACCAATATCAGGCCATCTTAAATCATCTAAAGGAGGTTTAGGTGAATTCCATACAACTATTACTTTATGTAAATACGGTAACCCGTACAGCCTACCCAAAGAGTCCATTAAAACTTGTTCTCTCTCATAGGTTAACATTACTATGGTAAATTGTTCTCGTGGATAATTTCCGCCTAATGATTCACTAAATTCTTTTCCTGCACCTCCAGCTCCTTTTCCAATGGGCCGAAATCCCATGTGCGAACCCAAAAATTTGGCTTCTGAAGGTAATACGGGATCGAAAGGCATTTGCGGGTACAAATAAAATGGATCACCCCAATCATTCCAAGCTTCTCTCGATTGCATCCTTAGGATCGTATAATTTCTACGAAATTGTGGGCTGGGGTATTGAGGTTCTATCGGGCCAAGAGACTCTTCCGGTTCCGCATCCAAAACAGGTGGATCAGACTTCAATGGAACAAAACTTGAATTGAATACACTTTGAGCTACAAACATGGGAATTGGTCTAGGAGGAATCCCTAATCTATCTCTTAAACTAGCTACAACAGTATCCACAGTAGCTTGAACTGTACTTAGGTATCGTTCCCATATTAAACGACCTTGTCGACGCATTACTAACAAATCAGAATCCGGAACAGCTCTTAAAAGAAAATGCAGTTCTGTAATTCTGGCTTTAGGTAGCAATATGGCAATGCGTTTCCAGTCAAGAGTTTCAGAATAAGGCAAACGAACCTCGTCAGCCCCTAAAATTACTGGGATAGATCCAGATCGTAAAGCTTCAAATATTCTTGCTTGCATTAATACTGAACTTACTTGTCCCGATCGGGGCGGTAATATAAGAGCGAAGGTTGAATCTTTTAAAATATTTCTCCTTGACGAGTCAGTACCACAAAGAGCCCAATCAGATAGCGCTAATTCTACTTTTTGTTCTGTAGCGGGAATACATTTAAATTGAAGAAGAAACTTATCCTGAGTAGATCCGACAGACATATCGTGTAGATGTTCAACAATAAAATCATCCAAAGCAACAGCATCATTTTCATATAAAGTCTCATTATCTGGTCTGATTTCTCCCTGAAATGTTAGCAAATAAGGTCTTCTTGCTGGTACCATAGCAGAACATTCTTGCCAGACATCCCCTGTTGGAGGTCCAAGTACAGGAGGAACGACTATATCATAATTATCTCTAAACTGATTTTTCATAAAAGTGGATTGCACAATTATGGCACGCATTGTATTTTTTTCGTGAAGAACATTTGTGGCCATTGAACTTAAATCTCTCCTTGAAAGATTTATTAGAACATGATTGCGACCATCTCCACCCCAAAATGGAATCCTAGTCAATTTATGAAAATCAATAGGATTATTTCCTTGGGGTTGATTAACATTTTGTTTCGCCGCTGCTTCTTCTGCAGCATAGCGGTTATTTTTTACTAATTCGTGTTCAGGAAGAGCTTCTCCGATCAACACAATGTAAATGCAAGCCACTTTAGGATCATTTACAACATGAGCATTGAGTCCTAGAGTTTGTTTTATAGTTGCTTTTAAAAATCCATCAATGTCATACCCAGTATTTAAGACATTATATTTGTCTGGATCATATAAATATACAGGAAAACCAGATGTTAAACTACATCTCGAATGATCAAAACAATTGTACATTTGGCATTTAGTTCCAATATCTTTTGATATAGACGGCAGTTTGGCTGGTAAGGTATTTGAAAACATAGTACGAGGCAATGCAAGATCTGGGGTATTTCTTTGCACAGCTTCTCTTTGAGCAACTTGAGCTTGTTCAACTGAAATTTTCAATCTTTCCAACTCAGTTTGCTCGCGCAATAGTTCTTGTTTAAGGTCTTCAATTTTTTGGTTGTACATTCCTATTTCAGACTGCAATTTCTGACGTCGAGATTCTAGTTCACGTAATTCTACAGAAACAGTGCTTTTTATCCGTAGCATTTCTTCAATTCTTATTTTTAAATCAGCTGCTCTCATACTTGTAAAGTCCTCATAAGCATCCAGTTGAGATCTCGATCTGTAATGCATATTGTTATGAGGTACATCTGTATCAGGATTGAGCAAGCTCCGATGAGCGAAAATTGACATTATAAGCAATATCATAATGAGAATTAATATAATTTTATATATTCTTAAATGACGAACCCAAGTCTTAAGGAACGAATGATTTTGATGACCCTCGTAGTTGTTCTTTTGATGAACGGAATTGGAATGGTATACACGTATTTCCTTTTGCCATTTTGGTTTGCTCTCTCGATCTCGGACCTTCTTTTCTTCTAAGCTTTCATAATTCATTTTGTACTTTAACATAAATCGTTTTTTTTTTCAGTTTAACCCTTTAAACATATTGCACAATATTTCTCCAGTGTTGTATATAAATTTTGTTTAAAAAATTCTGCTTAAGTTATATGCTATTGATATGTTCTGTAAAAATTTTTTATGATTCCTTAGGAATAAACAAATTTGGTTTTTATAAAAAACCTTGCCTTATAATATTTTGTTGACATTTTTTACTCGTACACAATTGCAGTTTTAACTTTATATATTTAATAAAACGTCACTATTCATTATTATTTGCTCTAATCAGCGTCATAGTCATATAATTTAGAAGATCTGTTACATAATTGATGACAGTTGTTATTTTTAATGAATGTGACGTCATTGGAAGGAAATATATAATCACCTCTTTAAGGCGCATCACAGCTAAATGAACACAAAAAAAAATTTGTTTTTTATTATCTACAAATATTAAAGTGACTTATAATACTTTATATGAATTTTATAAATATTCAATATGTAAAAATATTTTTTCCAATTCAAAATAAATTTTCTAAGCGCTTCATTAGGGATGGAATAAAAAATTTTTTCAAAGTATTTTAAAGTAAAAATTTTTTCAATTAGAAAGAAAAAAAAGGAAAAATTAAATATTAAAGTTCGCCGAGATACTAAACAATTAAAAAAAAGCATCAGTATGGTTAGAGCAAAATATGCGTAATCCAACAAAAATCTGAGGGAGGAAAGTTCTTTGGATCTAACAACTATACCAAGCATTTACATATATATTTACGAAAATATTTTGTTCACCAGTTGTCATCATGAAGTGAAAAAAACTAAATATTTTTTGTTAGCAAAAATTTGAGCAAAAGCTGTATTTAGCAAAAGAACTTAAGCAAAATAGTTATATTCATTCGAACACCGTTGAAACACAGAACCACTAGATAAAATATTAAATAGGATAATAGGAATTATTTTATTGTCATAAGTTTAAACTTATGACAATATGTATTATGTAACGAAAAACAAATAAACTATGACAACGACTACTTTCTATTTTATTTTTAAAAATTTCAGAGCAGGTAAAAAAATTTTTCTTCTCTGGAAACAGTAAATTTTTCATTTTTGACTGAACGTCTTTCCAAGGCAATACATACTTTCTTTCAAATATTATAGGTAATTGATATCCTGTACGCAACATTCAAAGTTGTAAAATTTTATACATTTACGTAAATATTTCATTTCGTTCAACCCTGTTTCACATTTGTTTAAAATGCATACGTCAAATTACAACGTGACATTTTGACAATGTCGAAATTGGCCTATCAATTTTTCTCTTTTCGTTTAGCTTAGGAAGATTAAACATGGGTTTTGCAAATCTCTGGTATTCACATCCTAGAAAATATGGTCAAGGCTCACGACAATGGTAAATATTGCTAGAATTTTGTATTTTATCTTTTAGAAATTGAAATAACTTGAAATTTTTCAATAACTTATATGAAAATGTATTTTTTTTGTAAACACGAGGTTCCGCTACCTAATTCCCAGTATATTGGGAGAATTTTAGTCATTCGAACTTAGATTGTTTAAATTTAAAGCTAAACAAACGCATATACATATTTATTAAATTAAATTTTAACAGTTTATAATTCTTTGTTTCAGTCGTGCTTGCTCCAACAGACACGGTTTAATTCGCAAGTATGGTTTGAATATATGCCGCCAATGCTTCCGAGAATATGCTAATGATATTGGATTCAAAAAGGTATTTTATTTGCATTTGATTTTAGAGTAATTTAAAACCAAATTTTTTTTTAGCTTGATTAACTCGGTTATCTACTTGGAATATCTACTTTAACCAAACTAAAAGCGAAATGGTGGTTATTTTGAATTAAATCAAAGAATAAAAAAATACAATTCAATAAAGACTTTTATTTTTCATAAATATTTTTAAAAATTATTTAACCAGGTATAGTTTTAAAATTACTCCGTGGAATTGAGTTTGCCATAGTTCTGTGGTTTTTCGTGTTCAAAAAAATGGTAAGGTAGTACCAATCAATTTGTATAGTACTACCTTTCCATTTCCGCAAATACGAAAATCAAATAGTAAGGCCCCTGAACTGACAGCGCCGATTTGAGGAAAGCAAAGTTTATAAATCACCCTCCTTTAACAGGCTTCCATAAATGTCCATTTTTGGTTGGTGTTTTCCATATTTTACAAATACGTCATCAGTTATTACCTGTATTTAAATGTTTTCTGACTTGAGCTCAAGTAAACTGCGAAAAGAGTTAGAGAACTGAAGTCATACATTATAAATTCTGATAAATCTGAGTGAATAGGCTCAGTATTCGTTTTGCCTGCATTAATTGTGAATACATTCATTATTCATACTCCTTTCCTAAATTTTTGTATCCTCTCTTTTATTTTTAAAAATTGTAACCATAATTTTAATTTTGAGGAAAACAACACTTTATCAGTGATCATGTAAGTTACATATGTATGTATGTATGTACATAAGACTCAAACCAACTTTCATAAATTTATAATTTTAAAGTTCAATTATGTGACATAACAATGCTGTTTATTTAATTATTGTTATACAATATGTAAATTGAGGATAACTCGAATATCGCCCGACCTGAGGTTGGAATTATAACATTACAGTATTAATGCAGAATTTAGCTTATAAATGCCATTTACTGAATTATGTATTAATACGGTATTATCATAGTTCCGATGGCTGAGTAAGTAACTCAGGCTCCGTAAGTACATAATATCAAAAAGCTTGTTTTTAGTAGCCTAACAGATGTTATAAATAAAAAATATCGATAGCTTTATGTTTTTCATCTGGTTATTAGATGAAAAGTAAGTTTATTAGAGACCCCTAAATATACTTAAAATATAGTATGTATAACTAGATCTTAAATCATAAGTATAATTAAAAATTCATTTTTATTAATATTACAAATAATTTACTTAAGAATTAATTTTTTTTGAGTTGCTTTGGAGTTAAATAACCTAAATATGTGTATTGGCTTCAAGGACAAGCTCCATCACCTGTTTTTTGAAAACCTAAAAATTAAAAAAAAACATTATTGATACTTTAAACAAATACCTTAATAATAGGAGGCACTCTTAATGTTACTTGAAGTCATAAAGAATTCTATATTTCGGTGTGTGTGTACGTATGTATATGTATGTATATTGATATGAGCTTGAGTTAGGATTAAACAGAAAACTTTATATAATATTTGTGTATGTACATAAATTGAAAAAAACCTTCATTATTCATGTTGAATACTATTTTTAGTTTAAAATCGTTTGGTAACACTATATATTTTTCATAATAAATTTCAAATTTTTAGTCGTGTTTTCTACACTTCATTAGTATTTAAGGTTTATTTATAATTATTACAAAATTCTTAGGAGCATGATTATAAATATTCTTTCAATGCCTAAAATTAAATGACAGCAAAGAGAATTAAATAGATGATGTGCTCAATATGGCTGTTGTAACAAAATGTAGTTATATTTGAAATATATGTAAACTGATTTTTAGTTAATCTACAATATACAATGTGTACATACATATTTCCAAGTGGTTACATATATGTACATACATATACATATATAATTACTTCAATTAAAATAAATAATTAATTCAATATTTTACCTAATTTCCTCAAGCAATTTTCCGTTTCAAGAATACAAGCATTGTTAAAAGTTCTCGATTCACCTTTCTCATTTGTTGCACAAACGGGATTAAAAGAATAATCACAATGATTATCACATTTTCCATTGTTATTATTATTATTTTCAACTGGTTGAGAAATAACTGCGGTAAGACATAGAGAAACTGCAATAAAAAAGAAATTTTAATTTGTATAGTGTATTTACAAATATTATAAATGAAGATTTGAAATGAAATACTTAAAAATTTAACTTCTATATTAATTTTAACCAAAATAAAATTTATTTAAAAAAAAAAAGATTTACGGCTACAGTATAGCCTGTTTATAATTAACATGCACCCGAAACGAAATTCTGTTTAAAATTATATGCAACCATAATGGTAAAAACAGAACCAAAGCGGTAAACTGCAAACAATAAAATAATATCCCGAATTCCCAATATTATGCAAATGTCAAATAAGACATTCATTTTGACTTGATTTTTTTTCTTATTAGAAAAAAAGGCTATTTAAAAATATGTATGTAATTTCAAGCTTGTTTGCCCTAAAATATTGTAATTTTTGAATATTTTCAATAAAATCTTTATTAAAAACGAGGAAAATAACTTATAATGAATCTTTCCGTATATCTCGTTCTCTGAACTGTGTATATATGTATGTACATTTGTTAGAAACTTTAAATACATACATACATACGTATACATAAGTGTGAACGTATAATAATTGTAATAATTCAGCCAATCTCTTTGTATAGAAAATTTAAGTTCATATAGAAACGTCAAAAGTGATTTTACTTAATTATTTAATTAATTACCTCCTCCGCTTTACATAGCACGTTAATTTAAAATTTTAATTAAATAATCCCTTCAATTCTATTTCTTTTTTTTTTTTAAGAAAAGAGAAAACAAATGAAAGAAAATTTAATATTTTCATATTTCTTTGATTCATTTGAAAATGTGAATGAAGACTACTGAAAATTTTTTATACATCATTTATGCACGTATGTATGTATGTAAATATTTAAATATCATTTTGACCGGAAATTTGAATGAAAATAATTATCACTGTTCTGAAAACACATACAAAATGTATTTAGAATGCATTTACAAGTGCATTTGCATCCACAGAACAATTGCTATAATCGAGAATAATTTCGTTAATTTTGGTTCATGAAAAATTGCATTACAAAGCAGCATTGACACTAAATCGTCTTTTGTTTAATTCAAAAAATAATCAAAACTATTTTTAATACATAAATTAAATTAAAAATTAAAAAAAGGCAATAATGAATTTATGTTTGAAAAATAATTTATCGTTATATCCCAAAATTATATTAGATTTAGATTTGTTTAAGACTTATCAAAATACATATACATATGTATAATAATTTAAATTTTTGAATTCTGAGCGTTTGACATCATAATATAATCTACCATGACTTCATTTTCTCATCAAAATATGAACATATTGCTGTATAAATAAAATTTTATTTTCAAAAATCTACTTCCGCAAGCAATTTTTTCTATATTTGTTAATATTTGTTGTATTTTTTATTAAACTTTCAATACCCAAAATCGCCACATTTTGCGTTTTTATTCATATTAGCAAATATCGCATCAATCTTATCATTTTTAACACATTTCTGACAAATTAATGACTTCACTAGTGTGATTTTGTCCGTCGATTTTTCATTTTTTTAAATTTTGTAAACGCTTCAAAAATGTGTTGACGCTTTTGTTCAAGTTAATAGCTGTCTTGAAAACTTTTGGATGTTTTGCATTAAATGTCTTAATATTAAAGAATATTATTTTGTGCATACCTATATGAATGAAGTTGTTGTCTTTACGCTTTAATTGAACTATTAAAAAGAAAATGTGCTACTTTATAAACCATTGACCTTAGTTCACTATTCTCGGTTGTTTTTCAGTTAAAACTAAAATTGTGCTTTCAATTTCACTATGGTGGTATTTCTATTTTTAAAATAAAAAAACCTTGAAAATAATATTGTTTTTCACCAAAAACAATTTTTATCTGCGCATTTTAATGTACTAAATAATGTGAAAAGAAAACGAAACTTATTTCCGCAATAAAATAATTAAAAAGAATGAAAGTATTGAATTCGCATCGCGATTTCTAACTAACAGTCAGAATATTTTTTTATAAGAATAATGGTTTGTATTCACTTCTATACTTAAGTTTCATAATGCATTTAGTACGCTGAGCCTTTATTGAATTTGAAGAAGTGCGTACAATCCTTAATTGAATGCGAGTTTTTATAATGCTGAAGACAGCAAATATATTTTAATTTATTTATTATATCAGTAATTTACGTTTCTTATTATATGATAGTTTTTTGTCAGGCAGAACAAAAAAACGTGAATATACGAGATACTATTGTTTGAAATTTTTCTTTCCCAAAAATCCATAATTAAAAATTCAAAAAATAATTAAATGGCTAAATACAATACATACTGATATTTTTTCTTAAAATAATAAATTTTCATATTGTTTTATTAATTTCAGGCAAATGGCAGCGAAATTTACAATAATTATCAATCGTTTAAATATTATTCCAATTGATTAATAAACTTAATTTTTTTATACAACTGCACCCATTGAATTATTTATATAATATAAACAGACATAGATGTTTTAAACAGTGGTGAACTTTAAATGATTGTCGAAAATATTTACAGTTTATAGTACGCTCATACAAGACAAATTCGCTTTATAAGAGAAAGGCATACATTTCTATTACTTAAAATTGTTTAGATTGTTTGTAGTATAAAAATATTTTATTTAATATGGTTTGCTAATCGATAAAAAAAAAATTGAAATATATAATATGCTCGTTATATAATATATACTTATATATGTATGTATGCCCTACTTCATGAATTCAAATTAACTCCAGCAAATTGCTTATTTAATATTTAATAAGTTAATTTAGTTAATAAAAATTTAATTTAGCAATTAGTGCCAAAAATAAATTGGGAAATAATTTTGCATAGAATAGGATTTTGTACACATAGTTCAGTTTTTCAATATCACAAATTGCGAACACAATAATTATAATTTTAAATACAATAAACAAGTTTTCAGGTTCTGATATCTTTGAAAGTTTTATTCTATTAGATTTACTAAGTAAATATTACAAAATAATACTTAACAATAAGTTTTCAGAGGAAAATGTGTTATTTCTTCTTAAAATGTAAGTTCGTAATTCTGACTTCAAAAACGTAGTAGAAAATTATTATAATATTAAGAGAGCAATTATTTTTTGAAGATAAAAGTTTTTTCAAAAATTATGGAAATTGTCTTATTTTTTCTCCCAAACAATGTAGGTATAATAAAAAAAAACATTAACGTTCTAATTAGCTCAGCTTAATATGAAGTAGTTATTGGAAAAATACAATTTTGAATTTTTTTTCTGAAAATTGCACTCGAGGACATTGCAATAAACATATTCATAAAATTACATACATAAAAATAAAGTTGTTTATATATAAATTGCATATGAGCAGGCATTCTTAATATATGCAAATTTATTTTATCCAGCAATATAGTAAGAGTATATGCAGGTCTATCTTATCAATTTAAAAACAATTTAAAAAAAATTCATATCATATTGTTCTATAAATTCTAGTTAGCTGAATTAAAAAAAATTTAATTTTGGTTAAAAAAAATATTTAGCTGAATACTAATATTTATTTAAATTCAAGGGGTATTTTCAATATTAATTATAGTATTTTAGTATTTTATGTAATATTCTTCATTATTTTAAAAAATAAAAAAAAAATCTTCCAGTTTACACAAAAATATGAATTTTAGTCACCACTGCACTGATATATACATACATATATGTATATGTACATACATACTTATACACGAATGTATATCAGTAATTTATAGATATGAAAAAATATGAATTTAAATACTTTGTTATCAATTATAAAAATTTAGCAACTCAAGAACAAAACAAAAAACAAATACTCAATTTATTTTATATTAAATTAAAAATGATTTTGTATATTGCTTTTAAATAAATATTAAGAAAAAAAACCATTGTTTTTTTTCTGAAATTCATTGTTGATTCTAGTTAATTTTTTGTTTATTCATTTTATAATTTAAATAAACCATTTAATTAGAAAGCATCATTTTTGACAGCCCGCTTCAATAGAAAATTTAATATGAAAATTTTTTTGTATCACAGGCCATATTTATTGTTAAAGGTTATCTTAAAAACGTTATACATACTTGGTTTGAATTTAAAGCAATATTTAAAGTTAATACGAATATACATATATATGTATGTACATATATATGTAATTAATTTATTATATTCGGAGAAAAATTTATTTATTAAAAAAAGATCCAAAATTGCATAATGGAATTTCCCTGTTTTTTTTTTAAATAACAAAAATTTTGCATACATTTTGTAATAATAATAAGGTTTTCCACAAAAAAATTTTTGTAAATTTTAGTTTTAAAAATTATATAATTTATGTATATGTAAGTAAAAAAGCTAAAACTCATTTTTTTTTCTTTTGCACTTATGTAATAATATTTAGTTGGAAAATTGATTATAAAAGTGCATTATATAGGATTTTAAAAATTTTAATTTAAATTCAATATAAAATTTTAATAGGTATGTCTGTATATGTAAATAAAAAATATATTATGATAACAGCACACATATACATATACACATATTTGTACATACATATCTATTTAAAACATGGTGCGCAATATAATTTATTTCTGAAATTTTTATGTTTATATTTAATTAAATTCATTATGATACATTAATGAAAATATTATTGTACACATATTATAATATGTGATCAAAAATTGAAAAAATCATAGAGACTATTTTAGAGATGCGATTTATTACAAGTTCCTCGTGAGCGATAACTTCGTCGTATCCTCTTAAGTTATGGTCGCTCATTGCGTAAATATGAAATTGCTATACGTACATAGCTACATATGTATATTATATGAATGATTTTTTTTTATTTAAATTCTTTTGTTTATACTTACACAAAATTAATACACTTATATTATCCATTTTATATTAATTATTTTCCAAAATTATTTTTTTCTTATTTTTTCTTTCAAACTTTTCAAATTTGTGCCTTAAACACAATTTTTCTTTTGTCTTTGCGTAATTCACTCTTAAAATCTAAATATTTTTTTGCTATTTTATTATTTAAATTTATTTTTGAGATTTGCAAAAATTTATAAAAAAATTTTTATATTTTAATATAATTAAAAAATTGTAAATATATATATATATATATAAATATGTATATGCATATATATTGGAGTAACTTCCTTTTAATTGTACTTGTATATTATATTGATCAATGTTCTAGTCTGACTAAAAAACAGAATATCTTTTAAACCAAATAGAGATATTTAATTATAACTAATACTTTTACTGCCAAGAAACGCGATTAACACAAGTTATGACGCAATTATTTTATTATTCTTATATTTTTTTTTTACTATTTTTATGTTATTTTAATTAATATTTATATTTTCTTCCTCGCAATTTTTTTTTCATTTATATTTCCTTGATAATATCTTTTTTTTTAAATATAAAAAAATAATAATAAAAATTTAAATCAACGGGTAAACCACTAAACAGTGGGCGCAATACATTAACATTTTCAACACAAAATTCCAACTTTTTTTGTATAAGTAGAGAAACTTTATCAGCTTTTATTATAATTCATTTATTTGAAATGTCAATTTTATGCGGCACAAAATATCAACTACTAACTTATGGATGTGTGTATACATTAATATATAAATGTACATACATACATATATACATGTATAATATTCCAGGTTGACTTATTTGTTTCAATTTAAATTTTCATTCAGCGACAAAATTTTTTTCCATAATTTGTATATAAACTGACAGAAATGTAAAATAATTAGGGTAGCCAGTGGTATTACATTATAATGAAAAACTTTAATATGTATGTATTATGTTTTATTAATTTTTGAAATTGTGTAAATATTTTTTAATTTCTAATTCAGAGATAACTAATTATTTACATTATGTATACAAAAAATCTTCTGACAAATTGGATCCCATAAGTCATCTTTTCATTCAATTTAGTTCAGAAATTCTATAATTAATTGGAAACTACAATAATTATTTTGCGGTATATAAAAAATATTTAAAACACATGTGTATTCACATCAAATAGGTTTAAATATTTCGGTTTAATTTGTTATTAATGCTTAAAATATGCGATTACCATTCAAAAACATCAACTAGAAGTTCAAAGAAAACAGTTTTTTAGTTACTGGTGCATTTTTTTAAAATATATATTTTTAATGAATTTTTATTATAAAATCGTTATAAGAGTGATATGTTTTTTGTGTATAAGTATACTTAAACTTAATTTGTGTAATTTTAAAAGTTTTTGAGGTTTGATACAATAAATTTTCAAAAAACTGCATTTTTAGGACTTTGTAAGGAACCTAACATTTAGAGGTGCTATTAACTAGTGTTCGAAATTTCCGTTATCTATCATAAAAGATGTTTTAAAATAAGATGAAAATTTGAAAAGTGTTTTGATTGTCGGGCTAATGAGTAATTTTAACTCTTCTAGTTAGAGTCACAAATTCTACTTTCGTTTTAAATGATTTGTTCAAATTACTTACTAGTTTTGTTTTATATTTGTTTTTAAATACATTTATTCCATTAAAAAAAATTCTTCTTAATGTGTTGTTAAAAACAAAATGTGTTTATGTATGCCAAATATTTTTTCATTATCAATAAGATCAGTATCAAATCCTAATTGTTTTAGTAGTTCATTCTGAAATTCAATTATTTCAGGATATATGGAATTCAGACGGCCCAAATATTTTCATACGTAGGCCAGAATTTTTTCCAAGAAGTCAGTAAAAAATGGAAAGGAGTTTACTAAATAAAGAGTAAAACGCGTATCAAAGAGAAAAATACGAGAAACTAGAAGCACAAAATAAGTTATTTTTTTACTTTAGTTGTAGCATGTGACAATCAAAATAAAAAAAAAATCCATTTACATGAACATTACATTCTACCTTTAACATCACAATGCCTTTATTTAACGATGACTTACGATTTATGAAAAATTTTATATGTACATATGTAATTTGGTAACCCTACATGTTCTGCACAATTTCCAAAAATTATCTAAAGATATGTACATATTATGAACGTATGTATATGTATACATACGTATGTTATATATAAATTTATACTACACATTTTTCCTTATCTTCATTTGAAATAAGTTCGTCAAAACTAAGAGTACTGTCGATGATATACAACATGTGTAAATTTGTAATATTGCATTTAAACAAAATGTTAATATTATAGGAGTATTCTTGTGCTGAAGTTCAAGTAGGATTCAAAAATAATACCACATATTCAGATTTAATGTTGAAGAGATGTTGTAAATGCTAAAGGAAATGATTTTAACCCTTTATACTTGTAGAATATTTTTACAATTTCTTTTCAAATTATTATTTTCAAAACAATTATTTATAGATATATGAAGAACTTGTTCCTAGAGAAGTTCAATTGGACATAATTTAAATTGTATTAGTAATTAAACTGAACTTAGCTAGAGTATAAAGTGTGAATTTATTCATATTAACAATTTCAATGATGCAGAAAGTCTGATGGAATAAATATGAAGCAAAATTTCTTAAAAGATGTCCGAAAAAAAGGAATAAAGCTCGATGATGAAGAGCATTATTAATATTAATTTTTGGTTAATTGAGAGCAATTGAATAGCTTTTGTTGTAACAAAACTCTACAACAACAAACAAATAAGTACGACCAAACAGTTGTATGAAACACTCGTAGGTGATAATATAAAAAAAATGGACTGACAATTTAACAAAAAATTAACGAAAATATACAATAAAATAGCAAAAACTGGTATACGTAAAAACAAAAAAGAAATAAAATTCAAATCCTGAAGATATTATTTTTGTGCATGAATACAAAATGATTTCGAATACATCCGAATATATGTAGTACTTTTATTTGTACATTTGAAGGCCTTTCGATTATAATTTAGGAAAAACAAGAACGAGAACTTTATAATATCTGTCTCCAAGACTTTTGTACTTCAATTTTTCGGAATCAAAGTTTGGGAAAACTTTGAGCATTACATCTTGCGTCTATTTTAACAGCTCAACTACAACCCTTTAAATTCGAACTTGTTGTCTTGCTTTGGTTTAGATCTATGTCAATTGTCACTTGCATTATAACTACTCCATTTAAAAATACATATCTAACTTGATAATTTTATATAATTATAATACAAGAAGTACATTATACATTTTCTTTTAAATTATTTTCAGTCCTCTCAAACCTTTGAAATGCTGCCAAGAATTTCACTTCCGACCTCAGATCAACAAATCTACCTCGCAAACTTTATTTCCTAAATATGTTTTTCATATATTTAGGAAAATTTTCCTTTCTGGCAGTTTGCATGTAGCATATCACATTCCCATAAGTATATTTCGGTTAAAAGGAAAACAAATTAGATAGAGTAGAAATTTCACTATTCGTCTTTGAAGTATTTCCGAAAATTTTTTATTTTCAAGAAATTTCAGTATAATCTACCATCTTAATAAATATTTTTAAATGAAAATTATTCTTGTTAATTAATTTTGATTGAGTAATATGCGAATAAAATAATACTCTTCATTGTATATAAAGGCTTGAGAAAAAAGTAATGAAATAGTTTTTGGCTTAATAATAGCAAAAAAAAAATCATTAATTTTAATCCGATATATAATATGTGCAACATTATTTCAGTTCGATATTTCAATAAATCTTTGAAAATTGATTCGAAAACTTAACCTATACCACATATAATACATCAAAGCAGTCTTAATGACATTATATACAATCCAAAGATAAAATGTAAATACATAACATGTATATAATGTATATACACTTGTCCCCCTTTATACAAATTTATAAAGCTCCAAACTAATATAAATTATATAATTTTGATAAGAAACACAAACAATAATTTTAATATAAGTATATGTAAGGCATAATGTTTTAAGTATTAAGGAGGTGTAGTGCTACATGTACATGTATCCTGGCGATATAATATGATTTATTTTTCTATATAGACTTATTTTAAGTTTTTAAATGGACTGTATACGAAAAGCTTTGGTGCCATTTTGGCTAGTATAAACATAATATTAAAACATGAAAATACAGTATAACAAACACAGTATGCAAGTATATTTTAGGACTTTTATTTGGTTTGATGTGAGGGGAAAACATTAATACAAAAAAAAACGGTTCAAAAAAATAATTTTCTTTCAATTTTCAACAGATTTTCAAATGTCCTTAAATGTACATATAAACACTCATAAACGTACAAATGTATATGATACATATATATATGTTTTCACTAGATATACATATATACATATTTACTTGCGAGAGTATTTCTCAATTTTACACATGTCTCTTTAAAATATTCTTTCAAACATAAGACATTTTTTTTTACATTCTATGTTAAAAAAGCTGTATGTTGAAAAAGCTTCGAAGTTTCAATGAAAACATTATTTTAGTCACCATATGTCCAAAAACACAAAAGTAAAACAATATCTTATGATTATAAAAGTACTGTATTATGATTTAAAATTTTTTTCAATAATTTTTAAGTTAAATTTCGTGTATAGTAATCATCGTAAAATAGGTACTTTCAAATGAAAAAACTGTCAACTTTTAAATGAAATATGTGCCAACATGTTGAATCACGCTTCTGCTACAATTTTCATTCGCCACATTCACCATCATTCACTATTATTCTATTATTATTAGTTCCATAGCCCATCTTCGCGTTTGTTTATCAATTTTATCTATACTTAACTCTTCACTTATTTACGCTTTCTCCATTGCTTTTACTAGTCAAAGTTCTATGACATTTATTATAAAAATTTTCTATGAGAAATTTTTTATCCCTGGCGAGCGCAGGAAGTTCGCAATCTTTATTTAAAGAATTTTAGTATCTCGTTAAATGCCAGCTTAATTTTTTTTATATGATTTGTTTATCTTAAACGGCAAATTGAAAACTTGTTAAATTTCCTTTTAATTCTACGAGTTGTCACCCCTCTAAAATTTTGTAAGATAAAATAAAATACATAATCTAGTAAGGCATTTTTTCAAAGGTATTAACCTTATTTAGTAATTATAAAATTATATTTGCAACTTAACCATACTAGTATAAAGAAAAAAGGTAATACAAAGGAGTTAATATAAGAGTACAAAAAGTAATATACAAAACTTCCAAAATGTAATATAGAAAAGCAATTTTTTTGTTTTCACATTGCATTTACAGTGATAGTGACATCAATTTATTAAAAACAAACTAAAAAAATTTGTATTAATTTTTTAATTTCTTTTCCTTTTAGTTTTTGAATTTTTTTTTTGTTCTCACTTTTTTTTTAATGTTCTTTTGAAACCGCTTTTCTCGCAACTTTTATTTTCGCAAATTACAGTGAAAAATATTCAATTTTTCGAAATTCTGCGACGGCCGGTGTCACATGCCGCAATAACATAACTTATCTTATTTAAATCCCTTGATTGAATTAAGTTTTCACACTTCGTTCGACTGTCCACGCAACATAGGATTTTCAATTCATTTTTACAAATTTTTATATTTCTTTTTGTAGTTTTCGATTTTACGCAAATATTTACTTCAACATTTTGCTTTTTATGAAAATCATAAAATTTCTTTAAAATTTTTATTTTAATATGGTCACCATAATTTAATTTTATACCTCTGGTGTATTTATGTAACATGGTCTAATTTATAACAAAAAAAAATATGTATGTATGCCTAAAAAAATAATGTAGTTTTAAAAGTTCAACAGCACTAGAATGTTATCCTGTGTAATTTAAGTATATTAAAATACAAACACAATGTGTATTAAAAATATATGTATGTATACACATTTATCTAAATCTTGTTTTTATTAAGCTCATTTATTAATTTTTTATACTCGTGCATATTGTTATACCATGCCTTAAAACTCAAACTATTTTCATTAAAGCTTCTGAACTGTAAAATATATAAGTTTAATTTAGTTTTGCTTCCTTACATAAAATAACGTAGCTAATTTAAAATTAAAAAAAAAAAAGTTAAAGAAATTTCAAAATTTTCCTTTTTTTATATTTCTTTTTATTTTAAAATATTTAAAAATAATCAAATAATATAAAATAAATTAGATTTAAAAGGAAAAATAAAATTTTTAAATAGGCGATTTCTTTGTGAAATATTAAATAAAAAAAAATTAATAAAGAAAAATAAAATAAACGGGCCGTGTAACTTGTTACAAATATTTTCTATAACAAAATTATTAATATATATAAGAGTTATATAAGTACATACATATATAATTATAATTATATAAATGTAAGAGAAAAATAGCACAAAGGATATGAAATTATTTACAAACTATATATAAGAGAAACACTTATCAAAAAGCACATAATAGTAAAAAAAAACCTATTATTATTAACATTTCATATAGTATATCCCTACATACATAAATATATTATATATTAGAGTACTTATATATTATAAATAAAATATAAAGTTCTACTTCAATAATTTTTGATACTTCAGTATTAGAAATGGATTTTCAAAATACAAAAAAAGAAAATTTAATTAAAATTAAAAAATAAATGAAAAAAATAAAATATATTGTTAAAAAAAATTTAATAAATGGTAAAAATTTTAATAAATTTATTATATACTTAAAATATAATATAATAGATATATAAAATACATAACATAATATAATATTAAAAAAAAAATTAATAATTATCCAAAAAAAAAAAAACAAAAATTTATTACGATAAGAAACCCTTAAAAAATACCATATAAGAAAAACTCTCAGAAAATAATTATAATAATTTTAAGGAAAAATTGCAATAATAAAAGGATATTATATATATATACCAGTTATTTCTAATTATATACATATAACATTAACATATATATATTAAATATAATATCCTGTCTTGTGTTCATTTGGCTTGTACAATGTTCAATGTTCCTGTTTAAAGAAAATAAAAAATATTCAGTGATAACTAAACAAATAAGAAAAGTATATAAGAATATTTGGATATATTATAAGTTTTGTGACCTAGGTACATATATTTTACATAAATCATTATTATATACAATTTATATTTTTAATCCTTATTATATATTATCCTTATATCTTCTATGTACAATAAAACATAATATATTGTATATATGTTTTTAATCTAGAACATTTATATTGTTGTCATATCAACTTGATTGATGGAATATTCATAAAATATATGCTAATACTTTAGTTACCTACCCTACCTTTTCATATATAAAAAGCATTATTTCATGTATATATGTATGTACTATTTATTATTTTGGCGCTCTCTTTTTTTTATTATTTTACTGTTATTACAGTTATTTAGTATTTACTCATTTTTTTTCTTTATATGCTTCTCTTTCTTTTTTGATTTTTTTTTTATTTTTTAGTTTTTTCTTATATTTTACAATGCTAAATTATATAACTTATATATAAACATTAACATTATTTATTTCAGGTCAAGAGCACCTTCTTCAAACATTTTTCTTATACATAATGTATACTTAGGCAAGATTTGAGTCCAGATAACATTGACATTTATTAACAAAATAAAAAAAATATCATAAACAATTTTTTAATAAGAATTATTAAATTTGTTTTTTGAAATTAAAAAGAAAAAAACAAATTTTTAAAATTATTTTAACTAATAAGAAAAAATTACCATTAAAAGTCAAATTTTAAGTAAAATAAAAAAATTTATAATAAATATAATTATATATACATTTATATATGTATAATTAGAAAATTTTAATGAAAATGCCTTTAGTGATTTGAATAATAATAATAACGTAAAAGAATAACTTAAATAATTAAATATAAAAAATACAATAAAAAACAGACACACAAATTATATTATAAAATATATTTAAACAATAAAAAAATTTATGCTTATATATATTGATTAATCGAATTATATAAAAATAAGTAAAAAAATTTAAAAAATAAATAAAAAAACGCGCATATTATATAAAATAAAAAATCTTAATTTTAATGTTAAGCAATAATTTTAAAAAAGATTTTTTTTATTCTCATGTTGATATACATGGAAATGTTAATTTTGCTGATGATTTCATACAGTATCATAACAACAACAATTTTGATATTAAAAATTTGAACATGTTTGAAAATACATTATCAAATATTTGGAATATAAGTGATATTTTGCACAACAACAATAGTATTTATAATGATAGTAACATTTCATCATACAACGATTATCAAATAAAATCAAATGATATTGATTTAATTTATAGGCATTCGGTCACAATGACCGTTGTATATTGTGTTGCTTATATAATTATATTTGTTGCTGGTTTAATTGGAAATTGTTTTGTAATTGCTGTAATTTTTAGAGCACCAAGAATGCAAACAGTTACCAATTTTTTTATTGTTAATTTGGCTATAGCTGATATATTGGTAGTAATATTTTGTTTACCAGCAACATTAATGGGAAATATATTTGTTCGTAAGTATATAACATATGATATAATAATGTAAAGTAAGAAGAAGTAAACTCCCATATATAGAAAATAGTTTTTTAAAGAAATTTTGAAGGCAAAAATCTATAATATAAGAACCTAATACAGTATTCTGGTCAAGCTGCACTCGGAAAAATTAAAATTGATTTTATTTCTTTTTGATAGTTTTTATAGAAAATCTAGAAAACCATATTGGACCCATATTTGAACCCTATAAAAATTGTGTATGGAACCTTAAATTCTACAGCTAAACAATATAAAAAAATATACGAAATATATACATGTTTACATACATATTTATATATATATTCATGAATATAATTCAACAATTTTTTTTATTTACAGCTATACCTATAGGTATATACATATATGTAAGGCCTTTCATTATATACCACTTCATATATATATTATACCAATTACAAATAAGAGTACAAAACATTCATAAATTTTTATATTGTATGTGATGTGTGGACTCATAAGCATTGATACATATGCATGCCCCTATATATATTTATATAAATAATATATACATTTGTGTATATAAAATATTCTTTATATACATATATACATAAAATCTAAATAAATATGTATTTAAGCAAGGAGTATATTATATATTTAAAATAATGTACATAATAAATCTTACAATGGGTGTTGTAGCATGGGTGTACAAGGACGTTTTTTTTTCTTTTTTCAACAAACTAGTACATATATGTTTGTACATATATACATAATATATTATGTATATGACCAATTTAAAGTTTAATTTTTAAATATTGTTAAAATTCGTTTTCATTTTGTAACAATTTTAATTATATTATATGAAAAATTCAAACAAAACCCACGTGTTATTAAAGTTTTTAAAATATGATTATAATAAAAGCAATTTCAGAATTTTGACACACTCTCAAGTTACATGTGAACACTCGTACTTATTGTATGTAGGTACATACATTCATTACAATATTTATTTAACAAGAAATACTTGTGGGTATACATAATATTCTTATGTATTTGCTACATTCATATATATGCATTAACATGTATAAATAAATAACTTTTTGTACTAAAAATTTAAATGTCCTCGAAATCATTATATCGTATTGATTCAAGTGTATGTTTATACATTATTATATATGTGTATGTATGTATATAAAATTTATTAAAAGTGCGAAAATCACGTATTTATTTAATCAAGTATATTTATTGTACATATACATATAATATATATATTAAAAAAATCTTCATACAAAATTCAAATTGGCCCAATAAAAATTATTATGGGAAAATGTTTAAAATTTATAAGTATGTAGATGTGTATATTATAAAAATATGTATATGTACAAACGTTTAATGTTTGTAATGAAAAAAAAAATCTTCACTAAGGAAATCTTTTTATAATCATTTCAATTTAAAACATGCAAAAATTTTGAATATTCTTTCTCGAACTAGAATGGCATGAGCAACACAAAGGAAGAAATAAATATTTATGGTTTTCCCCTTATATTTGCACATTCTGAATAACAAAATGTTTCTAAGTATATTAAAATCTTGTATAATAATTTTCTCAAGAGGACTAAATTTTTCTTTTTTTGTAACTATACTATATAATTTGCATATGGTATGAAGGCGTCGTTATTATGTAAAACCGCATACAGCAATAAAAAAATTAGAAAAAACTTTGTGCTCTAATTGTAAGTTCTTAATTAACGTTAATTAATCTGTATATAACGTATATATAGGAAACTGTAGGTTTTTATTGCAATGATCTCTTAATCAAGAGTTTTAACAGTGATTTATTGTATAAATGGCGTTAATTTTAAACACGAAAAAAAAATAGAAAGACAATATATAATCAAAAAATTTTTCAATCGGATTATGGCGTGAGAGTCCTTTAGAAATGAAAATCGATTTATTTAATTGGTTTTCAACAAATTACAATAATATTTTTATTATTCAACAGTTTGTATATAACAGATTCTTTAATACAGTATCATATAAATTTAACAATATGTACACAATTAATAAATCGATTCTTTTTGAATCGATTTATGCTGGTTTTTGGAATATTTTTATTTTTGTAATGAAATAATTTTAAATTACAATTTTTAATTTTTAAGAAAATACAAATTTCAAATTAAAAATTAAGTAATTAATGAAAACATTAATTTTAATAAAAGAACAAAATAGTATTTTTATTAAAATTTATATGGTAGGTGAATTAAAGACTGTATACACCTTTAAGTATGACTTGATAATTATTAAACTATACGCTTTCATAATTTAAATTTAATTAATACAAATTAGTAATAAAAATAAACATAAATAAATGATTAATATTTTCTTTTCTTATATTAAAGCTTGGGTGCTTGGTTGGCTTATGTGCAAAACAGTTCCATACATTCAAGGTGTTTCAGTTGCAGCATCTGTTTATAGCCTTATTGCTGTTTCTTTGGATAGGTAATATTTGAAAAAAAAAAAAAATTTGATAAAATTTTTATAATTTTGTAAATAAATCTTTTTTTTTGGATGATTTTTTTTAATATGTAGGTTCATCGCTATTTGGTGGCCTCTTAAGCAAATGACAAAAGGTCGAGCTAGATTTATGATTTTTTGTATTTGGGTAATAGCATTAAGTTCAACATTGCCATGGGCAATATTTTTTGATTTAGTGCCTGCCATGGATTCATTTCCACAGGCGCCTGGAATGCTATTATGTATTGAAGTTTGGCCGCCCGGTATAAATGGAAATTTATATTTCTTATTAGCAAATTTAGTGGCATGTTATTTATTACCAATGGTGGTAATAACTTTATGTTACGCTTTAATATGGATAAAAGTATGGACTAGATCTATACCTGGTGATTCAAAAGATGCACAAACAGAACGAATGCGGCAAAAATCAAAAATTAAAGTAATTAAAATGATAGTTGCAGTCGTCATAGTTTTCATAATTTCTTGGTTACCACTTTATGCGATTTTCGCAAGAATTAAATTTGGTAAGTTTTTTTTTATTGATTTTTTTGTTATAAAATTTCGATAAAAATATTAAAACGTTTCCAATGTAATTAATTTCTATGGGAAAGTGGAACTTATACATATGTATTTTTCTTTAAATAAACGGGAGAAATTAGCATACAAAATTTTAGAAATTTGAAATCAAAATTTCAAATAACATAAATAACAGTTCACGAGCATTGAAAATGGGAAAAATTTTCTGTTTAGAGCTAGGTATCAAATCTCAGCGTTTTCCAATTTGCAAGAATTTTAAGAAAATTTTCTAATTAATAATATTTGTCACTAATTTCGATTTTTTCTTAAATTTTCTGATTGCTAATTTAGATTATAATTAACATTTTAAGTCTCTAACGAGCCCCCGGTGAGCAAACCCAAAATACATCGTGAAGCCTATATTCACCACGGAAAAAAAAGAATCCGATATGTGTTGTAGATTGTAGATTTAATATGTGCTAGATGCTATTCGTTTAATCCTATACATACGTTGTACGTGTATTGCAGATGTAGCCTCTAATTTTATAAAAACTGAATAACAAAAGATATTAAAATTTGTGTCTTTGGCTGAAATAATTAAATTTGTTCTTCCGTTACTTCGTTGTTGAGCTTAAAAAACTTTTTTTTTTTGGCCTTTTATAAATATTCTCAGCAGAGAGATTTTATAATCAGATAAATTAAAAACTAAAAACTATACTGGAAAAACAAATGCTAATTGTAAAAGCAAAAATATGTTGACGGATTTAATTGAGTTTCTTAAGGACATACTTAAACACAACAATGGGAAAAAAATCTTAAAAACTTAAGAGAAAAATATTTTGTGTAATATTGTGCATGTGTGTATAGCATCAATTAAAAATATTGTAAATTTCTTGTCAAAGGCAAATTTTATTTGAACCTTCCGGGAAGGCAAACTTATGTATAAGAAACATGTTTTCAAATAAATAAAAATATAAGAAATAATTAAATTTGAAATTTTTTTCCTTAATTCAAAACTTTTTTTTTATTTTTTATAAATAAATTCCAATTCCAACAGACAGATTTAATTATGGCGATAATCTGCAAGGTCACTTTATGTTCATTCGTCGGTGTAATATATGTGTGTATATGTATGAATGCTTTATTTTAACGTGTGAGATGAGAAGAATTCAATTTTCCTTATATTTCATATCAGTAATGGAAAATGTAATAGTATTATACCAAATGTGATGTTTCCAGAAGAAAATTCGCTCGTTTAGAGGGAACGGCCACCTAAAATTTCATACTTTTTATTTGTGTATATATTCATTAAATGAAAATTGTTCTTTTCTTCTAAAATCTAAAATCATTCTTGTATTATGCCGAATGCAAAAATTTATTTTGTTTGTCAACTTTTTTTACTATTATTTTTGCACCTGTAAACCCAGCGTATATTGTTATTTGTCATTAACATGCCGTTATGTATTGTGTTACCTATAACTTAAAATCAAAGTTATGACTGAAAGTCTAAAAATATTTACATATTTTTAGAACTTTTCCAAAAAGTTTTTGAAAAAATGTGCTTATTAGTTTCACTACCTCCGTGGATATTTTTACAGGGTTTCTACGCCCTTGAAGAACATAGATTTTTACTAAAAAGTTATTTCCGGTAGATGAAAATATTTACCTGTCTCTGAAACACAGAAAATAAACGTAGCAAAGTGTTGGCTGGCTTGTCCTACCACGGCATACCATATTTGAAATGTAGAAAAACAAAATGGCCGCAAAAATTTACCGCCATCTAAAATTCGTTTTTCCAAATGTTTTACATCGTTTTTCTTTTAGACCGCATCTTGTAGGTGTCTAAAATTTTAGCAGGTTTTAAACACTAATAAATAGTGCATTTCGGTATATAAAAATTCTTTTCTAGCTCCACTGCCTTTCGAGTTACGCCTCTCGAAATTTGTAAAATTTATATTTTGGGCACCTATATTCCTCAAAACCTAGAAATTGTAAATGGTGTCCAAGGAAATTTCAACAAAAAACAAATTCCTGGTTAAAATCAGATAATACTTTATCCCATAGTAAATGAAATGTAATACATAAATGTGATATTCCCATTGCTTGAAACTGTCCTCATATTAAAAGGTAATTCAGATACGCATAAATTTTTAGAAAAATTTGGAACAAACACCATGAACGAAATTTAATTAAATAGAAAATATAGCTATAAGAAAATATAAATTGTGTAATACTAACGTTTGTATGGCTACAATATACATGTATCAGCATGTATGCATTTCTATTATAAATTAATGCGAAATCAATTCACAACTAAAATTCAATTTTTTAGGTGGCGAAATAACGCAAAAAGAAGGAGAAATTCTTAATAAAATAACACCAATGGCTCAATGGTTGGGGTCATCAAATTCTTGTATTAATCCAATTTTGTATGCATTTTTTAATAAAAAATATCGTCGTGGATTTGTTGCAATTGTTCAGTCTCGCACATGCTGTGGACGATTGAGGTATATACATTTACATATACATATATATATACAAATACATATTTTTTTTCCAGCAACAATCTTTATATTATATACGAATTAATCCCTTTAAAATTTTCAATACTAATTGTTAAATTATATGAATTAATTTAATTTTCTTTTTCCTTTTATGTATATGTAGATATACAAATAACTTGGCCGTAGCATCGATATCTACAGGCACAAGGAGATCTTTTAATTACCAGAATGGTGTTCGAGGAGAATCTAGAAAAATTAATACCAAATCAGCAAATGATGAATTTTCAAATAACTATGAAGAAAATATAATTCGCAGACAAAATTTGGGTAGAATGGGACATACACTTTGTCAACAGGATTCTCAAGGTTCAAGACAAATGTTAGTAAAACAAGAGAGCGCTGGAAGCGATATTTCAAGGCGTTCATATTTGATACGTTAGCACAATTTTGCAAAACAATGAAGTTTTTAATAAGTAAACAAAAATCAGGAAAAAATAATATATACATACATACAAATATCAACTACAAAAACAAAGTAATTCAAAATGGGCACAATGTTTTAAGTATCCCTACAAATCAAATCATCATAACACTGTTTAATATAAAGGAAAAAAATAAAATTCACAAAATATAATTATCAAAATTTATGTATTACAAAAACTATAAATAGCAAAATATAAAATTTCTTCCAATAAAAATAAGAAAAAAAAACCAATTCATGCTATTATCGGCAATCATAATAAATTATGTGATCGCAGTAATTGTATAAGGATAGTTCAAACAGCAAAATAGAAGTTGTTAACAAACGTGAAGTTCGTAATTTCATGTTTGGCGAGGCTTTTCATTAATACTTTCGACCCTGTTTGCTATACGATTTGCAAATGAAATAATGTATACATACATAGAAGCATATATATGTATATTTGAATATCAAATTTTATCTGTGTAATATTAATAAGCTTTTTATAAGCTGAGCTTTCGTGATTTTTAAACTACTTTTTTCCTAATTTTCGTACTCTGGATAATTAGTTTTTTGATATTCATCATAATTCTGCATTTAACGATATAAATCATAGTCGAAAAGTAGTCCAAATTCCAAATCCCAAAATAACATTATATAGAAAAATAAACAAAATCAAACTTTGGATCATACCTATAGTTTATTCATAACTTTTTAATAAAGATTAACCGCTTAAAATAATAAAATAATCATACCTTATTTATTAAAAACAATCGAATCAAACTAAGGGTTTGAATAGTATTTTAAAATCATACGTAGCATATTAATATTATAAAATTTTGCCCGCTCTTGGGGCAAGAACAAAATTATTATAGAATTATACGTTTAATGTCATTTTCAAAGTGATTTGCAATATTTAATTATATTTTCCGGTAAAAAGAAATTTTTCTTTCTTTATATTCTTTTAACGAAATTTATAAACCTTATAGTTTCAAATAAATGAGTTATCAAATTGAAATTGTGTTAATTTTGAGAGATCATAAATTCAGAGGAATGGGAAAGAGTAAAAAAAATTTTTGTTAAACAAAATACCTAAGTTTAAGAGTAAAACAATGTGAAAGTTTGAAATAACAGCTGTGTCTTTACAACAGCTTGTACAACAGTTTGTATGATTTATGAATCAAATAGTTGATTTAAACTGTTAAAATTTCTTTTGAAACTGACCCGCAGTGAAGAAGGCAGTTTGGTATTTTACTGCGTTTACGAAATACGAAAATAAGGACTTAGAGAGGAAAAGGTAGGTAAAAATTTTCCATTTTAGCGTATAAAATTTTAGTTTTCGAATTTAAAAGAGTGCAGAAATTTTGAAAAAATTCAGTTGTTTGAACAGCGTGAACGAAATTAATAAGCATGTTTTTGCGTAAAGACGTATAAAGAAAAGAAGTCGTTAAAGGGTTAGAAAAGGGATTGAATCGAATGTTCTAGATTTGTTCTAGATCGTTAAGTTGATGAAACTTTTCACAGTTTTCCAATGTTATAACAGTGCTTCGTAAAAGATTTTTGCAAATTTATTAAAAATTATAAAAAAATTTCAAACTTTTCAAATGTAACTCTTACACTTATTGAATCTGTATGCACAATGTATGCAATTCATTTCATATTTGCACTTGTAACGTTTTATCGTTTAACAAGTGTTATACTAATAACTTCATTTTTCAAATATATGTTTTTAAAAAAAAATTTGAAAATGTTAACATTCAATTTTCAAATAATAATAAAATAATGGTAAAAATTTTATAGAAACTTTCGTTTAAATCAACCTTTAAAAATTTTTATCTTCTTTCACTGTCAATATATGCCAGCAGATGGCCAAAAGGAAATTAGTTTTGCTATTTACCGACAGGAAAATACTTTTATCAAATTGCTAAATTATGTTTAACAATAGTTGATCTTTGACGATTGGATTGATTCATAGTCAATCGGCACTTCCCACAAAACTACAACTCAGTCGTTTAATTTTAATGAGCCGAATGGTATAATCCATTGAGGATTGACGATCACGTCCCACAAAAATAAATTTCAACCCATTAAAATTATAAGACTTTTAAAATATTTGTGGGAAGTTACCCATTAAAATTAAACGGCTGAATTGTACTTTTCTGGGAAGTCATCGTCAATTGATGATTCATTGTTTTTTTGAGTAGTGACCGTTAGTTCTTACTTACGTTCTAATGTTCTTATTTTTATGATCTACGGTAACACTTACACACTTGACAGCAAAATATTTTCTTTTTTCAAAATTCAACATCAATAAACAAAACGTTTGGAGGTTTATAACTTAAACTAATTTAATATAGCATAAAATTTATATTTTTTATAATACTGTTTGCTAAGAAACATGACAAAAACAAAGGAAGCGAAGATTCCAATCATTACATTAACGCAAGTAAATGCCGATGTAATTTCACAGGTAAAATTTTTGTTTTCAGGCATAAACATGAGACCTATTACAATTTTGTATTTTACAGCTTGCATCGAAATATTGGTCGAACGAGACAAGTGAAAGTCATTTACCCTTCGATTCTTCAATAATAGAAGAAATATATAAAAATGAGATTACTGACAAGCATTTAGTAAAAAGAGTAATGATGTTAGAATTTAGTCAATATCTAGAAAATTACTTATGGCCTAATTACGAAGTTGGTTCTACTAGTAAGGCTCATATTATGTCAATTGTTATTATGGTTAATGAAAAATTTCGGGAACGTGTTCAAGTGTGGCATATTTTTGAAAATGACCAGAAAAAGTTTTCAAATTTGTTTCGTCAAGTCATGCAAATAGCTCTTGAAGATGAATTTCATTCAGAAACTCACATAAAAGAGCTCACCGCAATAACCATGTTTATTGATCATTGCTTCAATAGCATGGAAGTAAGTTTATGCAGAGAACAAGTAAAGAAATTAGTTTCGTTGTCGATGTGGAATTGCTTGCAGTCAAGTATGCAAAAAAAGTAATATCTTAATTTTTTTTTTAATTTAGGTATTTGATTACAGGAAGAAGAGAATATGAGTTACAAAATATTCCTGAGTGGAAAAAATTTTGGAAGAAATTGCAAAAAAAAGGATTTACCGAGGAGTCTATTTTTGATAATAATTTTTTGCAAGTGTGTAGCAAACTTTCCAACTATAATTGAAAATTTTTATTATTAAATGATATTAATTGAATTTATAATCTTTGCAGCATTATATGATCAAATTTATAAAAATTTTGGAAACAATCACAATCGACAAACCAATAAATGCTAATTTAGTTAACTATTGTGAACGCTTTATAGAGTTCATAATTGATTTGGAGGCACTTTTGCCGACAAGACGCTTTTTTAATACGGTTCTTGACGATTGTCATTTATTAGTAAGATGCAAATTAAGTAATTTGGCTAAACGAGAAGAAGGAAAATTATTTAGAAAGGTATGTAATTATCTTAAGATAATTTTTTTAATTACTAAGGAAAGAAAACAAATTCCATTAATATGTTCAAACATATATGTATTTTTTCCAATTATTATCTTAAAAGCTAAAATTCTTAATAATTATTATCATTTATATGAGTTAACTCGTCGCCCCAATCATTAAACGCTGGTGGCTCATTATAACAGAATGTTTTTTTAAGAAGGAATGTCACGTGTTTTTGTCGCAAAATGCATATGTAAAATATAAGTGGTGCTTGTAACGTGTTAAATAGAATAAATAAAATAACCAGTCCTTTAATGCTGCACCAAGAGAGCAGTAGAAAAATCCAATTCAGGGTCATAATTGAAAATAGCCATATAAACATGATAAAACTGAAAGATCTGTTTTTAAAAATAAGAAATGCAAAGAAATTTTTTAAAATTACTTACTTTGATCTTAGTTTTTGTTGTATACGTCCATATACATTCCGTTTATATATTAATTTAATTGTACTTAATTGAAAAAATATATCTATAAGTATAGACATTGCGATTGGTGAAAAAAAAATTGAGATTCCAAGCCAACCTTCATGTAATATATGTAATTAAATTTATAAATTATTATAAGATAAAAATGTTAAAAAAATTACCAATAGTATTCTGATTCATATCATGATTTTCATGATCTACATTAAAATTTTCATCACTTTTATACATCTTTATGTCCAAAAAGTAGTGAGCAAATAATGCTAAAATTGATAAAACTACAGTTAGTCCCCAAGCATAACTTGAATACCAGCAATATTTTTGGCCATCAGTTACTCTAAGGAAAACATTGCGTGCGCGGAATTTTTTCCAAATATAATATCCAAAACTACTTAACCATAAAAATGCGCTAAGCAAGCTTATATAAATAATTGTATCTAATATCATGAAACTAATTAAGTTAGCTAATTGTAAATCTTTTATCAAATTTGCTGCTTGATTACAGAGTAGACACATAGAAATTGTTGTTATAATATTTCCTATTAAATCTCTGCAAAAAAAGAAAAAAAACAGCAATAATTATTTAATTTATTTCATTATTTTTACCGTAACGTTGGCAAAACGAAGTACACAATAGCCACTATCAAAAATATAAAAATGGAAATTATGTCGAAAATGGGTTTCAAAATGCTTCTCAATATAAAATCATAATCGGCCCATTTTGGGGATGATCGTGGCGAGCATATTTTTGCGAAAATATATTCTTTGGTTGTACCATTACTTAATATGCCCTAAAAGATTTTATAAAAATTACTGAAATTAATCGTAGCTAGTTACATAATAAAACAGACAACATACTTTGTCAATACAATATTGTCCCTGCACATAGTCGTAGTATCTGGAAGTACTTTCGTTTTCATCAGTAATATTAAAATGATCAGTAGTAGCATTATTTAAACGAAGGGTGTAGTGCCTCAATCTTCCATCTTCAAGTAATACCAATTTATCTGAACCCTACATGGTAAAATTTGTTTTAAGAATCTAATGAATTTTTCAAAAATATCTATATGCCATAATAGTGTATTTGGTATAGCAAATTCAATGCTATTCATAAATTTAAAGGCATTCATTTAATTAGCTACATAATACATCCTTTTTTAATAATAATACATTTATGAATAATTATATTAAATTAATGTCGTACAATTTTTTTAATTTTAATTATCCTTAAAGGATGTTATCAGGAAGTTTCCAAACATAAAATAATTTGGAAAAATTGACGATTAATTTATCAAAAAAAGAAAAACATGTAAGAAAAAAAACTTTAAATGTTTACCCCGTGATAATCAAACACTGGCCATATTTGGTTAGATCCGCATGTTGGGTTTCCAATTAAAAAGGTGTATCCTACATTATTATGGTTATTCACAAACGTTGGTACATATTGCCCTAAAAAATTCATAAGATATTTAATTTTTATATTTATTTATGAAAATGTAAATGTTGCAAAATTTTACCTATATCAGTGTCATTTGCAATAACGCATAGTTGGTCTTGATATATTTCGAATTTTTCACAGCATTTATTGATTTTAATTTTATCAGAATCATTTTCCAAATTTGCTCTAGCGAATGGTAAACTGTTCTTATACAACAAACTGATTAATATTACTTGAAATTTTATTATACTCATTTTTTTAATGTTTGCTGTAGGATTTTTTTCATCAAGCCTTGATTTAGTTGAATGATTCTAAACAAGTTTTATTTCTTATCCAATATTCTAAGGTCCGCACAAAAAGCATGATTCTGAAAATATTTGCAGATATTTTACTTAATAATTAGGAATATTATGTAGGAATCTAATTCAAGTCTCAAACTTCTTATTTTTATTTCTTTTTGTTTAAAATTTTTTGTCAAAATTTTTAGTCTCGCAAAACATTTGCTGAGCAGTTTCTTATTTTGCCAAATTGAGGCACTTGATGTATAATATGTGCATATATACATATGTATGTGCATATGTTTACGAATTAGATTATTTTTAAACCTGTTTTTTGTTTTCTATTTGCAAAATATTTCAATGTTATTTATAGTAACATTGATATAAAGTTACATCAAATTAAATTTCACTAATGACTGCGACAAAATTGAAATTAAAAATAAATTGAATTGAATCTAATATTTTGTAAATAAAAATATAGTTTATTAAGTAGATAGGTACCAGAGCATAATTTGTGTATTATGATAGTTTTTGTGTTTTCTTTATTGATATTGTTAAATTACAGGAAGAATAATTTTACAATTTAGCAAAGAAGCCAATTTAATATTTAAGTGACTCATTGCGCTTAGTTATTGAGTATCAACGAGTTATAATTACATTTTAGTTCACAATTTTTTCAGTACAATGTATGTACATATGTATGTACATACATACATATATTTTTTCGGCGCGTAGCATAAAAATTATTGCAAGAATGCAAATGAAATAAAAACAAAAACCGGCAATGCTGTGTTACAATTCAATTTATATTACAATATACTATGTATGCGTTTCTAAGGAATTCGCATTTAATACACTTGTATTGGGTATTAAGTAAATCAATAAATACAAAGAAAGCTATTTCGAAGAACTCTGATCACTACACCTTTTCTAGTTTACACCTGAGCTTATGTTAAAATTTCTTACCTTTTGAATAAATAAATTTGTTATATTTTTGAGAAATTCTTCACGTAATAACAATAAATAAATATTTATTTTATTTTTATTTTTGATTTTTTTTTGATTATTTTATTTTTATTTTATAAGGCCATTTTGTACACAATCCCCAGAAATGCATTTAAATATACTTAACTCAATTTAGCAACTATTAAGTAAAACCTCAGCTTTAACGCAGTGATGGGACTTTAATCGTATGTAAAGTTATTTTGATACATTTTAAGCAAACACCGTTTTTGGTTTAAGAAATTTTTCCATTAAAAATTGCAAATACGGGATCTTTATCATTTAATGAGGATATTTCAACTATAATAAAATAAAAAAATTGTTGTTTTTTTTAAATGAATATGGAATAGAGCAGAAGTAAAATAGATGTTACTAGTTAAGTATGTTTTTGCTTGATTCCGAAAACGAAAATATCTCAAGTGCTGAATTATTGAATAATATATTAATCCATATATTAATGTCTAGATATTTACTTATGCATATAAAATATTAAGAAAAAATAATATCACTTATCAGTATTATATTTTTTAAAATATTGAAATTTCAATTTTGTTTATTATTAAATTTATTGTTTGTGATACTAAATTTTCATGAAAGCAAATAACATAATTTTTATGCTTTTTTGTTTATAATTGAAATGCGAAACCTATTAGTTCTCCATGAATTTTTTTATGTGAATGAATAATGTTTCTCTAAATTTTTAAAAAGTAAAACGGGAACTCTAAATATGACATTTGCTCTACATCAAATAATATCGATAATGCAGTAAGTCCCAAAACGAGCAAGTATTTTTTGTTTTTTGATCGTCAAAAATAGATGTCGTTAACTAAAGTAAATTGTTAGTAACGAGATCTACATTAATTGCCTCTGTAGCATAGCTAATTTTTGTTTTCATTATAAATTTTAAAATAATATAATAATAATTTTCCCCGTTAAAAATTTTTGTAGAGAAAACCTTCAAATAAAATGATTCCTTCTACGAGATTAAATTGTTAACTAAAATGAGAAATTGTTATTCAAAAGTTCTGAAATTCTGCATTTGTGATTCCTCTAATTTTTCTTCACCAATAAAGAATTCTTTTTCACTAGAAATCTTTCCTTTTTCGTATTGCCGAACTGAAAGGAAGGAGCATGCAATTTTATGATCCTCAACCCAAGAACTATTAAAGATTTAGTTGTTTATAACATAAAGCCAAAATGAAAGCTAATAGTGCACAAACTCTACCGTCAGTTGGAAAATGTGCAATTTTGAACCGGTGCAACCAAAACTTGTGAAGTAGTAATCAGTTAAACTATGTTTCCTGTTATTTGTTTTATATCACACATAAAAACCTTTTTAATACATACATATAATGAAATTAAATATTTAGTTGGTATTTTTTTTAGCTTTTAGATATGGCCAAATTTTATGCAAGATTTGAAATAAACGATGTAACAGGTGATCCCTTAACTGACCATGATATGACGCAATTACATTATTCTAAAATTACATCGTTACAGGTAATTTTTGGTTTTTTAATTTAATTTTTTTTCTGATTTACATTAATTTTTATTTGAAATTACAAATAATCTATAATTTTGATTTCAGAGGGCAGCTTTTATAAAATTTCCAGATTTGAAAATTTTTACTATAAAAAATGTTGCAAACGTTGATAGTCATGAAATTTTACAAAAACATTTTAGTGCTTTAGATCAAGAAAATTTAAGAAACATTGCTTCCTTTTTAAAGTTAGTTCCAAATACGACGGAGAAGCAATTGGAATGGCATAGATTAGATAAAGAATTTTTGGTCGAATTACTGGTAAATTTTTATTAATAAACAATAAAAGTACATATCTGTATCTAGATAGAAAAAGTTAGTATTTGAAAAAATATTATTTAAGGTTTCACGGCACGAGCGCAGGGTGTCCCAATTGGAATCATTGAATAAAATGCCATTATACCCAACTGAAGATATAATTTGGGATGAAAATATTGTACCAACAGAATTCTACTCGGGAGAAGGTTGCTTTGCACTCCCGAAGTTAAATTTGCAATTTCTAACTTTACATGATTATCTCCTAAGAAATTTCAATTTGTTTCGCTTGGAGTCAACATGTATGTATAAACTAACTTGATGAATATTGTACATATAAGAAAAGATTTTAGAGATTTTCATTTATTTTGTTTAGATTAAATAATGTAACTTCATATTTTACAATAATTTTACAAATAATCTATAATTTTGATCTCCATTCATAGATGAAATAAGACAAGATATTGAGGATGCGGTTAGTCGAATGTTGCCTTGGAAATCTGAAGATAATGATATTGTTTTTGGAGGTTGGGCAAGAATGGCATTACCAATTTCATTATTTGAAATTTCAGAAGTTGCAAAGCCACGTATTGGAGATCGAAAGCCTTCAAAAGTTCGGGCAGATGTGACTGTAACATTGAGCGTTCGAAAAGAAGTTAAAGAAGAATGGGAAAACTTAAAAAGACATGATGTTTGCTTTTTAATAACAGTTGACCCAATTATGCCTTACGGTAATTAATAAATAAACATATTTTAAACTTAATATTCAAAAAAAATCTTTTCAACAAGGAACGAAATATAATCCAAGAGAACCTTTTATTCCGCAAGTGGGCTTAGTGAATGTTCGTGGTTGTGAAATAGAAGGAATGCTAGACGCAAATGGTCGAATAATAGAGGAGGGACCGGATCTTAAACCTAATTTAGTCGGAGAACAGCGAACTTATAGAGTTTGGCTAGATCCAAATCAATATCAAGCGGATATGGAGTCTTTGGATGATGGGAGACCCAATGTTTATGATGGATTTAATATCATAATGCGAAGAAAACCAAAGGAGAATAATTTTAAAGCAGTTTTGGAAACAATTCGTGATTTAATGAATTCGGAGTGTGTTGTTCCTTTATGGCTTCATGATATATTATTGGGATACGGAGATCCAAGTTCCGCCCATTATACAAACATGGATTTAAAGGTAAGAGGATATTATCTGTAAACATGCCAGTATAAAGAAAAATTTTAAATTTTGAATATATTTAAGGACTCCTTTTTGGATTTTAACGATACATTTTTGGATATTGATCACTTAAAAAACAGCTTCCCCGATTGCAATTTTGATTTCAAAGGAAACGAAAATGATATGAAACCACCATTTCGACTCACATTTGCAGATGAGACGAAAACAATTTTAGCCGAATCTTATGTTATCAAAAGCCGTGGCCCATATGAAGAAAATACTCCAAAAAGGTTTTGCAAAGACATTTTTTTTTAAACTTTTATAATGATGATTTATGTTTTAGAAATTCGATTTATTTCACCCCAACTCAAATTGAAGCTATAAAATCTGGAATGCAACCTGGGTTAACGTTAATTGTCGGTCCTCCAGGTACAGGAAAAACAGATGTTGCTGTTCAAATAATTTCCAACATATACCATAATCATCCAAATCAAAGAACATTAATTGTGACACATTCTAATCAAGCGTTAAACCAACTTTTTGAAAAAATTATGGCTTTAGACATTGATGAACGACATTTACTTCGTTTAGGACATGGAGAAGAAGCTCTTGAAACTGAAAAAGACTTTAGCCGGTAAATCTCTACTTTGAATTATTGTATGTATATATTCTAATTTCATTTTTTTAGATATGGCCGTGTTAACTATGTCCTAGCTAAACGAATTGAGCTGCTAAGGGATGTCCAAAAATTGCAAGAGTCTTTAAATTTATCTGGTGACAGTTCTTATACTTGCGAAACTGCGGGATATTTTTTCTTATATCAAGTAATAGCAGTTACAATAAACTTTCTATGTACTATGCCTAGAAATGCTGCATTTTTATATTTCAGATAGTGTCACGTTGGGAGAAATTTCTTACTAAGATAAATTCATGCAAAAATTCTCACACTGAATGGAAAACTATGTTTGAACAGGAATTTCCCTTTAAAAACTTTTTTGCAGATGTGAAACAACCACTTTTTTCTGATAATTCATTCGAAAATAATATGCGGATAGCTGAAAGTTGTTATTATTATATATCCCATATTTTTGCAGAATTAGAAGAATTCCGAGCATTTGAGCTTTTGAGGAATGGTTTGGATAGATCCAAGTATTTATTGGTAAAGGAAGCTAAAATTATAGCTATGACTTGTACACATGCAGCTTTAAAGCGAAAAGAGTTAGTTAGCTTGGGTTTCAAGTATGATAACATATTAATGGAGGAATCAGCCCAAATTTTGGAAATTGAGACATTTATTCCCTTACTTTTACAAAACACATTTGATGGTTATAATCGTTTGAAAAGATGGATAATGATAGGCGATCATCACCAGCTACCTCCAATTATAAAAAATATGGCTTTTCAAAAATATTCGAATATGGAACAAAGTCTTTTTACCCGATTAGTCAGATTGAACGTGCCAACAATAAACTTGGACTCACAAGGACGTTGTCGACCAAGGTAATTATAATTATTCCAAGTTTGTACAACTAAAAACCATAAAAATTTTTTTATGATTTTAGCATTTCTTGTTTATATAAATGGAAATACAATAAATTAAACGATCTTGATCATGTAATCAGCAGAGAAGAATACAAGACTGCAAATCCTGGATTTGCCTTTGAATATCAATTTATAAATGTCGGTGAATTCAACGGTGTTGGGGAGAGTGAACCTAATCCATTTTTCTACCAAGTAATTTTACTTAAGTCAACATTGCTTTTAATAATTTTTCATAGCATAGGACATTTTCAACACTAAATTTTTTATAAAATTGTATATTTATAGAATTTGGCCGAAGCTGAATATATTGTAGCAGTCTATATGTATATGAGAATTTTAGGGTATCCTGCAGAAAAAATATCCATTTTAACAACGTATAATGGACAAAAGCACTTAATAAGAGATGTAATAAATTTACGATGTGCACAAAATTCATTAATAGGCTGGCCCAGTAAAGTAACAACGGTGGATAAGTATCAAGGTCAGCAGAATGATTACATATTAATATCTTTAGTTCGAACAAAAGCAGTTGGTCATTTACGAGATGTGAGACGTTTGGTTGTAGCAATGAGTCGTTCCAAATTAGGTTTATATATTTTTGGAAATCTAGCATTATTCCAGAATTGTCCTGAACTTCAGCACACCTTTAAAATTGTAAGTATGTTTTGAATGCATTTTCATTATTTCTATTACAACTTTTTAATAAACTTAACTTAAAAAGTGCTATCTCATTTACACGTTTTGTAAAAAATGTTCTTTTTTACAGCTTACTAAACGTCCACAAGATTTACATCTGGTTGAAGAAGAATTTTATCCAACATCTCGTCTAATTCAAGAAGAACCATCTCAAAGAATTATAATAAAAAATATGTCTCACATGGTTAAATATATTAACCATTTATATATGGCAAAGGTAGATAGTTTACAAAATGAAATTGAACTCATACAGCAAGAAAAAGTAAAGGAAGAATACCTTCAAAATGAAAAAAAATCTGAGACAAAAACTTCAGAAGCATTTGATGAGACTAAATTAGATGGCAAGCAAGCACAAAACACAATAAATCTTCACAAAGTCACTCCAATAATATCTGAAATACCCGAAGTTTCAAGTCCGATTGAAAATCTTGTTGATGAACAAGAAAACGAAGAAGTTATGCAAACAGATACAACAGTTGAACAAGATAGGATGTTTGAAAAACCTGCTCTAGATGGCAATTATATTGAAGAAGAAATGCAAACATCAGAGGAAAAAATAAATAAGGCAAATACTGTGGATGAAAATTCGGAAGGAACATGTGCTGCTGAAGGTGAGAATTCTTTCCAGAATGACGATAAAAATACTTTTCAGGACAATAATAGTTGTGAGGTAATTGATGAGGAAATGTCTCAAAAAGATTCTCTGGCCGAAACTAACACGAAAGATCTAGTAAACGATGAAAATGTTCATGAATGATTAAACTAATAAAATTTAAATTAAAATAAAGCCCAATTAGATTTACATTCAAAAACAAAAGTTTATTTTTTTATAAAGATCACAAGTAAATTACAATTAATTATTTTTTCGGTACCGTAATTCCTTCTAATTGTGCTTTTAATTGGGAGTTGGTTTTTTTTAGAAAAGCGATTTCTTCTGAAAATTTTTTTTCTTCAGCCGCCCTTAATTCAGCATTTCGTCTTTCTGATTGCTCTGTTTTAACTTTAATATCATTTATAACTTCCTCCAATGAATTTTTTTCAGTTTCTAAGCTTTTTATTCTATTTCGTAGTGATTCCTTCTCTTCTTGAGCTTGCAATACTTTTCTCATACCAAATGCAACAGAGCTACAATATAGCGTTTCATACGATTGTATGGACATGCTAATTTCGTCTCGCACTCGAAGCAAAAGAAGTCCTCTTTCTGTGCAATTGATGGTCACTTGCCGAATCAATTCATCTTTCATTAAAAATAAGAAATTAAATATTTGTTTTAAAATTAACCGAATAGAACAAATTCAAGAATATTTAATCAAATAATCACTATCGAATGTGAAAAAAATAAAATTTTATCTTTGAAATAAAAATTAAAACAAATTTTATCTTTGAAACAAATTAAAACTGTTTTTACGACAAAGTCATCTCAAAGTTACATGATTTAACATTAACTAAAAAGTATATTTATGTTCTACAATAACTTTGTATTTACCAAAACATTGTGAATACAACTCCCTTCTAATTGGGCAAATTCCAGTTTCACGAGCTTGACTTTGTTGTAATCTTGTGTCTAACATTTCTTGCAAGTTTCTAAAATAATGCAGGTAATATATTTAAAGTTTTTGAAATTTTGTATAAAACCGTTTATTTTATTGTGATCGTTCTTATTTATTCATAGTAAATTTAAATAGATCATGTTTATTATCTTTATCTAAAATACAAAACTTTCATGTAAATTTTAAATAATCTCAAATAAAATAATATAAAAAATTTCGTTTTGCGCTTCTAAATCATATTTTGTTACATAATATTCTATAATATTTATTAATAATATTCATTAATAACTCCATTGCATCAGTTGAAATATCAAAAAATATTTTTAAAATATTATACATAAATATACATATTATGTACTTATGTACATTATATTGAAAATATTATTAAAATATACGTGTTAAGTTAATTAAATGTATTTACTTTTAATATCAAATATTACTATTTAATTTATTTGATCAAATTTTATGAAAAAAAGTTTATAAATGGAATTAAAAAGGAACAAAAGTGTTGCAAAATTAGATTACAAACCTACACAACCGCGTTATCGAAATATTAGCTGTGTATATTTATTTTCTTTTAAAATAATTTACAATAATTAGAAAGAGTGTACTCGCATAGATTAATATATAAATTACAGACTTCAACTTACATTACATCTTGACGAGTTCCAGGAGTTGTAGAAACCTATAAGTATAAATCAAAATAAAAAATAAATTCAAATTATATTTTTTCCAAACAAATTATGTACGATATAACAAGCAAATTTACAGTTTGAGTCCATAATTGTCCATCCTGTTCCCAACATTTTGGTGGTAAAATTGAATTTAAAATTTCTTCACTTTCCTTTGAATCTGATATAGCTGAATCACCTGCACCTTTTTTCAATTCCTTCATATATACATAAATAATTTAAATAAATTCTTTGTATTTTACATTTGGACATCGAAATACCTTTTTATCGCTTTTCCTATCACTTCGTCTAGTAATTATAACAGGACTATTGTATCGCACTAATGTGTCATTACTACTCCAAACTTCATCCATTTTCAATTTTTACTGTTTAATATCAGAAAATTGAAACGTTTTCCAATTTTGTTTTTTTTTTTTTAATTTTTCTTTAATTTTAATTTTATTATTTATGACAAATTCTTTTCAAAAGAAATTAAAAAAAATTTGATTTTGAAAAAAATTTTAATTTTTACGAAAAAAAAAAATTTGTTTCACGATTTCTTTTTATGATGTTCAAAAAAATTTGAATACACTTCACATATGATTTTAAGACACTAATAACACGAAGATGAAAATAATTTGGTTCAAATTATCGATCTCCAATTTATTAATGAAAAACTGGAGCTCCTCTCTTATTAATGAAGCACCTTTGTCTTTAAAAATAGAAAATCATAAGTTTAGAATTGCACCAATTCAAATGAAGAATAAATTAATACAATATTACGAGTAGTTATTTTATGGACACATGAAATTTGTGGAAACCCTTAAATAAACCTTAATATTTCTTCAAATTCTGCTATTATTTAATTTATTTTAAGATATTTTAATAATGATCTTTAATCTTAAATCTAATGGAATGCGAATTTTTTTTTTAATTTTTGTTTTGCTATCATACAATATTTTAGAATAACAATCACCAACTACTGCAATATTTTTATTATGACTGGTAAATAACTATTATTTGATTTGCAATTTATATAATATATATATATACATATATCTAAATTTATGTATTATTATGTGATTTCGAAGGTGCTGGAATTCGCAATATGCGAAAAATGTATGTAATATAATTTAAAAGAACAAAATAAAAGCCAAAACTTTGATTAAACACATTGATTTTGTTTACTTGTTTCTATAAATTTTACGTGAATTAACGTTGCATTGTATTAAAGATATATGTACATATATTTATTTACAATTTTATTGAAATGTGTATTTTTTATAAAAATTTGACTAAAAGTAACAGAATTTCCGAAAAAAAATTATATTTAACTATATATGTATTTTGATTTTTAATAAAAGCACAGCAATTTTTGAAATTCACTAATATTTAATTAAGTTGTTAAATCGATAAGACGACAATAAATAATAGGTAGTTTCTTTAGTTTCTTTAGATATTGTTTATAGTAACAGTAATTTATTGTATAAACCCGACTATTTAAAATGTAGTGCAGAATTTTACTATTAAATCAGTAACCAAAACCATTTTTAATATGAAATAAAACTGTTGCATATCGTTACTGCATTACAAATCCAAAAAAAAAATAAACATTATAATTCCGTCATCATCTTTACATATGTATGTAAACATATAGTGGAAATTTTCTATAATACCATGATAAAAGTAGATGAAATAATTCAACTTTAGTTACAAAATTTTTTTTAAACTCAATGTCATATAAACAAAAGATTTATCGAATTGGTTAGGTTGACAGGGATATCGTAAGGTACATATAGACAGGCCAATGGATCCAAAACACTACCCCCCCCCCCCTCCCGTCATTATAAAAAAAATCGAGCTTTTTATAAAAACTGATAAACCGATAAAGGTCCCTTGCAATTTCAATTCGCCAATTCCGTGGTGTGTAAAAAGAAATAAGATTGGTATTTCCGCCTGTTTCTTGCTAAACGATAAAAAATTAACATTAAATACTAAATTATATAAATAATTTTATAATATCTATACTATAATAATTTATATTTGTATATGTAATTTAGCTTCTTATTAAATTAAGCAAAAATTTGCAATAAATTTATACTTACCCTGTTTAAATATGAACTAAGCTTTTAGTTTTTATCCCTTATTTTAGGCGAATTAAAATTTTATTGATTTAGCTAATTCTATAGTTGAAACTTTTAAATCTCGTAAAAAATAAAATTCTGTTTACCATTATAAATTTCAATTTAAGCTACTCGTCGGTAATTATGATATTTTAAAAATAATATTATGAATTCAATATCAATTATTTTGAATTTATAATTGCAAGGTCTTATTTACAATATCTAATAATAAAGTTTTGAAGAAGATGAAATTGAAATAAATTGAAATTAAACAAAAAAAAAAATAGAAATATGAGCACAAATAAAACTAAGATAAAAATTTGTTTTACAATACTTTGTAGAAATTTTCTTTTTTTAACAATATCGTAACTTAACATATACACAAATTATTTTATTAAATTATAAATATGCATCATTCTAATCAATAGAATTTTAGTTTAAAATTTAGAAAATTTACATATCGTTATGAAAAATATTAAAAATTCCCATAACTAGGAAAGTGTTTGTTGTAATGTTCCATTTGTTTGTATATCTATACTACCATAATAAGAGCTACAATTAATCCCAGCTACAGTTTCTGGCGGCCTGAAAATATTTATAAAAAATTTCATAAAATTCAAAATGAGTAAAATGTACTAATAATTGGAAAAAAAAAATAAAATTTAATAAAAAAGTAAAACGAATTAAAATCACATAAATTAATGTTTTAAATATTTTTATAGATTTTTAAAAGACTTAAAAACACTCTCAAGCATTTTATTATTAAGATTGATTTATTTGAGAATTAGAAGAAAAATTTTTGTCTAATTAACTTGAATGAAATCCTTCAAAATATTCATACAGAACGTAAAAGCAATCACTTTCGTTGCTTAATTATTTTTAAAAACTCCTAAAACCTGATCAAAGTATAATCTATATACGTTTGCCCAAAAACTAGTTAATTATTTTTATTTACTGCGTACTGACAACTAAAATTTAAGATTTTTTAAAAATCTTCCAAAATAAGATTATAAAGGCCTTAACATATGAGGAAATTTCATTCCATGTTAAATGTAGAATAAACATAGCTTATTAAAGCTTAAGATATCATTTTAAGAAAATTGGCTGTTAAATTAGATGAATTTGTTAATAACATATTAAATTCTTAGGGATATTTTTGAAAATCAATTTAAATTTAACGTTAAAGAAAAGTGTAATACGCATATAAGGTGAAAGTAAATTTCATATTTGGTTAAAATCACCTAGCTCAATGAAATTTCGTGTATTGTTTTACTTTTTTTTATACAAAATTTTAAATTCTTAATTATTTTGATTCAACATTTTGTACCTAATTAGTCGACTTTTTGAATTTGTATAACTGTCTTTGTATAATTGATCTGTTAAGGAGCAGGGTAATATCTGATTACTATTATCAGCTATTTTTTGTGTTTCTGAAGAGAATAAAACTATTCCTTTTGCATTTCCACTATAATAAAAAATATTGAAAAACAAGATAAAAAAATAACAATAGTTTTTTTTTTAATTAACGCACTTTTGATCATTTTTGATTCCATCTTCTGCGTTGTGTTTTTTATGCCCTCGATCATCGTCCACTAATTTTTTATATTGCCTATTTTTTCGTCTATTAAAGCAAAGGAATATACTTATTGTAAGTCCAACTAATACATTAAGACCTGAAAGCGAAATAAAAGTTAAACAAAATTTAAATAAAAAAATAAATACTTTATCGAAATGGAAAAATTTAATAAATACCTATAATAAAAATTACAGCTTTCCGAAAACCTACTGTATCATACAACACTCCACTAACAGATGGTCCAATAAAAGCACCTAAAGCGAATGTTGATGTCCATAATCCCGATATTAAACCGTAAGTTTCCATATTATCAGGAAGACCATTTTCACTAAAAATTTATTTAAATTTTATAATAAATATTTTATAATTAACTTGAAACTATTAGAGGACATATATATATTTAAATCTCCAGGTGTGAGCAACTTGCCATTAATTAAGAACACTTATAAGGTAGTATTCTTAATTAATCGAATTATTCCCATATTTATATATCACAATATTTATGTGTGTATGACACTTATATAAACTTACACTGAACAACGTAAAGCATCAGCAAAACTTGAAACAAGCATAGCTGCTATACCAAGGCCATGAACTACCAGACCAAAAATAACGACGGTTAGTGTTCTATAATTTATAAATTAAATAAAAAAATTAAAACATTTTTGTTTATATCGTTTCTTTATAATATACTAACGTTTCTAACGGTATAAACGATACTGGACCAACTGCACAAAATGCTATTCCAATTAAAAATGTTCCTAATAAGGAAGCAAGCTTTGGACTAAATACTTTATCAACCATCCATCCCCAAATTGGTGCAGTCAAAGCATAAATTCCTCCATTTATAACAAATACGACACCCAATAAAACTGGAGTTAAGTTAAATTGTCTTAAATGAGGCTCTAAAGTTGCATTTAAAAAACCAATTGAAGCACTAGTTGCACAAATTCCAAAACTGCACACAAGAACACCTGGTATTTTTAGAACACTTTTCATAGATACTATATATAATAAGAATAGTTAAATAAGGTTTTATAGGTTAAAATATAAGTTTATTACAACATTTGAGTAATCGTAAATACTTACAGCCTTTAGTTTTATCATCTACATCTTTGGTATGCCGAGGTAATACACATAATGTAAGTAGTGCAATTAAAAATAATGCACAACCTAAAACTACAAAAGGCATAAAATAACCACCAATTGTATAAAGTGCACCTCCAACCATTGGACCAACTATTAAACCTAATCCAAAGAACGTTTCCAAAGATGCCTTTAAATAATTTAATATTTTTATTAACAATATGATTTTTTTCTACAAACTTATATTAATACTTACAAATGTCACACCCACATTTTGCGAAAATTCTTTTGCTATTATGGCAAAAGAAGCAGTTAAGAAGGCAGCATTACCAAGCGCCTCTACGATTCTTATTATGAAAGCTAAAGTAATAAAAGGGATGTGATCCTATAAAAATGGAAAAATGATTTAATTATAAAGTTTTTATAATTGTAATAATTCAAATATAAATACTACTTCTATGAAATTCTATACAAAATATTATTTTTGTATTCTACAATACCGACATCTTCGCAGACATGGTAATGTAATTTTTGGAAATATTGATTTTATTTAAACCAAAGATTAACTATGATTTCAAATAGAATTTAAAGTAACTAATAGTTAATTGTTCTCAATCAACTCATCAATGTATATTTTAAATAAATAAATAATTTACTGGGTTTTTTTTTTTGGAAATTTAAAATTTTATTTTTTTTTAGAAAATTGGTTCAGTTTCTTAATCCAATACTAGATAAAAAGCGTCCACTGACATTAAATATCTGTACTTACCGGTATTTTATCTAAAAGACCAAATAATATTGCTGATGTCCCTGTGGTAAATATCCCTCCATTAAAAAGTACCTTTGGCCCTATGCGGTTTAAATATTGGCCATAAATTGGGGAGATGATAAATACAACTAATTCAAAAACACCAAATACCAAACCATATTCAGTTGCGTTACATCCTTTTTTTTCAGCCTATAAAAAATAAAATTTTTTTTTTTTTAATTTTAATCCATATAAGTTTAAAAATGTAGACATAAAAAGGCAATAATTTTTTATATGAACTCTATACATACATTTGTACATATACATAATGGTTGTCAAAGAAAATGTCAACATAATCGTTGCCATTTTTTTTTAATTAGATGTTGTCTTAAACATTGCGATTATCCAAATCAATTTTAATTAGCATGACGTCAGCTATGTAAGTACATCAACATGTATATTTTTTATACTGTGACTTTCGTTCTCACAGTAAAGTAAGAATAAAGACTTTTTAAAACAAAAAGAAGAACAAATACCTATAATTGAACCTTTTATTACAAATATCTCATTTGACCTTATTTGAAGTACGAAATGCAAATATGTAATTTATTTTTTAGTTTTACATTTTATGTACATACTTAGTACATCATTAGTTTAAAAATGGTTTTGATAAAAAATAATTCATATTTTATGTCAATCATTCTGCAATGTTAACTGTTTCCTATAGTCGAAATAATAACCACATTTTGAACAACTAATCTGACACTAATCAAACACTAACTACTTGCATAAATGTACATCCAATTATATTTTAATTTAGTAAATTTGCATATAAAAGAAGCATATTTAAAAATTTTTGAAAGTTTCTTTACTCAATATAAATAAATTATTACAAAGAAAAATAATTACAATTTTTAACTGCGTAATTAGGGAAAAAAAAAACATACAAAAATTCATTCATACAACATGCTGATGACCCTGATTTCCTATTGATTTCTCTGCTTAATTCAAAAAAGAAGACAGGATGTTATTAAGAATAAATATGGCCGTATAAGAAATAAAATTCAAAATACAATATATGTAGCTGAATTTTTTTTGTCAATTGTAATACTAAATTTATGTACAGATATAATTAAAAAAAAAATTTTTTTTGAAATTTGAACCAAGTGCTTCCAATTATAATTACTGTTATCTATTATGTGCATTACTTATAAACTCCCTGTAATTTCATCATTTTTCTTCCCTGCAAACCTATTGTGGAACTTTTATTGTACGTCATAAATAATATTATATACTTATAGCTATAAGTATATGTATATATATGTATATATATACATACATACATATATGTACATGCGATTTATATATTCCAAAAATCGAGTTGTATTTCTTACTACAATTAATTCTTATAGTAGAAAAATAGAATCAGCAACAATTATTGTTTTCCTTATCATAATAAATGTATTTTTCAAATTTTAAATTATAAATTATAATTTTTATAATATAACTTAATTGTATTATGACAACACTGATATAATAATTTGGTGCGGCATTATGTCAATTCCCTACAAGCACAAATATACATACATATCTTTTTATATTTATTAAATTAATTTGAATAAGCTAGCATATTGTTGTAAAACAAAAACACTGAACTGCAGTTTTATTAACTTGAGAAGGGATACATATACATATGTATGTAGTAAAAGAGCTTCCTCTGCATATTTAATTTTTACAATAATGTTGTGGTTTAATGACACAAAAATAAATATAAATAAACATGTTATTAGTTTGAATTAAGTTTTCTTAATATAATAATATATGTATGCCGATTCGGCTTGATGAACTATAACTGTTTGTCACTGAAATTTAAAAACAAAATGGTTTCTTCCATCCAGTTATATCAAATCTTTATAATATTATCCAATAACTAATTTAAATTCTAAAATCATAAATATAAATCAATGCATTTATATATATATATATATATATATATATATATATATATATATATATATATGTATTTGTAACAAGATTTGCAAAGAAATATATTTTCCACTTTTCCAGTAAATATTCTATTATTTTCATTAAGTAATGTCTCCCCACATATTTTAATGCAATAAACTCTTAATGAATGCATATACATATATGTATATATATATATATATATATATATATATATATATATATATATATATATATATATATATATATATATATATATATTTTTTTTTTGTCATTACTCTTGTCAATTACTAATATTTATACTATGTTAAATGACCGTGATTAAATCTTTACGGATAACCTCTGTCAAACTAAATGTTTTCACTTTAATAGTTTTGTTACATTATTACGTCAATGCAACATGATCATACTTATAGATCAGAATCAAAAGTTGTATTGGCTTACAACATGAACTATACCTATACGTATAGCGGGTTCTCATATATATATCTCATATATATGTATTATAATTTATGAACTTCAATTATTAAATCTTATGATTTTATACTCTTAATAGAAACATACTTAATAGAATATACTTAATAGAAATTTATTAATCTTAGACATTTCAAGTTTCTCATTACGCAATCAATCATTTTCGTTTTTCACTTGCTGATAGCTTATAAATTAATAATCTTACAAAAAATCTATTTTTTTTTTAATAATTATATTTAAAATAAGTAAATATAGTAAGCGCCACATGTCAAATACTATATCCGCTTAGCTGGAACGTGAATAGTTTGTAAGAATTATTTGCGTGATAAGATTTTTTTTGTGTAAACAATGTTTTGTTAGTTGTACTATTGAAATATTGTTGTATTATATGTAAACATGAATTACCATGTTTTGATATTTTATTAAATTTTAGAGTACCACTACTTTTGTAACATAAGAATTTTTTTTTCTTATTGTTTAACAATGTTTCAAATAGAACAGATGCCTGAGAATATGTGGAATATTTAGACCCAAAACAATAACAAACAATGAACTATTTGTGATTAGGCACCAGAAGCCTATAAACGTGACTATAACTCACACTTTTCGAATCGTAAATAATACAATAGCCAGGCAGGTACTAGGGTAGAACTCACAGTTAAAAAGGAAATGTAATAGAAAATGCTGGTCGTAAATAAAGTGCGTCGCCCAAAACAAAATGCAATTCAAAAATTTTGATAAAGTCCTATGTTCTACCTACAATTTCAATTTTATTGATTTGAATTTTTATAGCAAATAAAAGAAAATTTTCCTTTTCAAAACTAAATTAAAAATATTTAAAGCGGTCAAGGTATTCATAAATACTCCCACCCTGTGCTCATTAAGAATTTTATTTATTTATTTTTATTTATTTATTTGGAAAGACATTTACATATGTACATATATGTACATCTTTATATGCAAGTTATTTTAAGTAAAAACTTAACAGTTTCATTAAAATATTGACGGTTTATCAAAAAAATGTGAAAAGTAAGTTGATGCACAAAAATATTATTCTCAATAAATCAAGTTTTTTTAATAAGATAGCATTTTCTCATTTTAAATTTTAGTTAATTATATAATTAATTATATAAAACTGATACGAAAGTCTGCAATACAGATTATTGATTTTAAATTTAAGCAGAGATTTTTTAGAATGAAAATTTTTTTGTTTTGTTTTTTTCGTTAAAATCAAAAATAAAAAAATCCTTATCTTATTTAGTCTAGTCGGAGTCATGTTTTTATAATTTCAAAGATTGCTTATTTGAAGAAACAAAAAAAAAATACACAAGAAGCAAAACAATAAATAAGGTTTTTTTTTTAATATGAGCGCAATAGAAATTTATTTAAACGCAACACAATCTAATGTCATTACGACGTTTAAAATGATTTTAGAACGAAATGGCAAGATTACAAAATATGATAATGTTTAATATTTAATTAATTATAAAAATTATAATATTAAGATAAAAATCAATGAGACCGCATTTAAATGAAACTTTCACCTATATGTCACCAATAATAAAAAATTTTTGCATTTATTTGAAAACTGTATACAAAATTAATGTTTTTATGTTTGTAAATGCTGATAAGAATAGATGGAGAAAGAATATGAATATCAAAAATGAAATTTTCAGTATGGAATTGACTAATAGAATTTAGAATCATTAACACTAATTATTATAGTCTCTTGAAACATTTATATTTCTGTTGTGATCCTTTCAAATACTTAAGAGAGAAGATTAAGTGTAAAGGCATTAATCATGTTGATTAGTTTTAGTATACATATATCAATTTTTATACATACAATTAATATGATGTTGAATTTATAACATTAGATTATTTCTAATATTTTGATATTCATAAAATATTAATGTATAAATACTTATTACATATTAAATACATATACACATAATAAATTTAGAAAAATTAAATAAGTGCGCATAAAATGAAATCAAATATACCCACATATTATCATATTTTAATCTTATAGGAATTTACAATAAAAACAATATACTTCTGAATGTACATATGTTCAAATATAATGCAGGAAAATAATTATAACTATAAATTCATAATACAATCTAACTAAATAAGAATACTTAGAGTAAAAGCATGCCAAAATACCCTTACCATTGCGAATACACTCACCCTTATTATATAAGGAAATGAAATTTTTGTATGGAAATAACAAGTTCAAAAATACCAAGTCATGCCCAAATTCAATTTAGGTAGTTTTTGTTTTTTTTCCTTAAATATGATTTTTAAAGTTCATAGCTCGTATTATTATCTACACAAGTTATTTTTATATTGTCAAATTTTGTTATGACATAAGTTATAAAATTTAAAACTATAAGGAGGATTAAACCGCACTGTTTTTTCAAATTGGCATTACAATAGAACTAAAATTTATATTAACTTCAAGTCTGAAGATTTAATTTGATAAGTGAAGCGTCTTTCTACCCATTATGATGCTGAAGTTATTAATTAAATTAGATATGGTAATTAAAAAAAAATTTCAATATTAAATAAGGCAAAAATTAACACCTTCATTGACTGAAAACTGAAATATTGGTACTATAAATTATATACTTTCTGAAGTTTTAATGAGTTTAAGGTTAAGATTTTGAGGATACTTTTGAAAAACTAGAAAAGTATTTCAAACTTATATATTTATAAAAAATATATCTCAACTTTGTATTACTTGTATTACAGATTTCCAAATATCTTTGTATGGTGTATACTTTACGTGTCTTATTTTATGCTTAACTACTTTAATTAGCAATTTAATTCAATCCTTTTTGCTAGTTCAAAACTTTTTGCTTAAATTATCATTTAAAGAATTTCGCCTAAATGTATGCAACATTATACGATAATAAAAAATTTTTCTTTATTAAAATATCCTTTTCTTAATTGTCTGTTCATGATTGATAAAACATCAATGATTGAAATATCATGATTTACGTGACGGACTTTAATTTTTCTAGTTGAATAAAGCCCTAAAGTTTAAAAGTTAAATATTTATTTTACAATACCTATAAAATTTTATTGTTTTAAAAACACAAAAAAAAATAATTGAAATGAATTTGTTTCATGCTGATATTTTGGCATTTGTAAAAGTAATTATCTATATTATTCGAATATTGTTATTTACATGTCTATTCCATATAATACCTGCTTATTTATTGTAACAAATTAGAAATTGTATATAAAATATTCTACAGAAAAGTAAAATAAAAAGTAAAATGGATCAAATAATTCAAGGTACTTATGCATAAAGACTATATGACTTAAAACTAGGCAATATGCAATATAAAATATTTATAAAACGTGCATGTGTTTAACAAAATAAAATCTATTGTATATATGTATACATACGTATACAACATGCACAAAAATAAATACCACTGACATTACATTGCATTTTAAAAAAGAAAAAAAAAATAATAAAAAAATTAATTATTAATCAAATCAGTTTTAACGAGAAAAATTAAATGATAACGAAAAAATGATTACAAAGTAAATTAGAGTAATAGTAAAAAAATGAACGCGAACTACATACATATTATTATTTAGTGATCTTTATTATATATTTGAAAATATTATTTTTAGAATAGCATATCGATAATGATTGCTTTAATATTCGTGTTATATGGCAACATACATTTAAGAATTGCAAAGACGTAGTAATAAAATTTAAATTAAATTTCTATATGGTTTATTAGTTTATGGTTTAATAAAAAATTAAATAGTATTTATAACAGCTAAAAATATTTATTCTTATATATATGTTGTGCATGCACATAGCATATAAAATTTAGTCTTTAATATAAAATTTTTTAACTTTCCTTCATTAATTATAATTTATCATTATCACTTACATTATATTATTTTATTACTTTAAAAAATTAGGACTTCAAGTGTTATACCTATGTATATAAGAATGAAATATTATAACTCATGCTTATGTATATGTATGGATTTATGTAAATAACATTTTTTGCATTTTTATTTATTCCTGTATTCTGATTTCCAATAAAAAATTATCATAACTTAATATTACAATTTATAAAAATTTTATTATTCACAATAATGAATTGGAGCCCAGACTGTAGAAGCCTCCTATGTAATTATTGGTCAAATGTTAACATTGGTTTATTTTTTATAGGTACTACCTCTTTAATTGCATTATTAGTTACTAATATGTTATTCTAAATATTTAATTTTTTTTATCTTTATGGCCCCAACTATTTCAAGTATATCTTACTTTGCAAACAATTTGTGAAGACACTTGATCTCTTATCCAATCAATGAAAAAATATTTTAAGATATATATATATATTTATGTTTTTCTTACATTAATTATGAGTTTAACGCAGATTACGATAATTTTAAATTTTTTTTATATAAAAAATACAGAAATCTCGTATACAGAATAAAAAAAAAATAGAATTTCACTTTATTTTGCCTATACTTGTCCCTCTATTCTATCAGAAACTTTCGAATATTAAAATGTGCAAATTTTTCTAAATTTACTGAACGCCCAAAATTCTACCATAATTAAATTTTTATTAAAAACCTAATTTTTACTTTTTATTATTTTACATATACATTAAATTCAACTTATTTGTTTGAAAAATGTTCGCATTTATATTTCTAAAAATTTAAATTACATACGCACTATATTAAGTTTAATACTCTTTTCTGGTAACACCAATATACATTTTAAAACGGCATTTATTCATTTTACACATTTTTTTTATCGTTTCAACGAAACTTCCCGAAACAAACGATAATTGTTGACATCATGTTTTCAAAATTTCATAAAAAAAAATTTAATAAAACAAAAATGAATGCAATAAAATTTTTATCGATGTAATTATTAATTGCCTGTTCATATATTATAAATTAATTTTATATAACTTACCTCATGTGGGAAAAATGGTGCTTGTAAACTAACACAAACTGCATTGAAAAAATCAGCTAAACCGATAACCAATAGCGTTAGCCACTGTCTTTTTGTAAAATTTACATTTGGAAAAATCATATTTCAGCATTAAAATTTCATTCAAATTTTCCAAGAGGGACTATTAAAATTCTTTTCACAATTCTTTTTTATACAAAACAATACATATCCTATTTTAATTATTCTGTTTTTCTTTTAATTATTTATTATCAATTATTTTAATTTAATACCAACAAAAAAAAAAAAAACAAAAAGAAAAATAAATATTTGTAAATATATGACTTTATTTTTTAAAAATATATTTTATTTATTTTGTTGCGTTTTGCCTATATCTTTAGCCTAGACAACGATCCCTTCTTAACTGATCGAATCCGTACTATTTTTAAAATCGAAAAGATAATAAAACAGAATAATTATAGAAAATTAATTAGCTCTTCTCTCTTTATAATTTTCTTCGGTATTTATTCAAAAGGCAAAAATACTGATTTTCGGTTAATCTCCATATTTATGCATATTTTGTTAATCTTTATAATATTTATTATAATGTTACCAGTGTGCACAAAAATATTAAATTAAAGCAACGAAATAGAACGATAAGAGAACTTGATACTGGAAAGAAATATGTGAATGTATAATATACATAAATTAAAAACTAAACTTTTTCCTATGAAATCTGTAAAAATTATAAGTTGACATAGCACAAAATTGAATCATTTAAATCTTAAGTTTTTGGATAATTCATGCAAAAGGTTTTTGGCGTCACATTCTACGACTGCTTTAAAAAACTTTTGCTCTAAAATTCTTTTCAATGCACCAATCGAAAGAATTTTCAAAGGAAAACCTATAATCTCATGAAGCATTCTAGAATTATGACTAAATAATGAAACTATCTAGAATTATCATTACTAGTTGTGAGCGGTGAATAAACTAGCATAAAAGATTAAGAACTAAAAATTGGGAATCCAATAGCCTATAATAAAGAGTTAAAGCAAATTGCATAACAATCATTACAGAACGATCTTGAAAAAATCAAAACAAATTAATTACCAAAAACAAAATTTTATTTTTGTGAAACTAAAGAAAATTTTTTAAATTGTTAAAAGAAGTCGGAATAAATAAATAGTTGAGCAATATGTATGCGTATGCATGTATGTATTCTACTTCCATGAGGGCCATAAAATCAAATAATGTAATATTTAAGTGCAAATTTTAGTAATTTAAAATTAATATTTTAATTTTTTAGTTTTGTTTTTAAATATCAATCGAAATAAAATTTAATGTAAATTTTTTCTGGAAAAATCGTTAAAAATCAATTGACGATTTTTGAGTCCCAAGAATCTCTCTATGTATGTTATGTCACAACATCATTGATTGAAAAACTTCAATTAAACTTCTGTAACTTGACCGTACTTCCTCTTACTCCTCACTAAAAACAAATAAGTAAATATTATTTTAATAATAAATTTTTAATAAATAGAAATAATTACATACATACATAATTTTACATTAAAACAGCAAAATTTATGTATCAAGAATTAGTATTAATACAAAATAGTTCCATTACTCTGAACAGGAATTAAATATTTAAAAATTGAATGCTCTTAATAAAATCGCAATTTGAGAAAATATATGTATTACATGTAGTATAACAAAAGTTATTAATACTTATTCATTAATATTTTAATTATTTACTAAATGTTCATGCCAATCTTACTTAGCAGGCTCCCTACTCTCGATCTTATCTTATATCTAGCATACCTTTCTTCAAAAGAATAGATACAAAATGTTCATTTACAATTTTATAAGAATTTGCATTGATGTTAATTTAAGACATCAACTTTTACATTTTTTTTTATAATTTGTTAAGTTAACACTTATGCTATAACAGTGAAGTTAGGCTATGTTTACAGCTTAACTTTACTGTTATATAAAAAAACTGAAATAAAAGTTTAAAAATATTGAATAAATTAAAAAATTCAATATTTTTATACAAGAAAACTGCTTTTGTAATTTAAATATTTTTTTATATATTTTATATATATTTTATTATATTAAAAATATTGCACAAAATACTTACATATTTGTTGATACGAGTAAGTTGGTTAAAATCAAAGAAAAACGATTTTAATGTTTGATGTTATAACATTATTAGAAACATACAAAATCTGACCATTATAATTGGGATACATAACGAAAATCACAATTTATATAATTAAATTATGTAAAAAAAAACAATAATAACATTATGAAATTTTCAAATAAATTATTTTATTTTTTCTATAATAACAACTATTTAACCACATTTATTTATGTTATGAAATACATTTATATTTTTTAAATAATTAGAATTTTAATAGTACAAATTACACATAAAAGTATTGACAATAATTTTGTGTAAATGAAAAATGAGATAATTGATAGAATACAAAGTTTTTCAAAAAAATAATAACTTGTTTTTCTTAAGTAATTGTTAAGAAAAATTAACAGTTCTGGTTCATTCATTGAAACGTACATCAAAAGAAATTTGAAAGCATTAAAATTTTTCTTGCGATAGATTTCTTTAATGGTGCAATGTTCGAAACTTGAGTGAAAGTTCATAATTTTGAAATATATAATTTGATTCAAATAAGAATTGTCTTGTACCCCAATTCATAAAATGTTCTTCGCAATTTACTAACAAATTTTGAAAATATTAAGTATGTTATTACATTATTTTAATTTATTAAATCTTTTAATAAAAATAAATTCATTGCCATCAAAATTGCTAATGCTTTCTAATAAAAGAACCACTTTTATATTGTAAAATTAACAAAAGTTGAATCGTAAAAACTACAAGAAAAAATTTTATAAAAATCCTTATTTTTATTTAGTTTTCATTCAATTCAGTAAAAAAAATAAATACATATTTGCATTTTCAATTAAATTAAAAAAATTTTGATCTATTTTATTTCAATTCTTAATTAGAACCGATGTGAATAAAGTAGAGTTAAATTTAAGACATAAAAAAAATTTTTTCTTGTAAGTAAAATACGGACTTAAAGTTTATTACCTACTTACTCTCATTTTTCAAAAAATAACAAGAAATTTAAAGTTTGATTTGACTAGCGTAAAAGCATTTTAATAAGTGCCTGCTATAATAAAGATAACATTATTTTTATTGACACAGTTTGCAAATTGTTTTAAAAACAATAATACTTCATATAATAAACAAGGTAGAAAATATACTTTTTAACAGAATTTTACAGCATAAAATTTTTACAGAATTAATTAAATTATAAATAGAAAGTTTCAATATGAAATTGAAAAATATAAACTTAAACTACACAAAAGACGAAATAAGTTTGCTGACAAACTACTAAAAATCCTACTAAATCCTAATTCAAGAAAGGGCTTTCAAAAAAATTAGCCATTTTGACTAAAGTATTAATATTTAGAATATGACTGCTTGAAAATCTAAAATTTTCTTTGTATTTAAAAAATATAAAATCAACGTCTTACATATATTTTTTTATGATTAGAATTGGATCATAAAAAAGTACACATGTATTTGTTTCTATTAATTGTTACATTATTTGAACCAAAGCCAGTTTTATTTATTTAGTTGTTTCTGTGCAATTGGGATATAACGTTCACTTACAAGCAAAACCTCTTGATCTATTTCTACAAAATAGTGTATTAAATATCTCATTTTATATCAAAAGGAAGTAAAAATGTAAAGAACATTTTTAATTATTTAATATTTTACTAATTTTTTAAGTACGTAATTGAATAATAAAATTCATTATTGTAAAAAATTTAATAGCCGAATTTTTCATTATCTAGCTAGTTGGTTATATATTAGATGTTTTGAATAATTTGAATTATTTTAATAAACTGACCAAGTTTGTGCTAATCGGCAGTATTTAAATTTGTTTATCTTCAAGATCTATTATTACTTGTCTAATATTATAATAAAGAAATTTTAACATGTTCAACTAATGGTTTATACTAACAATATTTTATATAAACTTTAAGAAAAACGAATTTCTAAGCTTTTGTAATAAAGTTATCGATAACGAAAACTGCTTAACTAAATAATTAAGCAAATTCATTCATTTTAAAACATTTTGGTTATAAACATATGTAATAAAATAAAGTCTTGACATACCATGCAAAGTGAATGGATAACTTTTTGAAATGTAAAAGATGGTTATTAATTCAAAATGTTATACTTTAACAATTAAAATTTTTAGGTTTATTGTGAAAATCTTAAGTTAACGATGTTAATTACACAAATCAAGATCTATTTTTCACGTAATTTCCAAATAATGTTTTTATTATTTTGTTGCTTTGTTTAAGTTATCATTCGCCTAACTTTGTTTTATAAAATTTTCAGCTACAAATTTTTAACTTTGCTAAAATAAGACATAATTCACATAGAAGAGGGTATATATAAATAGGTATACGTGCACAAATATGAATAATATTTGGTGATAACACCAAATCAAAAGAGTCACGAAGATTAAAACCAAATTTTATGTTTCAGGAATCAAGCATAAACATTTTTGCTTATAGCTTTTTTTCTCTTTGCAAATAAAGAAGGAACGTCTTAAGAAAATTTTTGCGTGACTTTTTGCAATAAATTTAAATATTCCGAAAAGATTAATGAGAATTAAATAGTTATATATGTATATATAGCCAATGAGAAATTTAAGCGGGTCCTGCAAATTACATTTATTAAGAATTTTTTTAAACAGTAGGAAACACAAATCTTTTTGTAGTTTGTTGTAATTCAGAGCAAACATTGTTAGTGTAAAATGCGATACTTTACTTTTTGTCGTCAAAAAGTTTTGTAGGCTCTAATTTTCGGGTTTTAATTGGTGGCAGTTCAGGATAATTCCATGTTATTGGTAAAGAACATTCGTAATTGAAACTGTAAAGCTGTTCCTCAAGCCACTTTTTCTTATCGGTTGGTTCAGGATATGTTGCAGCAAGTCCTAAAAATTAAAAAAAATTTTTTAAAATAATACAATAAAATTTCATAACGATTCTATTTAAATTTAAATTTTACATATGTGTTACCTTTTGCATATGCACATTCGGTAATACCGATCGCAATTTTCATTGAAACCTCACGAATCTTGCTCAAAGGCGGATAAAGAGAACCAGCATCTAAATCTTCTTGCCTTACAAATTGAGCAAGTTCTTGTGCAGCTATTAGGAACATATCATCTGGTATATGATGAGTTTCTGTGCAAATTACACCAAGTGCTACACCAGGGAATATATAGGCATTATTTCCTTGACCCGGTTTAAACACCTTCGAACCATGTTCAACAGTCCCGAATGGTGAACCAGATGAAAAAATAGCTCGACCCTTTCAAAAAACAAGAAATATTGAAAAAAATTTTTCCCATATAAAGTATGTATACACAATAATGTTAGAGTGATTAAAATACATGTTAAAAAAAAATAGCATCATTATATCATTAAAGTATCATTAATTGTTAACGGTCAATCGTTAAAAAGTGATAAATTGAAATGTTTACAAAATATTTTTAAATTTAATAAAAAAAAAGTACTTTAACAAACTAAAAATATTAAAAGTTCATTTTGGAAAATAAAAATTTTTTTGTATATTCGAACGAAAACTAATTTTGGCTACTAAGAAATAGATATTACTCACATCAGTGTTTTTGTAAGCTGACTCAGCTGTACATTCGGCTCTGGTAGTTGGATTTGACAATGCAAATATAATTGGCCGATCGTTATTCGCTGCCATTGTTTTTAGAATTTTCTCATTGAAAATGTTGGGAGCACCGGAAGCACCAACTAAAACCTATATTAAAACATATTGGTGAAATACATAAATATTGTGAATTTTGAATTTATTTTGAATTTATTTTTCGTGTTTCATTGTTATAATCTATAGCTTACTGTAGGTTTAATTTGATTGACAATTTCTTCCAAACTTTTTAGTTGCTCATGACTTTTAGCAAAAACCCTTTGCTGTGGGGTAACATTTCTATCAGTAGTTAACAATCCTTCAATATCTGCCATCCAAATCTTTGATCGAGCTTCCTTTAGTGCACAGTCAAATTATATTTATTTTTTCGTTATAATTAAATTTATATCAAACCTCTATTGAAATTCCTTCAAGTTGCATAGCTTTACAAGTTAAATCTGCGATTCCAAGTGAGGCACCACCTGCCCCAGCAAATAAATAAACATGATCAGATAGCTTTTTTTTTGTTATTCTTTCAGATGCGTATAGCCCAGCTACAGCTACAGCGGCAGTGCCCTGTATATCATCATTAAATGTGCAGTATAAATTTCTATATTTCTCAAGAAATCTGAAAGCGTTTGATATTCCAAAATCTTCGAATTGAACGAGACAATGTTGACCCCAACGTTTCACCACGGCTTGCATAAATTCATCAATGAATTCGTCATATTCTGCTCCAGTAACTCTTGGCTGCCTTAAGCCAACATAAAGTGGATCTTCGAGAAGATCCTTATTATTTGTTCCAACATCAATTTGAATTGGCAAACATTTATGAGGTTTTATGCCAGCTAAAGCAGTATATAAAGCAAGTTTACCTACAGGAATACCCATTCCACATGAACCCAAATCTCCCAAACCAAGAATGCGCTCTCCATCGGTAACACAAATAGCCCTGACATCATTTTCAGGCCTTAAAGGGTTGAAAAATTATTTAAAAAACGATAATACGACAGCAAAAGAATCGTACCCGTACTAATGTGAAGTTTCATTTATAGTAAAGTGCAAAATTTAGCTTGCGCAAAATTAGTGTGAAATTTATTTCGTTTTACGAAATTATGTTTTGAATTTTTCTGTTTTTCTTTTGTTAGAATACTACTCATAATTAAATTATTCAATTAAAAATTAGTAATTTTAAAATAGATATTTTTTTATAATTAGAACCAAATATGACCAGCGCCTTCTAAATTTTTCGTATAATTTATATATGGCGAAAAGCTTTGAAAAATTCTACTTATATGAAAGTTATTTTAGTAGTATAGGAAGCTTTTATAAAAAATATAATGAATAATTAGTGATCTTTTATTTCTCAATGTTTACATTCTATTTAAAAACTTGACAATAAACAAATATTAAAATGTATTACGAGTTTAGATCAATGTTTAAACTTCTAGACTCATATTTAATATCAAAAATTTTAGATTAAGAAAAAAAGATTTCTATGCAAGCTTAAGTCTTTTAATAAATCAATTGATAGAGAGAAATTTCCAATTTTTTAAAACAAAAATTAAAATTAAAAAAAACGAGTAAATTACCAATTTTTCAGAACATCGTAGACGTGGTGGCGATCCCTGATTGTGACAAATAAACCTCTTGGTCTTCTGTAAATTAAACCAAATTTTTGACATGCCAAACCTACGGTGGGAGTATAAACTATTGGCATTAATTCTTCTACATTTTCAGCCAATAAACGATAAAATAATTTTTCGTTACGATCTGATAAATCGGATAAATACAGGTACTTATTAAGATTTTCAGTATATCTGCTTACAGATATTTTGCATAGTTCTAATTGTTCTTCTTGAGTTTTAAATCTTGCAGGTTGCAATCCATGTATACCTAAAATTTGGCGTTCCTCAAGGGTAAATGCCAACCCCTATAAAAAAAAAAAAAACAAAAAACAATTAAATCAGCAGATAATATAACGCTATCTATACCATTACACACCTTATTCAATCGAGGATCTTTTATATAATCAATTCCTTTGACTATGTTTGGGCAAATAATGTCACCTTGTACTTCATGATACTGTCTTATATTTTTTTTCTGATTATCTAATCGTAGTGCACTTAAAACGGAAGTATCCGTAAGGCAAGAAAGCTTTGCGTTGGCTAGATTCCGAACATGGTTCCTACAGAAATATTCAATCTTTAAAATACATAAGTTAAAATAATTAATACTAATTTTTTAGCGTTTAAAAGTTGGTTAACGAGCTATCTTGCAAGTCAAATCCTTAGTCTGAAATTCACCTAAATAAATAATATACAAATAAATTTTTTCTTTACATAGTTCTCCAAAACTTAGACTTTTTATTTAGATAGAAACACCATAAACATTGAAAAATAATCTTTTTTTATCGAATTCTAAAATACAGTCTTTTTTCGTCCCCTTATAATTGGGAAGGGATTATATACAAGAAAATTTATAAACAATATACAAAATGTATGGAGAATAATATAAGAAAAATTGAAAATTTTTTTTAAAAAAACATCAATTTAATTTTAATAATTTAATTTTACAAACTTATTAAGCTTTTAATTTTCAATATTCACGTTATCGTCTATTCATGTTACACCCTTCTGGAATCTCATTATATTTTCCAGCATAAAATATGATCTACAAGTTATGATATCAGAATAAGAAATTAATTTCTCAGTAGGAAATTGCAAACGAAGTTTAAATTAAATGTATATGTTTCTATATATACACTGAAGGTTATATTAATATTAGAATTGAAATATTAGAATAAAAATTGTTATATTTTATACAAATTTAAATTGCCTTTTATTATATTTAGTTAATATCATTGTATTTACAGATTCAAAAAAGTTTATTACTCATATTAAGTATGGATTTTGAATTATATTAAATATCATTACGTTTTAAAAAATGTATTTAGTAGATAAATTTGCTAGTTTTGCAATTGGCAGAAATATTACTTTAAAATAGATGTTTATAATTGAAACAATTTGAGTCAAGATTATTGTAAGAAAAATAAATAATTTGAAATTCAAATATGATGAAACCCAAGAAGATTACATGTAAAATTTTTGTCAGCATTTTAACCCAAAAAAGGAGTTTCGAAATATCCAACGATAATGTGATCTGAGATCTTTTGATGATTGTTCAAAATGCTTTTGATGAAATATCCACTCCAGTCCACCATACTTAAAAGCAATGAAGCATTTATTGAAAAAACCTAAAAAAAATTATCGAAAATAAAGTATAACAAATTTCCTCCTTTAAAAGAAGTTAAAATTATCGAAAGCAACATTTCTGCTTACTAACAAAAAACAAAACATGAGTAAACTCGATACCAAACAGACTATGAAGCTGTGGTTAAAACTAGGGGGTATTAACAAACATGTATACATGATTCAAAGAACTACCTCAAAAGCAAGAACGGCGTATTTTAAATTCGAAACTTTTTAGCTTGAATTTTATGATTCGATGTTTTTTTTTATTATTTTAAATATTTTTTAACGATTCATAGATGAAGGGATAAGTTTTAAAAATTTATTTTTGGATAAATTTTATTTTATATAGTCTGGAGTATTTTACGGTTTTTAATTATTTTTCGTCATAAAAAAGATAATTATAGAATCAATCTAATTGGTGGTATGCGTTATACATTTTTTTAATTTATAATAGAATTTAAAACATTATGCAGATACAATTGTTGTGTAAACTGATTTTCCACATTAAATTTATATCTGCGAATAACATGATACAAAATGCGAATAATGGAACCATAGAATCGTAGAAATAACATGGAACATATTTGCGAATGCCATGGCACAAAAAAAAAATAGTACAAATCTGATTTCTTGATAAAATGATTTTTTAAAACTAATGGAAAAAAAATTATTTTTAAGTTTATTGAAATTGTTTCCAATATTATTATAAAAATTCTAAAAACATAAATTTAAAAACTATTCAAATTAATTGGATGGTTTATTTTGAAAGTGACCTAAATCCACTTACAGTTTCAAATCGTTTTTATTTCTAAAGCAATAATGATAATGTAAATAGTTTGAAATTAAACTTATTTTGTTGCATAACTGATTTTAGGTTACTTTAAACCCAAACAGAACTGAAATAAACCTTGGTCACTTTCAATATAAATATCCGAATATACATATACATATGTACTTTTAGTCTAATACAATATCCTAATTTTAAATTTAATTTCAAATGCTTAAATATTGTGGTTGAATAAATTTAGTTTTATATTATGTAAGAAATTAATTTGAAATAATCGGAAATTTACAATGTGAATTTGTACTTATGTACATATGTACGTATATACATTGCAAAAAAAATTTTAAAATATCTTAAAAGAGTCTAGGTTCTAGAACTTAAGTTAAAATTTCTAGAAATTTTAAATCATACATTTCATATATAGGCACCTAGATTTTTAATTTTTAAACGAAAGTCGTAAAATATATTTAGTGTTATGCATTGAAAAAAGTACATGCATGTTTGTACATACATATGTATCTATGGTATGTATGTATAGCTTTGTTTTCGCAGAATATCAGCTTTTCTTCTTTATTGAATGAACATATATATGTATGTACATATATCTAATATTATGTTGTATAAGGAAAAAGACAGCGGAATGTGCTTTTAACTATTTTTATTTAATTTTCTGCTATAAATTTCAAGTACTTAGATGTATGTACGGAGATTTTGTAGAGTAAAAAAAATAGTATAAAAAAAGGATATATTTTCGTGTTACATATACTGTTATACATATGTATGTACATAGATGGATAAGTATGTCCCAAGTTAATACAACAATTAAGTTTTTGCGTAAAATACAATCTAATGTTTACAATTTTTATCATCTGATATTTCTGATATTCTAGAACTCAACTTACTCAACAACTAGAATGTTATTTATTAACTCCACCATCCACTAAAGAAATTTAATAAATTTGACTTTTGCACAAAATTTAATGTGCGCAATCTCTATTTCTGTTTTAAAATACATAATGAAAAAGGTAGATATGATATTATCAAACAAAATTGAAAAAAGTTGGATATCAATCTACATACATATGAACATATGTATCTATATGCAAAAAAATATTATATATTTTTATACATACATTCATATATGCATATGTAAGAGTATACATGTAACTAATACGATAAAATATATGGTTTCTAAGATTCAAATATTTCGGAAATTATAAATTTTGTTTCTAAAGTTTGAAAATGAAAATGTTGAAAAGCCGGAAAAACCACTCAAAATTTTTATTACTTTTTAATAATCATTTTAAAATTTACCAGACTAAATTTAAAATTAGAACCTAAAACTAAAACGATTACATAAACACTTTGAAATAATAATTTTATAAAAAAAAATTCTGACTAAACTACAGAACAATCTCTTGCTTTTTCTTTTAAAGGGATTAGAAACATTGTAAATAATTTATTTATATTTATAAATTTTGAAATATATTTTAATTCTAGTTTTTTAAAAAAAATAAATTTCGACTTACACCCGGTTTGAAAACATCTTGTTCCCCTAATTTGTTGATAAACACAATAGGATAAATTATGTATAATTAAAAATATACTTAAATATCTTATTTCCAAAATTTATTTATTTCTTCTAATTATATATTAATTTTAGGTAGCTGAAATTTAAGCAAAAACTTCCTGCAAAACGATAAATTTATACTGAAACAATTTTTTTTTATCATAATAAGTTATGACATTTAAATTTTTAATGACATTATATATCCCTAAATACATCAAGAATTTTGAAGTTGAACACCGAAAAATTATTGAAACTTTTGATTGGTAAAATGGATATAAGAAGGTGCTATGAAGAAATTTCAAATGAAACAAGGAAATACATGAAAAATAGATGAAAAAATATTTCAAAATTAGTTTCCTTTCAATTTTCGAATAAGTTTATCAATTTAAATTCAAGCGCATAGTTAGCTATATTTGATTTAATATGTTTAATTGGGATTGTAGCATATAGATTACTGTTCGCCCATAACATGTTATGGAGTAACAAGGTTTATTTATAGTAGTTTTAGGAATGAGACAAGTAAAAGGACAAAAAGGACCATATTTCATAAACCTGAAACTTTATACTGCTGAAAGTAATATTTGCAGGTATTCAAAACAAACCAAAAACGAAACTGTGCGATAAAATTTGACAAGTACTTACACATAGGTTGTTATTATATTTTTATGTCAAACTTTTATGCAAATGTTTTAAATATTTGTACTGTGTGCTTCCAGTCAAAAATTTGACTTACATATTATTATTGTCAATTAGATTGTTAACTGTAAAATATCTAGACAAATATAAGTAAATGAAATCTTTTATTTTTATTTTATTATTAGGTAATAAAAAGGGACCTTTTTTGTGCATTACAGGCTGATGACCCATTAGTAAAGAAAATTTTGGTAACCTGACTAGGCTTAGAAGAACCATAAGTGGATAACCCCAAACCATTAACATTAACAATTGACGAATGTAAGTAAAAAATAAACTAATATATGTTAATTTTGTACAAGCTTAATAAAAACTTTTTTGTAGCTTTATACAAAATTTGGGGTTATAATTGAATTCACAATTATAATATATTAACTAATGAATGAAGCATCAAACAAAAATTTATACGAAATATTGACAAGTCTATCAATCAAAAACATTTGAACTGATAATGTGAGATGACAATTTTGTTAGTAAAACCAACAGTCAAGTTAACGCATTTGCCATACATAGAAAGTTTTAGTTTTTGACGTCAAAGCAGATTTAAATCTATCAAAAAATAGATCCATGTACATTTTTTAACCTGAAATCAAAACTTTCAGATTAGAGAATTTCCTCATTTCAACAAAGCGTGCTCTGACAACTGTGAATCTGATCTGACTCAGTCTCTATCGAGGTAAACAACGGAATTTTCCTTAATAAGCTCCAAATTTAATCATTTTGTAACTTTGAATAACTCAACTCCCTTATTTATCAATATAAATTTTTCTTACTATTCTATACTCAACATTTCAATTATACATTATATCTATATTATGTATATATAATATGAAAGTAAAATTGATTACAAAAATTCTGCAGTTCTAACAAAGATCTGCAATAATGGCAGCACGTTTTTGTAGTTTGCTGCAAGGAGCATTACGATTTTATTGGTAGATAGAACTATAAAAGATTTTCAGTTAAATCGACAGCATAAAATTTTTTCGTGCTTTGATATTCATAACCTCAATTAGTAGAGAACTCATTATTAAGAGATTAGGAAGATATTATTGAGATTATTCCAGAGCTTTCGTTAGTAACGCTGCTTTAATAGTTCTATTATAGTGATGTTTTAATTTACACTAATAAGTTCTCCCACAGTCAGAATTGCAAAAGAAAATTCAATTTTTTGTTTCAAAATTTTTCAAAATTCAGTTTCAAAAACTGACACTGCAAAAATTCGTAGGCTAGTTTTAACCCGGGTACCACTCCTTTGCTATTTTTGTCCTAGTGGAAACGCCCGCAGTGATATTTGTCGTACAAAAGTTTATATGTAATCATATTGTAGACACAAACCAATTCAAATAATTTGTGTTTGTAATGTAGGTTTTGAAAATTCAAAAAATATCATTATCACTCAGCTATCCGACACTCAGACAAGTGAAATATTACTTCTCAAATTATAAGTCATAATTGCAAAAATGTGTAGTAATCTTGCAAATTGAATATAAGTGTTATAATTACATTCCTTAAAAACTTTGAAAATGACATATGTATGTATGTATATACATAATGTACGCAAATTTCGTTTACAAAATTTCAAACTATAAAATTTTCATTTCAAGATAATAAAAGATTAATTGTATTGTAGAAGTATGTATGTATGTACTTTATTTCAACTAGTTTTATCTAAATTTTTTATAAACGGTGCAGTTGGTCCTTGTAGCACTTTTCTAGATATACGCATAAAGCCAGTAACTGGATCACGCCCGAAATATTTAACTTGAATTTCTTGCCCTACCTCTAAATTTAAAGCACTGGCATGGGCTACCTATTTTTTAAGAAAATCATTAAGAATTGGCTAAAACAAATAAGAATTCATACCTTTTTTTGATCTAATTGTGAGTTATGAAGCAGTATTGGGGGCATGTTTGGATAAAGGGTAACCATTACTCCCATATCCCTTATTTCAACTATTTTGGCATTGTATATTCCACCGAATTCTAGATCTGGGGTTTTTTCGGATAATTTGCTTATGAATTCTTTCGCTTCGTCTAAAGCAGTCTGGGAGGGTGCGAATAAGGTAATACAACTATTTTCGTCTTGAGTAATATGAACTCCAATTTCTACATGAAGTTTTTTGGCATTTATTCCACCGTGTCCAAACAAAGCAGAACGCTGCGTTAGCCCTAGTTCAATTTTTTCAGTTACTGGCCATGACTGTTTACGAACTTTCCGATACTCCCGTATACATTGATTCATTATTTCCAATACTTTTGACTTAGCTTGAGTACCTTTTTGCAATGCTTCAACTACTACTTTAAGAGGAATTCCCGGTATTTTTAAATCTAACTGTATAGCAGTAAAACCTTGTTTTGTCCCAGCTACTTTCATATCCATATCGCCCATGTAATCTTCAATACCGGATATATCAGTTAACAATCTATAATCCAATAACTGTTTGAAATCATCAATATCATATTTAGTAACGAGACCTACAGCAACTCCAGCAACAGCACCGGATACGGGAACTCCAGAGTCCATTAAAGCTAGTGAACCGCCACATACACTTGCCATTGAACTTGAACCATTAGATTCTAAAACTTCAGATGTTAAACGTATAGTGAATGGAAAATCGCTTGGTATAACTGGTACGAGTGCTTTTTCAGCCAATGCTCCATGACCAATTTCACGCCTTCCCACTGACCCAACACGACCTATTTCTCCTGTAGCATATGGTGGAAATTCATAATGCAACATAAAGTTTTTAGATTTAACACCGGTGTCTATTGAGGTTAAAGAATCCAATTTCAAAGCACTTTCTAAAGAGTCAAGAGCAACAGTGCATAACACCTGTGTTTGACCACGCTGAAAAAGGGCTGATCCATGAAGAGGTTTATGCAAATCAATCTATAAAAAACTTTTATATACATAATGTTTATAAACTATTATATACATAAATTTAGGAATTATGCAATACTATACCTGACAAGAAATTTTCCTTAAATCGTCAACTGAACGTCCATCACAACGTTTTCCTTCAAATATTGCATTTCTAAAAGTTTGTTTACATACTTTTCCAAAAACATTTCCAATTTTAATGGGATCTTCATTAGGAAAATTAGACCAGACTCGATTCAAAACATCGGATTTAATTTGATTTACAGCTACATCTCTTGAAGTTTTATCGTGAGTTTCGTCTTGGAAAACTTCTCTCAAACGCATTTCACTCATACTTGTTACCGCTTCAAGAACTGCTTCATTTATTTCAGGTAAGTCTTCAACTTGTTTAGGTTTACCCGCCGTTTTTTGCAAATTTTCAATTGAAGTAATTACTAATTGGGCCTGTTGAACACCAACCCTTATAGCTTTCGCCATATCATTAATTGACACAACATCTCCTTTTCCCTCTAACATTATTACTAAATTTTGCTTTGTAGCTGTAACTACTAAATCTAATATTGAAGATTGCAATTCTCTTCTACTTGGATTTATTAAAACTTCATCATCACACAAACCTACTCTATAATCTTAATATTAGAATGCTGTTGAGAAAAAATACTGCTTTTTACCTTACTGCTCCTATTGGACCATTCCATGGTATATCACTTAAACTCAAAGCGGTTGAAGCAGCATTAATCGCGAGAATATCTGGCAAAAATATACTGTCCATTGCTAGCACTGAGCAAACAATCTGTGTCTCATATTTAAAATCACTTGAAAATAATGGCCTAATAGATCTATCAACTAAACGTGCCGTTAATATTTCCTTCTCGGAAGACCCAAGTTCTCGTCTAAAATAATTTGTAGGTATTCTTCCTGCTGCTGCTGATTTTAAACGATAATCTATTGTTAAAGGTGTAAAAGAATTTGTTGTTTTTTGCTTTGATGAAACAGCTGTAACCATTACAGAAGTATCCCCCATTTCACATATTGTGGAAGCATTAGCAAAACGAGCATATTTTCCTGTTGACAAAAGCATATTTCTTCTGCAAAACCATAATATAATTTGAATTAATGAAATTTTTTATTTGAATAACTTAAAAATTTACCCATTATTAAATTTTGTTTCGACTGTTGCTGCATCTTCACTAAAATTTTGAAAAAAATTTAAACAGTTTCGAAATTTTAAACTTAATAAATTTCGCTTTCGAAACATTTGTTAAGGTTAAGTTTTTAATATTTTTTCTTTTAATTCTATGCTTTTTAATTTGAGGTTATGTATTTAATGTTTTTGTTCGATATCAGGGATGGAAACAGAATACGATTCCTATTACAACCTTTTTTATAAGCTAAAATTTTAAATGTAAAAAAATTTAAGAAACAACAACACTATAAATTCTTTCAAATTTGATAAAGGAGGAAAACACATTTTACTTTTGAGTTTTATTGCACCCATCAGGATAAAAAAGGTATACTGGAAAATTACCTTAATAACGTCCATAAAGTATTGAAGTAGTTTTTGATGAGCTAGAAACTTAGAGTACAAAAATGTTTTACGATGCGTATTTTTGATCCTTTTTGATTCACATTAAAAATAAGAATAATTTATAGGTACGTGTATAAATGCATCCCTAGATGTATGCTATTGTAATCATGCTAAAGCTAAAAATGTCAAAATGAAATAACGTGTTACCGTAGTGTAGATCAATGGTACGCAGTATTTGTATGAATTTGTAAACGCATACATATGTTCTAAAAACTTAAATGTGCTTAAATGATGTTGTTGATACATCACCGTTTAAAACTTAAGTTACATATTGATGGTTGCACGTACCTGATTAATGAAAAATCGTACAATGCAATTCAAGGTGTTTTGCTGAATATTTTTTAAAAAACTGAATATGATTCATTTAAATTTTTCCGTAAATTTTCATTTATGAAAATAAATAACTTAAGTTTTTAACTGGAAAACCATTAATCTTATATGGGAGCCTGCAAAAGACAAAATTTCGATCCAAGAATAGAACATTTTTTTTAATGTAAATAAAAAATACATTTTATTAAGATGACCTTGTCATTTACTTTACACCAATAAATAATGAAAATAACAATTGATATTCGCGTTTTTATTTGATAATCTTGTAAATTAACTGAGGTCAACACATTTATATTTTTAATGCGGTTTAAATTGTTCAAGATTTGGTTGAATTGTCGCTCCGCCACGAATTTGTCCCCAGCCAATTAAACTAGAATAATAAAAATAAATAATGTAAAAACGACATTGTGCTTATGCAATCAAACGAACGTACCGCCAATGTTTTTCTACACGCCGACTTAGAGCTATTTTTTCACCCACTTCTGTGCAAACTGGAGTTGTCAGGATAATTTTTGCTAAATCAGCTCTTGTAGCTACAACTCGACCACCTGTACTTAAAGAACCAATATTTACTAAAAGAATTTCGTTTCTTGATAATTTCTGAACCCTAGCTGCTTTTTTGTCACCCTCTGTACGCACACCCAACAACCGCTTTAGCAAATAGTACGATATTTCTAATTCAACATAAATTTCTGGCAATGCGCCTACGGCACCCAAAACCTGTCCTACTAAACGATCTGCTCGACATAAAGTTGGATCGATTTTCGTCCCAACACCAATCAAACCCCCAGGAACAGCAAACTGCAATTCATTTTGTTCAGCAAATAACGAAACTATTCTGGAGAAAATTGGTAGACAGGAGACTTTCCCTTCAGAATCTTTTGTAACTACCCCGGGTCTTACTTCTATTTCTTGACCAACTTTCAGAACTCCAGTAAAAATTGATCCACCAGCAACTCCTCCCTTTAAATCATTAACTTCACATCCTGGCTTGTTTACATCGAATGAACGAATAACAATCAGCCGCGGTGGTAGAATAAAATTACGTGTTGGTATAGGTATTTTCTTAACGATATATTCGCATAAAACCTTAAAAGAGAAAACTATAAAGCAAATGTTCAACAAGTATAAAGACAAAATCATACCTCAATATTATACTTTAACTGAGCCGAAATCGGTATTATGGGGGCTCCTTCAGCAACAGTGCCTTGCACAAATTTTACAATTTGCTCATATTGTTCTTTTGCTTGACTTTCTTTTACTAAATCAATTTTATTTTGCAAAATTAAAATATGTTTTAATTTCATTATTTCAATGGCAGCTAAATGTTCTGAAGTTTGAGGTTGTGGACATGATTCATTTCCTGCAATCAATAATAACGCAGCATCCATAACTGCTGCACCGTTCAACATAGTTGCCATAAGAATGTCGTGACCGGGGCAATCCACAAAACTTACATGACGAACAAGTTGAAAACGACCAGAGCACGCCGGTCTTGTACATGGAAAATTGTCATCTTTATTGGAACTTCCAGATATAAAACTCGCTGGACGCGGACATTTGGGGTTGTCACATTTATATATTTTGGCATTAGCATAACCTGAAATATACACCTAATTGTCATAACTTAAGAAACCATTTTTAAATATATTTTAATTTTTAAAAATTCATTTGCAAATTAATGTGAATGAAAATTGTATTTTAAATTGCAATATTGCAAGGTTTCGTCTTCCATGGTATACAAGTTAATACATGTATATTTTTATCTAATAATTTAATTTTTTGTTAAGGTGTAGAAAGAAAGCGCAATTAGAATTAGAATTAAAAATTTCAACATTTTCGTAATCGTGACTACACATTACATCGTGCATTCATGAATCTAATAAATCACATTAAATATAATATTACACCAGAATATTTAATAAAGGAGGTTTTTTATATAAAATTTATATTAACTGCTTACCTAATTTAATGGTGATATTCCTCTCTAATTCATTTTTGAAACGAACAGTTTGTACTCCAGAAATAGCTTTAACAACTGTCGATTTACCATGGGCTACATGTCCAATGGTGCCAATATTTATTGTGGCTTGTCTATCAGGATAAAAAAGGTATACTGGAAAATTACCTTAATAACGTCCATAAAGTATTGAAGTAGTTTTTGATGAGCTAGAAACTTAGAGTACAAAAATGTTTTACGATGCGTATTTTTGATCCTTTTTGATTCACATTAAAAATAAGAATAATTTATAGGTACGTGTATAAATGCATCCCTAGATGTATGCTATTGTAATCATGCTAAAGCTAAAAATGTCAAAATGAAATAACGTGTTACCGTAGTGTAGATCAATGGTACGCAGTATTTGTATGAATTTGTAAACGCATACATATGTTCTAAAAACTTAAATGTGCTTAAAGTACTTTATTTTAAAATGATGTTGTTGATACATCACCGTTTAAAACTTAAGTTACATATTGATGGTTGCACGTACCTGATTAATGAAAAATCGTACAATGCAATTCAAGGTGTTTTGCTGAATATTTTTTAAAAAACTGAATATGATTCATTTAAATTTTTCCGTAAATTTTCATTTATGAAAATAAATAACTTAAGTTTTTAACTGGAAAACCATTAATCTTATATGGGAGCCTGCAAAAGACAAAATTTCGATCCAAGAATAGAACATTTTTTTTAATGTAAATAAAAAATACATTTTATTAAGATGACCTTGTCATTTACTTTACACCAATAAATAATGAAAATAACAATTGATATTCGCGTTTTTATTTGATAATCTTGTAAATTAACTGAGGTCAACACATTTATATTTTTAATGCGGTTTAAATTGTTCAAGATTTGGTTGAATTGTCGCTCCGCCACGAATTTGTCCCCAGCCAATTAAACTGGAATAATAAAAATAAATAATGTAAAAACGACATTGTGCTTATGCAATCAAACGAACGTACCGCCAATGTTTTTCTACACGCCGACTTAGAGCTATTTTTTCACCCACTTCTGTGCAAACTGGAGTTGTCAGGATAATTTTTGCTAAATCAGCTCTTGTAGCTACAACTCGACCACCTGTACTTAAAGAACCAATATTTACTAAAAGAATTTCGTTTCTTGATAATTTCTGAACCCTAGCTGCTTTTTTGTCACCCTCTGTACGCACACCCAACAACCGCTTTAGCAAATAGTACGATATTTCTAATTCAACATAAATTTCTGGCAATGCGCCTACGGCACCCAAAACCTGTCCTACTAAACGATCTGCTCGACATAAAGTTGGATCGATTTTCGTCCCAACACCAATCAAACCCCCAGGAACAGCAAACTGCAATTCATTTTGTTCAGCAAATAACGAAACTATTCTGGAGAAAATTGGTAGACAGGAGACTTTCCCTTCAGAATCTTTTGTAACTACCCCGGGTCTTACTTCTATTTCTTGACCAACTTTCAGAACTCCAGTCAAAATTGATCCACCAGCAACTCCTCCCTTTAAATCATTAACTTCACATCCTGGCTTGTTTACATCGAATGAACGAATAACAATCAGCCGCGGTGGTAGAATAAAATTACGTGTTGGTATAGGTATTTTCTTAACGATATATTCGCATAAAACCTTAAAAGAGAAAACTATAAAGCAAATGTTCAACAAGTATAAAGACAAAATCATACCTCAATATTATACTTTAACTGAGCCGAAATCGGTATTATGGGGGCTCCTTCAGCAACAGTGCCTTGCACAAATTTTACAATTTGCTCATATTGTTCTTTTGCTTGACTTTCTTTTACTAAATCAATTTTATTTTGCAAAATTAAAATATGTTTTAATTTCATTATTTCAATGGCAGCTAAATGTTCTGAAGTTTGAGGTTGTGGACATGATTCATTTCCTGCAATCAATAATAACGCAGCATCCATAACTGCTGCACCGTTCAACATAGTTGCCATAAGAATGTCGTGACCGGGGCAATCCACAAAACTTACATGACGAACAAGTTGAAAACGACCAGAGCACGCCGGTCTTGTACATGGAAAATTGTCATCTTTATTGGAACTTCCAGATATAAAACTCGCTGGACGCGGACATTTGGGGTTGTCACATTTATATATTTTGGCATTAGCATAACCTGAAATATACACCTAATTGTCATAACTTAAGAAACCATTTTTAAATATATTTTAATTTTTAAAAATTCATTTGCAAATTAATGTGAATGAAAATTGTATTTTAAATTGCAATATTGCAAGGTTTCGTCTTCCATGGTATACAAGTTAATACATGTATATTTTTATCTAATAATTTAATTTTTTGTTAAGGTGTAGAAAGAAAGCGCAATTAGAATTAGAATTAAAAATTTCAACATTTTCGTAATCGTGACTACACATTACATCGTGCATTCATGAATCTAATAAATCACATTAAATATAATATTACACCAGAATATTTAATAAAGGAGGTTTTTTATATAAAATTTATATTAACTGCTTACCTAATTTAATGGTGATATTCCTCTCTAATTCATTTTTGAAACGAACAGTTTGTACTCCAGAAATAGCTTTAACAACTGTCGATTTACCATGGGCTACATGTCCAATGGTGCCAATATTTATTGTGGCTTGTCTATCAGGATAAAAAAGGTATACTGGAAAATTACCTTAATAACGTCCATAAAGTATTGAAGTAGTTTTTGATGAGCTAGAAACTTAGAGTACAAAAATGTTTTACGATGCGTATTTTTGATCCTTTTTGATTCACATTAAAAATAAGAATAATTTATAGGTACGTGTATAAATGCATCCCTAGATGTATGCTATTGTAATCATGCTAAAGCTAAAAATGTCAAAATGAAATAACGTGTTACCGTAGTGTAGATCAATGGTACGCAGTATTTGTATGAATTTGTAAACGCATACATATGTTCTAAAAACTTAAATGTGCTTAAAGTACTTTATTTTAAAATGATGTTGTTGATACATCACCGTTTAAAACTTAAGTTACATATTGATGGTTGCACGTACCTGATTAATGAAAAATCGTACAATGCAATTCAAGGTGTTTTGCTGAATATTTTTTAAAAAACTGAATATGATTCATTTAAATTTTTCCGTAAATTTTCATTTATGAAAATAAATAACTTAAGTTTTTAACTGGAAAACCATTAATCTTATATGGGAGCCTGCAAAAGACAAAATTTCGATCCAAGAATAGAACATTTTTTTTAATGTAAATAAAAAATACATTTTATTAAGATGACCTTGTCATTTACTTTACACCAATAAATAATGAAAATAACAATTGATATTCGCGTTTTTATTTGATAATCTTGTAAATTAACTGAGGTCAACACATTTATATTTTTAATGCGGTTTAAATTGTTCAAGATTTGGTTGAATTGTCGCTCCGCCACGAATTTGTCCCCAGCCAATTAAACTGGAATAATAAAAATAAATAATGTAAAAACGACATTGTGCTTATGCAATCAAACGAACGTACCGCCAATGTTTTTCTACACGCCGACTTAGAGCTATTTTTTCACCCACTTCTGTGCAAACTGGAGTTGTCAGGATAATTTTTGCTAAATCAGCTCTTGTAGCTACAACTCGACCACCTGTACTTAAAGAACCAATATTTACTAAAAGAATTTCGTTTCTTGATAATTTCTGAACCCTAGCTGCTTTTTTGTCACCCTCTGTACGCACACCCAACAACCGCTTTAGCAAATAGTACGATATTTCTAATTCAACATAAATTTCTGGCAATGCGCCTACGGCACCCAAAACCTGTCCTACTAAACGATCTGCTCGACATAAAGTTGGATCGATTTTCGTCCCAACACCAATCAAACCCCCAGGAACAGCAAACTGCAATTCATTTTGTTCAGCAAATAACGAAACTATTCTGGAGAAAATTGGTAGACAGGAGACTTTCCCTTCAGAATCTTTTGTAACTACCCCGGGTCTTACTTCTATTTCTTGACCAACTTTCAGAACTCCAGTCAAAATTGATCCACCAGCAACTCCTCCCTTTAAATCATTAACTTCACATCCTGGCTTGTTTACATCGAATGAACGAATAACAATCAGCCGCGGTGGTAGAATAAAATTACGTGTTGGTATAGGTATTTTCTTAACGATATATTCGCATAAAACCTTAAAAGAGAAAACTATAAAGCAAATGTTCAACAAGTATAAAGACAAAATCATACCTCAATATTATACTTTAACTGAGCCGAAATCGGTATTATGGGGGCTCCTTCAGCAACAGTGCCTTGCACAAATTTTACAATTTGCTCATATTGTTCTTTTGCTTGACTTTCTTTTACTAAATCAATTTTATTTTGCAAAATTAAAATATGTTTTAATTTCATTATTTCAATGGCAGCTAAATGTTCTGAAGTTTGAGGTTGTGGACATGATTCATTTCCTGCAATCAATAATAACGCAGCATCCATAACTGCTGCACCGTTCAACATAGTTGCCATAAGAATGTCGTGACCGGGGCAATCCACAAAACTTACATGACGAACAAGTTGAAAACGACCAGAGCACGCCGGTCTTGTACATGGAAAATTGTCATCTTTATTGGAACTTCCAGATATAAAACTCGCTGGACGCGGACATTTGGGGTTGTCACATTTATATATTTTGGCATTAGCATAACCTGAAATATACACCTAATTGTCATAACTTAAGAAACCATTTTTAAATATATTTTAATTTTTAAAAATTCATTTGCAAATTAATGTGAATGAAAATTGTATTTTAAATTGCAATATTGCAAGGTTTCGTCTTCCATGGTATACAAGTTAATACATGTATATTTTTATCTAATAATTTAATTTTTTGTTAAGGTGTAGAAAGAAAGCGCAATTAGAATTAGAATTAAAAATTTCAACATTTTCGTAATCGTGACTACACATTACATCGTGCATTCATGAATCTAATAAATCACATTAAATATAATATTACACCAGAATATTTAATAAAGGAGGTTTTTTATATAAAATTTATATTAACTGCTTACCTAATTTAATGGTGATATTCCTCTCTAATTCATTTTTGAAACGAACAGTTTGTACTCCAGAAATAGCTTTAACAACTGTCGATTTACCATGGGCTACATGTCCAATGGTGCCAATATTTATTGTGGCTTGTCTAGAAATAACTTCAGGTGAAAGTGGTGTGAGCTTGCTAATATCCTAAAACACGTAAAAATGTATTGAAAAAAACTAAATTTAATACTTTCCAATATATGAAACAAATCTAAGTTTATCACAAATTGAAAATTGACTAAGAAATCACAAATTGGCCCTGGAGATTTTGTACTGTATAGCTAACGATATATGCAGATAAAAGTTTCCATCCTCTACGACTCAACTTCTTTATTTTTTTTTGTAATATTTTTGTTTAATTTAATTCATATGTATATTTATTCAATTTTTTTCTTAAAATAAGTACAATTATCTTTAGTAAATCATAATATATCTAAGATTTAATCACTTTGAAGTTGAGGTTTAAAAGACACGTGAAACTCTTATTTCCGAAAATTTTTTACCAATTTAGAAAGATCTTGCTTTTGTAAATTCGAAACTTTATAATCTTCAGCCGCGGACATTTTAAAATTTTCTTTATTTTATTATTTTTTAATAAAATATTTTGTTTACGTAGCTAACAAAATGTATCGGCTTTTTTCAACGAAATTCGTACATGAGATATTCTCCTTCGATGCAAAGCAAGTTATATTATATTACAAGTTGTCTACACATCAATATTAATACATTTCATTTTTTTGCAATAATTTTCCTAAACAAGGCCTTAGATAGAAAGAGATCGTAGTATAATCTTAAATTTGTACATTTGACTAAAGTAAGCAACCCTTATGGCGTTTATTCAATCAAAAAACCGAAGGGGTGAAACAAGCAAAATCATATAGTCCAGATTAATTGGTTCCAGTTACACATAAGACTAAATTTACGACTTAATCTATGATAAAATCGGATGAACATTTACATTTGTGATTCTTACAACCTCGTGTATCTCGCTTTTTTACTCACTTTTTATTCACTTTCAAATCAGAATTATAAGCATTTTCTAATGGATGTTTTACTTTTCCAATAAGATTACTCATTTTAATTGGACTTTTGCATTTTTTCCCCTAATTATCAACTGGGATGTTTCCCCTTCAAAAACTAAATGAAAAACTTTTGTATACAATTAAAAAAAACAACGAGATACGCAATCGGAATAATTCTTCTCACTCGAAAATTAAATTATACAAGTTTATGATAGTTGCTCACTTTCCGAGTAAAATAGCGAAATAGACGATCAGGCTTTATTTATATTTTTACGTCAAACTTTTATCGGTAATTGCAGTGCTCGAAGTGAGGCGGTATGGAGTGGGATGCCATCCCAGTACTTTTAAATAATTGGAAATCCATCCTACTACTTAAAATGCGTTCCGGAACATGTTTTTTAAAAATTTAAGAAAATTTTCCAATGAATTTTAAAAATTTTTTTAACAAAAAATTATATGTAATTTTAAATAATACCAATTTCAAATAGTAACGTATAATTTTTTTCTATTAATGAAATTTTCGTTACTACATAGTAGTCTATGCATTTCTTTGGTAACAATTTGCACAGTTTTTGATTCAATTTTCAGTTGATTTAATTTTGAATATAAATATTCTCGTTAGTTTACTTTCAAGCTTGGTAAATTTTGTTTAATTATTTTTTTAAAAAATAACTGAAATAATACTTTTTTTTTATTTTTTTTTATCATCCCACTACTGTGAGTATCTCACTTCGACCACTGGGTAATTGTTTTTAACATTTATAATCTATAACGAACAAGAATCAGCTGATCATAGCAAATTATTTTTTAAAAATTTATTTTCCGCCACGTTGTTTTTAAAAATCTGATATCATCAGATCGGATGTTTTTTTACTTTTTCTTTAGATTTTACCTGATGTCAGACTTCAATTACACACGAGATTTTCATCAGGCTTTTAACATTTATCGTTCTTTCCTAAAATAAATATGCAGTTTACTCTCAGCTACTCAATAGTTTTAACTGCGGTAAATCAAGGAATATTATGTGCTTAAACTTTTTAAGGAGTGCCCGGCCTGAACTTTGCCCAACTACTACATTTGGCAGATCAACACTACCGTTTTTAGGATCGTATAAGAGTCATTCATATCTCATTACATAATTGATATTTTTTATTGGGAAAGCTAAGATGTATAGTAATGCCATAGTACTGTATATTAAATTAATGTATAGAAATTTCATAGGATTCTATAACGTAATTACTATCGAATATTTTTAACTATTGCTGTATTATTACATTCTCACACCTTTTTCATTTTTTACAACATTAATCTCATTTTGTAAGAATTTGAATTTTTTTATGTCTTTGTCTTGAAGAAGAGTGTCTAAAAATAACTATTGTAAGCAAAGTGTGGATAACATTGACTATTGTTATACCTATTTGAGCTTGTAGTCCTATTTGTGAAACATTATCTCTATTGTTCTTCAACTTTTTTACTAATTTTATTAATTGACTGCATAAACGCATTTTGTGGGCGGTTAAACAAACCCTTTCCAGAATTTTTGATTGTTCCTCAATAGTTGAATATCGCAGAAGAGCTTTTGATTTGGTCTTGGTTGTAAGATCTTTAAAATTGTGCATATTTGTATCATTAACGTCCAAAGCCGAATTTAAAAGACCAACCCAAGTTGCTTAAATAACAAAAAAACTATTATTGATAAAAATGCCACATATGTATTTAATAAAAAACGATATTTACCTTGAAATATTAAAATATCATGATTTTGTTTAATTTGATTTTGTAGTTCTTGTGTAAGTTTTGCAAGGGTTCTTGTTAATTCTTCTATTTGTTTACCAGCAGAAAAAGTTTCCATACTTCTAAATATTTAGAAGGTTTTTTAAGTTTTTAATAAATCTTTTGTTTACTACTTTAAATATCAATCTATCTGACAACTAGATAGAACATATGTACATAGACACAATAGAAAGATTTACATACAGTGCTGCCAAATGGAAATCGATAAATCTTTATAAAATTCTGAGATTTCGATTCTGTATCAAAAATATTTCAGAATAAATTAAAATAATTCAAAATTGAATTCAATGTTTGTGTATATATTACAAGAAGTTGTATTGGAGTTAAGAATAAAAATGTTAATAAATTTTCATTGTACCCCCATATGACATTTGAATTAATGGATCGATCATTATATTTTATCATATTTTTTTTTTTTATTTTTTATCTTTTTTTTATTTTTTTTACCGAGAGAAAGGGTGAAAAATCTAGAAAGACACTGCCAGACGAAAAGCAGTAGTAAAAAACACCCTCCTCAAATAAATTATAAAACTAGTCGGAAACGACTAACCATTAATTTTGCTCTAATCTTTTTGATTATTTACAAGCTTTTGATCTGGCACAATAGCGTACTAAGTACTCATTGTTCCAGATAAAAAACATTAAACTAAATCGAGAGGTCTCGTCCGATTAAGTTTCCTAACAAAGTTTTGATTATCAACCAATCGAGCCGCCTCGATGTTGACATGATTGGATAAACGCATTTTGTGATTTGCTGCTTGCTTTTTAATTTCATCTGTGACACTTAGGATCGTGATATCCCTGTGTATATCGGCATTACGGACATACCAAGGGGCGTTTACAATATCCCGTAATACCCTATTTTGAAATCTTTGAATAGATTGGATATGAGTCTGCGCAGCGCAGCCCCATAACTGAATACCGTAAGCCCAGACAGGCTTAAATATTTGATTATATATCAAAACTTTGTTGTATATTGGCTTCGCCTTGTCAAAAGCCATTCAAACTTTCTGTATTCCTCCTCGAGTTGAGATCTCCTTTTCTTTATGTGCTCCTTCCATCATCAACTGCTGTATCATCAGCAAATGTAGCTGTATCACATGTGTATAGCAAGTATAATATCGGGCCCAATATACTCCCCTGTGGTACCCCCGACCTGATATCCCTGGGCGAAGAGTACTCCTCTTCCTGTTTAACTCGAAATTCCCTATTAGTCAGGTAAGATTCGAGCAAGTCAACATACTGCCTTGGTAGTAATCGTCTAAGTTTTTTTATTAATCCACAATGCCAAACCTTATCGAAAGCCTGGGCTACGTCCAAAAATATGATAGAGCATATTGTTTTTTCTTCCAGTGAATTTTGTACTAAATCAATTATTCTATGAATCTGATCTATGGTTGAGTGGTTCCGGCGGAAACCAAATTGATGATTCGGGATAAACCTTCTACTTTCAATTATAGGAAGCCTTCACAATAAAAGCTTCTTTAGCAGTTTTGAAATCTTCGGAAACAATGAGATTGGTCTATAAGAAGTCGCCCTGTCTATAGGTTTGCCAGGTTTGTACAGCATGATTATCTCTGCAACTTTCCAAATTTCAGGCACTACCTTAATTAAATCTTAAACACGCATTTATTAGGCGCGTAAGCATCGTTGTACCCTTTTTGGGTAATTTTTTCAAAATATCGGCCGTTATTAGGTCAAATCCCGAGGCCTTTTTAGATTTAAGAGTCCGGATTTCCTCTATAACATCTCTTTCCTTGACAATTGGAATAGTCACGCTATCCTCAACAAAAGCAGATTAGTCATTTTCGTACACGCCCTGACTGTCATGCGGACAGAATATATCGGCCAACTGATCCGCAAACGCATTTGCCTTATTCTTGTCAGTTTTTGTCCAAGTTCTATCTTTGTTTTTAATAGGAGCGAGATGTTTGATAGGTTGCTTCACAACAGCGTCTTAGCTGCTGTGATTCACGATTATATCTGGTTTTATCAGTAGGATCACGAGTTTGCTGCCACCTCTTTCTCGCCCGCCTGCTTTGTGTTATTTTTGCTAGTATATGTGGGGTATAGTTTATGCCTCCCCTCCTAATAGCATTAATTTTTGAACTACTCCAAGCCGCATTTTGAATAATTTTAGTAAAGTTTTCGGCCACCTCATCTATGTGCTGGGACGTTCTTATTCTTTTCTTTAGATCTATTTATCGTTCAATCTCTAAGCGAAATCTTGACCAATCTGTAGTTCCATTTGTCAGCGCCATTGACAATATAATGCAGCCACTCTAAATTTTTGCTTAGTCGAAGTGATCTGAACCGCCGTCATTTGCATTCCCTCGGTTTGCATCTGGTGCAGATCGCAATGCACTATATTTTCTTTTATTATTATCGCTGTTACGCCTTTCGCTATATTTCCAGGGTGGTTCGAGTTGTACATTCTATAACCCGAAAACCGAATCCTCCTTCTTAAAGTCATATTTGTTTCAGTTACGAGGCACACGTCTATATTCTGTGTATATAGAAAGCATGTCCTTGTTATTTGCAATACCATTGCAATTCCATGTTGCTATTTTAAAATTACCTCGTGCCATCATTTACCAGGTACTCGATTTTTTCCCTTCGCTCTCTAAAATGCTCAAACTCTGAGAGATCTTGCCCATCATATCTAGCATGTTCTGCATCATATTTTGCATTTTATACAAAACATTCACGTCACTGGCCCTCGCTTTATTGCTCGTGCCACCGTCATCAGTTTTCGTTTGGAGAACGTCCTTGTACTCGTATGTTACATCTTTTGAAACTATTCTCGAGTGTTGCTGTTCTTATTTCTACGTTTTTGCAGTTCCATGCTACAAGGCTGCCCCTATAATTTGCTGGGTGGGCCTCCAAGCAATTGGAACACTTTGCTGCAGTACTCTTTGGCTTACTACAATCTAATGTTAAGTGTCTACAATTTGGTTCTCTCTGGCAAAATTTTTGTGTATGGCCATGCCTTTAACACCTTTTACACTACGGAATGGTCCTATCCTTTCGAAGTGCCTCTATCCTAACTTTCATTCGGTTTATGTGATCGATTTCATAAATTTTTTTCATCTCCTTTTTCTTTTATTTTTTTAATTTTATTGGTTACATATAAGATCTTGTAACTCCTAGAGCTTAAGTCTTCTTTTATATCTTCCGGTTTACAACTGGAGTGAAGATTTGTTACTATGACTTTTATTGGTCTGGCCTGCTTGTTTTCATAGGTATGCCATTCTAGTCCAGATCCATTCATGGCCCTAATAAGATTCCTGTAATCAATTTCGGAACTTACAATAAGCTTAAATTGATTGTTATTCATTTTAACCTTATAATTGATGTCCTTATTTTTTAATGTTGACTCTATTTGATTATAGTCAACCACATTACTTATGACTACTGGAGACGGCCTATAGGTTTTCGTGACATCGCCTCTACTTTTAGAATCAGGAACATCCGCTTTGATCGTCACCTAGACGTCACCTAGGTCACCTCTGATCGTCAGCGTTGATCGTCACCTAGACCACTTCCGGAGATGATTCCGCTTTTCTTTTTTTACTGGACCTCTTTTGCTTTAGAATCCAATCTGTTTCTCTGGCGAGTTCTTCCTCATCTGTTGAAGAGGCGTCCAAGATTGACCTCACCTGCTTTGCTTGTGGTGCAGCGTCTTTTTCTTTATGATTACTATTATTAGACTTATTGTTTGTAATTTGTACACGTTTCTCTTTCTTATCTTTTCATTCTCAGCCCTCAGTTGAAGAACCTCGTTTTTCAAAGCCACACAGAGCTGTTCTAGTTGGCTAATCCTTTTATGTATGTCAGCATTCTGATCACCACTTTTTTTGGCTTGAGCTTTACTCATGTTTATATCCTTATTGGTCTATGGAGCTTGAGTGTTCGGTAGTCCACCTTCTATATTTTTTTTGTTCTTTCCTAAAATCCGCACATCACATGTAGGTGGTGAACGCCGGGTTTTCACGTTCCTCCTAAACGGATCAATCAAATGCAATAAATGGCTCTCTACAGAATCCGTAGAGCCGACCTCTGAAGAGGGTGGATTCTCCAACGTAGTTCGATTACCACCTGGTGTACTAAATCCTTTTGTTTTCTCCATAACACAAATGATTAAATTTTGCATTTTATACCTACTGTCAGGATTCAAAAACTGCCGTCCCTCAGGGATCAGACGCAGACCAGGGAGCCATTCCAATTTTTTCTGCATGTTTGCAGATGCTCAGTTACCCCATTTCTTAATAAATTTTTGCTTGAACTTTTATTTAAACTTTACATTTTCCAATCTTGCAATCTGCAGTCTATTTAACAATTAAAATTGTAGACTTTTATAAACTTAATCATATTTCATAAACATCATCATTTTCTAAATGTCATTGATAACCACAGTGTACCACCAAAATTTCTAATTATGATAAAGACATATTCATTTTTCTCTTCCCCGAACTATTGCGGCATAATTCTTGTTACCAGCATGGTTGTCATTGAAAAGGAATTAATTCTTGGAGAAAACTTGTTTCTATCACTCTATCATTCGAATTCATTAAAAGTAATAGCCGTTGTTAATTAACGAAGATTCTTTATCACAATTTGTCTTTCCTTTAATTTGAATCCCTGGCAACGAAAAATTTATTCTATTTTTCCTTAACGAGCTTCTTGAACAGATCTAATAAATTTTTTAAAATGAATATAATCCTCCCTATAACGCGGTACTCTTATAACACATTTTCATCCCTCGTATAACGTCCGCCATATACTCGTAACGCAGGGATTTCTACTAAGAAAAGATGTTGGTGGAACGTTATTTCAAATAGCTCCGATATTGAATAAACATGTAATAAAACTGTTTTTGGATTTAAAAATGGCGAGTATTAAAATTTTCGATGCGGTGCAAGTGTGATTAACTGATTTTTTTTTATTTACAATAAAAAAAACAACTAAATCTGACTTAATTTTATCTATTATCAAATATTTATGACTATGAGAGTCATCAGTTTGTTTTACGAATATTTCCCACAAGCTTTTTTAACAAGATGAAACGTATTTCAACCTATGTTTTCATATTGAATCTGTGTAATCAAGTACTGAATCGAAAAATTGATTACAGAATATGATAATCAATTTGAGTTTCAATTGTTCAAATAACCGTTATGATCTACATATTTTCAAAAGTTACAGATATACCTAATAGACACATGTTATAATATAGTATTAGGATCTTATGTTTCGAAAGTCACTTACTGAAAATATATTAGTAATTTTTAATGTCATTTAAACACAAAAAATTAAGGGTTTCAGTTCCACATTTTTGGCAGTCGAAGAATTTTTTTTTTAATAGAAAAAATATTAAATACTTTGTACAAAAGAGGCTTCGATCACAATTATTCTTTTCCAATTATAAATATCCTACATGTATTTACTTTTGCTATATATGACGCAAGTTGTGATAAAAAGTAAAAATAACATAGATCTACAAATTTTAAAACTTAAACAAATACTAATCTAATGATTTTTTTAACTGACTTCAACATTCTTATGTTACTTACAGATAAATAAAAAATTGGAGTTTCCACAAAAATTATGAAGTTTAAAAAAATTAAATTAAAGTCATATAAATAAGATTCATATCTTTTATTCTATTTGAATTTTGCTTCTTTATTAGTTTAATTTTTTTGAATATATTTGTTTAATGCTAAACATTAGAAATATAAAATTAAAAATATGACTCTAACATATTATTGTTTTCGTCATTAAAATTTCTTTTACCTAGCCTGGGCTTAAATGGAACAGATTTTTTACCCATTCTAGGAGTGAATTCAATTCGCTCATTGTCATCATATAAAGCCTGCCTTCCTCTTCTAGGCGGAATTGTATCAGGTGTAGAAGCACAATTTTGTACTAAAATATAATTAAATAAAATATTAACATTAAACAAAAAAAAATGAATGGAATTTTCATAAAAAAAAATTACATATTTTAATCAGCCAAACGAGTTGTTTCAACGCCCATGGCGGTAATTTCTCTAAAGATGTGTTATTTGGTAAAGGTTTTTGCTGAAAAAATTCATAATAATTTTCTGGAATTTCTTGTGCTTCATTTAATGTTCTCTTAAATCTGCTGAAAAAAACAAACATAGCTTCAGTTTCATTTAATAACTTAAATTTTATAATGAACTAGTTATATTATCTAAGCTGAAATTGTACAGTTAATGTAAGTAATTTTAACTTAACCTTATATACTTTTAATTAACAAAAAAATTTTACAAGTAATTTTATAAAAAAACAATCGTCAATAAAATGCAAAAATTACCTTGAATTAAGATTAACTTTTTTAATTTCTTGTTTCTTGTTTGCATCAAATTTATTTCCTAACAACAAATCATTCAATAAATTTTCCTGTTAAAATAGAAAAAAAAACAAAATTATTTTAATTTATTAAAATTAATTTTTAAATTAGTATTATTAAAATTAAAATATGGGAAAGTGCATTAAAAAAATTACTTTTTCCTTTCCGGTATCAGCTGCAGCAATAGAATCAATCAATATGATTATTGCAAATAAAGCACTTGAATACAAACTAAAGTGCATATTTTTTTATTAAATTTTCCTTTTTCTTCCTTTTTTGCGAATAATTCAACTTTTACAAAAGAAAACAAAAAGGAAACTGGAGATTGATCTACTATTGGTTATACTTTTATAGGTTACTTCAAATGATATTTTTTTCTGTCTGCGTATATAATTTCTACCTACTAAGTATGTACATGATATACTTATTGGAAAATATTTCTGTTAAACCCATCAATCTTTATTAAACTTAAATCTTCATTAAAAATGAATATATAACTAGAATTGAATTTTCTTATTTATTGTTGTCAACAATAACCAATTAAATTAATTCACTGCTGGATGTTAGAAAAGGATTTATCTATTTTGCATACTAATAAACATACATAATATATACGTTCATAAGTATTTATGTTACTTATATAATTTAAATGAAATTGATGTAGGTCTTATATAATTATAGATAACTTAATATAATTGTATTGTTATTAAAATATTTATACAATACATTGTATTGTGTGTCAATAAATTTGAATTTTTTAAAAAATCATTAAGTAAATCAAATTGCAATTGAATATAATTGATTAACGTTAGTTACATGTTAATACAAGTTGTATGAGACTAAATTATGTAGTTATAAAAAAACTCTTTAATTAGATTACATACATACATATATATTTTATTTTTGTTAATTTTAATTTTGACGCCTTAATTTTAATATTAGTAATTTTGGAATAAAACTCATCAAAAATTAAAGGTTAACACTTCTAGTGTAATGTAAAGTAATTTAGTTAAATAAATTAAAGAAAGAAAATTTCTTGTATCTTGTAAATCTTTCAGTATTTTTTCATGAATAAAGGGCAATAACTTATTATAATTGTTTTTTATGCCTTTATCAATTATAATTAAAAAAAAAAAATAGAGTTTGCAACTTTCTTGTGCTGAAGCCTGAGATACCTTTTTCTAGTGTATCTATGTACATATTTCTAGTAATTTATGAATAAAATATGATTTACGAATTTAAGGCATGTAAATTCTACCAAAAATTGTTTAGAAGAACAGAATTTAACACTTATGACTAAATTTAAAAGTAAAGATTGGTATCCTATAGTCCCTTAAAATGGCGAAATCTTATTATATCTTTAATTTTGTTAGAAGTGGTGACACAAGAAACTTACAATCTGTAAAGTAACGGTAAATTTGATTTATATACATAAATTCATTATTTATTTCTTTACTATTTTTATATTACAACATATATTTTTTAGGTTTAAAAGTTAGAGCTACAAAAGGTATTTCTCCTATATCACCTGTACTATAATTAAAGCTTAAGAAATTGAAGAAAATTTTAAAATTTCTAAAAATTTAACTGGAAAAAATAAATAACTAGTTTTAATCTTTTTTAGAAAATTAGATTGAGATTAGATTTCTTTAGAAAACTTGATTAAAACTAATTTTTCTTGAAAATGAAATAAATTTATTTTTAAAATATTTACATAGTGCCAATAATTATAGTTCTAAAGGTGCCAATTATTGTAGTTTTTGTAATGCTAATTGTTATAGAGGAATGCTAATAAATGCAGTTTCAAAGGTGCCAATAATTATAGTTTTTGAAGTTACGTTTTTTTAAATATTTTTTAAATAAATTAATTAATTAAAATAATAAAATTTAACAAATTTTAAGAAAAATATGTTAATTTGTTTTAAAACAATGTCCCTAAACTTCAAAAACACAATCTTAATATAATATTATATATAATTATAGAATAAATCTATTTTTCTTATGGGTACCAATTACTGCGTATGTAATTCACTATGTATATAAATTTCCCTATATTCTGACAATTCATGTAATGACGGGAATTTTCGGTCCCAAAATTTAATTATATTACTATGTCTCACGTTTTTTCTCAATAACAGTAAAAATACTCGAGTTCTCATTCCTATAAAAATTCTTTATTCTTTGCATGCACTTATATTTGAACATTAATGGATGACATAAATTACATGCAATCCAACTAGTTGGGATCTAATACAGGTACAACTTTTTTTTTCTTACTATACTACAAATAAAATTTTAAAATAGTAAAAGATTGTAATATAGCATGCAGGTACCTACGTAAATATGTACATTTTATGTACTTGTCATATATGGAATTTACTTCTTACAACTATTATCACAATGTAAAGAAAAAAACGACAGTTTTCGAATTAATTAATTATTAATTTTATTTTTTAAAAAACAAATACTTTTTTTACATTAAGTTATTAGTTGATGAAAAGGCGTTGTAATGATGTAGGTATGTACATGTAATACTTCTAAAATGTTTATTTCATTTTTCATTTGATGAATTTATGTTTCTGCTTATATCTCTAAAAGCTTTTTTAGTTGGATGTAATTTCATATAATAGTATATCATTATAATAATTCCAAAACAAAAAAGAAAGATCGGCAAAACTGTTAAGAATATGACAAGGCCATCTTCAAATAAAATTTTATTATAAGCGTAAAATGCATATGACATTAAAAAAATTTCTATTAATGATAATGCATGATAAATTGTACTGGGTATCTTCGTATCACCTTCTGCGGGCATTAAAAACACAAAAATATAAATAACGCCTAAAATTCCACAAAACAAAATACTACTTATTATATTTTCCGACATAAACACTGGTTTTAAATAGAAAAAAATTAATGATCCACAAATCAAGGAATGAAATATACCGGCTAATAGAACAATAATACGAAATTCATTAATTAAAAGTATAAAAGAAATTGATAAAATCCTGGATGTTGCTATACAAAAATGGTATAAAGTATAAAATGCAGCCCCTTGCAATGACATGTTTTCCTTATCTGCTTGAGAAAATCTGTTATAACGCTGATATGTTACCATACACCAACTTAAACCAATTAAGCTCTGACAAATAGAACTTATTTGAATCCATGCAACATTTCTTCCTAAGATCACAATAACTATTTGCAAAATGGTTTGTGGAGCAACTTCAAAAAAGCATTCAAATATCCTTAAAAGTGCTAAATCACTATCTTCACGTATAACTTTCTTATAATATTCTAAGTGTAAATGCTTATTTTTCTCTTTATCATGCTTCCGGGATAATAGGGAATAATATAATAATCGAGTATATCGAAAGGTAATAGCAAATATTATTACATGGCAACATTTAATAAAGCTTCCAACTTTTCCGTGAGAATGAATATAAGAATGTATTATTGTAGTTAAAATTAATGATGCAATCATGCAAGTTAATGTCCAAATAAAATAATCTTCCAGATTATTCATGTAGTAATGCACCAACAAATATAGATTTACTCCAAAACTAATTATCCTTTGGAGTATCATTGAAACGATCCATATTAAATCTAATATTGAAACTCGCTTGACTTTACATAATTCTAAATCGTTGTCTTGAACACATTCTTCATTTGAATTACTTGAGTTTTCAATAATCATGTTACCTGCTTTTATGGCAAAAAATATAATTCATTTTGAAATGAGATGTTTTCTACTTTCTAAAAAAAATTATAATACATAGCAATAAACAATAAAAATAAATGGAAAAAATATAAATATTTACCTTAGTGAAGTAAGAAATAGCTTTCAAACTTTGAGAAAATTTCGCACTTGCGCAATCAGCTTAATTTATATAAGATATCTATTGCTAATGAGGTGGTGTGTACACATCAACAATGGTACCAAACTTGGTACAATTGCAAATCATTTTTTATTTTACGAAAAACTTTTAGTATAAAAACTGTTAGTAGGTTTTTATATACTTTTATAGAAAATTTTTTAATTTATATGTAGTGTCACCGTTATTAATGAACAAATAATGTACGAATGTATTCGTATTATTACTTATGCTATTCGTATTATTACAATGCTTATTTACATTACTAGAAAAAAATTGGAAAAAATATTCATATTTTCAGTTCTACGGTAGCTGTAGTATCAAACCTCTTTATTATTCATAGTTAACGCGAACAGCGGTAACATGGAAACAACTTATCAGTTGTCTTCATATATGAGCTTGAGAAATAAACTTATCGAGCTTAACCGAAATTTTTTTTTTAAAGAAAATAAATTGTTTTTATAAAGGTTTATTAAAAATATATGAGCCTATAAGTTAGGCATAGTTTGTAAATGGAATTATCCAAAATTGAAATAACTTAACGAATGAATTCTGCAGTTACGAATTTTGTTTTCTATAGATGAAAATAGTATTTTTTAACACTTTTCCAAAAAGTTTTTGATTAAAAGTTCTTATTTTTTTTACTCTGTCCGCCCGTCTGTCTGTGTGTATGTTTATAGAACTTCTACACCCTTGAAGATAGAGAGCAGAAATTTCTTATTTATCTTTACTAGAAACATACTTACGTATATCCCCCCTAAAACCCTAAAAATGGCATTCTTTAACTATTTAAGCCAAGCATTATGTTAACGCCTCTTTAATTTTTTTTTGCTTTATTTTAAAGATTGAATACATTGATCATCCTAAAGGTATGCAATATTTGAAATAGTTTCGTATATGAATGAAAGTAAAATGTGATGCAATGCTAAATTGTTTTTAAAAGCAGTATTTTCACTTGTTGAAGATAAAAGTGCTACATTACAAACCATTGGTTTGACACAACTTTACTATATACTACAAATATCGCATATTTTCGAAGTTATTTTGGCATTAAATGATGATATTCTAAATTTGTTTTCATATATTCATAATATTCGATATTATGGATATATGAAATATTAAGAAAGATAAACAATAAATACTAATAATCTTTAGTTTAAATATATCTACCTACCTAAACGCGATATCTTTATACCTAACGCAATATGCGGCATACACTTGTCAAAAAAAAACAAAATTGTACCTACAACAATGCCAAGCGTGCCGTATTGGAGGTAAAAAATTATTTCTTATTGTTTTTGACGTTTTATACAAACGTCAAGGGAAATTAAATTTATGTCGCGGAAGATAAAAATTTCTTCTTGGGTAATATTTTGCAGCCATCTACCAGAGCAAATGTGGAATTATTGTGGCATAAAAGACAATTGTACAGTGGAAGCTCTATGTAATGTCATATTTTCTTCTTCTTGGTAATTAGCGCCAATTTCATGGTGGCATAAATTAAAACTAAATACCAAATATCATGTATTCAAAAAGTTGACATTTTTAAAACTTCAAAACAGTAAAAAATTTTATTAAGTAACTAAATACCAAGTAAATTGGTTTTATTTTAATATTAAATATTAACTGAAACTAGTAAATTTTTTGAAAATATAGAAAATACACATACCTGAAAACCAATGTCATTAGTCACCAAAGTTAAAGCAGACTAATATATTGTTAATTGTTATAGAACATCTATTCACTTAAAAATGTCCTAAGTACATTTGAATTTTGAAGGAAGAATTACAATTTAATATCTGTGAATCATGAACCACAAATGATTCGACTAGATTATTGAAGAATTTTAATTAGCCGATTGCAAAGAATAAAATCTATATTAAAAAAATGAAGTCTCAATCGGAGGCAGAAGAACCTGATTCCAAATTTAGGTGTGTAAAAATAACGCTAACAAATACGTAAACTATAAATATGTACATGTAGAATATATTTTTAAAAAACACCAATAAAAACTAAATTTTGTTTTCTTTTAATTGATTTTAGTGATATTGACGAGTATGGTTTTAAACGTAGCGAAAATTTCGATGTTAAAATTTATCAAAAGTTTATGTCAAGTTACATAAACGTTCTAGCGAGAAGACGGGTCAAGTGGGATTATCTTATCCGCACTGGAATTGATTATGTTAACATAAATTCACAATTAAAGAGGTTCATTCGAAAAGGCATTCCTGGTAAGTTATATTAAATAATATTTTACTCGATATTTCATCATTTTTGTGTTAGCTCCGTATCGACCAGATGTTTGGATGAAAACATCTGGTGCTCACAATTTAAAAAAAAATTCACCTAACTTATATCAAAATTTATTGAGAGGACACTATGAAAAAGAGATTGGTAAGAATCAGTAGTTATAAATAAAATTAAACATTAAATTTTGTTTTTTGTTTAGGGGACTCAATATTGATTGATTTGCCACGAACATTTCCAGATAACATTTACTTTGAAACTAAGAAAACTAAACTTTTTAATGTACTTATGGCATATGCTCATCATAATCGTGAAGTAGGTTATTGCCAAGGGTTAAATTATATTGCAGGTAACTGAAGTCTAAATTGGAGCAAACGCATTAAACTTCTAAGTTTTAATTTGTAGGTCTGTTAATGATAGTAACTGACGATGAGGAAACAACGTTTTGGTTATTAAAAATTGTGGTAGAGCACATATGTCCGGAATATCATACAAAGAATATGGCAAATCTTTTAAGAGATTTAGCAGTTTTTAAAAGATTAGTAACTCGGCGTTATCCCGAAATTAATAGAAAATTTGAACAACTAAGTAAGAAAACTAATTATCCCTCTTCCATTTTTTAATACAAAACATTTCCAGGCTTACCTTATGCGGTTATTGCCAGTAAATGGTTCATTTGCGTATTTGCTGAAGTACTTCCAGTTGAAACTGTGTTGAGAATATGGGATTGCGTATTTGCTGAAGGATATAAGGTAAAATTTAGCAATTTTTTCATCTTAAATTGTCTTAGTCTAATATGTATTGTAGATATTATTTCGGGTAGCGTTAGCACTTATTCTTACCCATAAAACTGCAATAATTAAATGTGAGGAAATTTCTGCGGCTGCTAATTTATTTCGTGTAGAAATGCCGATAGATGAAATAGCTACAAATTGTCATACATTTATGGAAACTGTATTTCAAATAAAACTTAAAAGATCGGAGTTAGAAAGTTTACGAAAACAATGTGTTGGTATTACTAGTACATAAAATCTCAAGATTTTATAAAATAAGTTTCAAGTCATAGAAACGAAATACAAATCTGTATTTAGCTGAATTGTTAGAATAAATTCTAGTTAATTGGTTTTAAGAATTTCTTCAATTATTGTTAGAAAAAAAAGAGAAAAATTAGTATTGGTACTATTAAAAAAAAAAGCATAAATAAAGTACACGTATATGCATTATCTTTCCAATAGAAAAATGAGCAATACAGATTATTCAGCGCGTCAGGCTTGAATATAAAAAATGTATGTATAGCAAACAAAAACAAATGGCATATAAATACATAAGTATTAAATATCAAATGAAACTTAACGAACAATTATAATAAATTAGCTTTAGTTTAAGAAAAAGAGAAAATTTAGTAAAATTTGTGGAAACTTATAAATTATTTGAAAAGTAAGAATTATTGTAATTAAGGTGTTTTTATGTATATTTTTACATAAACTTATATCAGGAATTGGAAATTATTTAATTTAAAATTACATATTTCATTTTTTAATTCAAGATACATTTATTTGGAAAATTCAGTAATAAACTTTGAATCAGTCTGATTAAAATCAAGTACACACAAAATATTTTCCATTTTTAAAAATAATACTGCAATTAAGTTATCTTCTAGTAAAAGATGTTTTTCTATTTTCTAAATTCCACGCATTTCTACACTATATTCAATTCATTGGTTAAAAATATAGAAAAAAAAATTGGGACAAATCACCCAAATTCTCCTAGAAAAGCGTGGGCCTATTTTAGTTCAATAAAAAAATTATATAATGCACTCAATCAGAAGAAATTGTATCATTTTTTTCAGTTTGACACTGAAACTACCAAGGTTTTAAATATATGTATCTACATTTTAATTTTAAATTTATAGGTATTAAAATTTTTAAATAAAGGAATAACGTTTTATTTCCTAACTATGAAGCAAATGTGAAGTAGAACTGCGTACTCATTTAAAATTTATAGTTTTGAAGTATCATTGTTTTAAAAATTATTGAAAGCAATTATGTCATATTTTCTATTATTTTTGAATGCATCACATTTTTAAACTATTGAAAATTTGTGCAATAGTAGTCTTAAATGATTAAGTTTTAAAGTGAAATATAACGTAAGTGTATAAAAAATAATATAAGCTATGCTTTAATTACTCCGTCTAAAATAATATTTTAAGTAAAAATTTATCATGTAATTAGGTTTTTGTCCCTTAATTATTTTGAGTTTCATAACCCAGTAACAGGCTTTTGAATTAATTTCACTTAAAACGTAAATTTTTGAATTTTATTTAAAAACTTTATTGCTCAGCTATGGGTCTATAAGGTTATTCGAAAATATTTTTGCAACGATTTCCTTCTGAATATAGTATGATATTCGAGTATGTTAAAATATTCAGAGATTATTTAAAATTTATTTAAATTCAAGGATTTTAATTTTACAATTCGATTTGAATTTACTTTTGAAATTCAAAATAAATATAAATGTAATATATAAATAGGACATTGTATATTAAAGTAAATTAGAGGAAGAAAAATTTGTAATTACATTTTGGTCGTGACATATTATTTATTTATCATTCTCGATGTTCTCAATTTCAAGCAGATCACTTTTCCGAGTTAATAACTATCCATTTTGAAAAATCGTCTTCTATTTTTATGTATAGTTTATTTACTTCAAATAAATTTTTTTTTAATTTCAAAATTATCATTTTCAATTTCAATGTGATCCTTTTCAATTCAAAATGAACTATACTTTATATACATATATAGGAACTGCTCGAGTTAAATATTTCTAATTAATCATTTTTAATTGAAAAAAAAATTTAATTGATTGCATTATAATTTGTATTAACATTATAATTTGGATAATTACGTCACTCCATTTAACTCTTACGCCAAAAAAAAACTTTGAATATAAAAAAAGAATATAAAATAATATAATTAATAAAGGGTTTAATTTAAGTGACATGTTATTTTCGTTACCTAAATAACTAGATCAAATCATTTCTATAATGCAATGTAAAAATGATCAATGATATAATGAGAATTTTTGAATACGCTTCCCTTACAAAGTGTTCTATATAATTATAATGCCATAGAAAATATGCACACTCAACTGCCGTATTTACAATTAGAAAATCATATAAAATTAACATGACATCTTTTTCATATTGTTCCTAATAAGTTTCTATCTACTAGTATAATAAAAAATAGCTAATCTATTGGAAATATTTTTATAAAATTAACAATATGTATCACATAAAATAAAATTTAAAATGCATTGAAAAAAATAAAATATTGGAAGAGTTATAAATATTTTTATATTAACTTTGCCATTAAAATCAATTTAATTCTTCATAAAAATTAATTTAAGTACATAAATGAATAATTTGCTATTGGTGTTTTCGTATAATATTATGTTAAGTAAGTTGCAAATGCTTTTTTTTTGTTTAAGATTAAAATCATTCAAAAATTTTACGTTTTTGCACAAAAATAACATATAAAGAGTTCACATAATATAATTTTTATTTTTCTTTGAAATGTTATAATACATCTGTATATTATTAAATGCCAATTTAAAAATATTTTCAATTTTTTTATGTTCTTAATATTTATTGTATACCAAATAAGTAATAAAGTATATAACATTTTTTAAGGCAGCATTTTTACATTAGAATTATCAGTTATTTAGTTTAGGGTAGAGAATAATAGAGAAGTGATAAGAGAAAGCATTTCAAGTGCAAAATAATATTTTTCAATAATAATTATATTAAAAGTGTTGGGTGAGAAAAATAAAATTGTTTTACATTCAAAAACCTAAAAAAAGTTTGTTAAAAGTGTTCTCTTATACATTATCATTTACTTTATATAGCATTTAAATACTTAATTATATTTACACTAATTTCCTCCTAATAGCTCCTAATAGATTTTCTCCTTTTTAGCTGCCATTCAAGAAAAAAATGCATTTTTTTATTATTTTATATTTGTTTTTAATTTATCCTTTTTTCTGTCCCGAGGTTCTATGCCTCAGCCCAGTTTCCATCTGTTCTTGAATAAATTTGGGACAATTAATATTTTAACCATAGAGTAAGATTATTTTGTAAGAGAACATATTTTATATTAAATATAGATTAATGTGTACTCTTATTTAATATTAATAAGCCTCTGTGTTTTGTTCAATTAATAAGGCAGAAGAATAATTTTTTAAAAACTTTTCTTAAATTCACTATGAATTTTTAGTTATAGAATCAAATGAATGTTAGGAATTCACCGAAAAATCGGTTACGATTCTTTCACAGATGCTATTACTTTCATTAAATTCAAAATTTAGATATTTAATCTTTGCCCACCGAGAAAAAAAAACAATGAAATAGTTACACTTTTGCTTTTTTAGTAAATTAATAAATATTTAGTTATAGTTGTGTTATTTTTATTATAAAATTATTATTTTTATTGCATTTATTAAGAATCAACTATTTTATGAATTATACATATCAGAAAGCAAAATGATTTATTTAAACACAAAAAAAAATGTTAAATTTAAATATAAGTAATTTTATTTAAAAAACAAAATTTTTTCCTTTTTAATTTTCTATCAGTTAAAAATAATTATTTTAAATTGATTATTGTTAGATTAAAGTTAAGTTAAATAAAAAATTTTCTAAAAGAATTGATGATAAAATGTTGGCATTGTTAATGCAAATATTTTCTGTTACTTATTTAAATTTATTTAATTGCAATAAATATTGAATAGAAATTTTACATAAATACAATAATAAATTATATGAAATTTTTCATTTAGGTGCTGTATTATGTATACTTTTTAATAAATAAAAAGAAAAATTTTAAAATTATTTCATCAGATATGTATTTGTAAATTATTTGTTAAACGGAACTTCCACATTGTATTACTATTCGAAAATTATTTTAAATGTAGTAAATGTTAAATTGAGTGCCTTTTGTAACCAAAACATAAGTACACGAATTTGTCAAAAGTATAAAAAATTCTTTTGCGGTAGTTTTTTTAAATACGGTATTGTACAAAGATTGAAAAGATTTAAGAATGAACCCATTCACTGTACATATGTACATAATACCAAATGATAGCAAATTCCTAAGCTCAAGGGAATTCAACTAGTTTACGCCATACAATACTTATTAAGCTTGTAAAGTTACATAGCGTACGAAAACCTTATAAGCTGCTTTTTCTGGAAAATGCCTTTGTGTCTGTTTATAAAATTTTTGAAAATATTGATGAATATAGACAAAACGAAATCTATGTCAAAATGGCACAGAAGGGAACTCAAAGCAAAATTCTTTTAGAAAGATTTTTGGTTTTAGGTTCGTGATTTGCTGTAACTGAAATTTAACATGGAATTTTTTTTGAAAAATTTTAGGTACTGCGCTTTAAAATCTGCAATGGTTTTAAAATTTGAAAAAGATTGGGACTTTGTATACTACCTTTTAAAATTTGAAAATTCGTTCTAGTAATTTAAATTAGCCATTAAGACGAAATAATAAAAAATAATTTAAAAAAAAAACACATATGTTACAATAGTACTTATATTTCATATATTTACTTATGTACAAAATATTTTGATTTTTTTAAAGATTTATTTACTTTGTATTTTAAATTAAAATTAACACTAAGTTGTGGCAGTAAATAATAGGACCAAATAAATAAAATTATTTTAGGAAAAATTATGTTACAAAATTATTAGTATTTAACCTATTTTTTTATATTTTCTTTACAAATATTACAAATATTTTTATTTATTATACATATATTATTTACGTAAAGCTAGGATATCTTGTTACATATGAATACATAAATAAATAGACAAAACATATATGTACATATATATATATATATATATGAACTATATATATACAAATGCATTTATATCAAGTATTATAATATATTTTGATATACATTATTAATAACTCTAAATAATTAATAAGCGCAAAATGACGATTTTCAATTATATAATTATGATATGAACATATGGTATTCGTTTTGTGTTTTAATTTTTTAAATAAAAATTAAGAAATATGTTTTCGAACCATACATATTTGTAAAAGTAATTTCAATAAATACATTTTTTTTTAATTTAATTTGATTTTGTAAATAAATGAAACTATTTAATATAAAATATTGACTCTTGTGCTGACCGTGTTCCAAAATTTTTTTTTTAAATTTTGTGCATTTTTTTTTTTTATATTTAACTTTAATCGACGCGAAACGAGTGCAACTAGAAAAAATTTTAAGAATTTTCCACCCATCCAATATGTTTTCTTCATAATAGTTATTCATTTTTTAAATCGGCCTTAAATTTTGGGCACTTTCGATATAAAGCACGTTCGATGAATCTAAATTGCCGAATCTTCAAAAATAGCACGTTCGAAAAAGACAGTATGAACTTAAAATTATAGAGGAATTTTTAAGTTTATTTATAGTTATTTTATTACAAATTAGAAGAGCATAATAGAAAAATGTTGAATATTAAAGAATTACTCGACTATGTTACAAATCTGCAATAGTAAAATAATCAGTTTCCTGAAATTGAATGTGAAGAAAGATTTTTAGGGCTTAATTTAGAACTTTCAGTTTGAATCTGAATTGTCGAATAACCCCCTTTTATGTTGCAAACTTAAAATCAAAAGGAATAAAAAATTTTAATATATGTATATATATTTAAGAAACGTAAGTTAATTTTAATTTCGTGTTCATATTTTAAATTAAAATGAAACATCGGGTGGAAAATCTTAACTAGTTCTTTTCAAATCTACAAAATATTGAACATTAGTTATAGATATATTCATTTAAGAAAAACTTAAAAAAGACATCGTTAAGTTGCAATATAGAAATTTTATATTTTTTTTTTTTTAATTATCAATTCACTTATTTTGGAAATTATATTGAATTATTTTGTCAAATTTCTTTGTTCAAAGCTATGTGTTTTATATTTTTTTCCCTAATTCAATATCTTATTCTTTTCGACATTTTTTGCTTCTAAATGAAATTTCTTAATTTAGGATGACATTTTTATTCACTTAATTAAGTTATTTATGTTGCACGATTCGAAAACTATTTTATGAAGATAAAATGTTTATCTAATTGTTTTATATTTAACATTTATGTTCCTACTTAAACAAAGTTTTATAACAACGCCAAGTTCATCTTTTTTTTTTTGGTTTTTTTTTTGTTTTAAGTTTTTTTTTTTTATTTTTTAGCTTTATCGTGCGCACATGTTTCATTTACAATTCTATTCAAAAATTTTTTAACTTAAAAAGGAATGAAAGTTTTATTTTATAATATTTCCTAAATTTCTAATTTTTAAGGGAAGATAATCCAAATAATTATATATTTTATTTTTAAAATCTTATCAATTTTCTACTTGTCAGTATATGAATATATACAAACATATGAATATACATATTTGGTTTTTTTTTAATTAAGTTAAAATTTCATTAATTTTTGTTTTTATTATAATATTTTAGGTATTAGATTTAAAAATTCTACCTATCTTCTTTTAATATAAAATTCCTAAGAATTTTCGGTGTTCTATTTATAAAATGAAATGCAAAAAATATAAGTTGGCCTCTTACGCCTTGTTTACATAACCCGTAAATTCAAAAATTTGGTTTTCCAATAAAATACAGATATTGATACGAAATTTTTTGTTTCGAATTTCGATTTCTAAAATACAAATTTAAAAAAAAATAAATTTAAAAAAAAAGTAAAATAATACTCTTTCAAAAGTAAATTCAGATACAACATACCATATTTTTATTTCAGAAAATTTTCAAGAAATTTATCAATAAATTCTTATAAAGTGGCCATGATTTCTAATAAAAAAAACACATATTTTTGAATTTACGTTTTGGCATTAAAAATTTTGCTAATGAATGTAACTTTGAATTTTTTACTAATTTTTTATTTGAAATATTAGTATAATGCATATAGTAACATTAATATTATTATTAATTTTTGTTGTTTACTTTAAAATTAATAAACGTCTTGACATCATTGTGATTTAACACAACCAAATGTAAACTAGGCAGTACTGGAAAGCATACATAAATATTTAGCTACTAAATTTTTTTTCATAGTAAAGTTTAAATGTTCCACTATTGTCAGCAGAAAAACATTACGTAAATATTTTATGGCTAAAATTTCAGTCAAAAAATTTTAAAGTACAAAATGCATTTTTATTTTTTTTAATTATAAATTTATGTATGACGGAAACCATACCACTCTGTTTTTAAGCAAACAAAAACTTTTGTACGAAGATCCGTTGCACCGAATACATTATAAGTGCCTGTAGGACTTGTAGACTATACCAGTGCGCAATTCTTGCCTTTCTTACAAATATAAACGAAAATGCAAATTTAATTATTTTTTAGAATTTGCAAGTTTTTGATTGAAAAAAAATAGGAAATTAACTAATAATTTCTAACTTCTCGTTCCTGTTAATTATAAATTCATGATTGAATTTTTAAAATTTTACTTTTAAAAAATCGGAACAACAACAGCTAACATACAGTAGCCTTGTAAAATATTTTTTTGTTTTATAATAAATACAGCATGTGGTAAAAACATTTCAACTTTCTATAATAAAAATTTATACTACTTTATTTTTAAATAAACAAATTGCTTGCCTCGCAAAAACAGAGGGTTAGTCTTATTTTTTTTGAAATATAACTTTAAAAACATTTGATTTACATAATCTCAATAAATATTTTCAATAGAATTTGTAAAAGTTTAATTCATTCTAATTTAAATAAGTATATTATGCAAATTTAAGACGGAATATTTACGCAAATTAAATTTTAACAGCAGAATTTCCTGTAAGATATTCTATTAATAAATAAATTTTAAAACATTTTTAATTAGAAAATTATGTCAGTCACTTATTTAACAATAATTTTATTTCAAAACAATGCTCATATTGTTATGATTTTCAATCTTAACTATTAAAAATTTTATATATAAATTCGAGTTTAGCTCGTTATTTCATATTCAAAATTTGTGATAAGCTAATATTAAGTCATAAAACTAAATAAATTGCTAATGGTTATTTTCTGTGTTACCTTGTACAGTCTTTCGTAAATGATTTCTTAAAATGACATAATTTCTACTTAAATTGCTAGAATTTTTTATATTATTTAAAATATTTATAGTTGAATACGATTGCGATTGTGATTGGGCAGGATAATTTGTTCTGTTATTATAACTACATGTAGAAGATATAGATGTTATTGGAGGCGGATATGGTGATGGTAAGAACATAATGGAAGATGTAGTTGATAAAGGAGATGCATTATTTAAAGTTGATGCATTTTCTAATTTATAACCGTTAATTAATTTTAATGTATCATTTTCCACCATGGATAAGTTCAGATCTGATGATAGAATTGTTGGCATATGTTAAGAGCTATTTTTAATTGGTCCTGATGAAAGAGAGCTGCTACTCACACCAGAATCACTAGATTTTTCACTTAAAGCACCACCCCGTGTTAATGTTTCATCTCCTACTAAACTATTTGTTATAAGTCCCTTTTTCCCTATACGTGAAAACCCCTTAATTTGACACTTTTCCTCTTTGGCACGGCGGGCATTTTCAACACGTTTCAAAATTTCACTCGAACATTTTGCAACAACATCATCTAAACTATTTGATTCATCTGTGGAAGTTATGGTTTGAGTTGTTGCTATAGATGATGGAATAGGTGAGCCTTCATAGCAGCCAGAATCACGTGGAAGATGATTTCTTTTAAATGGTGATGGATTATGTTTCTTATTTATACTGTGAAGACGAGCTTCATCATTTTCAGAACTAGACTCAGCGACGTCCCCATCTAAACCTATTTAATTAATTTTATTAATAATTAATATAAAAATAATATTTTACGTACATATATTCATACATAGATATTATATTTATATCCATGTACGAGTATATTTCTTGATCGAGCAATCATAAGAAAAATAAATATTAAATACATTTTGCATGAAATTGTTAAATGAGATCCGAAAATATAACCTTACGAGTACAATAAATTTTATTTGATTAAAAATAACCCGGATTCTTTTCATTCAAAATCTCTTGCTTTTCTATAAGTTTTTAAAAACCAAAATAATTAAACTTGAGACAATGCTAGGAATGATTTAGTTTAAAAATTAAAATTACGATACACATGGTATTAAACTTATATTAAATTGTTTTAATTTCATCACTAATAATAATTTAGTTTGAACTATATAAAGTCTAATGCTAAACAATTATTTAATTAAAATTTATCCTCCTTATGATAATCCTTAATTTTATATGAATAAAATATCTATGAAAAATAAATTTATAACTTACATTCTATGTCATGTAATAACTGCACCGCAGTTAATAACTTTGCTCTATGTTCTGCATTAATAATTCCTAAATAATCAAGATCGGTTGGTTCTAATTCTTTAAATAATTCTAAGTCCTCATATCTAGAATTAATTTTGAATTAAATTAATTTTTTTAATTATCTTGTTAAATTATCTTTTATATTCTTGTAAGTTATATGCATGAATTTTAAAAAAAATATACTTAATAATGAGTAAACATACCCATTTAAGATAAAAACAGAGGTATATTCTTTAAGTCCAATTCGAAAAAGAAGTTCCTCAATTGAATTAAGCCCATTTGTATTAGGCAAACGTTTAAAATTTTTACTATTATTTTTAGGAACTATCTTTTTTTCTGGCAAAACTTCAACATTTATAAATTTGAAATGACCGGTTCGACCATGGCAAGAACCTTTCCATATTCCAGAAGCATTCATTGTAATCACATCTATAATATCGCCTTTCTAAAATAAATAAAAATTAAAGATTAGTGTACATACACAATGTATTACCTTAGTTTTTCAAAAATTATGTGAATTGAAAGAAAAAAAGTAATTAACATTAATGCCAATTTACCTTAAATATAAGAGCTTCATTGTCATAAGGATTAGGTAAACTATCAACAAGTGCTTTAACTTTACATATAGGTGTCATTGAAATTTTATCTTCGGTAGAAAGTGAGCTATGGCTACCAGAACGTACTAGAGCTTGTGTACCTACGAAAAAGATATTCATTATTTATTATTATATTATTTATTACAATACTTTTTATAATTAATTATTTAAATAATAAAGTAAAGAATTAAAAAAACCATTATTATTTTATTTTTTAAAATACGCATTACTTACTTGAACCAGATGCACTAGGTAAACTTTCTACTGAACTAGCAGAATAGGCAAATGCTTGATCGCTACTACTACCTTTATCGGTATTCTCCTGTGAGTTACTAAAATCTCTTGATGTAACTTTTGTAGCTTTGAAAGTTCTACCATCGTCACATTCCCCACCTACATTCTTTGGAGATTTTCCTAATTCCTTAGTCTTAAAGGAACAATAAAAACAAGTTAGAAGAAGTATGAATATGGATGCTAAATAATTAGACACATTAAAACATTATTTCTTAAATTAAAAGTTGCAATGAAATTTTAGTTATTGTAAAAAAAAATACTTTTTTTAAGGTTTAAATAATTCACTAATTTAAGCAAGAATAAACGAAAATAAAAAAAACTAAGTTTTTACCAATAACAAATAAATAAAAATAAGGGGAAAAAACCTAAAAGTGCAAAATATGCATGTGAGGTTTCGGAAGCTATTTTTTTATACATAACCGCTTTTTTTATATAACAAAATAATAATCAACTTATGTTTCTATATTTACTGCTTTTAAGTTCGCTATGAACTCTAAATTCTATTTTTCGAATACAAATAACTAAAATTAAAATATTTTGTATTATTTCGCCAACACAATCCTTTATTTACTTACTCGTAGAAATCAAAAAAATTTTACTATATAAAATTAAAAAGAAATATAATTCTTACAAAACTAAAAATTATTTTAAGTGATTTTTTAAATTTAACCTAATTATATTGGCGTATTAATATTAAGCATTCCAGGAAATTTATAAATGTATGCAACTATAATAGTAAATATTGAAGAGGATTTCTTGACTTACAAAATACTGTGAACCCATGTTATATTTCTAAAGATTTCTTTTCTAAAAATTAAATACTAAAGGGTATTTAATAGAAAAAAATAGGGATGTAGTTGACGTAATAAAAACATAATTAAATTTAGAATTGCATATATTTCTATTCTAAGAAATTAATTATTATTTTGTTATATTAATTTTGTTTTTAGTTAGGTTCCAAAAGAATTATTTAAGTAATTGCAATGTGTTAAATAATTAATAAATTACGTTTTAATTTACGATTCTTAAATTTTGACTTACATGAGGAACTTTAGCATTCGGACTTATGGTTGTACACCTATTTTTCTTAAATTTTGTATCCTTGTTATTGGATAGCATACCACGATTATTTAACATTATATCTTCATAGTCGGAAGACGGACTCGGGGACAAAGAAGGAGATTCCCCGATATCACCGTATATTGTAGTGTAGTGAGCGTTACAATTGTTTGTGCCGATCTTTGGAAAAATTAATTAAATATTTATAAGAAAAAAAAAAACTTTCAACATATAATAATATTCACGCATAATTAAAATAAAAAAAAATTATTTATTTCTTATTTATTTAACAAATTTATTTTCAAAACTAAATTTTCGATTTCTCAATAAGATAATAATAAAGAAATAATAAACAAACAAATTGCAACCTTTTTCTTTTAAAGGTTAAACAAATTTTTAAATAATTTTGAGTACAATTATTATTTAAGACATCTTGCAAGATCTGTTGTCTGATCGTTTATATCAGATTATAAGAACTAATACTTGAAATATTCATAAATATGTTCAAAAAGAAATGTTTGATATTTTCTGTATTTAAGGAAATAAATTTGAAATTTGTAAATAAACTTGGAAAACTATATATTGGCACAAAAAATTGCAATCACATTCTTTTGATGTACCTTCACCTTTTTATAAATAATTTTTTGATTTAACACTACCAAACTTATTAATTATGAATTTTAATGTTGAATAATAATATTAACTATTATTGAAAGATTATAATTAATTTTTAAATTAATAGTATAATAAATTAAATTGGGAAAAAAATTTATGATTAATACAATGAAATAAATAAAATTGAAAACATTATTCTATTAATAAAGTCAGAAAGAAGTTAGATAAAATTTAATTTAGTTTCAGTAAACTTATATTTAGTATGAAGAAGCGTTTATCGTATAATTATTATTAAAAAACTATTAATAGATCAGTTTCTACAATTTTAAAATTTAATTTATTTTCCTTAACCAAAACAAAAATAATGTAATTCAATTTAATGAAAGTAATTTAATTTATTTTTAGCTTTACATTTTTCGTAATTAAAAAAACTAAATAAATATTAGAGAAATGAAAAGAATTAATTTGAGAAAATAAGAGTTAAAAATTTATAAATTAAGAACAAAGACTTGCTCAAAACATGATAATGATGCTTTTCTATACATAATACGTGGAAATGTTAGTTTTTTAATTAAATTATATTTTGTATATGAGAAATTTGAAAAATTTACGACATACACATTAGGTGTTTTAACCTAACTGGTTGGCTCTGAAAAAGCTTAATTGCCTCTATTTTATCACAAGAATTTTTAGAAAATAGGTTGTTATCACATGTAAAACGAGATGCAACCACTGTAGTATAGAACCTAATTATTATATTTCGATCCAACATTATAATTTCAACTATGATGATTTTTCTTATATTACCATATAAATGTGATAACGTTTGTGATTTTAGAAGAAAAAATTACTAGATTAAATGGAATATAATTGCACGTGCTGAACCATTAGAATTAAAATTAATAAAAGTAAATTCATAAATTTTAAAAATTTTTAACTTCAAATCAACCTAATGTATATGTACAAATGTAAATCTTGAAAAATTAAACCCACTAATGAAATAGCCTTGATTGGAATTTTGAAAATATGTAAAATCTCTATTTTTAGATAAATATAAAAATGAAAATAATTTATAATTAAATATTTTTCGAATTTATTTGATATACTTACTGAAACCGTGCTTAACCTTGAAATAACACTTTGCAAATCTGATATAGAACCAGCATAATCTCCGCTTTCTCTATCGTGAGATCTAAGAAAAATATAAATATTCATTTATTTGGCACATAAATATTTTCAAATTTTCATGAATCAAGAAATTGAATAATTTTGTTTTTACTGAATTTTAATAATATTTTACCTTGCATGTGTCAATGGTATTATTGTAGGTGGATTTGGGGGTTTTTGTGGTACAATGAGCCCTCTTCTTGGGGGTCCTCTTTGCAACAGCGATATATCGCCAGCCGATCTCAATGATATAACTCCGGTGTTTTCCGTTGCATTTGAAGAAAAACGAACACGTCCACCCTTAAAATAAATATTACATATATAACACCCAGTTTTTTCATTTTTTACATATCAATCTAATTTTACCTGTATAGTTGCAGTTGGGCCGCATTTATCTAAAGTGGTTGACATAAGGAAATCGTCAGGATCACTTTCATATGGTGGTTCATCATACCAATGTCCTTGATAATGAATATTTCGTAATCCATACGCTTCTTGTACTGCATCATCATACATGTAGGTATCATCTTAAATTAATACAAAAAAAAATTATATAATATGGAAATTAACATAGAAATTAGAACAAGTCTTGATAATTTAAATTTAAAAAAAGAAGTTGGTTTTCATTCAGACTGAATACTAAAATGAGTATTAAGGAAGAATTCAAATTACCTATTCTGCCTTCCTTACTCATTTGCAGAAGTCCTTGTCGAATGTCACGTAATATCTGGAAAATCAAGAAAAACTTGAATAGAATTTGAATAATCTAAAAAATAAATTTTTTTAAAATGTATACACCAATTTCCAAAATTCTTTCCAAAATTTTCGAATAAAATAACTGGAATAACATTTAAAAGAACCATTATTTAATTTGGAAATCAACTGGTGTATTTTTACAATATCGACAATTTACAAAAGTTCAATTAATCCCGAAGCAATATTAAAAAGGTTAAAAAAAACAAGTCTAAAGAAATGTCAGCACAATTTGAAGCCGACATAACGGTATATAAAGATCATAGACTAGGCTGGAAATAGTTACATTAAATTTTATCAATATTAAACAAGAGTTTATATTCTACAAAAACATGGTAAATGGAAAGTTTTTGGAATGTAAGTCGTTGGCCAAAAAAATTAAAAAATATTAAAATTTACTAATGCCTAGAATTTGTACTCAGAAAAATGAATCTTTATACGGGGAAGTATAATACGGATGGTAATATTTTTTATATGTTAGGTACTAAACAAAAAATTTTAGTTAAGTTGTTTCTAGACATAAAAATTTATTTTATAAAAACGACAATTAAAAAGGAATAAAAACAGTTGTTAGGTATGAATTTAAATGTATATCTACAAAAAAATCTGAATATTTTAAATAAAATACTGAAATTTTTCATTTTCTCTTACTGAAAAATTTTTCTTTAGCTCTATTAGCGCCTACAAAATTTTAATTTCAAAATGCTCTTAGAAAGGATATGGTTTGGCAAAATAAGATATTTCTTACTTAAATAGTTCCTGAAATAAATTATTCTTTATGAGGAACTCTTATCTTTCGGAACACAAATCTGCCCCAATCGCATTTAAAAAATGTGGTATTTGTTTTCATACTCAAACTACGAATTGTAACAAATGGTATGGATTGTAATAAAAAGGTGGTGATCGATTCATAATTTGTGACGCTAGCTGACGATAAAGACTTCTCAAAACTGTTCGTTTGTGATCGGACTATTGAAAACTGTTCAATTAAATTTGATTTAACAGATTCATTTATAGAAGTTTATAATTAAAGAAACATATATAAGTAAACGCACTTTTGTTATATTTGAAGAAATATAATATCCTAAAATTGCCAAAATCTTTGAATAATTGTTTGTCAACACGAAACAACTTATGGTCATTTTAATTAAAATATTGTCCTTATAAATTTTACTTTTCAAAATAGTTTTTTTTTGGTTACTCTAACAGAATCGCCATTACTTTGACAATAAACCATGCAATTATCAGAAAAATCTTGCAAAAAGATTTTCATGCGTGATTACATAAGTTTAACAAATAAAAAATATATATTCATAAAATCCAAGTCATACTAGGAAAAGGGTGACACAGAGAGACGTAGAAAATTTTTTTGTTTATATATTTAATCCGAAAAAGAATAAATGAATAATTTGCTTATTAAGGACAAAAATGAATAAGGATGGCCGACAATGAAATGCAACATGCAATACAAAGAGAGAATAAAAAACAAAAAAAAATTATTGCGTTGGCAAGGGATTATTACCATCATCAACAGAATTGGTTTGTCTTGTTCCTCTATTCCATTTCTTAACTTTTGCGGTACTTAAAAATTTTATTTTAAGATTTTTAAATGACCACACTCTGGATTAATATTAGCTATTCATATTATTTTTTTCTTGTTTCTTTTCAGAGGGAAATAACAACAACTTCTTGTTAACGTAAAAATACATTAGAAAAAAAACTAAAAATCCTTTTAAGACAAAAATCCATTTGTTTGTAATAAAAAATATGTTCGATTAATTATTTAATTACACTTTTTAAGTTTATTCTTTCTTATATTTCTGCTTGATGTAATAATTTTCTTAAGCAATCAAACTAGTATTAAAAACTGAAAAAGGTTATACCTCTTCATGTTCTCTATGAAATTTTTCTTTTTTCCTCATTGCTTCCTGAGCTTTGAGCTGAAAATATAATTAAATTATGCTACTATGAATAACATACTTTTATCATATATATTATATATTAATTTAAATTAATTATTTTGCCTATTCTCTTTTTTTGGATGTAATTTTATATAAGCTTTTATTTATAAAACACATACGTAATGTGCGTGTTTTACTGCATACGTGTATACGTACTAAATGTATAATCAATAATGTAAATTGTACGTTGAATTCTTTTGTATCTTTATCGGTATTGCAGTTAACAAAAGCATTGTTATTTTTAATGTTGTTCAATTACCTAATTACTTAATTTAATTATTCAACAAATATTACATTTATAATGTAACTGGAATAAATTTCGTAATTAATAATGTGGAAAAATTTATCAAAATTTGATGCGCAAAAATTTTTTTAGCATAAATTGTTGATTGCCAATTGGTGACCGTCAGAGGCAATGATTGTCGACTGACATTTATTATTATTAATTATTATCTTTAAACTCTCATAGAAAAGAACAAATTGTATATTTTAAGATCATATTATCAATTATGAAAAAAAAAAACATTTGGGTTTTATATTTATTTTGAAAATATCAAAAATATAATTTTTTCATAAGCAATTTTTATATGTAGCTCTTATCTTAGCTTTAATTAGTCTTCTCAAATTTAAATTATGAAAGTCTCAGTAAAATCGATTAATTTTGAATAGATATTTATAATATGTAATTAGGTACACTAATTACATAGAAAATAAAGTAAATTATACAAATATTGAAAAAAAAATTTAAAAAAAATTCTTAATTATTAACAAGTGTCATTTTTAATTTTACATTATCAATTATAATTTAATATTTGTTTCTTAATAACTAAAACTAAAATAGATAAAGAAAATATGTTTAAATAAGCGTAGCAATTCTAATATTACTTAAATTACCCTATGAATTGTTTCTTCAAAACTTTGTTGCGTTATTTCTTCTCCACGGCTACCTATGTGCCCTTGCTGTGTTCGATCATTTACCTAAAAATATATTAAATATATTTTTGATAATGAAATCTGCTAAAAAATTTAAAATTATTTACTTAAATTTATATGATTTAAGAATAAAAAACAACATGATTCAAAGACGTGTATAAATTTTTGTGTAAAACAATTTGTAACACAATACAAATAGACAATTTAATTAAAATAAATATTTTGTTTAATAGTGGGTATTTTTGAAAATACAGTTTGCGTTTACATTTGACCTAAAACTTAAATAGCTTTAGCAGCAATAAAAAATGATTGGAAGAACTTACGAATTTGTTAGTTGTAGTAAAGAAAGTTTTTGCAGTTGTAGAAATACTGTCAAAATCATACGTTATTATTCAATTTAAAAAATTGAATTGATTTTAAAAAGGGGCAATACAAAATATTATTTGCGACAAATTTTTTAAGATCCTAGTTTGCAGTTGTATACAGTTTAGAAAAATACTGCCATCACATTTTTTCATATTGAGAAATACTTTTTTGATAATTCTTGTAGTGCTTAACTTTCAAATTTACTGTATATTTAATACTAGAACAACTGAATTATCAAAACTACCCATATAATAATATAAACAAATAAAAAAAAACAAATACAAGTTTTCTTTTAATTTAATTTTTTTAAACAGAAAAAATTATTGAATTTTAACTTTAATTAAAAAAAAAACAAAACTTTAATTAGAAAACACAAAAAATCGTAATAGAATAAAAAAAATTAAAGAGGTTGCGGAAATGTTGCCCTGAAAATTTAACATGTAAATTAGATATTGTTTTAGAAATCGAAAAATTATAATTTACTTTAAATATTGTTTTTCTGCAAATTTATTTTACTAAAGCATATTTTAAAAACCTCATGTGAAACTTGTGATAAAAGCCAATATTGTAAGCTTCGTAAAATAAAACGGAAAATTTTTTAAAATCATTAAAAACCAGAAGCACAATTCCAAATATCTGGCTTTTTCATTGAATATAAAATTAAAGTAATACGAAATAAACTATTTATAAAAAATATTAAAGCGTACATTTATTGAAAGCGTACATTTTTCGGTTCTATCGGTTAATTATAAAGTATATATTTGTACGTTTAACCGCTAATATTTTCTTACATTCACATTTCGATTTTCTAAATACAAAAAGAAATTTTTTAAAGAACACAAACTTAGCATCATAAAAAGCTTAGTATTTCGAAAAAATGCACATATTAAAAGTAGCTTAATTCCCACACTATTCAACCGTATGCTTATACAGAAAATGCTTTGGGAAAAATATTCAAATGCTAAACTAAAATAGAATGAGCATAAAAAAAAAAAAAAAACGATACATTGAAATAATGTTATAGGAAATTATATTATTGCCAACGGAAATTCAGTTTGCAATTACGTTCTTAAATTTATGATATATATTATGCAAATGATGAAGCATTACGAATGGCGGCACTCAGTTATGTGGATGTGCGAAAAATTCAATTATTTATTATAAAAATACAAACCTTCTTTCTACACATTGCGAAATTAATATTTTTGATAAAAGAATAATTTGCTTCGAAATTTTTATCTATTTGAATGTTTATCTTTTATCTATTTTGAAATAGTTAATAAATTTTTTTTTTAAACTATTGTGAACTTTAAAATTGAAATTATTAAAATCTACAAATTATTAAAATCAGTTTGTACGTGGACCCAAATAAAAAATTAAAAAATTTTAACGCTGGTTTAACATACATCCACTAAGTCTACCTGCATGATTAAAAATTTTTAATTTTGTTAAAAAAAAACCCTAAATTAACTCTTGAGGACGCAAAAATAAATTATAAAATAAATATTTTGAAAAGTTAAATGTGCAAATTTTAAGAAAATTTGATTTAAATTTTTTTATATTCTCACCCGCATTTGAATAGCTAAATTTTGATTATTTCTATCACGTCTATTTACTGTCCTCAATCCTTTTAAAAGTCTGGCTAATGTTGTTTTTTTCTTAGTTTCGCCTCGGGTTTCTAAAACACAAAAAATTTATTAATTTTCAAATATTCTTAAAAACATAGTTAAATTATACCTGTCGTAGGTGGAAATTCATAAAAATATGCTGATCTCGGACTTAAACAGCTGAAAGTTTAAAATTTAAAATTAATATTCAAATTTTGAAAATTATTTCTATTTCAAATTTAAATTAGCATAAGAACATAAACGGTAGAAATTAATTTATATGGAAATGAAAATAAGTTTAATTTATAACAAAAATTTAGTCATTATGCTAAATTAATTATTAATTTATATTCAAAGAAATTAAAAAGGATATCATACTCGTAAGTTTTAAGGACGTTTAATCAAAAATTGGTTACCGAAAAATATGGATGAAATCTTAAATTTTAAAAATTACAAATTATTAACCGTGCCAAAATGATTTAAATAAATAGATTACGGCTACTAATAAATCCATGATTAAAAAAAAAAAAATTGTAAATTTTAATTTTTTTTTTGTCATTACCTATTTTGATTTATTACATTAGGTGCATTTGTTACAAGTTCTTGTTGATTTTGCTGCGATTGTTGCTGTGAAATTTCATGTAACTGTTGTGATTGTTGTTGTGGCAGTTGTTGCTGTTGTTGTTGAATTTGCTGTTGCTGTAAAAGTTGCTGTTGCTGTTGTTGAATTTGTTGTTGTTGTAATTGTTGTTGCTGCTGGTGAAGAGTATTTTGCTGAAATGCTCTTCTTGTTACTCTAGGAGCAAATACACCATATCCAAAACCATAAATTTCATCCTCTTCTTTATCAGATAAACAACTGGAAGGCTATAAAAATTTCGAAATTATTAAAATATAAATTAATTAAAAAATATTGATCATTGAAAATAATTACTGAGTATTTTCCTGGCACATAAATTGGTTGGCTATGACTACTTGGTAGTCCTCCATGATGTGAGCTACCACAGTGGCCATGTTGTGTTCCGAGTCCAGCAGGATTTAAAGGACTTCGTTCTGCCCATGCTAATTGTCTGGTATTTTCTAAAGCACTTAAAACATCACCGAATGGTGTCATTAACAATTCACAATAAACTGATGCTAAACCTTCCAAATGACCTCTTTGACCATCCTAAAAATAATATTATATTTAGGGTTATTAATAAACTTGATGTGATGAGGATGTGAATATAATATATAAATTATACGATCTGTAGTCGAGAAATGTATCAAAAGATTTAACAATAAAACTCTTAGCCCTTTTCTTAGATAAACAACCTAAAGCGTCAATTCAAAATTCACTTTTTGATTTTTAAAAAAATAATATCTTCATAAAATATTGGTTCGCCTAAAATTCGCTCATTTTATTTAAAAACAAACCAATGAACCTTTAAGTGAAAAATCAGTTCAACTTGAAATAGTTCAACTTAAAGCTAACCCACCAATGTTCAATCTAGCTTTACAATTTTTATGTTCTTAAATCTCAACGCGACTAAAAATATCAAATTCTTGTTTATTTCTACTTTTAACAATTACTTTATTTTAATTGAATTTATTATAAAAGCAACAAAATAACGAAGCCCAAAATGTCTTGTAAAAATTAATAATCTACTATTCGAGAATTCATTGTCAAATACGTACGCAGCTAATTTTGTAAGAATAGCAAGTACAAGAGTTTTTAACGGAAAATCTACTCATAAGAAATATTTTATTTCATCCGAATTGTTTTTTTCCTGCATGTTTCAATTAAATAATTAAGTAATTATTGAATTTAAAAAACTTAAATTAATTATGTTTCAATTAGGATTTAAAAAGCAAAAAGTATACGCTCATAATTTTAAAAAATTTATTTACCCTTTTTCATTCATATAAGAAAAGAAAATTTATTCACACTTTTTTAATTACATACATATCCACATATATAAATATATAAAATTTGTTTGTTTCTTAAAACTAAGAGTTCTTTAATTAAATGTTTTTTGCAACTATAACTTAAACATGGAAAAAAAAGACAACTAAAATATTATTTCTTTAGTAAGGATGTGTGTCCTACATTTTAATGTTCCAAAAAAATAAAATTTAAAAAAAAATTTCAATATTTTTGAAAATAAAAATTTTTTTTTTTTCCTATAGATACATATATGTATATAGGTACATACAAATATGTATATGTATGCAAATATATACTTATAGTTATATATACATACACAATTTAATAATTGTCCTAGTTTCCAAATATGCCTATCTATAATAGTACATAAGTGTGAAAAAATAAAAATGCACAAAATTATATACAATATAATGTATAAATATATATGTATACATGTAGCATACATGCATGTGCATGAATCTACATACATAATATTAAAAAAAAACTCTTTTACAATTGAATACAATGGATAAGCTCGAAAATGCATCGAAGCGCTCATCATACACGATTCAGCATAATTCTAAGTGATATTGCGCTGAATCGAGCATTTTAGTATTTCTGAATTTGCCCAACACGGAAAAAAAATAAATCATCGTTTTGTAGTTTCTTGCATATTACTAAATTTTGTCGCATATTTATTAAAAATATACCTTAAAATAAGGAAAAAGTTTATAGCAATTGAAATAATTATTTTTTATAGGATTTTATAGAAATGTCATAGCATTTACATATATTCCCTTATGATTATTCCAATCGTAACCATCATAGTATCAGATACCTACCCTTTTCATCTCTTCCTTTTTCCAATTTTTTCTTATTAATTTTTTAAAATTTAATGTAATTAACAAAAGATATGGATCTATATATTCTTTTATTTTTTTCTGGTTTAGATTCTATTGTAAACAAAAAATTTCAATCGCGATCACGAACTTAATAGTGATCGGTATAGCTTGTCGCACTTGTTTTATTCTATAATTCTTATTTTAAAATACAAGAGACAAATTTAGTTTTAATATTTGAAATACTTCTCCGTCGTGTTTCTGCAAATTTGCAAAGTGCATGCTGCTTAAATTGGCATTGATCTTATTTAACAATTTACTTAAAAGCTTAATTTCAGTTCTTTTGAACTCAGTTCTACTCGTGTAAATAATAACATAGTGTTTATAATTTATAGTGCTATACAGAAGAAAATTTTTGTAATTACACAACGAATTTCTTTTTTGAGAGGCGCTAGCGAGTATTCAGTTTTTTTAATTTAAAACATCGTCACTCAAAAAAAAAAATAGTTCTATGGTGTTATAACAAAAATTTAAAATAAATTTTAATTTTTTAACAAATATTTACATTATAATAAAATAAAAAAAGATAAATTTTGATTATATTAATAATTATATGTCGCAGTAAAGTCCAAATGTCACTGTTTATCATCGAAGCGTTCTTAGAAGCGTTTCTCTGCCTTCAAAATGAATCGAATGAATTCAAAATGAATAATTTTTGATTTGTCAAACCATAGTTTGTATACAAATGATAAGAAACTGATAAGGAAGTCATTAAATTTGAAATTAATTTTTATTGATTTCAAATACAGAATAAAGATTAAAAATACATACATACTTGGTAACATTTAACACATCTCTCGAAAATTTTAATATAAATTAAAAATAATCAAATTTTTTTTTTAAATAACTAGGTCATAATTTCTAAGAGCATAATATTATAATACGTGTATGTACTTAAATAATTTTATAGTATGTATATATGAAAATTTATATACAATTATATAACAAAATCAATTATCTAAAAAAATTATATAATTCTTGAGTAATTATATAAAAATACTCGCATAATTTTTATTTTAAAACTTTTGTTTTATATAAATGAATGATTTATAATGATATTTTCGTAATATATGTACATATTTATAAAGAATTTTAGCAAGTATAACTAAATGAAAACTATACACACTCGTATACGTAAATCAAATTTTTAGTAGATAAGTAACTATATGCATATGTATGTATACAAGAATATGTTATCAATTCTATTATAATTGATCCTATTATCCTTAAAACAATTTTTAATTATGAAATATGCTCTTTATATACTTTAGATATCATGATAATTTATTTATAGAATTAATTAATATTATTTATAAACAAACAAAAAAACTATCAATTACATTTTGGCATAGAGAATTAAAAAAAAAAATAAAACAACCTTATTAAATCATTCATTAAATCATTAATATTTACCTTATACTTACTTATTTTAAAAAAAAAATTATAAACTAAAGTACCTTTTTTTAATTAAAGAAATTTTTTTTAACAGGTAAGTAAATATATTCGTTAACCCTTTTTGTGTTAAATCGAAAACACCAATTTAATTTTAAATAAGAATATTGTAAGTTGATCATGTCAACTATATGGTATCTAAATGAGTAAAAATTGTACGGAAACAAATAGTGAGTAAAAATTTGCACGGAAACAACTAAGTATGATGAAAATAAAATTTTATGAAAATGACTTTTTGCTAAATTGGACCAGTGAATCTTGAATATTTTCAAAAATATGACAAAATGTGTAAAAATTTTGTAAAAAGTTGTTTATGAAAATTAAAAAAGAAGTTGCACATTTTCATAAAATCAAAATTTTTGTAATTGTTTTTTACTTCAATTATTAATAACAGCAGCTCAAACCATTAACTCTATCGAATTTAGATTATATAGAAATCATGCATTTACTAAAATAAACTATTGGTGAAAATTTGTTTTTGACTTGTTTCAATTGGTTTTTAAGGTATCAATGAGACGGACAGACACATAAAAAAGACTACATAATGTTTTAATGTCGGAGCATTGAATCCCGTTACATAGTTTTGTATAATGATAAAAAAATTAATAGCTGATACAAAAATTCTCAATTTCAAAAAATAAAAAATTCTTAATTTCAAAAATGTTCTAGATGATTAAAGACTGCTTGAATTAAAAATATATCCATAAGAAATATTTAATATTTCTTAACAAAAAGGCAAGTATATTATTAAAAGACTTAAAAGAGAATGTGAATCTTGAGAGACAGACGTCAACGTCAAATAAAATTATTTTAGTTTGCTATTTGATCTTAGAGAAACCGATACAACGTTTCAAATTTATTAAACAAACTTTTATTTAAGAATGCATTCGGTGAGTAATTATTACTATTTTTGGATCTTTGATAATTGGACAATTGTATAAGTGAAATTCTTTATTGCCACATTAATTTCACGGCATTAATTGCATACATGTCCGAAAAACAGTACGGAATGTGAAATTAGTGATGTTAGGTTAAAAAAATGCAAGAAAATGATTGTAACTTGAACCATTCGAATGAGTGATCAAAAACTAATCGGAGCCAATATTTGCATATAAAAACATACTTAAAAGTAAAAAATGGCAACGATTGATCTCTTAATTCAAAATTACAAATGTTCTGTTATATTTTTCCCCCAACTTATATATGTATATATATATGTACATATTTATGCACATACTGTAGCAAATAAATCGCCCAACGTAAAGTGTTTTACTGAAAATTTAATTATTTATATTAAGTTTTCTTTTTTGTAATCGTTTTAAAACTTTTGAACGATTGAAATTACAATTTGATGATTTCATAAAAAAAAAAATAAACGATTTTTTATACAATAAAAATATCTAAGGGATATTTAAGAAATATTTTTATATTTAATTGTAATTTATATTGCAGTTCAATGCAAATGCATATAATAAAAAAAAAAAATTATAAAATGCAAATTATTTAATTAAAAAATACATGCACATTTAAATACATAATAAAATCGTAATATAGAAATGCGTTTGCATCATCAAATCAGAGTGGTTTTGCAATTAAAAAGTTTTATCTTTGAAGAAAGTTTTTATTTTAAAACAAAATTATTCATTTAAATATTTTTTCCCTTTAAAGAATAAAGACAATATTGATGTTTAATATGTATATATACATATTTTTTGGTTCTATAAAAGTGTATAGTAGTTGTATGTTATATTTCTGAAGGTAAAGTTATTTTAGTTTTGTTAAAATTAAATTTTCATAAATAAATTTGAACTAGGAATTTATTAAACAACAACTATTAAATTTTATGTTAATAATTAATATTTAAATATTATTATTTTCTAGATATTTTTCAAAAACCTATAGTGGAGCTCA